TCACAAATGACTGGCATCAGCACTTCGGAGCAAGACGACTAGCCAGTAGAGGGAGTGGTCTTACGATCGAACGACGGTGTACGGCTGAAAAGGCCAAGCTTCCATCCCTTCCATTCCGCCCTTCCCGCCGTTGCCCACACACACGTACGAATATACAGACACACACACACACACACACTCACTTCAAACAACTGCTATGTTGCCCTTCTGCTAAGCTCTCACCTTGTCCCGTGAGCATCGTGGAGTCACCGAGATATTGAGTGTGTGTGGTTCGGAAAGGCTATGTCGCCAAGCTCTCAACAGTATTTCCTTCGCAACTCTCGATATTCACGCCGCCCCGAAGCCGCGTCCGCTTCCCGAAGCCGTGTCCGCATTCCGAGACGTTGTGACGATAGTAATCTTCCCCGAATTAGGACATCACGTCCGTTGGATGTGTGGAATTCTTCTCGCATTTCTATGAGAGTCAGACGAGATCCAGCCGTGATACAAACTCTCTTCACATGTACCCTCATATTCCTTGGTTTTTGTTCACATTTTTTTGCCTTTTCGCGGTCCCCGAAGAACGTCCAATTGTCCGTCGCCGAGAGTTGTGTAACTTGTTTCTTGTCTTGTCCTCACTGTGAGGTGAACACCGCATCAGCTTTTGCCCCATCGCCCATGCATCGTCAACTTCCCGGTTTGGACATTATTCATTGCCGGCCGGGTTGCGGCAAGGTAACGGCTAGCTTTGGCTTGAGTAAAGCAAAGTAAAGCAAGCAATCTGCCAGCTTACCGCCACAACTTGCTTTTCGGTCTTTGACCGAGAAGCCCCCCATACTGTGATCATCAGCGCCTCATACCCCAGAGTGACGCCCTGCCCCATCATCTGTGGCGTTACAACGAAGCAACTCCAAGCAAGGAACCCCGACATTGCTGAATTCTGCTTGTCCACAACCAACGCGAGAAGTGTGAACTCTGTTTTTAACGGCAGACAGATTTACTGCCTAGTCGAAGCTACCCCAATGACTCCTTTTTGCTGTCTTCCATGTCAGTGGCCTACCGACACTCCATCCCGCATGTCCAGCGAGAGACGCCTCGTGCAGGAGAAAAAAAAGACTAATAGTCGTCTTCCTCCACTATTGGATCATCATTCATGGGATTCTCGTGCCTGGTCCCGCCACCTTGGCATTTGCCCATTGCGCGGACCCTTACGATTTCCCTTGGACCGCGCTCTCGTGAGTATTGTCATTACGCAACTCGGGAAATTTGATCTTGGGCCTAGCTTTTTACGTACACTATCCGTAGACGATTGACCTCGGTCGTGACTTGGGAGTTGTAAGATCGACGGAGCTGGCCCTGCCGGACCTTGTCACAATGTCACTGACCATCTCTGGCCCCAAAAGCCCCCCCCCCCTGCCCGCGCCTCTCGTCTCTTCTCCTGCGTGCCTCTCGAAATCAAAGAACCGGACCAACCAGACACCCCTTCCAGGCTCTGAATGGAACCCCCACTGCTGGGTGTTATTCCACTTTTGCACAACAACGGCCCAGGGCCATGAGTAGAGAACAACCTAGACAGCGGCAGGCGGAGCATGGCAATCTGAAGGTCCTGGCTTTTCCCTTACGAAACGTCGAAACCCTTACTACACTAGTCAACATCTCCGTGGCCTGCCAAGCTAACGCGGCGTAAGGTTTTGGGACGATTTCGCCAAGAACCCACGCCAGGCGAAAATGCCTTACTGCATAGCTTACATGGGCACGGCACGCTACTGCTCGCGCGGTACGTGTGATTCGTTCTTGGATGTAAATGAAGCCCGGTAAACAGACCCCCTCCTTCTTCCCGGGGCGGCTCACGATCTCTGATCTAGCCGACGTCTCGGGCCCCGCAAGAGAGTGCCACAGCCCGTCCGACTATGCTATGTTAGATGACAAGAGTCTCTCAAAGGGGGAATTCGTGGAAAATAAAGCCGAAAGTCTCCCGAGCGCTTCGGACTAAATTACCACCACCAACCAATACTGACTGACGTTCAAGCCACACGTGCCCGTTGAGTTTTGTTACCGACTGAAAGGCTCAGCCCGTCAAAGGTCAAGTCATTGTCAGGCGCTGTGGACCGTTGCCCGGATTAGGTGTGACTTGCGGAGTGGCTGAACACCTCCGGGCTGGAATAATGGAAAACCAAGATCCGAATTATAGCACAGGCTGGCTTGCGTACGTCCGTAAGTCATGAGCCATGATTCTGTAGTGTAATACTCTATTTTGGGGCTAGAAACCTTCCGGGACAAGTGATAGTCTGTACGCCGGCGCCACGCCGGCGCCACGCTACCGTTCCAACGGCAGATGCGAATCCCGTTCTCTGGAGTCTGGAATTGGGACTTTGGTGGAAAAGGAACGGGAATTGCGAAGCGTATTATGGATCAGGGCGGTCGAGATTGTCCGACTACATCGTGAAACAAGTCGTGACAGGTTGCAACTCAGCGACCGTCGCTCATCAACGGAGGTGTGCCCAAGTTGGGAAGTGCTAGTCGATCCACTGAAAGGCAAAACGAGCATCACGGCTTTTGTTCTGAAGGAGCGGCATATCACAACTTGGTGCCTGGCTAGTGGATGGAAGGATGGACGACGACGGATGGGCTGGCAGGCCGGGCCGAACCAAGACGAGCGTGTGTATGTGTGTGCGCAGTATACTGTAGTATGGTATGTATGAGGGTGGCATATTTCTCATCCATCGCGGACCGTCCGTCTCCCATTCAGAGTTTGTTTCTGAATGAGTGGGTTCTCCGGGCCCGGTGGTGGATCGATCATCGTCCTGTTCTGTTGGCACTTTCCTGGCTCTTTGCCTCACGGCGCTCGCGGCTCGCCTTGCCTTGCCATGCCATGCCATGGTCCTTCAGGCTCCGGGGCCCGGAACGGCATTGGCCTTGGCGGTTGGTGATGGAGATGGGGAGAAGCAAGGCAAGGCGGAGCTGGGGTCCGTCGACAACATACGAGAACCCGGCCGGGCGAACGGTGTACTTCCCGACGCGACCCATACCGAGACGGGGACCGTTGTACTTGAGAAAGATAGGCAGGAGGCTTTACTGCGTAGGTCACTGAGTGAGATTGAGTGATAAAAGCAGCAGTATCCGTACAGCTGCAGCAAACCAGTCAGCCAACTTCAGATCCCGAAAGCTGCAAGGGGGTGCCCTAGGAGGGAAACAGAGTTTGGGATCCAAACTCTAGAGACCTTGCCTTGTTGCTGCTTCCACATGGTTATCATTTTTGGAAACCCCATCTCACTCATTGCTGACAACACCAACGTCCGACGAAAAAAGTCAGGATTCAGAAGAAAAGAAAGGGTTCACCTCCGTGGAAAATCGGGGCGAGTCAGGATTCGACGGTCCACCGGTTCCCACCTGTTCCACCGGTTGGATGCTGCCCTGGCCCTCTTTCTAGAAGACCGAGAACTTTAAATTCTGGAGAAGAAGAACTCGAGGCGGGCCCCCGGGTCGTCGAGTGGGTTGAGGGTCTAGGTGATCATGCAGACGCCTGACAAGCAGGACACACCAACAGTGACAGTGTCACACCTCCTCCGTCCTCCGTCGAGCCTTTTGCGGCACCCAGTCACACAAACACTCACACAAACGGAAGAGGCTGTGGATGCTTCCTGTTTGAGGTAAAAGGTCAGGGCCCGGTCAGGCGGCGGTGAAGCGACCACGCGAACCCACCAGCCACCTCCTTCGTCCCGTCAGAAGCGCCGTAATGGTAAACCTTCGCGCCCACCTCCTCGTATGTGGAGTCGACGACATCGTCAGTAGTCGTCGTCGTCGTCAGTCGTCGTCCCCGTAGTCCCTCTCCTCGTCCGGGGCCCACGGGGCCTCCGCGGTGGGGAAGCGAGTCGCGGAATGGAAAGGCCAGGCGAGACGACGGCACACCATCACCCTCCCGTGGCATCGTTCCGCACTCTCGTCGAGGGGTCTGGACGCCTCCATGCACTTCGGGAGATTGTGGGCGGGTCGGTATCAACGGGAGCGAGGCACATCGTCGTATCCTCTTCCCACGACACATTCGCATCATCGCGTGGTCATCCCCCAGCCCCATCAACCATCGCGAGCCCCCTTTGGTCGGCCACATTCCGTAGCCCACCACCTTCGCGTCCTTGATTTCGGTTCATGTGGTGGATATCCCACGGACTGCGTCAACTGTATAGATTTGGACATCACGGCCGGCTGGGAATCCCCTCACGGCGCCAATTCGGTGGCCAAAGGTGCCGCAGCCGAGCCATAGGTCTGATCTTTGTTGCTGGTCTGTCACAAACCGTGCCGTGAGGAGCGCGAGAGGCGACAGCAGCAACCACCAGAGGCCCCACCATTTGGATCGCGATCTCATTCTCAGGTCTTGGGAACCCTGAGTCGAGAGTCGAGAGTCGACAGTCGAGCATGATTCTCGAAGCCCAGAAGAACATCGCTAGCGCGGTCTGCAACACACGCTTGGACAGCGCGCTCTGTTCTGCCAATGGTTCTGTACCTGAACGCCGGCACCCTTCATCCGTTCCGGTCTCCAGGGATGGACGCATCCGGGACCATCATCAGGTCGCTGACTGTCGGGCATGACGTTTGGCCATACAAGACGAGCAAAACCTTGAGCATCCCACACACCCGGGAGCCACGACCAGCCATGGCCCCAGTGCGTAAACACAAATAGGGCCGTCCGTTGGTCCAGTTGCCGCGCAGTTCCGGTAGCACGTTGATTCCAGAGTCAAATTCTATCAGGCCAAGCCAAGTAACTGTATTATACACACAAATCCGCACAGAGTTTGCGAGACTCTTGGTTGCGGAGGATGATGCTGACGCTGTTCTATGAGTGAGTGGATCTATAAGCCCGTTAATTGGGAAATATGGCCGAACTGGCCGTCAATCCCGAGAAAAGGACGAGCGAAACGCTCGTTGATAATACACGACTAAAGAGGATCCCCGGTGCCCTTCCGACCCGCCGGGCGAAAGTGGAGGCTGGGCAACACGGTGACGGTCTCAAAGTTACGGAGGGCTTATTTGCTCCGCCGTTTACCGATTTGCCAGCCCCATGATCTGAGCACTTTAACAACCTTCGGTGTTACCGCCGCAGTCAAAGGCACTCTGAGGAAGATGAAACTTTTGTGAATGGCGTACGCCAGCGCAAGTTGGGTTCCCAGGCCTGCAACAAAGCAAGTTGGTGAGTTGTTCCGTCGTTTTCCCCACACAGAGAGTCTAAAAGCATCAAGGAGTGCATGAACTTACTGGCTTCTGCTCGGTTACGCGCTTGCGCCTCCTCGACTCCCCATCCCGCCATCTCGACAGTGTCGCTCATATCGTCGTTGCCGAATTGCTCGGTCTCGGCTTTCTTGAACGCCGCTCTGTAGTCGTGCCACCAAGTCTTGACCGACTCAGGTATGACTTTTTTGATATTGGACATCAACCAGTGTTCGAGCTCGCCTACGTTCCTGTTGTTAGTATTGCACAGCTCAACCGCAGCCGGGCAAGCATGTAATCTTACCAATTCTGTCCGTGCCAACGATTCGGACGAGCAGGAAACAGAAGGGAAAGTCAAGAATGCTCAACGCAAAATAAACGCCTACCGCCGACCAGCCGTACTCCTTGGAAAGCTTCTTCAGCCTTTGACTCAGCGACAACGATTCCTTGGCGGGCGTTGCGTCCGCCTTGCTCCCGTTTCTGGCGGAAAAACGAAAGCCCCGGCGCGAGGTTCGGAACATTGTTTCCAGACGAGCCGTCATCCAACTCCAGTTGTACGTGTACGCACGACGAGTCGTGAACTGCGATGCGCCCGTTGTCTTGCCTGGTGACTGCGAAGGCTTCGTTGAGAGCGGCCGCCTGGTGTTGAACTGCTGCCTCCATACAGCCTCCCATGCGCTGTGCCTCGCTGCCGGTATCGCGCGACGCGGGACGGCCGCAGTGCGCAAAGCTGGTCGCATCATGGTGCTGAGTGTTTGTGAGTGTAACGCCACTTAACCCCTAGCACTGATTGTTGCTTCCTGGAGGATACGATTGCGGGCTGCTCGACTCGACTCGAGGTAAACTGGATGTTGCGGCCGAGGATTTGAATTTTCGATGGTGAGGCGCCGAACTCGATTACGTTCGGTGGACTGAGGAATTAGTGTTGGAAGCTTGTGGAAACTCGAGGTCCGAATCGCCGTAAACTCCGGGTGGGCTGGCAGATGATGATGCCCGTCCGTATCGCTACGCCGGAAACTGCCGAAGGTCTCGCAGAGCTGGCCGAATTGATCAATTCGCCCGCAGGTCGGCTTGGTCGGATGGGTCAGAGTAGGTGTTGCTTCGGTGGCGCGCGTCCCGTGGACGCCTCGTTCCTTTGACACTGAAATGGGGAAAAAATCTGTCGAGAATATGGAGCTCTCTTCTTCCGATGAACTCCTAGCTCCAACGACGTGGGTACCTACCTAGGAAGAAATCTGAGCGGAACATGCCGATAACGCAGTGAGCTTCTCATCACGTGCGTATAAACGGAAGAGATAGCCTCCGATGGCCGACCGCACTTCGTCAGCCGGAAGTCGGCCCGAACGACGTGTGCTGATGTAAGGTGGGGTATACGTGCTTCGAGCTGCTTCTCCACGGGCAATCTGGAGCCAACAGTTGCACTTTCCACAACCAGCCACAAGCCATCAACTTTACGCCCATTACGCCTCGCGCTAATACCTACTCTACAGACGAGTCAACCCACCCCACACAGACCAGTCCGTTCATCAGACTTTTGCGCCTCGGCTGCCTTTAACGACTGGAAGATGCAGCTTATCGATTAAAGTTGTTGATTTGCAATCAAATATAAGGTGTCAACAAGCGCCGCGCTCTGTTACTTGCTTCGGATTCGCGCCAGAATGCGAGCGCTCAGTGATTTACAGCTCCCAGGAGTCTTGAGTTGGATCGATCATATGCCCCGAGTCTAAGTCTGAGTCTGAGCCTGAGCTTGAGAACTAATTTGGGCAATCTTGCAAAAGGTTCACCTGCTTCCCCTCAGGATCTCTCCGGTGCCCCACGATCTCCCTCTGGGTTGAGGGTTTCTGTGTGGGAAAGACGCCAGGGTTACGAGGCAGGGGCTCCCACTTTCGAAGCTCCCTGATGGCTTAAGCTCCGTGACACCTCGGAGCTTCAACTGGTCGGTTGCACTGCCCTCCGTCCAAAGCTTCCCAGTAGCTGTCCGTTTTCGCGACTCGCTCTGCGCCTGCGCCTGCGACTGCTGGTGCTTTGGTTTGTCGCCGCAATGCAGTATTCGGTGAGCCTGGTCGGGAGTTCATGATATTACTTCAGGAGGCAACCGAACAGAACGAAGCAAACTCTGTCGAAGTCGATGGCATCAACACTTTCAACTTTCAGGTTTTGAGCCAAACCTTGGGGAACGAATCCGTGCTGCATGCCACGGTTGTCCGGCAGGGCAGAGCAAGGCTCGGAGGGAGTCCGAAGAATTTCCAGATGGACATTCGTCGGATTTAGGTCCGATCATCATTGCCAATGGAACCCCAGCATCACCGTGGAGTCCAAACATGATTGTGTGTCATTGGGCTCCAGGCTCAAGCTCCAGCTCCAGCCTTCCCTACCTTGCGCCCAGCCTCCCGCCACAGCTCCAGCCGCCAGCTGTAGCTGCTCCGGTTGACCGACCGCCCTCCCGTCTCCGAGTGCCGGCCGGATGACAATGTGGGTTGAGTCGGGCGCTCCGGGCCTGGACGTCTTGGCCTCGAGGTTTCTTATATCACCATGGCGAACTCTGTGATCCGGATCAATACTCGCGGTTGGCAGCGTTTCAGTTCAGCCTTGTTGACCGCTTCGAGTACGACCAAAGTTTGCAGGCGACAGGTGATCACGGTGATCTCTCCGTCGAGACAGGGTAATTGGAGATATCAATAGCGCAAACTTTCTCAGAGACCCTTCAACCCCGTCCAGGGCCCGACAGAGCGCTTGCGACAACCGTGCGGGGGCCCGGCAGGCAAGCAAAAAAGGGACTTGTGATGACAAGGTTTGCGATACAAGTAGGTCAGGGATGCAAAAGTCAAAATTCCACCAAAGGGCCCGCTGGGCTGAAAGGTTGGTATGCTCTCGTGATTTGACATTACTCACAGCTTACTATTCGGTCCTTCGCCGCCTGAACGCACGATATGTCGTCGTTGTTGGTTGGCAACGGATCAAGGCCACGCCGTTCACGGCTATTTTGGACTTCATCTTGGGGCCCCCGAGCTCCTCCGAAGCGGGAACATGCACTTCGGGTCCGGTTCGCGGTTCGCGGCCGTCTCTGGAGGAGCCTGGATATCTGGGTCCCCTGATGCAATGCCACCCCACTACGGATATTTTGCTTGGCGCCAAACCTGGATCGGATACAGGTATCCTGGTGTGAGCTGACTGGCGGGAGCTGCGATAGGGGTGTGTTCCTATCCCACAGAGGTGTGGGTGGGTGTGAGCGTTTTCGAGAGAGTGTGTGCCTATGTCTTGGCACACACACCAACACACATTATGCTAGAATGGACGTTGTCTGTGTATGTGGGTGACTTGCAGACTGCGGGATCGCGATATGTTGACACAGGCACATATTCAACAGTTCGGATGATATGTTCTTTAAGGCTTCTCAACCACCACTTCGAATCTTTCGCGTGGTCACCGCGGCTATTGCGGGACCGGGTTCCTGATAGGCTTTTTCTCGAATCTTTCCTCCTTGGTCATTGTGTCTGAAGGCCTCCAAAAGCACTGTCGCCTTCATCGAGGCTCTGGAAGTTAATCCAGACCGGACACAATGCCTTGCTTGACGCATGCTGTCATGAGCCCACCAGAGGCACGTTTTGCGATTCATTGCCTGTTTTTAGCCCACCACGTTTGTTCCCGTCTTCTTTTTTTTCGGTTATTCCTATGTGCAGCATCGTCGTTGCGGTCCACATGGTGGCGGGTATCGTGCATCGTATTCGATACTTTGACGACTTGTACTCACCATCCCCCGCTTGTTCTCGATCCATGATTCCACATGGCCCCCACAGATGCCAGCCGGATAGCGCACAAGCGCCTCGATACCGTGGTAATTGTTGAAGAGCCCTTGTGCGGTTGGGACCCTTGTTGGCGAGAGGTTGCCCCGCTGGATGATGGCATCGTTGGCAGGAGTCGTCGCCGTTAATGAGGTTTTGACACAGGTAACGCGACATTGAGCCTCGTTCTTGAGTCAGGAAGCAGTTCGCAATGGATCTTTTCCCTAGGCGCGCCAACGGTTCATTCCGCGTCGTAAATTAGAAGGGCCCAGTATCCGTCGCGGCCAAGATTACCAAGCATCCCAAGCAATCGAGCAACTGTGTACGAGTATCCGTACAAAGACCCGCCGTTTGTTACGTGTCGAGACGGTCCACTTTTGTGAGCGCGGATTTCCCGTTTCAATTCATGCTGGCTAGTCTGTCAAGAAGCGTTGAATCAGCATCGACATGGGACCTGTTCGCAGAAGCCCCATATCAAACCAGAGCAAAGCACCATTGCCGAGGGAATCCCGAGCACGTCGCCTGATGACGAGAGAAGATGTTTACACACATCCACGGTTCTGTGGCTTGCAGGCCGAATAGCCAGAGTTTTTTGACATCTGACTCGTTTCACTAGGCATCGCTCAATCCAGAAAGCTTCTAGAAGGCGAGACGGGTTGTTTCAGGTACCTCGCGCTGACAAAGGAAGAGGCGAAGCCCCGGGCCGTGATACAGGAACAGAGACGGAGGGCGGCGGTGTGGGCCAGGGAGTCCCCTCGGTGGCCGGTGCTGCGGAGGTCCCAGAAGCGCAGTCCGATCTCCTGCAAGAGTCTGGATATGTTTTCTTTTTTCGTCTTTAGAGTTTGTCTACCTTTCCGTAATCGTACCACGCACAGCGGCGAAAACGGCAGTTGTGGCCAGAGGAGACAGTTTGTTTCACGTCACTTCGGGCTGAAGTTTTCTGCCCGCATGTGGCGTCAACGGAGGACCTGATGGGATGCTGTCTGCTGCCCACGATTCGCAGGTGGCTACTGGCGGACCGGGCGGGAAGAATCCCGGGATCGAAGATTCCCCACCGCTCCGTGTAGGTGATGGTGCTGGTGGTGCTGGTGGTGGTGTGCGAGAGAAACGGCATGGGCGACGTGAGAGTTAACGGAGACACACACACACACACACAAACAAATTTCAACACACAAAAGTCAAGAAAGTGTGTGTGTGCTCGGCCGTTCCTCACCCGTGATACCACGTGTGTCAACAGAGGAAGCCATACCCTGACTGACGTATGCAGGTAGGGTCATGACATATAGATGGACCTCATGACACATCGCGAGAGTGACATTTTTTTCCCTTCCCAGTACGTGACACCCCTCTTGCAAACTCAAAAATGCGGTTCACGTATCGGGCGGTGATGATACCGTCCCTATTTGCTACGTTGCTCTAGCAAGAGATCCCCTTATTCAGAAGAGCCTTGCTCCCGGTCCTCCTGTCGAACAAGCTTTCGATTTAATCAAATCAGTGTGCCAGCCCCTGGCACAACAGCATCTTTTTTTTCCCTCACCCCCTTTGCCAAGACATCGAAAGATTATCATTAGAGTAGTTTTTTCTTCTTTCGATTGAGTTGGTCCGTTGTGCGTTGGCTGGATTATATTGAATCATCTGGTGACAGAGAAATGTCTCGTCACACCAGGCGCCTGCAATTTCCCCGATCTAGAGGAAGCGGTATACGAGTTACAGTTACATGGCAACCGACTACCTCTCGAACCTTTGTCATGACACGACAGACACATGCCAGTGACGATGCCATTTCCTGTTTTGGGAGGTTCACCAGGAGCTATCATCGCTCGTTTCGGGACGTGGGGGCACGCGCTTATTGTTCCTCCCGTTCTTCCTCGGAGTTCCAGACCGCTCGGAGCTGAAGATCCTGTGGAATCTTCCAACTTCCGGACGGGGTCCGTTGTCGAGAGGTTGCCGGCCGGTAGGGCACCCAGAGCTGCGCGGAAACCGGAGCGGGATTGCGTGCAGCTGCCAAAGGTTAAGAGGGTGTGCGGCAGGCGAGAGAGAGTGTGTGTGCTGCCCCAGACAAGACATCATCATGTGTCACTCTTGATCAAAGCCCGCGAAAGCGTCTTCAAAGACCGAAAAGCTTAAAATATTGCCCATGATGCCACCACCGCCAACACAGCCTTTCCGAGTGCGACGAGAGTTACGGCGGATCGATTTCAGTTTTCCCAGTTACTCACGAACTCTCTTCTCTCCAGTGGGAAATTCCAGTTTCTACAACTCTTACACCGAGGCAATATGCGATTAGCCTTGACCTTGGGTTGCATTGCCAACTATTCAGAGTTCAGAGTTAGCAACCAGCAAACTCCGCTGCGCCACCGCAGACGGAAAACACGGGAGAGACAGAGTTGGCGAGATGGAAACTTGGTTTGTTGATGCGCTGTTGATGCGAGCAGCCTCGGCCCAGTGACACGACCTGCTTGGACCGCAGAACGCTTTACGTTCAACTGACAAGCTTCTGCGATTGTTCTTTCCTGACGCGCTTGCCTGTGTCATAGATACTGCCTCATGCCACGATAGACAACAGACGTGCGAGACGTCACGTCGATCGGGATCTTCATCCAAGGTGCCAGGGAGCAAGATAGAGTTGAGCATAGGAGGCTGGTATCCCAGAGCTATCCTGCGAGCTTTGCTGTCAGACATGCACCGGATAATCGTTTAGCACGAAGTAGGAGGGGTCAGGTGGCTGTCACTTGACCTGAAGCTGGTCGGTTCTGGAGATATTTCGTCCACGCCCCTCAAACGAGTAAGTTGTGAGCGAGGGTAGCAACGATAGCTTCATCCAAGGGCCTTAGCTGGAGGTAAGGGGGTCGACATCTCGAGGGGCAGGCAAGTGAAAGCGCACCAAGCGGCCAATGCGCGGGCAAGTGGGAAACCGTGTGGAAGGATCTGAGGTGGGAAAGGCGGCTTCGTTCCACGGCGAGCCATCGTGGTGCAAGAAGTTCGTCACAGGTCACGGTTGGCGGAACGGAGGGTACCCGGTCTTGGCACGGGTCGGGCTCGACGAAGTGTGGGCTTCGAGAACGTCGGGAACCGTTCCGTGGAAGAAGCATCATCGGATGCGGGGACAAGGAAGACCGCCGGACGCGGAGGGGGAGTCCAGCGGCAAGCGACAGCGATATGGCAAGAAGACTTTCAATAGCCGCTCACAACTGAGTCGATAGCAGACGTTGTCCCTGCCGCGAGTTGCGTGTTGGTAATATGGCATTGCTGCCCAGGGGTTGCGTCACGGTTCCGCCGAGAATAAGGACGAGGAGAGTTGGCAGCGGGCAGGCAAATGGACGTGTTGCATGGGCTTCTGGAAGCTCGAGTTGTCAGGGACTACCTGGGCTATATGCCTTAGTCAGGTTCGTGAGAGTTGACAACTCAGTCAACCCTGCAACTCTGCTGCTCTGTGCAACTACAACGTGCCCACGATTTAAAGTTGAAGATAGCGTCTCTGCACCTTGGAGATAGGCAGAGATCCACCCCGGACTACGGCGAGTTCCCGACTCAGGACATCTCCTCCCACGCGTAATATGGTCTGAAAATGACGTTACGGTGGGTAGTTGACAGCTGATTCAGAGATTGGGTATGACGCCGGTTCGTGAGTTGACGTATGTTGGTTCGGAAGTGTTTCTCTGCAAACTCGAGTTGTCTCTCGGAATGACGTTCGGGTTTTCCGAGTGTAAAGACAAGGCGGTTGTTTCTGTGATCTGCTAGTTACCTCCTTGTCGTCCCATGGATCTTTGGCTAGAGAGACTTCAACGGACAACTCGCCGCTAGTGAAGGTTAGATGAACTGGGGATAGATACTTTCCTAACGGAGAATCAACTGTTCACCCGGCTCGCGTGGAATCCACGGCGGTCAATAATAGATAAGACCGATATTACTCGCTTTCGCACCGTTTCGCCGAGAGGATGCACGATGCAGTCGGCGCCATGCCATTGTGAAAGCGTGATCTAAAATTGCATTCAGAGGGCTCTCGTCGAACAGAGCTTGAACTCTAGACGGGGCGGACAATTAGCTGAACTCGTATAGCACGATGCCCATAGCCGACAAGTCAGACGGGGCTTCAGCTCAAGAAAGGTATACGATAGTCAACGTTGTGAACCCACTCTGCCCAGCCGGCCAGGTTGGCCGACCTGTCTGACTTTCTGATACACTCTGGGTGAGATCAGGCCAAGTCTGCCAAGGCACACCGAGAACGCCCCGGTAATTTGACTATTCTGGCGTGATTATGACTTGGCTGCGACTGAGGCCTTGGTTACGCCAAAGTATGAAAGATGTGTTCTGGGAAAACGTCACGAAGTGATGTTTGGAAATTCATGCTTCAAAGTGAACTCACGATGGGGGCGTTTGCGACGTGCTCGGGTTTCGTAGAGTGTAATGAATGAACAGGGAATTGATAGAGTTTTGAAAGCGGAGAAACAACTCGTAACTGGGTGGAATTCCGACGCAAATCACTTCCCGAAGCTCGTCTCTGGGTTGCAACTGTGGACAAGAACCGTCTCATAAGAGCGGTGATGAGATACTGAGTGTTCCCGACGATCACAGCACCTTGTCTTTTCCAGGTTTTAATCAATCTGATACAAAGTCTCAACAATATTCTCCGTCAACACAACAGGGAGTCACGCGGGCTTATCAAATTGGAGCAAGGTTGCGTGAGTAATACGGTATCAAATTATTCAGAAGAGAGGAATCAAGCTAGGAGAGTTTAGTGAACCGTTCTTCATTCAATATCTTGGCAATGCTCTAATTATGAGTTGTTACATAGGGCGTGCGCGGTTGTGCTGCACTCGAATGACGAAAACGAGAACGACAACACCTTGAGCTGTTGTTTTCTTGGCTTCACAACTAACTTCGCAACTGACGTTGAGTAGTGATATTATCGTTCCACATTAAGTAAAGCGAGCCTCAGGCAATGGTGTCAATGATTGAAGCAATACGTAGGTCTCTTGACTCTCCGATGCTATGAAGTGGCTGTGGATATGGAACGGTATTTGTCTATCTGTGAAGTTAGATGAACGATTCCCACGGGTGACGAGAGAAGATGAGACAAGAAGAAATATACCAAATAGACTGTAGCCTTCATTCAAAGCCGTGCTCATCTAAACGCACGAATTTCGATCATCTTCGAGTTGCAGCTCGGTCTCGGAGTATTCCTCAGACAAGGTCGAAAAGGTAATCAAAGCTTGTGAGGTATGAAGTTGTCCAGGTAAATAACAAAATCAGCTGCGTTGCTGGTCAAGACTCGTTCAAATCCTGGACTCTCAAATAGCAATTACGCCGTTTTTTCCGTATCACCCTGGAATGGTTGAGTGAGGAAGCGCAGCATTGCACAATCGATGAGCGAAGCAATGTGGAATCAGAGTCCAAATCTCACGGAAGACGACTATCATTTGCCAATATAAATGTAAATCAAGTCTCTACCACCCTCGTGAAGCTGGGACCGCAACTACATAAAGCGATACTCGCTTCAAATACACGATCTGAGATCGACGAGGTATTCACTAGCATATATATGTCTTGGTGTTGTTCAAAAAGTGACCCTCATGATGTTCCTCAATTTTGCTGCCGCGATACCTTACACGTTGCCGCAACTCAACTTGATCCAAATCAGAGTGTCCACCAACCATCCTGCGACGTGAAGAAGATACCGACGAGTTGTAATCTAGTCGAGTCTACACGCGTTGGATGGCAAACACCCTTCAAAACCTGCCGGCTTTCACGCGCAGCATGGAATTCATGGGCAGAGTGTGCGCTTGGAGCAAAATTCAAGCTGTTTCATTCTTCCCCAGACCTACGTTCTGTCGGAGCAGACGATAGCACACATACTGTCTTTGTGGTTTTGCCATCGAGGTATCCTGACCCTATCGACTAACAAGCTCTGCCAAGTTCACGTGTACGGCATAGGCATCAGTTATCGCAAAAAGGGTATAATGATATTCAATGACTACTTGTATATAATGTCTGTATGCTATTCTTTTGTCGTTTCTACCCAAAGTCAAAACCATAAGACTGTCCGAAGGTATCCATACGAAGACCGAACGCCAGTTAAACCATGCGTGTTACTCAGTCGCCCCTTTTCCTCTTCTCTCACGCCGTGAGCTCCCTGTATGTGTTGATTTCATCAACCGGCGTTGTCTTCGTTCTCTTGTTTATGTGTTCCTCTATTGTAGCAGTAGCGCCTCGGTGTTCAGCACACCAAACAGGTTCTCTACCTCCCTCTGCACATTCTCCAACTCTTGGGCGACCTGAGCCGTGACCAAAGTGTACGCATACAACAGCGCGTAATCCTTCTCTTCGACAACGATATCGTCCTTACTGTTTCCGTTGCTATGGCCATTGCCGTTGACGCTGGGGTCATCGCCCTTGGGCGTAGACGGCTGAGTAGAAGGGTGGTGTTCTTTTCGGAATTGGTAGATCTTGCCCAGCAACCGGTCCTTGTTGCCGACCACAGACGGGATGGCGTCTGTAAGCGGGTACTCCAGCATCACCGAGCTGGCAAGCACCTGGAACACGTGGCAAATGCGGTCGCACAGCTGAGCACGCTCCGGAGCCGTGTATTCGAGCAAGGCCCGCTCGCCGTCAGATAGCTGACCGCGTCTCGACGTTACGAGTCTCATGGCGTGGAAGCCATCGAGAATCTTGCTGGTGGACTGCATGATGCGGCCGTATGCGGCATCAGGAAAAGGACCTCGAAGTTCGAATTCGCTCTTTGCGGCATTACGCAGAGCCTCAAGCTTAGAAGCTGCGGCATTGTCAGAGATGTTTGATTTTCATGGGTAAAAGTGTGCTTACCATAACGTTGCAATGCCTGCTCTTCTCCTGTCTTCATGTATGACCTGGTGTTGTCGCTTCGGAGCAAGATGGCCAAGGGGCCTCTTTTCCAGATGAGGCCGAGTTGCAGGTACAGCACGGAAAGGCCTTCTTTGAACTTCTTTCTGCCCGATATGGGCCAGATCGCTCGGCACACGAAGACACCCCAGATGATACCAAGGGTGACAGCGATGAATCTGTGGTAGCAAATCTCGAACATCATGGGATTGGCACCGCCCTCGTCATCGTCATCGTCGTCTACCTTTTGCGACAACGAGTAGGCGTAGAGAACGGTGACGTTCCAGGCCAACAACGTAATCCTACCAAACGGAGCGTTGTTCTTGACCAACATCATGTAGAAGCTAAAGAAGCTTACCATCCAGCCGAGGAAAGCAAGGACAACGCCGTTGCCTTGGCTGATACTCCACGCCACCATTGCGAATGTGACTCCGGCAATAGTCCCAATGAATCTTGCGGTACCGGTAGTGTTGGCTGCTCCGACTGTCATGGATGCGACAATCATGAAAGACAACAGTCCCCACTCGCCTCTCCAGTGTCGGTAAGTCTCTTTTGTTGCAGGCAAAAAAGCACAAGCTGCCCAAGCAGCGGCGCCGAGGCCGACCTTGACACCAAACCTGACTTGAGAGATATGTCAGCCAACATGTCGCTTCAACATGAGAACACGAACTTACTGTCATCTCGGGACAGGACTCTGAGGCAGTTGAGGACAAACTGTGAGAGCAACCGCAAAATCGTGCTCGCATTAGGTGAAGCATCCCAGCTGAAAGTGTCTCTGCGTTTTATCATGGTATCCGGAATACCTCGGGGGAGAGCGGATTTCCTGATTGCTCGCACAGGTTGCTCCATTGCATCCATGGGTTGATGTAGTAAGCGTTCGGTATCGAGGGTGTTTGGATCTGGGTCCCTTGGCTTTGCGGGGGATGAGTTCCAATATTTCCAGGGCTTGAGCCAGTTCCAACTGCGCGAGCCCATCTCCCGGGCGTACTTGAGTTCCTCAAGAGCCGTCAAGTAGGCATCAATGTCTTCGGCTACATGCTGCAGACTGAAACTGAAGTGCCCACAAGCAGCCGCGACTTCTTCAATATCAGCCTGGATCTTCTCCGACCTAGATCTTCCTAGCTCAATACTAGTGTAGAGCTCCTGAAGCGCGTTGGTCCTTGCGTTGTTGTACAATGTCATGGCATCCTGCAAACTGTGCTTAAAGTGCGGGTTGACCGTAATCTTCGAATCCGGACCAGCAGCAAAAGCCTGTTCTCTGAGGATCTCAGATAGCGTGTATGCTAAGGACTTCATCGAGGGACCCAAGAGGGCTATGAAAAGTTCAAAGATCTCCCCTGGGGAGCGGAAAGGGGGTAGAGGTGGCGGGTGTTCCGCCTCTGGGGTTGCGTCTGTATCATCGAACTCGTCCTCGGGCTCGTCATCTTCGTCGATCGACGCTAATGTAGCAAACCGATCCCGCGAGCCCTTGAGATACTGCGAGAAAGCGCGAGACAAGGTCGGCGAGTACACCGTACTGCCAGGAGATAGTTGCCCGGCCATGGGATCTTGAGGCAGCTCCTTTAGAAGACTGAACTGTGTGTTGGCCGCACTCCTCAAGCCACCAATGGCTTGGGAAAGAGACTCCAGCGACTTGACCAACGCCTTTTCCAGGATGTAGATCTTTTCACGCCCGAGAACCCAGTGTTCGAGCTTCGATTCCCTCAGACTCTTCGTCATCTTAGCATGAGTAGTCTTGTACTGTCTCGCGACTTGCGCAAAGTCACCCGACATGATTTCGCTCTCAGAGCCGTTCAAAAAGCCGCGGGTAATCATAGAAAGCATATCCGCGAGGGACACTGCACCAGCATTCAAGGAAGTGCGCAACAGTGCCCTCGCCGAGACTCTCCATATCAGGAGATTGACGGTCGCCGTAATGGTGATGCCCATAACCAACATCTTAAGAACTTGGACGATCTTGGCCTCGGAAAAGTGCCCCTCGTGAATCGCTTCCTCTCTAGTGACAACGGCAATGATGGCAATCGAGGCAAGCGTGCAGCCGACATTTACCAGGGGGTTGTTCAGCCTCTGCTTCACCCAACCAACGAAGCCCAGACCGCCGCCGATACAGAATGTCAGGATGAGGACATGCGACAACGGAATGAGCCCGAGCTTGCCTCCGACGAGGACTGAGAAGACCATGGATATAACGGATATGGTCTCGGCGTACAGTACGGCGATGGTAGCGATGGCAACAGCCTCGACCATGGAACCCCACGTCCGACTGGCGTGGAAATAGACCGTCAAAGTCGCGACGACGTGTTTTCCATCAGGCTTGCCCAAGAACGCCGACACGGGCGCGAGAAACGTTGCCAGACTGGCGAGGAGGTATGCGACGGTGCATTTCACGACACCTTTGCCTGCTGGGGAGAGCAGCCAGTCCCAGAAGCGTAGGGCGGTGGTCTTCGCGTTGTGCTTGACGATATTGAAGGACTCGCTGGTCGTTTCGGCGGTCAGGAGGGATCGGTAACCGTCTACTTCGGGCTGAGGAATCTCGATGCTCGACCCACGGAGGGAGAATTGGCGGCGGCTACGTTCGCCAGTGCCGGGGACGATGAATGTGCCATTTCGGAGCTTCTAGAGGTCGCATCGCATCGTCAGCATCAGCTCCAGCGTGCGAGAACTCTCGGCCAGGGTCTGGAGATGAATGTTCACTCACGCTCCGCTTGGAAGGCCGCCGAGGAGGCCATTGGGTATTGGTGGCCGACGAGCTCATCACGGTTGGGTGTTGCGCACCACCCAAAAGCCCAGCCGTGTTGTAGCGGTCGTGAAGTTGCGCTTGAAGCAGCTTCGCAGGAACTGTGTTATAGGATGCTCGGTATTTTTTTCAGGCTCTGGAATGACAGGAGGCGTAAACAGGAGTGGCGCCTCCGGATGGTGTACTCGTACGTAAAATATGCGAAAAATAAACAGGCGCGAGAAGCTGCACTCTCCAAAGTCACTGTCAGCTCTGCCTGACCTCTTGCCAACTGCAAAGGCGATCACTAGACAACCCAACGGCCGAGCACCCGCGACATTGGTCTGGTCTGGAACCTGAAGGAAAGTTGCGGTAGCAGCAGCTTCCCGCTGGCCGTCAGCCTGGAGAAGCTCGTCAACCATTCTGGATCCCACTGACCCATGTCACCTGCGCCGTCCAGGGTCCTGCGATGTCATAATGTCCAATCACATTGCACTTGGTTCCCACTCTGGTCCTCCATCGGTGCCGTGCCGTCTCTCTTTAGCGTGGGGTTTTTTGCGTAATGGAAGCCGCCGGAAAGATACGTACCGACACATCCACCTGGAACATATCGTCTTAGTTGGGTAAAGGCCTCATCCGCCTTCGAGATATCGCAACGTCGCAAGTCGGCATAATTTACGTTCTTCGATCAGGCAGCCGGCTCATCTTCACCTGAGATCATCTGTGATATTCAAATTCTTCCTATGAAGAGATTTATCTCCAGAATGGCTACCATCGCGCCTCGCCAGTTCGCCCCGTTAAAGGAAGGAGTCGCGGCCAACTCAAACGCCCCTCGGCTAAAAGGCATCGTCTTTGACGTCGATGGAACGCTATGGTATGTGTACACCGAGTCTCAGAGCGAGCTGTCTATCTGTTTGCCAATCTCTGCGGCATGATGCAGAAGTTTGCACAATGATCGAACGCCAAGACTCCCGTCGTCTTCAAGTTGAAGTGTTATCGCTGATAACTTGGACAGTGAACCTCAAACGTACATGTTCAAAGAGATGCGCGATGCCCTCAAAATCACAAAATCCGTCGACATTCTCGACCACATCTACGCCCTTCCGACCCCCGAAGCTCAGGATACCGCCATGGAGTCCATCCGGCAGATCGAGCGCACCGCAATGGCGTCGCAAGTCGCACAACCGGGCCTCGTCGAGCTCATGTCGTATCTCGACAGTCGCGGCGTTCGCAAGGGCATCTGCACCCGCAACTTCGATGCCCCCGTCGCCCATCTCCTTCGTAATTTCCTAGAGGGCTCCGTCTTTGAGCCCATCGTCACCCGCGACTTTCGCCCGCCGAAACCTGACCCGGCGGGCATTCTGCACATCGCAAGGAGCTGGGGGCTGCTCAAGGAGGCACCTGCCGTGGCCGAGAATGGTAATGCAGCGCAGGGGGATGGAAGTGGATTGATCATGGTTGGAGACTCGATTGATGACATGACTGCCGGCCGGCGAGCTGGTGCTGCGACAGTGCTGCTTGCAAACGATGTCAATGTGCACTTGGTCGATCACGAGCATACAGATCTGGTGATTCGGCGTCTGGATGAGTTGATTCCAATCCTTGAAGAAGGGTTTCGCAGTAGAGAGATCGAATCATCGTGAGACAATCCTTGGAATCAAGGCCAACCAACAACAACAAGCTTCGGGTTTGAGCATCGCAGAATATGTTCTGTGGAACGAAACCGAGTCACATAGGGTCGGGCCACACGGCGTTGCTGAAGCATTGGTCACTTTGTCTAGATAGCATATACGCCTACAATGAAACCGTCCTCCAAGCTTGCTAGATACATGATTCCCCGTGCGGGAATTTCACAAAATCCCTCCCATCCTGATCTTAGTTGATCGACGCCACTCTGTCCAAGCTTCTAGAGACTCAACCGTCGAGCATCTTACAACAGACGACCGAGTTTGCAAGAGGATGATATCAATACATGCGCCGGTTGATGCAGAGAAAAAAGAGCGGGATATCCTTTTGTGGCTTGACCGACTCTTCGACCGCCAGGCCTTGGTGTGAGTTCTGTCGCTGCCGTTCAGATGAATGGGTCCTCCAGTCCAATGACATTGCCTATACGTGACTTCCGACGACCTTTGCTACCGGGCTCCGGAGGACGACGAGAAGGGTAGATCGGGGCCGAGGCAAGCGGCCGTTCAATTCCTTCATCGGACGCTGGCCGGAAAGCCGTCTGCACGCTGCAGGATCTCGGACCCTGGTCGAAAGGCGATTCTAATCGTTGCAGCGAGACAGCGCGTTCTGGCGCTCTATTATGCTGTGTTTTTGCTTCGTGTACCCGGGGTTGCGCGCCGTGAGTGTGACTATAGCCTTCCTGCGACTAATTGGAAGTGCCGTTGTACACATCACTCGCGTAGCTTCTGGGAGCCGGAGGCATGCCGAAAGTGGCTTGCCTTCTGTTCTCCCGTCTGGTCTCGTCTGGTGTTCCCTTCCGAGGAGGGGCAGGAGGCAGGGGTCCTCCAGGGGCCGGGCGAACGGGCAGACTGAATGACGCAGCATTGGCGCTCACAGGACCAGCGCTGTTGGGATATTCGCCAACCTTGGGGATCGAGTTGGTGGTAACAATCCTCTGTCCCATGCCCGGATGGCCACTGGCCTGCTGACGACTGCTTGCGGCGTTGATACCGTTTCTAGTGGGGGAACGGTTGGAGTGGGCAGCTGGTTCGCGAGGTGAGATAATTCCAGCTCCTGCGATGGGAATCTCTCCTGACGTCGGCGTGTCGAGCGAGCGTTCATTGTTAGACCCACCCTGGTAGGTCGGAGAATCGCTGGAGTTGAGCAGATCGCGAGTCGCTGGAGAAAGCTGAGGAGCGAGGTGGGACTTCCGGTTATCTCTCTCCATCAGACCGACAGCCCACTCTCTCAAGTCTACAGGTGTCCTCTTGGCAGCTTGGACGAAAGGATCGCGATCCTAGAGAGTAGTTAGCGCTGGTGTCTCCAGAACACCCGGGATACAACTTACAAATAACTCTTGAGGCGTCGGTCGTTCGTCAGGGTTCTTTGACAAACACTTCTGAATCATGTCTTCCAGAATGGAGGGGAAAGCATCGCTCTTTGGTAGTCTAGGCGCAGGTTCGTGTACGATCTGCTGCAACAGATCCAAAATGCCAGCAGGCGCGCACTCGCCGTCAGAAAGCTGTTCGCTGGCGTTGAAAGGAAACTTGCCAATGGCAAGCTCCATGATGCTCAAACCGAAACTCCAGACATCCGATTTGACAGTGTACTTCTCGCCCTGAATTCGCTCGGGTGCCATGTAGGTAGATGTTCCCACAAAGGTATCCGCAACGGAGTTGATGAGTTCTCCAGACACGCCGAAATCACACAATTTGATGCTTCCTCTAGAGTTCACCAAAATGTTGGAGGGCTTGATGTCTCGGTGCATGATGTGATGCTTCGAGTAGAGGTAGGTTAGGCCGCCAAGAGTAGCCACAGCAATCTTGCCGAGGACGTCGACTCGGACTGGTCCGAAGACCTTCGATACTCGGTCCAAAGCACTGCGACGAGTTAGCTGCTGTGGTTTGCGCCATGCCGCCCGCAAACTTACCCAACGTCCATATACTCCATGCACATGATGACATCGTTGTGAGGGTTCAGGAATGCGCCGTAGAAATTCACGATGTACTCGGACGAGCAGCCGTGCATAATCTGGAGTTCGCGAACGATGCGCTTGCGCATCTCCTTCTTGGCTTCCACGTGAATAACCTAAACGCGTCAGTAACCAGTCCAGCGCTGCTCCAAATTATAAACCAACCTTGCGAGCCATGACAGTCCCGGTCAGGACATGCCTGACTTTGCTGACAGTGCCTCCATTTCCGGAACCAAGCTCCTTCAGGATCTCCAGGTCCTCTGGCCGCAAGTCGAGCTTGTACTCGATGCCAATCTCTAGCTGCGCTGACTGTTCACCTCCGTCCTTATCGCGAGGATCGTAGCCGTGTCTGCTGGTTTCGGCGGTCGGCGGGGGCTTCGGGGCAGCAGGCGTCAGGGCGAGACCTTTGACGTTCTTGCGCTTCATAGATCGGGGCGCGAAAGGGTCGGCCATGTTGGGCGATGTGGTTTCGCTCTGAAAGCTTGATTGAGGACAGATCGGAAGTAGCTGGAGTTAACCAGCAAGTGTCACAGCACAAAGGGCGTTGGCATGCCCTTTTGACGTCGGTGCGGATGTAGACCCAATTAAGAGCTACCCTGGAGGACTGGCGGAGCTTTCCTATTGCGGTTTAAAAGCTCAATAGTGGTTGAAAGCCGCGGGCATGCGTTGCGACGCAGTCGTGTAACGGTACGGCGGAGGGGTGACTCGCTCGCCGGGGGATGGCCAGATCAACTGAGTGCCTCGTGTAGCGGGGAAGCGAGTGCTTGTTCGTTGTTGCTGAGGGTATCGCGGAGATTAGGCGAGGGTCGGGAGGACGAATGACAGCGACGCTGGTGGAAGACGAACGGTGATGCTGTCGCAGACTCGCAGTGGCCGATGGGTGGGTTTTAGTATCGACAGGTGGACCGGGCCGATGGAAGGTATCCGAGGGCGATTACTGCCTGCAGAAAGGGGGAAAGAGGGGCGTAGATGGCTCGAAATTTGTCGGTGTGGTTGTCGTCGATGGTGACCCGACCCGTTTCGGCCCAGGTGGGGTTAACGGTACGGTAGGGAGACGACTCCGAGAAAGAGCGAGGGGGGAGGGGGAGGCGAGCAGGAAAGAGGCAACGTGCTCCGTGGTCGCCGGAAGGGAATAAATGAGAGACCTCGTAGAAGTGAAATGAGGTTGCTCTCGATAGGAAAATACGCGGTACGTGGGTCGGGTTTGGGTGGTGAAGAGGAGATGGAGATGGAGGGGAGGTTTGAGAAGTGATGGAGAAAAAAAAAGGATGGAAGACACAGCGAAACACACCACGGAAACAGATGCTGAAGTGAAGGGAAGAAAAAAAACACTGAACAGGTTCAGGTTCAGGTTCCGTCAGCGTCGGGCCAGGTCAAAGGGTCCCAGGTTTTGGTGTGGTTGACACAAAAACATCCGTCCAGTTAGGTGATGAGCAAAGAGAGGTACAAGTTGCAAGCGCAGGTCCAGGTGCTCTCTGGTTGGTAAAGCAGGTACCTATTCGAGGTGCAGTGCAGACGGGATGCAGCCAGAGTGAGCCACGGTCCAGTCCGGTCCCGTCCACTTATTAGTCTATCTCGTAACGTACTTAAGGTAATGTCGAGACATTGGTCCCCCAGCAGGCATGAGCGACAAATCAGCGCCCAAAAATGGTTTCGGATCACAGGGCGGCTGCTGTGTCTGTCCAAAACCAGAACCTGGCAAAGCCTTGACATCTTGGGGGCTGGGTTTTGCAATCCGCGTGTAGATGTGCAATATGGATGGACCCCTCAGCAACGGCGGAACACTTTCAACTGACGAGAGCTGTGGCTTATCGACCTACCTACCTGACCTACCTATCTGACGTCTACTTGATGCTAAGCTCAATAGCTGATGCTGCTGAGATGATGGAACGCCAAATTTCCGCCTCTAGAATCCTCATCTGCCTCAGCTGGCTGGGCAACAACTAACTTCAACTTCTGTCTCGGGTTTCCACTCATGCTGCTAACATCGCTCCCTTTCTTCACCACGACGAAATGGATGTTCCCACTAGAGAACTTAGCACCAGCTCCGACGGGCCACAGCCCAGCACTAGACCGGGCCAGTGTTTTAGAGGCGTCGAGACCCAGCCCCGGAGTACGGAATAGAGGTAACTTGACGCACGTTTTAGGGCCACAGTAGAAGCCAAACGCCTTAATCCCTAGGGGGCCTTGCAGATTCGTGGAGACACTAACGGCCATTCGCGACAGACGGGGAACATGGAATCTCTGCCCTTTTGCACGCCTCAGGGAAGTACCTCCTTACTTTAACTCCGATATTTTTTCATCTTGCGGATACAGGTACTTGGATTTCTTGCCAGAACTTCGTCAACCAATCTGTGTAAGTCGACTGATGACAGTCACACCTGCAACACATCTAAACCAGCCAGTCAGCTCGCCAGCGCCAGTAGCTCGTCTCGGATTGGGTTAAAGACACCTAGGGAACAACCCCGGCGGCATCAACCCAACTCCTACCATCTCCATCGACATCATCGCCAAGTACCTATCCCATCCTGTTGATGGGCCATGGCAAACATCCTGTAACAACGAACACAACGCAGAGAATAGAGAGAAAGAAAACAACATCGTGTGGCGCCAACGAGAAACTTTCGCCCCGTATCTCGTCTAATAATATCCCACATCGTCCATCAGAAGTATCCGTCAATGATCGCCCTACTTCAGTACCTTCATTCTTTCACATCTCCAGTCCAATCCAGTTGACGTCTCCATCACCCTCTCAACTCATCACACCAGCTTTCACACCCTCGGACAGGGGCTTGGCCGTCCGTACTATCTCTAAGCTAGGACTACCAGCCGCGTGCGATGAATCGCCTCGAGCCAACGACGAGCGAGAAGTTCCATTTCCCGCACCAGGGCCTTGAATCGCAAAACGGGCTGGTGTCTCAGTGTCTTGCCGCCCGCTCTTATTGGCCCCTCACACCCCAACCATCCTGTGCGTCTGTGTGTCTTGCCTTCTTCCCGACAGGCTCCATCAAGCTGCCCAAGCGCAAAAAAACGTGCCATCCATCGCGGGCACACGATGGACCCCATGGCTCGCTAGTTGATGTTGTCAGTAAACCGCTTCGTTGTGATGGCGCTGTCTGTGTCATGTTGATAGGCAGAACCGTAGAGTCTCAAGGGTCTTTTGTTCGACTCCCTTTGACTTGATACTTCCCAATCATGAACTCGAAACAAATTCATGGGGAATTCTTCAGTCTGAGAACCATCCCCGTCAGTCCTCCCTCAAGGCGGTCCAAAAGACGTACGGTCTATGCAGTTGAGGCCCCGGGATAAAGCGTGATAGGCAGGTCGTCCGTTTTGTACCAAGCATGTCGTCCCAAAACATTTCGTTTTCTGGAACTTTCACCGCTCGTGGCAGCAATGCTTGTCTGATATATCCGTGTTTATTGCGCGTTAGTACCTTGGCATTACAATAAGGAGAACTTGCTGACTTGAGTAAGCTCGCCAATATTCAAAATGATTCCTGTCCTTTTCGAGTCTGGACGCTGTAACCCTGCTCCTAGACACAATGTTCAGCAGAGTCATGAGCTACGCCCCTAAGCGACGGGTAGTGGATAGGTAAGCTGGGGTATCTAGTCTTCGGAAATCTAGGATTCACCAAAACCAACAAGGCAGGGGGGGTGCAGCTTGCCGCACGTGGATGTTGGTGCTGGAAAAAAGATGGCAGGTCATCGGATAAACTGATAAGATAAGAAAACATTTTCGGCGGCCGGAAAAACCACAAGTGGATTTTGGAGGCGCGAGGCTGACATTCAGATTGTCAACGAGGCGCGACCAGGGGAGGTCCAAGCTTTCAATTATTCCAAGTGCGGCGGCCACTGAATTTTGTCGGCAGGCGCATCTCTTCAGCTTTTGACGATATCCATTCAACAGTCATCTCAATTTTTCGTCTCGACGTCCTCCAATTGCGGAACTTGTCGATAGTTCTCTTCCAGGATCGAGAACAACCCGGTCACTCGGCCATCAACGACCGCATCGCGCCGCACCACCCGGCAACCACGTCGTGACCTTCGCCACGCGACTTCCCCTCTTGACAACTTCAAGATGAGCAACTCGATGCGTGATTTCGTTGACGGCGAGGCCGAGCTTGACGACGAGGATGAGGAGTCCATGGACGAAGAGCCCGTCAACCGCAGGAGGAACGTCGCCCCTGAAGATTCCTCTGAAGAAGAAGAAGACGACGACGATGAGGAGGAAGCGCGTAAGGTAAGCGCAGGGTTTCATCTCGCCCCCTAGCAGGTCGCTGACCCTTTTGAACAGATCCGCGAAGGCTTCATCGTCGACGAAGATGAAGACGAGGAAGGCGAGGAATCAGATGCCCAAGATCGGGTCGTTAAGCGGAAGCGCGAACACCGCGACAGAGAGGAAGAGGAGCAGCTGGATGAGGATGACCTGGAACTCATTGGAGAGCAAATAGAACGTCGAGCACCAGCACAGGTAAACCTCACAACGTCCTTCACTGCAGTCTTCCCAGCTGACTAGTTGTATAGCCCAAGTTCAAGCGCCTGAAACGAGGACACCGAGACGAAGATGATCGAGGCCCAGAGCGACGCGGATTGGAAGACATGTTTTCGGACGAGGACGAGGAAGCCAACGAACAAAGACCCTACGGCCGAGCGAATTATCGTACCCAAGCCGACGAGTTCGACGACTTCATTGAAGAGGACTTTCCCGAGGACGAGGATGAACGAGCGCGCCAACTTGAAGATGCTGAAGTCGCGCGACCCCGCGACAAGGGCGTGGGGGGTGTTGTAGACACCACCGGTCTGGACAAGGATGCACTCGAAGACATGGAGGCCATCTTTGGCAACGGCGAAGATTACGACTGGGCACTGCAGATGGAAGACGAGGAGGAAGATCGAGAGCGCGAAGAGCAAGCCATTGAGCTGAAGGACGTTTTCGAGCCATCGCAGCTGAAGGAGAAACTTCTGACCGACGAAGACAACCATATTCGATTCACCGACGAGCCCGAGAGATTTCAATTGGACCGGAAGCCGTTCAAGCATCTGCAAATCACTGCAGACCAGTTCAAGGAGGAGGCCCGATGGATCGCAGCCCTGATGTGGCCCAAGAAGCAGCTGCAGTCGGAACTTCATTCGCCCTTTACCAAGGCTATTGGCAAGGTTTTGGAGTTTTTCGTCGTTGACGAAGTCGAAGTTCCGTACGTTTTCCAGCACCGCAAGGATTACCTGATCCATGCCAAGAAGACGAAGAACCCCGACCATCGCGACGACCCCGATGCCCCCGAGTACATCGTTAGCGCCGACAAGCTGCTCACTCAGGACGATCTGTGGCGCATCTTAGAGCTCGACATCAAGTTTCGCTCTCTTATTGAGAAGCGAAATTCATTGGAGAAGACGTTTGAGAGCCTCAAGACTTCGGCAGCCGTCAACGACGATGTTTTGACAGACATGACTTCTCAGGCTGCGACGATGGAAGAATTGCAAGACCTCCAAGATTACATGCACTTCCAGTACACCGCTGAGTTGAAGGACCTGTCTGCAGTCAACGGAAATGGGAACCAGATGAAGCGCCCAGGGTCCAAGTCGAACTTGTTCGATCGCATGCGAAGGAGCAAGGCGGCCGCTTTTGTCCGTGCCTACGGTATCACTCCGGATCGCTTCGCCCAAAACACACTTCGAGAGGGCAACAAGGTCTTTCCGGAAGACCCTAGCCAACTTCCTGATGATCTCGCTGATTCCCTCACCGATGAACAATTTCAGACTGGAGATAGCGTCATGTATGCCGCCCGTCAAATGTACGCCGAGGAACTTTTCGTCAACCCCCGTATGAGGAAACATTTCCGAGTCAACTTCTACCAAATGGGCGAAATTAGCTGCCGGAGAACCGAGAAGGGCTTGAAGAAGATTGACGAATCGCACCCGTTCTACGAAGTCAAGTATCTCATCAACCAGACCATTGCGGACGTTGCCCGTCAGCCGGAACTGTATCTCAAGATGATGAAGGCTGAAGAGGAGGGCCTCATTGAGGTCAAACTTACCCTGGAGAACGACGACGGCTTCAAGCGTGCACTGCGCCAAGAGTTTATCTCGGACAACTACAGCGAGATCGCAGACCGCTGGAACGACGAGCGCCAGAAAGTGCTTGACCTTATCGTGCCCCGCCTTTCGAAGGTCATCGCCAAGGGTGTCAAGGAATCTCTCCGCACAGCTTGCCAAGAGGAGGTACTCAAAGCCTGCCGCGAAGAGTACTCTAAGAGGCTTGATCAGGCACCGTACAAGCCGAAGGGCATGATTCTCGGTACCGTGCCTCGCATTATCACACTCTCTAACGGTATGGGCGACCGTGAACCTACTGCTTGGGTGTCAGTTGAGGAAGACGGCCGTGTGATCGAACAGGGCAAACTTGGCAATCTTGCGCGTGATGAGGCTGCTCGTGCGGATTTTGTTGATATTGTCACCAGACGCCGCCCTGATGCCATTGGTGTTAGTGGCTGGTCCGCCGACACGCAGAAGCTGGTCAGAGACCTTGAGAGCCTAATCAGCGAAAAGGGTCTCATGGGTCCTGAGTTCGACGACCCTGATCTTGGCGAGTACAGAACTGAGCCTCTTGAGGTTATCGTCGTTAATGATGAGGTCGCTCGCCTTTACAAGGACAGCCCTCGAGCAGTCGCCGAACACCCCACTCTCAGCTCCCTCACAAGATATTGCATTGCTCTGGCACACTACATGCAGAATCCTCTCAAGGAGTATGCAGCTCTTAGCAAGGACATCACTTCGTTGGCTTTCCACCCTTGTCAAAACCTTCTACCCCAAGAGAAGCTTCTTAAGCATCTTGAATCAGCGATGGTCGATATGGTCAACCTGTGCGGTGTCAACATCAACGAGGCGGTTGGCGATTCGTACACGGCAAATCTGCTACCATATGTGTCAGGACTCGGTCCGCGAAAGGCGACCAGCGTCATCAAGGCTATCAATGCCAACGGTGGAGCTGTCGGCAGCAGAGACGAACTGGTCGGTGATCCTGATAGTGGGAAGCTGCCGGTCGTCGGTCCGAGAGTCTGGAACAACTGTGCCAGTTTTCTGTTCATTGATTACGACGCGACAAACCCTTCATCAGACCCTCTTGACAACACTCGTGTCCATCCTGAGGATTACGAACTTGGCCGCAAGATGGCAGCCGATGCTCTGGAACTTGACGAGGAAGACGTTAAGGCAGAGACAGATCACAACGGCCCCGGTGCCATCGTTCGCAAACTCTTCAAAGAGGATGAGCAGGAGAAGGTCAATGAGCTTATCCTGGAGGAGTATGCCGAGCAGCTTGAGCGCAACTACAGCCAAAGAAAGCGTGCCACTCTCGAGACCATCCGAGCAGAACTGCAGGCTCCATACGAAGAACTCCGCCGTAACTTCGCAACTCTTGGTGCAAACGAGATCTTCACCATGTTCACTGGCGAGACGAAAGATACCCTTGCCCAAGGCATGATCATTCCCGTCCTGGTTCGCATCGTGAAGGACGACTTTGCTATTGTGAAGTTGGACTGCGGCATCGAAGGTCGTATCGAGTCTCACGACGGCCCCGATGGCGTGCGAGTCAGAGGTCTGCTGTCAATCAACCAAACGATACAAGCCAAGGTCCTTGATGTGAATTACAAGGACTTTATTGCCAAGCTTTCTGCTAGAGACGCCGAGGTCAAACGTCCTTACAAGCGCCAGCTCTACCATGGGCATGGACAGTGGGATGACAGGCTCGAGGCCGCGGACAAGGAAGAGCTCCGCGAGAAAGATAAGACAACTGGTCGCACCCAAAGAGTCATCAAGCACCCCATGTTCAAGCCCTTCAACGGCTTGGAGGCGGAGCAATGGCTGGGTACTCAACCCGCCGGAGAAGTCATCATCCGTCCCTCTTCGAAGGGTAACGATCATCTGGCTATTACCTGGAAGGTCGCGGACGGTGTCTTCCAGCATGTCGACGTCTTGGAACTGCAGAAAGAGAACGAATTCTCAGTCGGCAAGCTGCTGAGAGTGGGCGGAAAGTTTACCTACAAGGATCTCGACGAACTGATCCATGAGCACATCGAGGCTATGTCTAGAAAAGTGGACGAGATGATGCAGCACGAGAAGTTTGAAAAGCGATCCAAGCCGGATCTCGGTAAGTTTCCACCCAAGTCAAGATGAGATTCGGACGAACTAACTCCAATTACAGAGAAATGGCTCACGACGTACATTGATGCCAACCCCAACCGGTCCGCCTATGCTTTCTGCATCGACACCAAGCACCCCGGCTATTTCTGGCTGTGCTTCAAGGCGAGCCGTTCATCGGGAGTCTACTCCTGGCCTGTGCGCGTGATTCCCGGCGGCTTCGAGCTGAAGAACCAGGCCTACCCCGACATGAGAGCACTCTGCAATGGCTTCAAAATCCGGTATCAGACGGAGAGCACTAAGAGGCAGAAGGGCGGTAGATAGGTTCCCCCCAACGAATCGAGAGGCTCCCATAACGGGTTCGCAAACGCCCGCGTCGCGAATATCGGCAGCTATTACTGAGCAGGACGGAGACAGGAGACGTTTAATGATGGACAGAAAACACTACAAAACAGTGGGAGAGGGACGACGAAGTTACCTGACTACGAAGGTGCCAGTGGTTTGTTTGGGACTTTTTTCATCTCTGGTGCCCAGGTTTACGTTACCTCAGGGGAGGGGTGGCGAAGAGCGGAAGATCAAGATTAAGCAGCATCCTTGTAAAATATCAACTAAAAGCTCGGGAAGTTCAGGGCTATAGATAAAAATTGGACTCAGTCAATGATGCCTTGCGAACATTCATGTGAACGCTTTATTTCTTGCTAGTAGCCGCTCTGTTGAGACGCGCAACGAGCCAGTATGGCACACGGAACGTCGGGGGCGCAGTGGTGGCTATGGAATGGTACTGAAATCGGAACGGGACTGTCGGGCTTGACTCGCTCCGAAGCCAAGTAACTTAGTAGGCGAAGGGTATGGGAAATGGCGCTGGCTTATATTGTGAGGGGTGACTTTGGACTCCATTCGTTCAACGTTTGAGAGGCCTGGTGGGATGGACATCTTATTGTCCGTTCGTCGGAGCTTCTACTCTCAAACGATTGCGAACATGGAGTTGAAGACCCCGAGGAGCTCTGAGTACTGACAATAGTCCAACCCCCCTGATTTTGTCCGGTGGTTCTCTTAAAGCCTGCTTCTTGTTACCTTTTGCACATGCATGCGGTGCAAAAAGGTGGCCGTGGACAGCGGCGGCATTCAGTTTGAGGTCATCCAAATCTGCTCTTACAGGAAGAACAATCGGACTGGGGAACCCGTGCATTCCGGCGATCTGTCCCCGTCTGCGGACCGTGCTAGTTCCACTTCATTGGCACCGATCGCCGGGGTGTAAGTCAGGCCCGGGCTCAAGTGCTCCGGCCGAATGCGACGTCCTTCCACAAATACCGATTTGGGTCATGAACAAGCGGAGCCCAAGGAGACGTGATTTAGAGTGATTCTGAATCGCCTATGCTGAAATCCTTATTTCCTGATGTACATCCTTTTGTGGTTCTCTCTGACTGTAGTTCTAATAGTAATGTCATACAAAGAGATAAGTAACAAACACCGCTGGTCTGAGGGCATTCCTACATGGACCTCCAAACAAAATACGCTATCGTTGTTCTGGCCTCGCTTCACAACTTGCTTGGCTCATCAGCCTCTTATCCTCCTCCAAGATGACTTGCTTGCTGGACATGCTGTTCATCTCGACGTCGAAGTGCGTGTGAGTGTCAAACTGCGAATACTCGCTCCGCTGGCCACGAGAGATGTTCGACGCCCCGGCATGTTTGATACGCGAGTGCTCTGAGGAAGACCCCATCAGCTTTGGCGCAATTGCTCTGAAGAACCTGCGCAACGTGGGCATGGAGCCACAGATGATGAAGAGATTCACTTCGACGAAACTGTGAAAAAGTAGTTAGCTCGATTCTTTAAGAGGCTTGTAAGAGAAAAAGAAAAGGTGGAAGTATTGGGCACGTACGACCAAACATTGGCAGGTGCAGCAACCCAACTGGTGTCATTCGTCTTGAGCAGGGGCTGGAGGTAAACCATGCGGACGACGGATGTTGTCACAGTTCTGTATACATGTTCAGTAACCGATCTAGCGAAATATCGTGAAAAGCACGGCGTATTACAAAATTCCCACCCCAAACATCAAAATCGCGTCGACCTTGACGACGCGCTGCATCTGCAGGCGCAGTACCATCGGGATCGGTATCAGAAAGAGAACGACATCCGACACAATGTTCGAAGTCGCAATCGCCATGTACAACATGGCGCTATTCAGGGGTCGGTGGGGATTGGCAACGTATGGATCCCAGTTTGCGCGGATTGGCCATGTTCCGAATAGGAGCATCGAGGCGATGACCATCGTGTAGCAAGAGACCATGACGATGCCGGTGGTTATACATCGGCGATACCAGGGCAGCGGGGAGATCTTGAGGTATGCGAAGAAGAGGGAGGCTTTCGTAGAGCCGTTGGCGCAGATGAAGACGGGGGCAACGATGTAGCTGACCTGTATCGACTCGGTCAGTTTATGTGTGTGATCTCAGTCTTGATACGAACGGTACTTACAAGAGCTTGTTTTGACCACCGATCGATGGACATTTCCCAGGTATGATGACCCAAGCCTCCCATGGCGCAGGACCCTGAGGTCGATCGGTCAGCGTGCGCCAGGAGTTTAACATGTAGATTCACAGTGCGCTTACAAGTTTGCAACGACTGCATAACGATGGAACAGGTCTTAGGATGCGGCAGTTAGTAACGTGGTTGATGTCGAAGTCATACTGTACAGTTTACATGAAAAGCCTACCCAAGCAACTAACATTAACGCTTCCGAACACAGGTCGTGTTAGTCTGGCTTGCTGAACGCAGCCTTCGTCTTTGCCTCGGACTCACCGTCATCGATCTTCGGTCCATCCGAAAACGCAAACTTTGTGTATAGCCTCTGGATCAAGCATATGAGAGCGAGTGGACCCAGGATCCCGAATACCAGGTAGTGTTCCAACACGCTCTGCCTTTGCGGGTGATCGAAATCCACCACATAGCCATCGGGAGGAGGGATCAGCGTGATCGTGCCATTCGTCACCGGGAATCTGGTCGCCATCGAGAGGCCCGCACACTCGGTACTCGGTGGCCAAGTCGTCGAGAAGGATGAACGAATAAAGAAGCGAGAAGGATGGTACAGAAGCTGCAGGGCCAAGGAAAAGCTGACGATCACAGACGAAAACCAACTCGGCTGGAGAGAGATGTCGAAGGAGCACGAATAGATCTGCAAGGCGTCTGCCCAAGACATGCACTTGGCATATTATATTCACTTCCCATGAGTTAAAACTCCCTTTCGGACATTTTTCGAGCCCGCGAACTGCCAGTCGGTTACTGGACGGTAGTATCAATATCTGGGGCAGCAAGCGGTTGAATGTTCGGGTCTCAGGTCTTGGATCTATCACACGAGAATGGTCGAAAAACACGATATTTCGCCTACAGAAGTCGTGTGAACAACTAAGAGAACATGCTTGCCGGTTTTCCTTGGCCTGCATGTCGGTGCAGTCAAACCTTGCACTGCATGAGGCAGTTCAAAATCAAGACCCTTGCCGCATGAGAAGCTGGTCGTCAAATGTTTGCTTCCTCGAAGAGAGATTATGTAGAGCGCCGCATTTCTTACCACAACCCCTGGATATGAGGGTGTGCAGGGAATTACGGCTCACCGTACCAAGCAAACAAGACTGGTCGAGAGCTTCCGGCCGGATATTGAATATCCTGAGTCCAGCCGCTTCGATTCCTACGGAGTTCTTCTCCCAATGAGGACATCACCTTTCCCAAAATGCAAAGCCACACCTGTGTCGGCCTGGACCTGAAAAGCCTTAAATGGTGAGTTACGGCACTCTCATCGTGTCAAGATTGTCCCGGATAGAAGCCAGTGACTCCTGAATCCTCTTCAGCCCACCTCCTAGTCGTTCGACTCTCGTCACATCCCCAAGTCTCTCATTGTTCTTGAGCTACCGTTTTGTCCATTCATCATGGCTCTCGTCGTCCCCTTCACGGTCACCGCCATGCTTTTCGCCAGCGGCTTGGCGATCTGCACGAGAAATGGCCTCACGCAGATGTTGACCCATGTCAAGAGACACCCGAACTTCACGCAGACCGAGTTCTGGGACTACTGGTATAACGAGCATGCGCCCAAGGTTGCTCCTCTGGCATCCCACTTCAACATCACCCGTTACCAACAGGTCAGTTGCCCAGAATCTCACTCACCATTTTACCTCCTCGATCTGTGGCATCATGTCTGAGAACTGTGGCTGACCCTTTCCACAGGTTCGAGTTGGCGGTCTTGTTCTTCCCACAGAGGCCGGGGCAACTGGGCCGGCGTCTGATGTGCCTGTTGAGTTCGACGGTGTTGCGATGTTCATGTATCGCCATGCCGAAGATCTCACTGGGATGATCTCTCACCCGTACTACACAGAGGTGGTTCTTCCCGACGAGGGTGTTTTCATCGACAAGGCTGCCTTCGGCGGCGGCCAGGTCGCTACGTACGTAGGCACGCACTTCGAGGTAGTGGAGGACACAAAGGATGTCTGGACCGGCAGCAGTGCGGATCGTGAGAAGTACCAGCAGCTCTTTGATTCGTACAACTAGATGCAAGCGGCTGGGGCTGTTGAATCTAGGGGGATGTTGTCAGGGTAGAAATGGATGGTACATCCGGGTTCGTCGCTTACATATGATTCTCCCTGTTAAAGTGGTATCAATTGCGTACCGCTGGTACCATGATTGTTGATTGAGCAAATTGCGAGCCATCATTGAGCTCGACCGTACCTTCTCGACGCGCGGTCAACCCATCTGCAGGCTCTGCGATGAGTGAGACGGCCGACTTCTGCAAAGCTGTAAGCGATGGACATGCGAGATGTAGTATCTCGGATCTGATTTCCCTCCAGAGTAGGTAAGCTCCTCGTAACTGGTCCGGCCCGAGAACGGCCCCCCCATCGTCCATGGCACTGTATGAACCGGTCTCGGACCATAGCCTTAAGAGGCTATTGCCAAGTCACCCCTGCTGCAACACCCATGAATGTTTGATTCTTACTGAGGTCGCATCCCTGGATTAGCCGCTTATCGCCCCAAAGTGGACACATAGCAGGCCGTCACCAGTGTAGTGGGTAGAATGATTCCGCGGATAGGCGGATTTGAAGTTCGGTCACGGATTATCCGTACAATGATCGGACTACTGGGTGACAACCGTTGTTGAGCCTCGATCTGTTAGATCTCGCCGCATATACCCCTGGGATGGGTTCGTTGTCGTGAGGAAGCCGGCCATGTGCTTGTGTTGGGGCCGGGGGGTGTTATCCGCAAACGAGTTGGGATTGGGTACCACGCTGCTGGTAAATTAGCATACCAGACACACATGGCTTTTACAGTCACAGTCACGGTGCGACAACAATCACACCGGTGAGGGGCGCGTGAGAGACAAATGTAACCTGGAGTTGGCGTTCATTCGTGTTCCCCTGCCTGGAGTGAATTCCGCGATGATGATTCCTCGATAAGCTCCTCCCATCCCCGAACTGGATATAATCGATCGGAGGTTGAGTGTTTGCCAGCTTTGGAGACCTCTTTTGTCTGCCCCGTTGGTGCTAACCGAAGGTGATTAACTCAATAGAGTTAACTTGGGAGAGATGATGAATCCCTGGCTCTTAGGAGAAATGAGAGAAGAGGCATTTCGGGTGAAGTCCGTTCGGAGACCACGCGCGAGAAATACAATCACTGGACTTAAGCGTGAATTAGTGTACGAGACCTCTGACCCAAGAACTTGGAATATACAAACCGTCGGAGCATGAGAGTCAAGGGCTTGGCACATACATGATAGGGTTATGCCGTTTGCCCGTCCCGTTGTGTGTTGGAAATCAGACTAGTTGAAAGCGCTTCTTGACCAACGGGGAAAGGGTAACATCTTCTCCCAAAACTTGTTGTTTCTTGTTCGTCGAGGAGTCCAGGATTGGAATTCCTGATAACGGACTCGTAATCTGGCAAAGACGAAGACTCGAGACCGTCTTTGATTCTCGACAAATGTAATTTCATTGGTCAAGCAGCTCACACTAAATAGGTCAGCTAAGAGGCATGTTCCAGGTGACTTCCATTCTGAAAGAGGTCTATCAGAGTAAGGGCACCGGGGACGACACTTTGAAATGAGTTTCTAGCCGTTTGAAAACTGAACGGTTACTTCGTTCAGGTTCATGAAATGAGCCACCTTCCAATGTCATGGCTGCATCCGCGAAGCAAATCAAAGCGACGCTGTTGAGAGCTATCGGGAGCGCTGCTGCAACTCTTAACGAGCATCACTTGGTCGTTCCGTTTGGTCTCTTGTTGTTCTTGTCAGAACTCCATGCCGACCTGTGGTAGGCAAAGTTGTTCCATACTGCTAAGTCAGTAGGAGATCAATACTTTCCTCTTGCAACGGAATGCTCTGATACCTTGACCTCTGTTGACTGCAATGGACTTTGCAATAACACGTCTGGTATATCTTTACCTCACTTGAGGCCTTCTTAATACCACTTGGGTTGAGGTCCTCTGTGCAAGGCCGGTGAATGTCATCTCGAGTTGGATGGCGTCTTGTGGAAGCCGATCAGAAAAAGTATTTCGGTAGTTCAAGCGCAAGTCTTGATGCCTCTCTTCTAGGAGCGTCCGTCAAAGGCATCAGGCCCGGATCTGAATAGCAAGAGGTGTTCGGGAAAACCCACGGGCAGTTTCCGCCGAATTGATAAGTTGCTTGTGATGATGGATCCACGAAGATTCCATTGGCCCCCGTGACTGAATGCGAGCTGCTGGCGACGCTTAACCCGTAGCTACGCATTCAAAGAGCATCTCGGTGCATAGACACTGTCGCCAGGCTTGGCCAACTCAGAATTAATGCACTCTCTTGGTTGTTAGTTGTCTATCCAAATCCTGCTTTTGCAGAACAGGACGGTCCACGATTAGTATCTATTTTCTTTTCCCTTCTTTTTCAAGCTTCTGTTCATTTTGAAAATGATTGAGCAACGGATACGTCGTCAACTTTGATAGGTTGGGTTCAGTAGCGCCGGGCCGGGGCTCTGTCGACGGAGGACCGTGAAAAAAGATTGTGGTCTTAGAGGTCTTAGACATACTGAGACAGCCGACGGTGGGAAAACAATGGCAAAAGAAAACGTGTCGAGGATGCAATACCAGCCAGGTTTGCATAAAGACGTAGGATATCTGACATGATTGTTGCTCGAAGGCTTCATGATGTTGCCATACTCGTGTTCAAGAAATTTCTAATTTTGTTAATATTTACGCTTTGTCCGGGGACACCAAAATTTTTTTTAAAAAAAAAAAAAAAAAAAAAAAAAGGCTCGAGGAGGAAGCTACGAAAAGCTCAAGGTCTTGGACGAGATTGCCACTGGGTCGATTTGGGGGAGTTGCACAAGGAAGCTTGGACCCATGGTTCCCCAGTTTAATGTGGACTTGATTGGCCTAGGTGTTTCCTAGTGGGTCTCACCAACGCCCTAAGGTACCGGCTTCCGTACGGATGCCCTGCAGCGAGGCGAAATGGATCCCAGCGTGGGGGGAGACCACTGTAAATGGATGCGCAATAGCGTCATTGCAATAGCTCATTGAGAAAGGACGAGAACCTGGAATTGAGTGGTTTTTCTTGGAAACTTCTGTCGTCTTGATGTTTCCTTCAAGAGTGTTTCCTTCCAATTGGTTTCACAGGAAAAGATCTTGCCGCTTTCACTCCAACATTGCCGGAAAATTTACGACAAACAAGCGAAGCGAGACTTGCTGAAAGCGTACCTCCATCAACAGCACGGTACCTGATTACCTTACCTACCTTGTGCTCTCACCCGGACGTTCCCTCCACCCGCTCAATAGTCGTTGCCAGCTGCAGGAACCTTGGAATATTGCTTGGTTTCGGAGACAGCTACTGCCACACATACATCCCATCCCGCATCCCGCGCTGCCCCTTGTCTCTTTCCTTCCCAGTTCGTGACCTCGTGACACGGCATTCTCAGCACACCACAATCTCCCCTCATTCTCTCACCGACACAACGCAATCACGACAGAGACGCAGCTTGGGTATTTGTTATTCTTTCCTACGAGACCCCTACAAATTGTTCTTTGGCCGACGATAATATCCTTCTACCTATCGGCCGGAGTCCTTTTTTCCAATCATTGGCAATTGACGACATCAGCTTACCCCCGCGTTTGTCGTTGGCCACCTTCTACCACTTCTTCAACCCCACCAAGGTACTCCGACCATGACATCCCCAACCCAGCGCCGCCATCGCGGCTCGACTACCGACGAGCGTGGCGTGTTCGACGATGCCAAAACCTATTACACCTCAGATGACCGCCACGCCAACCGAGCTGGTCCGCGAACGAGAACATATTCTCAGGTACGACCGACAATCCCCCCACCCTTGACCGCTTGTCCTCCGTCACAGAAGCTCCAATAAGGATGACCTAACTTGTACACAGAACAGCTTGTTCAAGCAATTCGAGCGTGTGGGACTTAGAGAACCCTTCCGTCGTGGCAGTCATGGTAAGTCTGCCTCTTGGGTTAAATCTTTCCGCATAGTGATTGCTGACGTCGAAATTCTGCAGACGAAGTTTCCAGTTCCAACCGAAAGTTTCTCATTTCAGTCGACGAGACCCTGGAGAGTCTGCAAGCTCAGGAGGATACCGACGGTAACATGCAGATTACCATTGAGGACAATGGCCCCAAGGTTTGTGCATCTCCAATCCCATCAGACCACCTAAGCTTACACCGTTGTTTAGGTTCTTTCGCTGAGAACGGCCGCTTCCGCCGGCCACAACCGATTCGATGTCCGAGGAACATACATGCTCTCCAATCTCCTGCAAGAGTTGTCGCTCGCCAAGGAATATGGCCGCAAGCAGATCATTCTCGACGAGGGTCGGTTGAACGAGAACCCCGTGAACCGCCTCTCTCGTCTCATCCGGGATCACTTCTGGGAGGGATTGACCAGAAGAATCGACGCTTCGAGTGTCGAAATTGCTGCCAAAGATCCCAAGGACTGGACAGACGATCCGCGTCCGCGCATCTACGTCCCTGTTGGCGCCCCGGAGCAGCTCGAGTTTTACACTAAGGTTGCGAAGGAGAGGCCTGAGATTCGCCTGGACGTCCAGCAGCTTCCCGAGGTTATCACCCCGGAGCTTGTTCGAGACATGAACGCCAAGCCCGGACTCCTCGCTGTTGAGATGGAGAAGATCAAGGATCCTGTGACGGGCGAGGATACCCTGAGAGGTCTCCCCTTCGTCGTTCCTGGCGGACGTTTCAATGAGCTTTACGGCTGGGACAGTTACATGGAGTCTCTGGGACTCCTGGTTAACGACAAGGTTCATTTGGCCAAGTCCATGGTGCAAAACTTCTGCTTCTGCATCCGTCACTACGGCAAGATCCTCAACGCTACCCGATCGTACTACCTTTGCCGCTCTCAGCCTCCTTTCCTCACCGACATGGCTCTCCGGGTTTACGAGAAGATCAAGCACGAGCCTGATGCCCAGGAGTTCTTGCGCACATCCATTTTGGCCGCCATCAAGGAGTACCACAGCGTCTGGGTTTCGGAGCCACGCCTGGATCCGGTCACGGGTCTTTCTCGTTACAGACCTGAGGGATTGGGTGTTCCCCCCGAGACCGAGGCCGATCACTTTGTCCACGTCCTCGAGCCGTATGCAGAGAAGCACGGTATTAGCTGGACGGAGTTCGTGCAGGCTTACAACAAGGGCGAAATCAAGGAGCCTGAGCTGGATGATTACTTCTTGCACGACCGTGCCGTTCGCGAGTCTGGCCACGACACATCCTACAGGCTCGAAAGGGTTTGTGCCGACCTTGCAACTATCGACTTGAACTCGCTGCTTTTCAAGTATGAGACAGACATCGCCCGTATCATCCGTACTGTCTTCAACGACAAGCTCGTCATTCCCGCAGAATTCGCTGTCGGACCTCTGAAGGCTGGTGAAGTGGTCACTTCTGCCATCTGGGACCGCCGTGCAAAGCGCAGAAAGCTTGCCATCGACAAGTATCTCTGGAACGAGGAAGCGGGCATGTACTTCGATTACGACACTGCTAAAAAGCAGCAGTGTACATACGAAAGCTGCACGACCTTCTGGGCCCTTTGGGCAGGTGTTGCGAACCCCAAGCAAGCCGCAGACATGGTCACGAAGGCCCTGCCGAAATTCGAGGCTCTGGGTGGTCTGTTGTCTGGAACGGAGAAGTCCCGTGGTGAAGTCAGTTTGGAGAGACCCAACCGCCAATGGGATTACCCATATGGTTGGGCTCCCCAGCAAATGCTGGCCTGGACCGGCTTGGTGCGATACAGCTTCACGGAGGAGGCAGAGCGTCTGGCTTACAAGTGGCTGTTCATGATGACGAAGGCGTTCGTCGACTACAACGGTGTAGTTGTTGAGAAGTACGACGTTACTCGACCCATCGATCCGCACAGAGTTGATGCCGAGTACGGAAACCAAGGTCTTGACTTTAAGGGAGTCGCCAAGGAAGGGTAAGTCGTTCAGCCGTCTGCCCCAATCAATGATCGAAGTACTGACAGTGACAGATTCGGATGGGTTAACGCGAGCTACGTCTATGGTCTGCAAATTGTCAACGCTCACATGCGACGTGCTCTGGGCACTCTGACCCCTTACGAGACATTCGTCAAGGCCATCGAGCTAAACAACGAGAAGTCCCTCGCGGAGCTTTCCTAAGTCGACGGGAATTGGACGGAAGAAGAGAAGCGACTTCTTCCGTGGATGCATTAGACTGGTCCAAACGGTACAGCTGCTGGCGTCAAAGTGTTCATATCGCAGGATTGATGTCGAAAGGGGTGTGAGCTGCTCTTTGGTTTTGTGCCGCGGCATTCTCAAGTCTGGAGGTTGGGTACAGGAGTCGATGGGTGATTTCGCAATGCATGGTAACGCCTTGTTTTGTATATGAAAGTCGTGCCGAAAGGCGGAGGAGCCTGAAAGATTGTCATAAAAGGCTAGACTGGCTGCGAAGCCGAACTAGATATCCGCGCAATGCGATCAATCCTAGAGAATCTGACATAGTATTTCTGAGGATTTGAGATGGGAATGAGGGGAACAGAAAACAAGATGAGTGTAAGTCGGACAACTTCCGTGAAGCTCGAGGTTCCTGAAGCTCTGTCGAGCTTGGTGGTTGGTGGCGAGGCAGGGTGGCTTGTGCCGTCAACAGGGACATGTGACTGACATGAGGACATTCGCAGCTTAGTGTTATTTCGGGTGTTCCCGTACGAACGGCTAGAGTCGCGGAGACGCAGTGTCAAGGCCGAGGCATCTTTGGAAGGTTGGAGTCGCATGGTTGGGGAAGGGTGTGACGCAAGCCACGAAGCGTGATCGGCTCCGGGAACGCCAGCGCCAATGGCAACGACTCAGCTCAATTCTTCACATGCTAGGCAACGGCTACCCCGCAAGATTTTGGTAGGGAGCTCGGTCTGTCTGGGTAGACAAGGCTTTAATCTTATCTAGGGTAATTTCACAGAATTCTCGCGACGAACAATCGACTGTTTCTACAAGAACATTCTCAAAATCATGGAGAATTCGACGCGGCTTCGAGTTTCGGGCACGGCGGGAGACGGGGTTGCAGCATCGGAATCGGCAGACGTCAATGTTGATGCTTGCAGATTATTTCCCATGGTCCGGGGACGGCAGGATGAACCTTTAGCAACATGAGCCAGCTGCTTCTCCAGCGTCTTCCCCAGGTACCGGCGGTACGGCGGGGCATGGCGGGGGACATGCAAGGAGCTTCGGTAACTCGGCCAATGACGGCAATGAGGAAGCAGCTACGTTTCGCCCCATCCGTCCCCTTTGAGCCGAATCCAGACGTCACCCCTTTCTCAGACACACACTCATGTTGCCGCCTCATCTTTAGCATTGCTTGTAGCTGACTGCGGTTGGTATGGTAAGGAGTACACGCGCGCCCACGACAACCAAGCATTCCCCCACAGAGTCAGTCATGGCCGACGGGAAGGTTAGAAGAGGTGATGTTGTACAGGGTACCTCGGCAGGATTCCGTCCTGGCCTATTTTCAGTTCCGAGGTGTTTTACCACACGGTCCTGTCTTGCCAGCAAAGAACAGCTGTAGATACGTGCTGCTCTGAGAGCTGCTCGAGTCGTTCTCACCTTCGTCCACACTGTCCATCTCCCGGTCTGGGCCTAGGTCAGAGGTACCTGCCTCGAAACAGATGTAAGACGATTGGGCCAGGAACGCCTTTTGGCCGAAGACTGCCGATGAGCGGTCATGGCTAGCTAGTGCTGCTTCTTTATTGTCATGCCTTGGCTTTGGCTTGTGACTCTTAACAGGATTGACTTTTTCTCTTTTCTTCTCCATCCCCTCCACGCATTCTTCATCTTCCTCGAACTTGATCACCATTGATCGAGTTGTGAATAGCATCATTAGTCCAGCGCTCTATCAGTCTAGGTGCTTCTGTCATACTCAAGCGACACATTCCTCTAGAAGCGTATTGTCGCCGAGTATCCTCCTGCAAATAATTCTCTGGAATAGCATCGTCTGCCCGAGAATCGAAGCTCCCATTGCCCATCATGGCTGCCAACAACATGGTCAACCCCGCCGTGGACCCCGACCGCGAAGACGAGCTCTTCCTCAAGGAGGTCGAGGAAGTCAAGCGTTGGTGGAGTGAGCCCCGATGGAGATTCACGAAGCGTACCTTCACCGCCGAGCAAATCGTTACCAAGAGAGGTCACCTGAAGGTCGACTACCCCAGCAACGCGCAATCGAAGAAGCTCTTCGACATCCTCGAGAACCGATTCAAGACCAAGGACGCCAGCTACACCTACGGCTGCTTGGAACCCACAATGGTCACCCAGATGGCCAAGTATCTCGATACCGTATACGTCTCCGGTTGGCAATCATCGTCGACCGCTTCTGCCTCTGACGAGCCTGGACCGGATCTGGCTGATTACCCATACGTGAGTTCTGGGTTTGCGACGTGCGTCGTCCCAATGAGGAATCTCTTGCTTACCCGTCCTGCAGACCACCGTGCCCAATAAGGTTGCTCATCTGTTCATGGCGCAGCTCTTCCACGACCGCAAGCAACGTCAAGAGCGCCTCAGCGTGCCGAAGGAGGCTCGAGCCAAGCTCGCCAACATTGACTATCTCAGACCTATCATTGCCGATGCCGATACTGGTCACGGCGGTCTGACGGCTGTCATGAAGCTCACCAAGCTCTTTATCGAGAAGGGTGCTGCTGGTATTCACATTGAGGACCAAGCCCCTGGCACCAAAAAGTGCGGCCATATGGCCGGTAAGGTCCTCGTCCCCATCAGCGAGCACATCAACCGCCTGGTCGCCATCCGTGCGCAAGCCGATATCATGGGCTCTAACCTTGTCGCCGTCGCTCGTACTGATGCCGAGGCCGCTACTTTGATCTCCACCAACATCGATCCTAGAGATCATGCATTCATCCTCGGTTCCACAAATCCCAACCTGCAGTCCCTGAATGATCTGATGTATGCGGCGGAGCAAGCAGGCAAGGTTGGCGACGATCTCCAGGCTATCGAGGACGCCTGGCTGAAGCAGGCAAACCTGAAGCGGTTCGATGAGGCTGTTGTCGATGCCATCAAGGCTGGACCCAACCCCAACAAGGACGAGATGGTCCGGAAATACACTACGGCCGCCAAGGGCAAGAGCAACACAGAAGCCCGTGCCATTGCCAAGGGCATTGTGGGCAGTGATGTTTACTTCGACTGGGACTCGCCCCGCACGCGCGAAGGCTACTATCGCTTGAAGGGCGGCTGCGACTGCGCCATCAACCGTGCTATTGCTTATGCCCCTTACTGCGATGCCATCTGGATGGAGAGCAAGCTTCCCGACTACAAGCAGGCGCAACAGTTCGCCGAGGGCGTGCACGCTGTTTGGCCAGAGCAGAAGTGAGTTACCTAACGAAACCTCGTGATGAAAGCGAAAGCTAATAAAACGTGCTTCAGGCTCGCCTACAACCTTTCTCCTTCCTTCAACTGGAAGACTGCGATGCCCCGCGCCGAGCAGGAGACGTACATCCGTCGCCTGGCGTCTCTCGGCTACTGCTGGCAGTTCATTACCCTTGCTGGCCTACACACCACGGCGCTCATCAGCGACAAGTTCGCCAAGGCGTACAGCAAGCAGGGCATGCGTGCGTACGGCGAGCTCGTCCAGGAGCCAGAAATGGAGTCGGGCGTCGACGTCGTGAAGCACCAGAAGTGGAGTGGTGCTACGTACGTCGACGAGCTCCAGAAGATGGTCACTGGTGGCATCAGCAGTACCGCTGCGATGGGTAAGGGTGTAACGGAGGACCAGTTCCATTAAACTTTCGTACTACGTGATGGATTATCGTACATTGGATAGGTGTAACTGTGGCAGGAAGGCTGTATGTTGGATGTGTATCTAGGCAGTATGGAATACGGTCGGTCGCATGTCAATGAGTTGTTTGCCGTTCATTCCAAGTGTTCCTTGGTTGTGCATTTCAGTACCTTGCCGAAACAAGTCCGACCCGCCCCGATGGCACCCGAGATCCACAATCCCGACCCCCGACCCCGGGCTTACGGAGGTGATCACGTCGACTCGGGCGCAGCCGGATGGATCCACAACGCAACATCACAGCTGTGAGCCGGCTCAGCGGAAGATAAGAGTTTCGAATGCCATCGATCTCCACGCCTTCACTAATAACCACGGATTGAGCTTCATTATCATCCTGCTGCAACCACCAAGGGAAAAGGCTTTCCGCCACTGATACCGTTTCCCACTGAAAATGGTCCAAAGGGGTCGGTCTGTCTGCTCTAGAACAAACATTGAAAGTCACAGCATCTCCTTTTCGTTCCCATTGTTGTTGTGGTGGACAGATTTAGCGACGTGGTCAGGTCAGTGACAAAATCGGCGTATCGATGTATTCTTTTTCCAGGCTAGGTCAATTCAATGTGCTGTCGCCACTTCGCGGCTCAGCGATATTGCTCGGAGACATCGCCCAACGCGGGACCGCGCTGGATGCCGAGAAATCTGCTGGCGTAGGTGAGCCTGTCGGCGTAGGTCAGACAGATCCCGCTCTTGATGCCGGCATGCAGCGTGTGCCCGTCGAGCTCGGACAAGGCGTTCGCGGCCAGAGATCCGTTGTCGAACTGGACAAAGCCCCTGGAACCCTTCGATAAGGGCAGGAAAGAGAGGCCCCTGTAGCCTTACTGCGTGGAGAACAGGGTCTTCTAACCCTCCTCTGGTGTGTGGGATGGGAGGTTGCTGATATCCAGTTCCAGTTCGTAGTCGAACCGGTTCGGCGACGGGACGGGCTGTTTGGATTTATACGAGGAGCTCGCGTCCTTGGGCGCAGCCGACTTTAATGTATTGAACCATTGCCAAAACTTTCGTCGTGCTGGCTTCAGACGGTCTGGAGGCGGGGACCTCTTCTGGTCGGGTCGCTTTAAGGATGGAACGGAGCCACGGTTGGGCGCATCCGACTGTTCCCGAAGATTGCGTCGTATCGTCTCTAGATCATGTTTATCCAAACGGACAGAATGACCTCCAGTGTCCATATATCCCACCTCTTCGAGTTCGCTCCCCTCTCTAGAGAAAGACGCAATTCTGTCTATTTCGCCCTGCGGGTCATCAGAAATAGGAGGCCATCCACTACCATCATACAGGCTAGGATCCACGAACAATAGTCCCCCGGACGTCGCTGATCGCGGAAGGTGCGTGTACGCGATTGCGTCGGACGAAGGAGGGATCATAGGAGGGCGGTTCAATGTCCCAAGTTGATTCGTTTCCTTGGGTATTGCAGAAGCTGCCACCTGCTCCTGGTGCTCCGCCACATGCTCCTTGAAGTCGCCCGCACACACCCGAATCGGCGAGGCATGCTCAGCTATCCGTGCTTTCGGCCCAGTCATCAAAAAACGGACAAGCGTCGGCGGGGAATGTTTCTGGCGTTTCTTGTCCTGCGCCTTCGAGCGCTTGTAGCTGATGCTCAGGAAACGATCCATGTTGCGCGAGGATGTGACGTCGAACTTCGGGCTTGGAGGCAAACTGGCCGCGGTTGCACAAAACATATGTAAAGCTAGCCCAGTGATTCTGTATCTCGTGTTGGAACCAGGCATCGCGGCTTCCGAAGAACTCATAGTCGCAGACCTGGTCGCCCGAAAGACAGACGTACGCCTTGAGATCATGGAAAGCATAGGCTCCGCTCCACTGTTAGATGCGACTAGCTGATAATTCAAACAAAAATTACCTCCAGTCGCTCTCTTGCCCAAATTTTTGGGGTTCATAGCAAATAGGACACTCGAATGTATCCGAGTCTGGGGATAGGTCTGTCAACGTGGGCAAGGAGATGGCGGCCTGGGTTTCGGTTGTCAAGGAACCAATGCTTTTCGGGCTTCTCTTCAATGATCTCGATGGTTGAATTTTGAGTTTATAGGTGCCCTGCGAGCCTGGTGTTGGAAACAAATCCAATGGTTGTCTCTCGAGGCCAGGTTCGAAAGCCGCTGAAACCTTTCTTGGTAGAGCCTTGTAATTCTTGGCTGTGGGATGCCTTCCTTTCCTGCACTGCTTGATAAATTGCCTTCGTTTGGCCGTGGCCCGTCCCAACCTCAATGATAACCTGGCTGATGGTCTCGTTGACGGCCCACTGGCTGGATCTTGTTTGAGGCTCGGGTACGCCTTGCGAACCTGGTCGATATCGAACGATGCGTCAACATTTGGGTCGAACGTGATGGACGCGCGCGCGAGTTTAGGAGACGTGTTCGTTTTCTCGGCCAACAATGCCAATCGAAACAGGGACTTGATAGATTGGGTCAAGATCTCCAAAATGACACAGGCATCGTCGACCTCGACGGGCTCCGATCCACTGGACTCCGCATCTCGGGATTCGGTGAAGACAGGCGCGGCCACCACGGAGGTCCCTGCATTATTAGTCTCATCGACTGCGGCTTCTCGAGGTATGCCGATCTGGACGAGTATTGAAGATACTGTAACTCAGGTCAGACAAACTCGAATCCCAGTTGCTCGTAACTCACAGTCCAGTACTGCGTCTCGTAAATCATCCAGTTGACGACCGATCTCATCTAGAATCTCTTTGGTCCCTGAGGAGCAATGACCTGGTGGTTCTGTTGAATCTGATAGCTGCAAATCCGATGACTTTGAAGCTCCGAAAGTTCCGTCCCACAAGAGAAATCGTTCTTGAATGTCTACAACTGCTGAAATGCTGATCGGGACCGTAACTCTAGGTCGAGAACGCCTTGCCTGGTCCACTACTTGAAGTAATCCGGAATGGATTTCTGCGGCTGCTTGGGCAAAGTTATTGCCCAAGAGCATCTTAGCAATTAATCAAGATAATGGACAGTTGCTGGTCAAAATTCAGGAAGCCTTGGTTGTAGCTCGTTGCATGGCGACTGCGGTATGTCAGCGATTGATATCATCAAGAGGCTCACCATCAATAAGATTATAGCCATCTCTCAGTCTATCCAGAAAGAACGGGTTCAATAAAGCACCCCGCGAGGGGTCTCTCACGTGCCAGCTTCCGATTGGGCTGACTTGCATGAGTAGGCGAGGTTTGCATAGAGCAGGCTGAGCTTCAAGTTCCTAGAACCTCTACCGCAGCTCCTTCGAACAGAACTTTGCCCACAGCAACCCCTTCGCATCATAGCTCTGAAGCCTCTTGTTGTACGACACGATGTCCGGTTTTGAGATTGCTGGCCTTGTCTTCGGCGCCATCCCGATAGCAATCTCTGCGCTCGAGAAGTACGAGAAGCTCGCAAGGCGGCTCGGTCTCTTTTTCAAGATTCGGCTGGAATACAAAAAGTGTCATGATCGCTTGTGGTACTTCCAGCTAGCTTTGACAAGACATCTGAGACAATTGATACTTCCCCTGGTCGCTGATGATGATCTTGCCGAACAACTTTTCTCGAATCCCGGAGGCGACGAGTGGAAGGATCCATCCATTTCGGGACTTCTAGAACAGCGGCTGCAGGAGTCATATGTGCTATATCTGGATTACATCCGAGGAATGAATCGGACGATGGGGGAGCTGAACCAAGACCTGCTCATTGATTCAAAAGGTGTGCTCGAGCAGCTGAGTCGCGATGGAAGTCGGCGGTGTGCGCAGTTGTTAGCGAGATGATTAACGCGCGCAGGAGGGCGAATCCGGGACATCTCGCTTGAAGAAGGCCGCGGCAACATCAGAGAGCCGTGTATTCCAGCTATATCGACTCAAATTCAGTAGCAACGAGGTGAGAAGAAACAGACTCTTCGCTGATCTCGACGAGTACTGCAACAAGCTGGAAAGGCTGTTGGATTCCAGTGACAAAGACACCGAACTCGTTCAAAAGAGGTCAGCTTTGAAGCAGACTATGGCTATTGACGTAGCCGTATGTAACTTTTGGATCAATGCCTCCAAACTATTCAGAGCGCTTGCGACTTCGTGGAATTGCTGTTGTCACGAGCAGCACTGTGCGCAGCTACAGCTTCAACACCGAACGAACGTGGCACCTGACTTCCTCATCGCGTTCGGTGCGCCAGTGTCGTCGAGCTGGGAACTCCGAAACACGCGCATATCCGCGGATCTGAATAATGGAGCGGCAACTTCTCAAGTCCTCGACAGCGTACCGATTCGTCAACTGCCTCGACACCAAACCTCCGGGGCGAAGAAAACGACCGCGGGCCGCGAGGGCGGAGTCAAGTTATCATCGTGCGTCTCGCTTGAAGAAACTCAGCTGGCCGTCTTTTGGGCAAATGCTAATTGCACGCAGACAAGCAACGACTTATGTGACGATGACTGCAACAAGAAGGGGACCAACGTCATCGTCAACGGTCCTTCCGCCAACAACAGCACACAGCCAACTGATTTCGGATCTTTGTGCTTCTCTCGGGCACGCCAATGGCCCTTGCTATGGCTACGTAACTGGAAAAGATTGTCAGTTTCTCATTTTCAAGGATTGCGATGCAATTGACGTGCAGTCAAAGACTGTGACACTAGAGCAAGTCCTTCAACGCGAGGCAGGAGCCAGTCTGTCGCGACAGGAGCGTTACTCATTGTCTCTCGTTCTCGCATCGTCGGTACTGCAACTCTTGGATTCCCCCTGGTTGCCTAGGCCATTGAAGAAATCGAAAGTGTTATTCTCAAGTGATCCGGGTAAGACAGACAGATATCGCTTGGATCGGCCACACGTTCGGCGAAGCTTCGCTGGATTGGGGGTTGATTCGATGGAATCCAGCTTCAACCAATCACTAGACCATCTTGGAATCATTTTGCCCGAGCTCTGCTTCGGAGATGTTCTTGAAAACCAGCGTTACCGGAGGAATTGGCCGACGGGGGAGAACGACATGACGAGAGCAGCATTCGATGTCATGGCAGCCCGAGACTGGCAGTGCGAAGTTATAGAAGAAGCCGGGCCCGACTACTCAGAGGCTGTTGCTTGGTGCTTGGGAGGCAATCGCAGCGTTCCGCCAGACCAGTGGAGGCAGGAGATGTTGCAGAAAGTCGTTCAGCCGTTGCAACGGTGCGTGGACTATCTCACCAAGCGCCCATGAGGGAGTGGTCCTCCGAAGCCCTCATAACGGTGCTTATCCAGCAAGAGGGAAGAAGAGTGATACAGAAGCATTAGCAACGTTGATGATTGGCGGGATCTAATGCTTCGAGGCGGGACGTCCTTTGCGTTCGTCTGGTTCTGACGGTCAACAGTCCGTACCGAAACCGTGCGGAAGGAGCGGGATTTTGAGGCGAGCGAGGGCTTCCGGGTTGTCTGGGTTCTCTGCAAGAAGCAGGCTTCTCATGCGAATTCGAGATTGCCATGCCGCACCATGGCATTTCCTTCCGACGAAGGATAATCTTGCGTGCCTCGTGTTATCTGTTGTCGGCGGGTCGATTAGACCGGTCCAGACTCCGAAGGCCTTGACCGCCGGCGAAAGTGATTTGATTAAGGTAGAGTGTGGTGAGAGTGTGGTGTCGGATCGCTTCAGAAGGAAGGACTGCTGACACCAGCACCAGTTGGGATGGACTGCGACCCCTCTTTCCTTTGGGTGCCGGGGCCTTGGGAAGGCATAGCCAGGTGCCAGATACCTACCGGGTAACATCTCTCAGCCAAATAAAACTCGACGAAAGCAGTATACACGAGTTAAACTGAGATAGAAATCAGAACCTGAACAATATAACTTTAGCATGTAAAGTGCACCGCTGACACCTAGTGTCAGGTAAGTGAATCGTCCCATTTTCCACTCACTCCATGTGGGAATAAGTCCGTTCGGCATGTCAGAGCCTGGCTAGGCAGGTCTACCACACTATTGCCGCTGAATACCTAAGGTAAGGTAGGTAGGTACCTACCTTAAGGTAAGCCCGGTAATGGAAGGTAGGTAGCGTCGCACAGCGCCCTAGCACACCATGCCGTCGCGGAGTGGCCTCCGACCTTGGTCCAAATGGCAAACAGCTCGGCCCATGGCGGTCTAGACCACAGCCAATCCGACTGGCAGGGTTGCCCAGCCTCCACCTCCTCAGCTTCTTCATTCTTCGCTTCAGCTCTACAGCCCAATCAACTTGCCGCCGGAGAGGGCACTTTCAATCGCCTCGCTTCCAACTGACTACTGGCGCCACTCTGGAACAACACCGACCCTGCATCGTGGGGGATCGAGATCCGAATCTCAAGTACATGGGTTACTTATCATCTGGCCGACTTCCTTTTTGCCTCCCAAAGACTCGACCTCGACCTCGACCGCCACATATCCGTACCTCCCCACCATCCAACCATCTAATCTGCATGCCCTAGACCGACCCTCGACCATCGCGACAACCATCCGCACTGCGGCGGGCTTGCGTCGTCGTCTGCCTCGAGCCTTCTGCCTTCCCTCACCTCTTACTCTCACTACAACTTGAGGCCCGACAACGCTTTTCAGAGCGGAGGCCCCATCGGTCTGTCGGCTTACCCTCATCATAAGTCGTCTCATCTATCATCAACTGCGGCCGGCATTCTGAGTTGCAATCCGCGGCCATCCTGCGCGCCGCTTTCGCCGCAAGTCTCTATCATCCCGCTCCTGAACCCAAAGACCGCACTCCGTACCGGCTCCCGGTGAAGCCTTCACGCCCCAACGTCGGCCATGGCATTGTCACCCGGCAGCATTGTCCCGGCTCAGCTTGGCTTCCTCGCCATCTTCAACCCGTCTTTGGGAAACACGGATGAGACCCTCGATGACCAAATCGTCTATTATGCGTCAGTGAGCACCCAGCGACAGAAACGTCGTCATCGCTCGCGCAGCAAGCCGACCGAGAACGTCTCTCAGGAAGACCGCAATGAACGCCTTCGTCAGATCGGCCTTGCCCAGGGCATGGTCGAATTCAGCAAAAGTTTCTCTGGCGGTCAGCCCGTCGATTCCATAGACACCGAGAAATCGCGTGTTGTCCTCCACGAGCTGGAGCAGGGTTGGTGGATTCTTGCTGTATGCCTAATCGCACTCCCTACAATCTGTCAAGTTGCTGACGCCTTATAGTCCATCGATTTGACTCGCATTCCTCTCCCGCCAAAGTTACAGACCGGAAAGGCTCAGGAAACGCCAGATGAGGTTGTCGAGTATTCTTCTAAGGAGATTAAACCGGCCTCTCTACTGCTGCAAGACCTGCTCCGCGCCCACTCGGTCTTTCTGCTCCACCATGGCACCTCACTTAGTGCCCTTTTCGTACGGTCTCGCAGGAGCAGGTTTCTCAGTCTTCTTGGCCGGTACTGGGATCTCTTCTTGTCGACATGGAACGTTATGCTACAGGGCAACCCGGCACGCACCATTTTCTCTGGCATCAACGTCGCCGCTTCTGGCGAGCTAGGTATTGGTGTCGGCGAAGAAGAGCGTGGGAGCGGAGAGCGCGAGGTCCTGGAAGGCCTCGTTGGGAGAATTGACGGCCTTGTCGACCTCGTCGTGTCCAAATTCGGAAATGTTGACGCCGATGGCCAAGTCAAAGACGGTAAGGAGCCTCGGAAAACGTGGTTGGGCACAGGTCAAGATCCTGGTCCCGAGGACGGCGCAATTTTCCTGGGAACTGGGGCCTTGTCTCGGAAATCCGTGCGTGATGTAGCACACTGGATGGAAGATCTCTATACGTGGGGTGAGAACGCCTATGGTGTCATTGACAGCCCGACTGCTGTCCGTCGCTCTAGAAAGGGTAAGAAGACTTCATCCACGCCGGGACAACAACAACATCAGGAAGCGAAACCATCCCCGCGACCACCTGTCCGACCAAATGCTAATCGGTCCGACTCTGGCTCTGGATCTGGAGGAAGCTCTCGGTCTACGAGGACACTCGCAGAGCGACGTGGTCAAGAAATAGGCACCGTGGAAGAGGCCAAGCAACCTGGCTCTAGCAAGGAGAATGCCACGCCGCCATCACAGGATGAAAGTGACGGGCATTTGGACAAGCTCATGACGGTTATGAAGCTTGGCTACGGCACGTACTGGTCCATCGGTAAATCTGACGCAACCTCTTCTGTGGACAAGACCGAAATTTCTGCTCTTGCTGCTCATCAGACCGGGGAGACATCTAAGAATCCTTTCGGCAAAGCACCAAAACCCAAAGAGATGGACGATGATGTGGGTCACTTTCTGATCGGGCTGATGGGCGATGTTGAAGAAAGTGGCGGTAGTGAAAATGACGAAGCCAGGGAGGCGGATGACCCCGAGGCTCTGGAGTCGAATTCCCGTACCATGCTCCGCACCGTCCATGTCGAACTTGAGAAGACGGGAACAAACCGAGCGGAGGCGGACGTCGTGAAAGACCTTGGCAGCTTGACGAACGAAATCACGCCTCTCGGAGCCAACGCCGTCAGCTCGAATCCTCTGTTCGGAAACCAGGACTCCAACAAAGCGAGCAAGCTTCGCGTTGTGGTTTACATCAGCAAGCCCTTCATCTTCACCTTCCTATTCGAGTTAAGGACCGACTCGCTGGCTTGGAGTACCTTTTATAAGTCTCTGCATCATCAACTTTTGCCGCTTCGTAAGCCCCTTTTGTCGTCTATTCAATACCGGCCAGAACGGCCAGACTTCGGCTCAGCCGCAGGGACTATCTATGATCTCGTGTGGGACGCCGAGGCCATGACAGTTCACTCATCCATACCCAATATACCCGACCACTCGCAGGTTTGGCAACCCAACGCACAGCCGGCATGGTCCCGTGTTGAGGCAATGAATACCCACATGCAGCTCCTCAACATATTTAACATAACGCGGACGGAGATGACTGAGGTTGAGCGCACCTGCAAGACAAACCGCGGGTGGTGGGTCGTCTGGCAACGTATTCTAGAACGCCCGGCGGCGGCACCAGTCAATGAGCCCTCGCCCGAGATTGAGGAGGAACAGAACCAGCAGCCCTCAGAGAGCGAGATTTCTTTACCGACGACGAGATCAGGCTCGAGCACGCAGCTGGCCAAAAAGTCGCCTGGGCCTGCGCCGACGGTTAGTAAGGAGATTTTCCTGATCCGCAGGGCCAGCGACCACGCCGGATACCGGGGCGTGAGCTCGTCGTACGCCGAGGGCGGAGCGGGGTGGGGCGACGGCGCGGGCCGTCTCGCCTCGGGGATTGGCATCGATACCCGTAGATACATTGAGGGGTTGTTGAACTTTAGCCGGTAGTTTTCCGCCAAGGAAACGAGGGCACCAAGGAGAAGAAGAAGAAACATAGACTATGCGCGGGAAAAGCAGGCAACATCAGAGAGGAGTTCGTGAGTCGATGCCAACAATTCGTTGCAACATGATCGAGGCAGCCATTGCTATTATCAATGACTAGAGGACGTTTTCATTTTCCCCATTCGCTGATCCCAGATGTCATTGTACCCGTATTTACGTGGGCATTGCCAAGCTTTACCGGATCCCAACGCTAAACAGTAATGTTGGAAGTAAAGCTCGCCTACCTACCTATGGAGTTGAGGACTCAACGTGACTTGGACAACCCTTCTCCCCCTCTCTCTGAGGGAGACCTCCAGAACCATCCGCTCGCCTGGCAGCCTAACAGGCACATGAACCACAAGCTATAATTGCCCATCTCGGGGCAACCTCCGCAGGATCTAAAGTAGTCTGCGATAGCGGAGCTAATGATGATGCTTCGTGCGTTTTCAGCGTAGTTATCGAGCTGGCCACGCGAGACAATGACAACGAACTATTTTCTACGTCATAAACTTAATACTGCGGGTGATGGGTCCAGAGAAGCGTGCTATGTTTGCTCCAGTCTCGCCTATCGAGCGCTGTCGCGGCAGAGGATTCGCCAACTCTGGGTTTCTGCTTGGCCCGGAACTAGCAATCAATGTGAATCGGGTTCCCTGTCGACGCAATCGTGCGCTGGCAGGACATATCATTAGGACGAAAGAGTGCTTTATAAGACTTGTTAAACGATGGTCTTTTTGAATGACGGGACTCGATGATGCGTTCTTGGGCATTCTGTACGTGTCTCAACGGGGTTGTACACCAGAAATTCATGTAGACACGCGGACGCGCTTGATGTTTTCCTCATAAGTCAACGTATACAGTCTCATTGTCAGAAGCCTCTGCGCTGGGCTTTGGTGGAAGCTAGTGAAAGCACTAATTACGTGGCCAACCTAGTTCACCTGCGCGGAAAGGAAAGCGATATCGCAGGATAGCCTCGTGTCTATTCTCGTAGTTCGAATATCGCTTTGGATATGGTTTCTGAGTGTTATGTCGTGGGAAATATCTGCAAGAGTCGCTTATGAACCACGTCCGCGATTTGGCAACGAAGCGTACCTGGAGGGTTGGTGTTAGACACCAACCAGTTAGTCTGTATATGCGGTCAACTTGGAATCACTCCTTTGCCAGAGAAACGATACTCATCCCACCACTTCAACTTTGCACAACACTGGATGTAACGTGCTGATGACCTGGATTTTCTCTAACAACTGTCTCATCACTCACTACCCCCTCGAAACACTCCACGACGATCATCATGGGCTTGATAAAGGTACAGTAGCCAGCCCAAGCTGGGTGGTCGTTGCGGAGTACTTCGAAACCGTACGGAGTGATTTGTATGCTACGATAGGTATTGACAACTGCGGGCTATGGGCTGAGTCGTGATCTTATGGAAGAAGTTGCTGAGGGTTTGATTGAGGCGTACAAGGCAAAGACGCTAAGAACGTTGCTGACGAGGCTTGCCCATGATTGGTGTCGTAGTGAACTATCGGAATCAAAACTTATTCAGCAGTTCAGTCTCCCTCAGCTACACCATTATTCAGTTGAAGGGAGACGTGCTGCGTAGGTTCGAACTTCGTCGCGCAAGCAACAGGATTGGTGTGCGGGTAGCTTTCTTCAGGGCGCAGCAAGCAGCCGCGCACTCTGACGAGTCGCAGCTGGAAAGCCTCTTTCGCGACGCGTGAGGTCAATATGAAAGAGGGCGCGCGCAGACGCGGGATATGCTGGCTCATGTTCGTTTCACCGAGGTCAGCGCCCAAGGTTTGATAGGGCGACGTCGATCGCGACGGGGGTGCAGATGGGTGGCAGTGGATGTTTCTTCCAGGGTTGCTGGGCCAGATTGTGTTTGGCAGCGAATCGCCGGGAGGGTTGGGCGATTTGCTGCGGTTGCTGCAGGGGGCGAGAGGGTGCAAAGGGTGCAAGAGGGGCATTCCGGAGCAGGTGAACCCGGGAGGAAGGGACAAGGAGGGGCCGACAAGGCAGAGAATCCAGAGGAAGATGGAGGGGGACTGCGAGGCTCTTCACCTGCCAACCAGCATCACCCCACCGGCAGGGGAGAACTTGACAGGCCAGAGACGTGGAAGACGCAGCCGGGCAGGGTTCAACAATAAAAAAACTTCTTTTCCCCGTTCGAGGCCTTGTAAATGGAGGAACGAACCCTGCAGCTGCAAACAGAGCCACAATTGGACCTCGATTTCTCGGGCACGTCGGGAGAGGCGCCAGCGGAAACGTACCACCATCTTTTTTCTATCTGTAATTCCGATAAGTTCCAGCTTGTTGAGCTGTTTCTGCGAAGGCCTAGTTTCATTTCATTTTTGCTGGATGAGAGTCAATGAGGGAATGAATGACGGTAGCAGATGCCTGGCGACCGAACGCGTCCTGTCCAAGCTTCTTAGTGGCAGCATCGGGGGCTTCTTGGACCCTTGGATGATGCCATTGGACATCCTTGGACATCTCTAGGCCCTGCGGGAGCGCTCGAGCAGACACGGAAAGAAATGAATACGTACCGGTCGTGCCGCCCGCCCGCCCTTGTAATAGTAGAGGCAAAGAGGTCACCTTCTGGACGCACGTATTGGCTGGTGAGGTCATAGTGCCCGCAAGTGCCGATCGCCATGGTCGACGGAAAACATCGAAGTTCCGCGCTCTTGCGCCGCGCAGGCAGGTCGCAAGTCGCAGTTCGCAGTCGCAGGTCGCAGTTCACGCGCCCAAAAATGTCCATGTCCTTGCTTGCCTTTGTACACTGAGGTGTAAGGTAGTCCCTCGGCGCTCCCTCCCTCCACTGCCTACGGGCGAGCTTGTCACCTCTGAAGTAAAGTAGTCTGATGAAGTCGGGGAAGTGGTGTCTTAACATCTGGGTCGTTACCTCCGGCCGTCGAGTCCATGTCCATTCCATCCCACCCTTCCCAGTTATTAAAGATACCCATGCCTGCTCTTGCTTCCTTCCCACGCGACTCTACTCACCCGACAACCAGATCAACCAACCCAGGCTTTGTCTTATTTGCCGCACGCCCACCCTGCCACATCTCGCTCCGCGTTCTACCTTACCTAGACTCCTCGACTCCTGTCTTCCTGCACAACACTCACACACAGACATAGTCAAAGATATTCTCTTGCTTGTTCTGTGACACTGTTCTTGGATCATCATCAACCACCAGTCACGCCACCTACAGCTTCGAGCTACACCCGCGCATAAAATCTTCAACGTCACCATCATACCACGCACTTCCTAGAAGCATTTGTGCTCCTAGCAACCAATTCTTCGACAATCGAACGAACCCTATCTTACACAACTCCACGATCAGGCCCACCAGCTGCCCAATATGATGGAATCGATCCTCAAGGTAGCCATCCGTGGCCTACAGATCCTCTGGGTCCTGCTCGTCACAGCGCTGATCGGCAATGTCATTGCCCTGAACATCAACGGTGCTGGCTCAGCCATGGCCGCCATCAACTTCACCATGTTCGTCGCTGTCGTCTGCTGGCTCGCTGCTCTCTACGGTCTGGCTACCGCATTCATCACGGGCCTTGCCATTCCTCTCGTCATGCTGGCACTCGACGGCGCCGCTCTGCTCTTCACTTTCATCGACAGCATCGTGTTGTCTGCCAAGCTGCGCGTTGTCAACTGCGGTTCGCTCGACGGCCGCGACCATCCTGGTGACTACATCGTCTGGGGCTCGGCCAACGACGAGAAGCGCTGCCGTGAGATCCAGGCCAGCACAGTCTTCATGTGGTTCCTGTTCGCCAGCTTCTGCGCAGGAGCCTTCTTCACCTTCATGGACTTCCGCCGGGGCGGTGGTGGCTCCATCCGCAGCTCAAGACCCTCAATGGCCCAGGTCGGCGCTTAAGTCAATGTGCTGTCAGCGCAACACACACTCCTCATTCTCTGTTTTCAAAAAATACCTGCCTAGCATCCACCTAGGGTGCGGCGACTGGGTCAGACATGCAGCTTTCACGACTGGTCATGGATTAGCTGCTGGGTTCTGACGGCGTTGGTGGCAGGCTGCAATTCTACTTTACCTTTCACGATGGCATGTAGTAGTAATGAATGGCAGGATATGGGATATGGGATGACATGGATATATGGTGATGGATACGGCGGGGATACATGCCGTGATGCTCCGGGTGATGCCGCAAGGCCACCGAGCAAGTTGTTTAGCAAAATAACATCAATTGATACCTTGAACCAAACAAACTCGTTAGAACAATTTGTCGTAGTGGCCGATTCCTGTAGTGTAGAAGCACCTCCTATCACGTGGACTCGCAACCTGGGAATAAGCTGATACTCATTCGACTGTAATCAAACATCAAATTTTAGTTCTTGTATAGCTAGGCTTTGTGCCTTGCTTCTCCGCCCTGTTCTATGCGGGCGGGCCTCAACGCCATCCATATGTACACGCCAGCATCCTAACAATATCTCGGATTGCTGAGCTGGTTCTCAGTATCTAGCACTGGTTTTGTAGACGATCATCCATTTCTCATAACGTGGCCGCAGCTTCAACCGCGCCGGCAGCCTTGAAGGCTCCCTTGTTCGTCCACCGCACTTCGACGTTGTGCATCCATTCCATGTATCTCGACCAACCTGTTCGCAGCAGTGGTTAGAATCCGAATGGTGCTCCGTCATGGGGAAACTTACTCCAGTATGCAAACTTCCGACCCAGGTACTTGCCGGCGAAAGGCACGATGACCATCGTCAGCAACAGCTGGACCTGCTCCAAGCTACGCTCCCATTCCTCCTGAGCATCCAAGTCGTCCTCCGAGTCGAGTATGCTGCTGGATATTGACGGCAGGGAGTCAATCTCGTCGTTGTCGGAGGAGGGGGAGATGTCGTCGTGAATGACGAAGGAGTCGGTGGACTGCATCGTGTCGGTATAGAGGTAAAGGTGAGAGATACGGTTTGCTCGGCGCTCGGTTGCGTTGGGAGCTTTCGCCGTACGGGAACGTGGGAAGAGCCGGGCGGGTTTGGTAGGTGTATCGGACCAGACGCGTTTCTCAGTCGCGAAGCAGGTTGGATCCTGCCTGCGTGGTCGAACGGGGGATGGAGCACGAGACGGTCTACCGGATGGGCGTTTCGCGGGTGGTTGAATCAAGCGACCGCGATGCCTCCGATGATGGAATCAAGCTGGTGGAGGTTCGGAGGCTTTGGGAGCTCTCTCCCCCGTCTCCCCCAACCAGAAACGGCAACGGGACGGCCAGTTGCAGGCGTGGCAGATCTCGGTCGCTATTGGTTGATGTTGAGATATAGTGGGTCTATCGCCGGCTTTCGCTTGTGCTGTGACGATGGTTACAAGCGATAACAGCTGCAAGCCTCTGCAGCAAATGACTCTAAATGTCGGTCACTGCATGTACTGTTCTCGATCTAACTCGGTTTGCAAACCTTGTTGGCCGTATTACGTTATTGCAAGTGACTGGACAGTCTACAAGCAATGACACAGCCGTATTTAATTCAATCAAACCGAAGGAGAGACTCAAGATGGGGTCACGTGACTGGATGCACCGTTGAGTCACAGCTGTGAGGGTGCGCTGCAGTCGGGTGCCTTAGGAGGATACCTTAGAGAGGGGGGCGTCGCCTCTTTCCACCACCCTCACGTCACCTCGAGAAATCCTGTCCACCTGCAGCAGTCGAACCAATTCTCCCTCTCACAAATTTCCATTACCGAACCATTTTTCAACGGCACAAACCGCCTCGACGCCATATCCCAGGTCACCAGGCGAATTTTCGACCATCTTGCGCCGGTCAAACACACACCCCGGACACCGTCTATTCACCAAGGATACCTAACCGAGGACCCCATTCAGTGAGACACAGGCCGCAATCATGGCGGATGTCGAAGTAAGTTTCCTCCGGCTTCCTTGCCGCTCCTCTTAGCCCTCCCTTCTACGCACTGCGCACTTCTGCCACCGCCCACCACCCACCACCACCACCATTGGCCCCTCCGCTAGAACTTATTCGTCTTTTACCCCACTGCCCAACCGGAAACCAGAGACGGTGGTCAGAACAGACAGAAACCTTTTTGGTGACTCAACCTCGACGACGCGAAATAGTACATCACCGCCGCTAAAGACGTTGTTCTCCCCTCAATTGATTCACTACCACCTCCGTTATCTTCGACTTTCTGTACTCTTTGAATTCTAACATTTTAATCACAGGAAACCGTCCTCCCCGAGCGCAAACAGCGTAAATCCGTTGCTTTCGACACCGAACAAGTTGTAGTCGACGCCGACGGCTCAGTCACGATGGTCAACGCCACCGAAGAACCCAAGGAGACAGCCCAGTCGCACACGCCTCGTACGCCGCCGCTCTCTGCAGCACTTGAATCTTTCAATACTGATGCAACTTCTCAAGCCGAGGCCGAGGATGCGACTACCCCCGTCCCTGACGCCACCGAGGACGGCGGTCTCGACCTCACCATGAAGAAGAAGAAGAAGAAGAAGGTCCCCAAGGAGGGCGAGGAGGGCGAAGAGGCCCCCGCTGGCGAGGATGGTGCTCTCGACTTGACCATGAAAAAGAAGAAGAAGAAGAAGACGGTCGCCAAGGAGGGCGAGGATGAGTTCGCCGCTAAGCTCAAGGCCCTGGACCTCGAGGGCAAGGAGGCTGAGGCTGCCGAGGGCGCCGGCGAGGCTGATGAGGGCGATATGGATGCCGGTACCGGTATCTGGCAGCACGACGAGACCAAGGCCCTCAGCTACAGCCTGCTGCTCGACCGCTTCTTCCACCAGCTGTCCCAGAAGAACCCCGACCACGCCCTCAGCGGCGCCAAGAGCTACAAGATCCCGCCCCCGCAGTGCATGCGTGAAGGCAACAAGAAGACCATCTTTGCAAACATTGCCGAGATTTGCAAGCGCATGAAGAGAACAGAGGAACACGTGACCGCCTACCTTTTCGCTGAGTTGGGTACCAGTGGTTCCGTCGCCGACGGCAGACGCCTTGTCATCAAGGGTCGTTTCCAGCAGAAGCAACTCGAGAACGTGTTGCGCAAGTACATCAGTAAGATAATATCCGTTTTCGCCCCTTTCCCGTCGAGTACGCGGTTGCTGACCAATTCCTTCCCTTCCCCTGCAGTCGAGTACGTCACCTGCAAGACCTGCAAATCCGCCGACACCGAGCTGTCCAAGGGAGAGAACCGTCTGTACTTCATCACCTGCAACTCTTGCGGATCGAGACGTTCCGTCACTGCCATCAAGACTGGTTTCTCTGCCCAGGTCGGAAAGAGAAAGAAGATGCTCAAGTAGATTCTCGCAGCGGGCGACAGCAAGAGTTGGGGAGATGTTTACTTCTGCGCTATTTACGTCCTTTAGCGTACTCTTGTCTTGTAGATATGACCTTGCCAGCAGTGTGCGATGCAGCACGACGGCTGTGACGCACCCCGGGTAGCCAATGGATGGATGGATGGCACACAATAGACATTGGCGTTTTCTTTCCAAAATTGGTACAGACGTTGGGCATAATGTCAAACAAAATCATCATCAAAACCTCGTAACTGTGGGTCCGCCGCAAGTGACGCGTTCTGCGACGTGCTGATGATGTTTCTGCCGCCGTTGGGGCCGGTCCGTCGATGCAGGTCGGAGGGGTGGTCCAGTTGACCTCACATGTCCACACGGCGCCGGCGATCAACTCAACCTCACTCCTTCAACACCTGACTCAACGTCCACGCGGCCAACATCACAAAAGTCCCTAATGCGACACAAATAAACGCAAAACTTATCTACAAATCTCACCGAGACACTCATCTCTAACATTTAAACATCATCTTATCGCATCAGGGTCATTTTATCTCACAATATGACGGGCGCGAAGCTGCAGGACGGCCAGGCCGACCTGCCCTCGACCGAGAGCACCCGCTCGTACTGGCACCGCGAGCCGTCCGATGCGCTCCTGGGGCACCGGTCCACCAAGAACCTCCCGCCGACCGCGGACGTGGTCATCGTCGGCAGCGGCATCACGGGCGCCTTTGCGGCGAAGGAGCTCCTGGAGAGGCACGGCGGGGCGGGGAAGAAGGTGCTTTTGCTGGAGGCGAGGGAGGTCTGCTGGGGTGCCACAGGACGGGTGAGTCTCTGATTTTCGATGACTTCACGGAGGTCTTGACGAAGTTACGGGCTTATCTCAACGCGGGTTCATTCACCATGACATTCACCGAAGCAGCGTCACGATCTAATACTAACATCCCCAACCCCGAAGAACGGCGGCCACTGCCAACCCGTACTCTACGGCCACACCTCATCACCAACCGACGACACCGCCGTCACCGTCGCCGACTTTGAGCTCCGCACCTACACCTACCTCCGCGACCTCGTCGCCAAACACGCCATCCCCTGCGACTGGGTCTCCCTCCGCGGCGTCCACGCCCTGCTCACCCCGGACCTGGTCTCCCAGGCCGCGGCCGCCGTCGCCCGGGTCCCCGCGCACCTCAGGGACGCCGTGAGCCTCGTCACGGACCGCGAGGACCTGCAGAAGCTGAGGGTGCCGAACGCCCTCGGCGCCGTGGTGCAGGAGAACGCGGCGAGCTGCTGGCCGTATAAGCTCGTCGCGTGGGTCTTTGAGGACCTGGTCAGGCGGTTCGGGCCGGAGAGCGAAGGCGGAGGCGAGGGCTGGTTTAACCTGCAGACGAACACGCCCGTGACGAGGCTGCAGCGGCTGGAGAAGGGCTCCGCCGACGAGGAGGGCGAGGCGTCGTGGATCGTCCACGCCGCCGGCGGCCGCGGACAGGTCGCGGCGAAGCAGGTCCTCCTCGCGTGCAACGGCCACACGAGCTGTCTCCTCCCGGCCTTCTCGGACCTGATCGTGCCGGTGCGGGGCCAGGTCGCGGCTCTGGAGCCGGAGCCGAGGGCGGAGCTGGGGCGGAGCTACGTCTTCATGGCGAGCTCCGAGGGAGAGAGGCCGAACCAGGACGATTACCTCATCCAGCGGCCCGGCCCCGGGCTCGAGATGATTCTCGGGGGCGGGAGGGCGAACGGTACGGCGAGGGGGGTGGGCTTCTCCGATGACGACGAGGTCGATCCCGTCGTCGCGAGGTATCTGCGCCGCGCGGGGGCGAGGAATGTGGATTTGAGCGGGGAGGGTGCCGTCCAGGAGGCGGAGAGCGAGAAGGAGCTGAAGGCCAGGTACGAGTGGACGGGCATCATGGGCTTCTCGCGCGACGGACGGCCGTGGGTCGGGGAGGTGCCCGGGGGCGAGGTCCTCGGGGGCGGCGAGGGGTTGTGGGTTTGCGCGGGGTATACGGGCCACGGGATGCCGCAGGCCGCTCTCTGCGGGAGGGCCGTGGCGGGGATGATGGCGGGCGCCGGGGACGACGACGGGGTGCAGGTGCCTCGTGACTTTTTGGTCGGGGAGGCGAGGGCTAGGGCGGCCAAGCAGAAGCCCAGCATCAAGGAGATGGACGACCTGGACATGTTTCTGCTGTAGGAGGGCGTCTGTCTGCGACCGGTGTGTCTTATGATGGGCTTGGTTGCCTGGCTCGGGGCTGATATGAGGTTATTCGCTTTTGAGACTCGGGGTGGTGGCGAGATGTGGTAGAATTTGAGTAATCTAGACTTCAACATGTCACATCGTGTCACTGGACTGGAGGACGTGGCTTTAGACCGAGTGAGACCTTTATCGTGCGATGAAACATGACAGGCCGGCCGAGATTACCCATCACTCCCCATTTTGTCGTCGGAGGAGGGGACGGAGAGGAATGCCCGTCTGCCTACTCTCCTGCTCCAGCCAAAGCGATCGGATCGTTGCGGCGCGAGACACGCAGCTGGCTAGGCGTTTTTCTTCCCCGCCGGCCTGCCCCAAAGAACGGAGCCACAGTGACGGGGGTTCGGTTCGGAATGTCTCTCGGGCTGGTTCGCTTGCTTTCACCTGCGACGGCGGGCTGGAATGTGATCTATGTCATCACGAACCCGCGGGAGAAGGTGGAGGGGCAGGTTTTTCGACCCCTCCTCCGTGATTCGTGATTTCTCCCGTCGTCGGCGCGGGGACGAGTCGAGCCATTGGCCGGCTCTGGGAAGTCTAGAGCTGATCACATTCAACCACACTCGGCCGGGCGAGATTAGAGCACACGGGGTAGGAATGATGACTATCAAAAGTATTGGTTTTTGATATTTTTCTTCCTGGCTGTGCCAGTAACCCAGTCCGGAGGGAGATAACTCCACCCCTAATAGATATATACATTGAAGTGTAGTTTCTATGAACCAACCCGAATGGCAAGAATGTCCACATAAAACAGAACACCAGATGTTTGTCCGCCTCAGACGGAGCGGACTCCCCATAGAAACAGAGGAATTCACACAGCCCGCAGGTATATAGATATCGTCATCACGTCATTCAAGACAGGGGCGTGCCCGAAGTCTTGTTTCGTCCTTTTGTTAATCCAATCCAAACCCGTGCTGTTGTAACCAGGCGCCGTCCCTTAACTGACAGGAAAAGGGTGGGTATATGTGTGACCAAAATATTGTTATTTGGAGATTTGAATTGAAGAAAACGACTGGCTCACAGCCGAGGGGCTAGTGGGCTGTCGTTGGAAATGAAGTGAACCTGAACGATGCGGCGCCTTTGCTGGGAAAAGCGGCATGGCAAAAGGCAAATGGAGCGTACCTCCCCGTAAAAAAGAATAACCCCTCCCTGGTCGATGCGGGAAAGTCAGAAGCTGCTCAAACGAACACTTAGGCGAACTCCCAGGAGACATCCACGTGGCCCTTGTCGGTGCTGCCGAGGAGCTCGAGGAAGATCTTCTCGCTGACGTCGATGCCGTATTGCGGGCACCCAGGGCACTTGTCCGTGACGTAGGCGGTGGTGCTCTTGCCGTCGAGAGAAATCTTGATAGTGCGGTGGCAGTAGTTGCCGTTGGCGCCGTTGACGTGGTCGCCCATCATGGCAGCGGAGAGGGCGACAATGTTGTCCGTCTTGTCACCGCCGGCGTTGTTGTCTCCGCAAGAGCCGGTGCCGAGGGCGTAGTAGGTCATTTTACCAGTGAAAGGGCCGTTGGCGCCGCCGGAGCCGGAGCCGGAGCCTGAAGACGGGGCAGCGGCAGGGGTCGTTGGTTGGACCTGAGGAGTGCTGGACGTGGTGGCAACGATCGGGACGGCGGGCACGACAGGAGGCACGTAGACGGAGGTGGTCGTAGGCTGAGGAGCCGGCTGGGGAGTCGGGACCTGGGGGACAGGAGCAGGGCTGGAGCTGGAGGCGACGGGGGCCTGCTGGATGGACTGCTGGACGACGGGAGCGGCGACGGGCGTGGAAGACGTAGACAGGGTGGTGTGAGACGACGGCTGGTTGGCGGGCTCGAAGAACTGGGCGGGCACGGAAGTGGTGGGAGCGACGGAGGGAGTGGGAGTTTCCCCGGAGCTGACCCAGACGGTGCTGACGGGCTCGTCCACCCACTCGGTGACGGTGGCGGTCTCGGTCACCCACTCGGTGACCATGGCGCGCTTCTGGTGCTTGCCGTGGACATGGCGCTTCTTGTTTCCGTGTTGGTGGGGCTGGGCAATGGCGGCGGCAGCCAAGGCGGCGCAAAGGACGGCGGAAGTCTTCATGTTGAAGTTTGTGGTGGTTGGTATGTTTCGGTGGTGTACGCGTTGGACAGGAGACTTATACGATCTCTCTGTAAGTGATGATTCTCTCCTCCGTTAAGGCTGAGTTGGAAGCGAAATGAGTGCAAAGCGCCTTGCTCAAGGTTCTTCAGGGAATGTGCTTGCGGAAGCGTGTGATGCTGGTTGACGGCAGGAAGCTCGGGGCACGCTTTGGTATGTACTGATGTTTACTGGCAGGCTGGAAAGATGGGATGAAAGGAGTTCGCTGAACTCTCTTGCGGCAGACCGGATGAATCCGTTGGGTGGTTTGGTGGGTTTGTTTGGACGAAAGCCTCGAAACAGTCTGTGAAGGAATGAATGGTTGGATGTTGGACTGAAGTCGGTCGAGCACTGCTCAAGGGGTCCAAGAAAAGGAATGAATGGAGGATTGGTCGAACAAGAGGGAGCGTTGTTGGATAGAGAGAGAAAAAAGAGAGATCGAGAACAAGTGAGATCTGGGAAGCGGAGGTCGGCTGGGATTTGTATCCCAGGCCACTTTCATGGACCATGCGAGGTACCAAACAACACGAAGAAGAGTCTTTTTCGGGACTGGCGAGACTGGGTTAGGGGCGGAACGTGGGCCGGGGGGCCAGGGGGTGTGAGTTGAGATGGAGGGGGAGGCCTGCAGGTGCTGAGGTGCTGACGGTGGATGAAAGTCAGCCCCCATTGGTAAGTCGGCAACCATTGGCAGGTATTCGTAAGAATAGTTACCTCAGCTCTCACTGCAGTGGACAGGAGCATTCGTACCTGACCATCCTACCGTTGAGAAGTACCTTTCTCCTTGGCACCTGGAGTCCAGACGGGAGCCGACTAGCGGATAGTGACAACAGAAGTCGCAAAAGCCCCGAGAGGGAATAAAAAGCAAAAGTGGGACGGTGATGGCGTGGAAAGCAAGGATTCATCAGTGGTCGCCGTCCCTGCAACCCCCCCTGGCAGAGGCAGAGGCAGAGGCAGAGAAACTGCTTCGAAGGCCTTCTCGTCACTGGACCGTTGAACGCTGGCGGTCCGAAAAAAGAACGTACCAACACGAAAGAAGCAAGTCCAGGGGTTTGGAGAATGGCCCGTTGGATGGCCCTAGAGCCTGGGTAGTGCGTGCTCGTCCTCTTCAGGCTGGCATCGCTGGCATCGCTCTCGTCTTGACATGTCCCATCTTGACCCTCTAGGGCTTGACCGGTCCACTTGGGGTGTTTGGACGTTTGCCAGCCAAACCAGTCCAAAACTGATTTGGGGTGAAGCTCAAGCAACCAGGGAGAGTTGCTCCAGCCAAAGCAAACCTCAGGCAAGTGGATGCCGAGGAAACGCAAACAACCAGTCGTCTCGGCCAACTCATTGAACCAGCAACCATGTGTCGTTTCGATCGTTGTGCGTGAGCAGAGCCGTATCCGGAAAGTGGTGGATGGGACTGGCGGCGATGTGGGCAGCGAGGCGTGTCCCATCACCATAAGAACGGCAACATGAAGCCGGGACCTTGGGTAGTGCACCGTCACTGGCCTGCTGAATTGGTCCTTCACATGCGTGTCTCCCATGTCTTTCGTCGTCAATCGCTTCTGCTTTTGTCGCTACAGCGCGGTTGACGGCACGGCTGAATGGCAGCAACAGGATCGGGCTGTTTCCTCGTCCATCGTCCCATGTCCTTGCCTTCACCTCGTCTCCCGGACTCCGTCTCATTCCAGCAGCTGCTTGTCGTGCCTGTCATCATGTCGTCTTGTTTCTTTCCCCGACATTTAATGATTGGACGAACTGCCGGGCAGGTGCTGGGTGCTTGAAACAGACGGAAACTGGGAAGAGGGCTCCAGCTTTTTTTTCGCAGTCCAAGAGCGCTTTCGTCCAGGGGGGTGGTCTTGGAAGTTGGTGGTCCAGGGTCCGAACACCGTTTCCCCCCTCCCCTCACATCGTCCAGGAATCCTGGAAACGAAGAATGACGATCAGCCGGTAGCCCCGGGGGGTTCGAGGACGGGTACCTGCTCGTCGACCGCCAGCTCCTGCGCACACGAAGTATCTTATTTTCTCACAATAGAAACAGCACCGCGGGAGGCCTGCGCTGCGGCTGCGCCTTCGTTCTGACTCTCCTGCTGGTCACATTGTCTCTTCTGGAATGTGGACAGTTGCCGCGCTGGAGAGGATTCCAGGTGGTTAAGCATGTCGACGCCGTGGCGGCGGCAATGCAACATTGAACAGACGGTGCAACCTGAAAAACGTGAAGAAGAAACATTAGTCGAGGACATGGGATGTTACCTACCGTGCCGCGGTCGTTGTCACTGCTCGATATTCGATGCCGAGCGAGGGGCGTCGCGTCAGGAGGAAGTGCCAACGGTACGAATACCCCTGAGGTTTATTCTCTCCGGCTCTCCAAATCCACGCAGTGAGTGAAAAAGGAAACCAAGAAAAAAAATCCAATGAACGATGCGATGAAGGAAGCGAATGGCAGCCAGCAGGCGAACAGGGCGACGCCCGAGAGCTGGTCCAGAATCTAGACAGGGCGGCGGGTTCCTTGCAGCTGCAAGGTACGCACCAATCACATTCTGGCCTCGGTGTGAAAGCCCCCCTCCCGGCGCAACCATCACAGCCTGTTTCCCCCCTGTCCGGCTCGAATCCCGGACGATCAGGCAATTCAGGCAATGCCACATCAGTCTCTCAGACTCCCTTTCCTTTGACTCGTCGATTTGCCATTATCCGCGCTTTTAGTTCGCGCAAATGGGTTCTGGAGCGCAAACCTGCAGTAGTTCGGTGGGCTCGCTGACACGTTGGACTGATGCACCACGCCGCCAAAGACGCAGAGATTTTCCCGCATTCTGTCTTCATTCGGCCACCCGCGAGTGAGTTGTTAATAGCTTGCAGCAACATGTAGTCGTGAGCGAGGGGGAGAAAAAAAAAACCCCTCATACATATGAAGACCGTCTCCGTTTGCGAGCAAGCCTTCAGGTTGGTTCAGGCTCAGGCTAACATACGCCTTTGGCTGATCCTCGATGTGCCCATAATTGGATCGAACATCAACTCCACGGGCTGTCTGGGGACGATTTCTTGTCTGTCGTTCTCCCGCTCAATTCCCCACCAATTTTGCAGATCGACTTGATGTTGGTTCTGACAATTTGTGGCCCTGGATCGCGTTTTTATTGTTAATAGAGAGCTGAATTAGTCCAGTGTATTGTTGTATCCCCGGTCTAGTGAATTGTTGTTGGCCAGATAGGTAAGCGCTCTCTATGCCAGTTGTAAACTCGTGCAGGGCTGCAACCTCTCAAGCGTTTCCACGACATCTGACAGCACATGATCGAGCCCCGCCTTTGTAGATTCTACCTCTTGAGCCAGGCATCCAAGGAGACATGAGCCAGCCTTCACAATTTGGTACTCGCTCTTCACAAACGACGGATCATTTGAGCTCCAGAAGTGGAATCTGAGCGCCGACTCTGGTTGTCAACTCGAGTGACACCAGACCACGACAAGAGGCCTTCCCAGGCGCAACGCACTGTTGGACATGGTGCTATGCCGATATCCTTTGGCTCGAACCGGGGCTCTCCCGTCGTTGAACTTCGCGCGACGGGCGGTCGACGCTGTCTCCCCAGCAAGACTGCCGACTTCCGGTCGATGTCAATCACTGCCGAGCCCCATTGGCCGTCGGCTTCTTGCTCTCAAAGGTGTACAGGAACAGGCCTTGCCTGCTAAATACCGGGCGGTCTTCATCGATAATTTCTTTCACCTGGAAAGTCTTCTGTGCCTTCTTGAGGAATTGCATGTCCGCACGTCTTCTCTTCTTGAAGCAGAAATAAACCGTGGCGTCGGGTTCCAGTGTCAGCAGGTTGGTCAATGTCTCCAACAGCAACGGGAAGGCAGGCTCAAAATAAACGCAGTCGGCGGCGAGGATGACGTTCGGCTTGTAGTCAACGACTTCTTGTGGTAGCGGCTCGCCCCTGTATCTCTCGTCAGTCGCCTATTCATCCACCGGAGTGCATATGCAGTTGATTTGGACTCCTGCACTGCCGCATTGCAGCGCAGAAGTAGAAGCGGCTTCACGAAGCCAGACTTTCCGTTGCATAACTCTTGGGCACTTTCCGTGCGCTATCTCTCAGCTACCGGCAGGATACCACCGATTTGTCCCAGATCCGGGGTTGCTGGTCTGGGGGAGGATGCGCACGGGTGGGATCGAGCGACCAAGCTGGAAATTACATACCAATTCAGGATCATTGGCTTGACCGTTCCGTCGAGGTTGTTCAGTTTGGTGTTCTTTCCCATGAGTTCGAACATTTCGTCTTGGTCTGTGAGATACAGAGGCTTTTGCTGCAGGTCACAACCAAGAGCGACAGCCAATCCGACGAGTCCGCCGCCGGCACCCAGTTCTAGTCTGTTTGCTCCGAAAAGCCACGAGTCAGCTCAACCTTGTTCCACAACATGATATCTTGTGTCAACGCAGTGAAGTCAACAGCTGCAAAATACAATGCGGCCGACCACAATGAAGTGCCAGGTACCATGAACCGCAGAGGAGGGGATCAAGTTGGCGAGTGCGATAGGGAGAGAAGACCGACATTCTCGCTCCCTTCAGAGCTTCCCGACGGTAACGCAGCATGTGCTTCGTTAGCACCATGCCTGCAGGCCATGTTTGACCACCGCATCCGGATGCGAGGTCCTCGTGGAGTTTGAGAGGGGTGGAAAGGAGACCGGCGATGTCGAAGGACGAGGTTTGTGCGGCTTTGTAGGCGGGCAGCGGAGTAAGATCTTCGCCGATCGCCAAGGGCGAGAACTCAGGCGAGGGAGACCGCTGGGCGGATTCCATCTGCTCTGGTATGAGAGGGGTGTTGAGAATTCTCATAATGCTATTGTGTGTTTCTCTGAGTGAGCACCGGCGCTGTGTGGATAAGTGTAGTTTTGTTTCGAGAGCAAAACGGTAGAGCAGAGCAGTCTAGGAAAGGCTTCTTTCTCTCAAGGTGAGTGAGTGCTTTTTGAGTGCTTTTTGGGGTGTTGCACAGCGACAGGCAGAAAAGAGCGGTATCGCTGGCGTTTGATGGCAATTTTTTATTTTTATTTTTTTCTGAGGTCGACGACAATCTAGACTTTTCCGATAAGGGGAGGTGCGTTTTGCCTCAAGCGGGGTTGCCCCGACTTTGGTCCCTGCATGACCGCTCTTTCCATCTCGTGTTGAAGGAGCCAATTCGAGCCTCAACAAAGAGACGTCGGGTGGGAAAAATCCCACGGAAGGTAGTCGTTTCCCATGGCTTACATAATACACGGAAAGTGTTACTTTCCATCTCCATGACTGTCTCCTTGCCTCTCACTCAAGTTCCTCTGATCAAGCCCTACCTGGACCTATCTCAACTTTATGAATGTCGTGTCCAATACTATCGATTGGCCGTCCCGAGCAGTGTTCAGCTCATCCGCTAGTCGCGGTATTGAATTCCACGCATCATAGAGGCGAACATCCCGAGTGGACATGTCTCATCCCGCCTCCCTCTGACCTTCGAGATGCAACCCTTCTCGGCGACCTTTTCAGCATTTCAACCCGCCGCTGGAATGCAGACCTCGAGTATTTCTCGTCTAAGCCTCCCAGTACGGCAATTCAGCCCACATGATGCTGAAACGATGGTCGTCCTTGTCCCCGTTGGGCAATCCACTGGGCAAGTGCCCCTGCTAAACCACATGGGATGGCAAATGCAGTGTGCGAGATGCGCCCTCACCCGCGATTCTTTTGCGAGGGCGTGATGACTGGCGCGAAGGGAGACTTCCAACGCCAGAACGCAGGAGCCACGGTAATGGTATTCGCGCCAAGCATATCCTACGCGGTTTATCGTCCTGGGCCTTTCCCGTTTCTGCTGAGATAACCCTCGTTAGGTATGCCTTCCTCTCGTTGAATTTGTTGTTGTTGTTCGCTCCTTTGGCTCGCAGATGCCGCTCCTTTCACTCACACCATCAACCATGGCATCATCTGGGAAGCTATGGGTGCTCCTGCGTCTAGCTGCGCTTGCAGGAGCAGTGCCGGTCGTTTACTTTCCATTCAACTCTCAGCTACCACCAGCAACGAGAATATCCGAGCCATTCTCCTACACTCTTTCACCGCAGACCTTTTCTTCGCAATCACGAATCTCTTACAGTTTGAGAGATGCACCAAAATGGCTCTCTATCGACTCCAGTACTGGACGGCTCTCTGGGACCCCCGAGGACGCCGATGTTCCGCCAGGACAAGTGGTTGGAGTACCAGTCGACATTGTTGCGACAGATGACACTGGTTCGACAACGATGACAGCCACTCTGGTGGTGACCCGAAATCCGGCGCCCAAGGTCGAGATACCACTGTCACAGCAGATAAAGACATTCGGAGAAACATCGTCGCCAACTGCCGTTGTAACTTATCCCGCTTCCGAATTCTTCTTTTCTTTCGCCAAGGACACATTTTCTTATACTGGAGATGGCATCAACTACTACGCTACTTCGGCAAATAACAGCCCTTTGCCCTCATGGATCAAGTTCGACGCGGGCAGCCTCACGTTTTCAGGAAACACGCCGCCTTTTGAATCCTTGGTCCAGCCGCCTCAGAAATTCGACTTCAGTCTCGTTGGATCTGACATTGTGGGATTCTCGGCTGTGTCTATCGTGTTCACTATTGTTGTCGGTGCACATAGGCTAACGACAGACACGCCCGTCATCAAGATCAACGCAACCAGAGGCAAAGAAGTCTCTTACGAAACATTAGCTGACAGCATCAAGCTAGACGGCAGCCCCGTCTCACCGGCTGATCTGAACCTCACCACTTCCAACATACCGAGCTGGCTCTCGGTCGACAACACTACACTTTTGCTTAAAGGCACGCCCCCTAATGATACGCAGTCATTGAATTCCACCCTCACATTTAGCGACATATACGCCGACACACTCGACATTTTATTATCGGTTTCGATCACGACGCAAATTTTTCGAGGTACAAAACTTGAGTTCGAAGTTACGCCCGGAGAGGACTTCTCGTTCGATATAGAGCCTTATTTGTGGGTGCCGTCGGACATAGAATTGGATCTCAGCAACTCACAAGATTGGGTGAATGTGGATGGGCTCAAAATAACAGGGAAGGTCCCAGAATCGGCATCTGCTGCGACGCCCAAGTTTTTAGTAAAGGCAACTTCGAAGAGCTCTGGGGAATCGGAAACCGTTGCTGCAGATTTCGAGGTTCTCTCGGTAGTTGCGACAACTTCAGCAGAACCGACGCCCTCTGCCAGCCCAACAAAACCAGCAGCAAGCAACGATTCACGGCGAGGTCTGAATCCTGGGTTGATTGCTTTGGCGGTGCTTCTGCCTCTGCTTGTCCTATTCATCATCGTGATCTTGATCATATGCTGTCGGCGGAGAAGGCAGCGCGACTCCATGCACGAACAAAAGAAGAGGGAAATATCGGAGCCTGTACCTGGGTCTTTCGTCTGGAACGGAAGGAGACACAGCGGAGACACATCGAATGCTTCCCTCGCCGAGATGCAGAAACCGGAAGACCACAGACGCAGCCGAGGATACATCACCTCTGCTGTTGCGCAAATGCGAAACTCGGCGCTTTCAACCATCACTGGATCCCGCATCTCCCAGCGCAACTCTTCGCTCTGGAGGAGGTCTCGGAGCGAAAGAAGCCTGCCGATATCTCCTTCTTTCGGCTCATCCTGGGGCCCACGCTTTCAACCACAACATGCACATCAGGGATCAACAAGCACCTACGATGGCCCAGATGACGTGCTGTCTGCGTCCCCAGGATTTCTTGGCCAGCGGGACGATTCGTTCCGCAGTGCACTGGATGTCGCCATCCCGTCCATGCACGACGAAGTCAGCAGCATTCAGGCAACGCCTGATATGGCCTACACAAGCCCCTGGGGAGAGCCGTCCAGATTAGTCCTCGACAGATCCACGCCACTGTCCGCTGCATCCCATTCCGACAGCCTCGCGTCTATCCCAGAACAGCCGACACCTTTGGGATCTCACCCTACACATGGGAGGCGCTTCTCTCCTGCCCAGAGACCCAGAAGGACGTTTTCTGTGCTCAGCGATACCAGGTCGCAAAGCAGCCTTCGCAGCTCGCTGTCTGGATCAGGGAGAGGCAGGGTCATTGGGCGACAAGACTCCCAACCAGGTTCGTGGGCCGGATCGGTAGCTCGGCCGATCAGCAGGAAGTCAGACTCCAGCCCTTTCTTCGGAGGTCGCTCTGTGGTTCCATCCCGCAACCGTTACCACCTAGACAGCGACACCGACTCGGTGGGATCGACGAGGGGGACAGAAAACTGGCAGACGATCCCGAGGGACTCACTTGGCATCGCGTACGCTGAGCTGACGCAAAGTTCCCCATTCCTGAGACATACATCGTCGATGTCCCCTCGACCTCTCAGCATCGTCAAAAAGGACTCCAGCGGGCCAAGGTACACCAGGGAAAGCCGAGTCGGCAAGCAGACACCGCTCTCGCGGCGGACGTCGTCTAGTTCCAACGCAAGATCGACGGGTCGCTGGAGTAGGCAGTCTTTGGCTGATCAGGGCAACCGGCTGGGATACGCGTCTTCACGAGCGAGCAGCGAAGTGCTGGGCAAAGGCAAAGGCGTCGCCAGATACTCACCGGGGGTGGACTCGGACTCGGACTGGGTGACGGAGGCGGGAACTGTGGGGAAAAAGGGACCTCGGAGTCGATTCAACAGCGACGAGGACTTCCGTGTATTCATGTGAAAAGGGCAACCAGTCATTACGCCCGTACCTTCGTTTGGAAGCGTTGCGATTTGTTATACCCACCGAGCGACCACAGCTCCGTGTTTTTTTCCTGGTGATGGAATCTGTAATGGGCGGTAGTAGAGCTAGTGCAAGATGGGGTCCTTGACAGGGAGACCAGGACCGTAATGTCGAATTGAAGATGCCACAAAAGTTAATCTGGGCATGATTCCCCGCGGACCCCTTTTTCCAGGAAGCGAGTCTGTGCTATTCAGGCAAGGGCTTGAACAGCTCGTGGGGCGCGAGTAAGCGCAGATTGCGCCGACTGGCCCGACTGAGCGGATGCTCAGCCACAGCGTAGACGATTAGCGCCCGCTTGTCGCTCCGAGAGGTGAACCCCCCACTCTCAAGCCTCTCGGGGTTTAGGACGTTGGGGGGGATATGAGGCATCTCCGGGGTCGACGGCCCTGGTTGGGACGGGTTTACCGAACAACAGAAGCGAAAGCGGGATAGCAAAGAAAGAGCTTGGGCCTCAGCGTCGTTGCTCTGCTTCAGGTCCTAGCTCGCCCGGGACAAGGAGGGGGAAAGTGGAAGAGGGGAGGGAAGAGGAGATGGGACTTTTTCGTTTTTGGTGCTGGACCAAGAGAGGGGCAGGAGGGGGACCTTGCATGGGCACCGTGCAGTCGATATGGCAGGTGGGTAGAGCGTGAGTAAACACGATGACGGACGTCTGTGTGCTCGAGACGCCGTCATGACTGTTTTTAGTGACGGGATGGTTTCGAGATGAGATTGAGGGAGGGCCTGAAGTTATAGACAGAGGATTCTAGCGACTCTTGATGGTGAGCATGAACCGTAGACACGGTTTCGTTCTAGGTAGAAGGACAAAGGTAAAGTAGCTGAGACACGACGCAACTGCAGGAGTTCACTCACCGGGCAGGAATTCGCAACGGATTTCGCTCAACCTTGTCGGGAGGAGAAGTCGAGGATGACGATATTACAATATTGCCGCCGTTCCAGCGTCCAGCGCATCCATTCCTATGTGTCATTGGCTGCCGGTTGCCAGGTGTTGACTGGGGCTGATGGGAGTCATAATTCGGATTACCTCGACGTAGAGACAGCCTTGGACCCCTCACTCACTCACTGTCGCTGGCTGGCCCGGGTGGACGAGTTTTCTCAACTTCGAAGCACCTCATTTGCTTGACTCCAGAGCTCTCTGACTTGACTGGATGGTAAACTGTCTCCCAGTGGGCTCCCTGCAATTGTTGCTTTGCTATGGATCTCGTCAGTCAGCCGACCTTTTTGGGAGGCGGGCGGAAGGCGACTCCTTGTTGTTGGTGCAAGCACCTCAGTGGAGGCGATATCTAGGTAAGGTAGGCGGCGAGCGGCAAGGCCACATCGTCTTCAGTCCACCATTCGCCTCCATTATGTATTCACGTTTACGGTTTAACTTGCCTCAATGCACGTTACCTTGCCTCTCCTCTGCAGCGTACAATGCACCTAAAGCAGATTCCCCATATGTCGTGAGGTACCTTCACGGGTTACGGATTACGGATACCATCAACTGGCCTCTGTTTTCCCTCCTCCTCCTCGTCCTCCAGCGTGACCTTACCTTCTCGGGTCTTGGTACGGATTTCTGAGGTGACCCAGCTGATTGATGTTGGGTACGTATTTCCGTGGCTCAGGTAAGGCAGGTAATTTGCTTAAGGTAGGTAGACGCGGGAGAGGCAAAGAGAGCGCTCGCTACCTTACCTACCGTACCTAGGAACTTGGCCCCCCGGCCTGTGCCTGTCCACCTCACCACCTCCAGTGAGTGTTGCCGTATCGCACATCAACTCCCCCGAGCCACCACAACCACACGCGACCTTCACCACCCATCCGTAACCGTGTGGGAAAACTCTTCTTGCTCACAACCTCACCCACCGAGCCACGATTGACTTCGGTTGGATCTTTTTTTTTCTACCCTCCCTCCTTCACCTTACCTTCCTCTCCCGCGCAACCTCGCCTTTCCGACCAAAAGTTGCCATACCTTACCCTCCGACCGCCGTCTCCCTCTTCCTCTAGACCTCAACGCTTCTTGGGGATCGCCGACTATCCCCCTGCTATTTCCCTTGCGATTCGGATACCCCGCTTCCTGCCCATTGTGCGCGATCTAGAACCTTTTGCTACCGCACCACCAACGGCACCACCTTCTTCACCTCGCCTCTTTTTTTTTCTCAGCCTTCTTGCGCACCCACGAGCGGCTTTGAAAATTTCGAATACTCGCCATTTCGATTTTCCCTTCGCCAACAATTTGCCCCGACCGATCCCTGTCTACCCGGTAGCTACGCTGCCGACAATTTGCATCCATCACCATGGGTCAAACTCTCTCAGAGCCCGTTGTCGAGAAGGTACGTCTGCTCTGCCTCTGCTCTGCCTCTGCTGCGCTCGCCCGAGGCCCAGCTCCTCCTGCTGTTGCTGTTTTGCCTTTGTCCTCGACTTTGCGATCTGTCTCCTGCTGCAACTATCCTTTTCCTTCCTTCCTGGACACCCTCGAGGACCACTCCAGCCCCCGCTTGACCTGTTCTTCACTTGTGATATCCTGTGCGGGCGGGGGATATGGAGACATGGAAACGTGGCTTTGGAGGTCTCCTTCTCAATTTCTCTACCCATGATGACGTACTGCCTACCCTGGTGAACATCTCCACTGACCCCCGAACCCAAATCACAGACCTCGGCCAAGGGCGAAGATGAACGTCTCCTCTACGGCGTGTCCGCCATGCAGGGCTGGCGCATAAGCATGGAGGATTCACACACCACCGTCCTCGACCTCCTTGCCCCCGGAAGCGACGAAGCCAAGAAGCATGACTCCAAGCTCTCCTTCTTTGGAGTCTTTGACGGACATGGCGGTGACAAAGTGGCCTTATTTGCTGGCGAGCACATTCACGAGATCATCACAAAGCAGGAGACCTTCAAAAAGGGAAATTACGAGCAGGCACTCAAGGACGGCTTTCTCGCAACTGACCGCGCCATTCTCAACGGTAATTCCTGGCCTCTACAACCCTTCCGGCCAACTCATGGGCTGCCTCTCTGGCCCTGGCCAGAATCACCCATCGCGACCCCCCAAGGACACATAAGCTAATGTTTGGCTACTGCTTCAGATCCCAAGTACGAGGAGGAGGTCTCTGGCTGCACTGCCTGCGTTGGCCTGATCTCTGATAACAAGATCTACGTCGTAAGTTTGCTGACGCCGCTTACGCGCGATCCTTTGGCTTCACTTACCAACCACAATTGGAATTAGGCAAACGCCGGCGATTCGAGAAGTGTCCTTGGTATCAAGGGACGAGCTAAGCCCTTGTCCCAGGACCACAAGCCTCAGCTCGAAGGTAACATCTCCCCCCGCCGCTTTTGCGATTCCCCAGGAATTGTGGCTGACCTGACTGTGCTGTTCAGCCGAGAAGTCGCGTATCACCGCCGCCGGTGGATTCGTCGACTTTGGCCGTGTCAACGGCAACCTTGCTTTGTCGCGAGCCATTGGCGATTTCGAGTTCAAGAAGAGCGCAGAGCTGTCCCCCGAGGCGCAGATCGTTACGGCCTTCCCCGACGTCGAGGTCCACGACATTTCCGACGATGACGAGTTCCTGGTCATTGCTTGTGACGGTAAGCATGCAGACAGGCGCACACACATCTTGTAACAGAGGGCTAATGTTTCTTTCGCAGGTATCTGGGACTGTCAGTCTTCTCAGGCGGTCGTCGAGTTCGTTCGACGTGGCATCGCGGCCAAGCAGGACCTGGACAAGATCTGCGAGAACATGATGGACAACTGCTTGGCCTCTAACTCGGAGACTGGTGGCGTCGGTTGCGACAACATGACCATGGTCATTATTGGCCTTCTGCGCGGCAAGTCCAAGGAGGAGTGGTACGAGGAGATTGCCAAGCGGGTTGCTGCCGGTGATGGACCCTGCGCCCCTCCCGAATACGGTACGACTGAATCCACCTCATCCTAAATCGTTGGAAACACGCCAACACCATCCGCACCGAGTTGCATCGTCGCTCTCTCCCCCCTTAATACAACCATTTTACCCCCAATTCCGCCACCCATTCGTTTCGTGCCCTACAATTCTTTACCAAGGAGGAGAGCTGATCCATGCAACTAGCTGAATTCCGTGGCCCTGGAGTTCACCACAACTTCGATGATAGCGACAGCGGTTATGACGTGGACCTGGAGAACAAGGGCAAGCCCTTCGGCATCGGTGGCTACAAGGGCCGCATCATTTTCCTCGGCGACGGCACCGAGGTCTTGACCGACACCGACGACACGGAGATGTTCGACAACGCGGACGAGGACAAGGACCTCGCGAGCCAGGTTTCCAAGGCCACCTCGGCCACGAGCAAGGATGGTGATGCGGAGGACTCAACCAAGAAGCCCGAGGAGGAGAGCAAGACAGGCGCGGACAAGCCCAAGGAGGAGTCAAAGCCGGCCACCGCAACCTCTGAGTCGACGGAACCGCAGAAGGCCGAGGGCACGGACAAGTGAGCTCAGCAAGCTATCGACGACGACTTTTTACCCCCATTCACGACGGTCTGGATGAGCATGCTGGCTTGGAACGAATCGGATAACACGGTTCCGCACGAGAGAGAGAGAGAGACTTTATACGGCTTGGCTGGGATGGACGACTGAATGTTTCCTGTTGTTTTCTTCATCATGTTGGGTGTCCGGGCCTTTTTTTGTCAGAATTGTGAGAAGGGGGAGACCCAGTTGCGGCGACAGGGAGAGAGGGCCGCAAATTTTTAAAAGAGAGGCAGAGACTCCCCCTCTGTACGTGCTGTAGCTGAGTAGCCGCTGTGGCCTACCTGAATAGCACGACTTCATGAACTCAGTTGCATAAATCATCGCAACGTATTGCTGAATGGTGCACTTACCAAGCGTCACCGGAACCAAAATTTTCCTCGCAATGGAGATATCAATGCTCGATGGCGGGGCTCTTTGACTTGGCCCTCTTTGTAGAGACTCGGTTCTTGCATGTTCAAAACACATTGATCTGAAAAACTCACAGGAATTAAAAGACGTCGGCCCCGTCGTTGGAAAACAGCCAGTATGACGTCGATCCCGAGGTTCTTCGAGCGGCGATTGAGCTCCCCGCCGATGACACGGACCCGAAGCCGCGGAAACGCCTCAGCTTTCTCACGCGGAGCGGGATGGTTCAGCAACAACGGGCTCTGGTCGCGGGAGGGCAAGCAGGTGGAAGCAGAACTTTTTCGTCTTTTATACAGGATCTATGGGTATTTTATAGCCTATCTTCACATTGTGATTGTTGTTGTACATGTATATCTTCATCTCGTTCGCCTAGCGGTTGATCTTCCGCCTGACGAGTTTCTTGGACGGCCTCGACGGGTTCTTGGACGGCCTCGACGGGGCCCGGGGTGACGTGCAGAATGGGTACGGCCAGTTCCCGACGCCGCCTAGTCCCTTTGCCGTTCTCGTCATACCATTTCCGCCTGATGAGGAGGGGGACGCCCTGCGTGGTGGTGACTTGTGGGATGGGCTCCCTCTCCGGGGGCACCGCGTCGGCAGTATCGACGGCGGCCGCATCTTGTTGTTGTTGTTGCCTTTGCTTGACAATTTTGATGTGGGAATTGTAAATCTCGTTGTCGACGTCCCAGGCAGCTTCCAGCAGTTCGTGGAGCGGCTTCTCCAAGGTCCACTCGTCGTACCTGTCGGCCAGGAGGCTTTGGATGGCGGCGCCTCTCCGTGGTCGAGACTCCGAAAATAGGCCGGTGGGCCTCATTTTGTCGAATTCCGGGATCGTGTAGATGGGAGCCGCACCCCCGGGGTTTTTGACACGGGGCGCCGTTCCCACGATCCCTGGTTCGCCGGGCAAGGTAGTCAGTCTAGAGACGTCCCTCCGCATGTGCCACGAGGTACTATGCGTGACGGAGGCGGCGAGCCAGACGAGGCCCATCATGTTGGATCTTCGCATCCTTTGAGAAAAGGCGAAGAGCTCGTGGTATATGTCTTCGTCGAGTGGGATGAGATGACGGTGCGCCACCCGCAAGGCGGCAATGATCCATTCCGTCTTTCGGTGAAGCCTCGCGTGATACACGACGATTTTGATAGACAAGGTCGAAGGGCGGATCGAATAGCTGTCGAACATGGTGTCGAGAAGCTGGCATGCATCCTGGAGGTGACCCAGTCTCCCGAGTTCTTTGAGTAGTTTATTCATGTTGGACAAGGACATCCATCTCTTGCCGTATACGGCTTCTTCAGTGCGGAGAAAGTCTGCCAGTCCTGTCCAAGTTGGCTGACGTGCGCGAACGTCGAAGACGATGAGCGCTCTAGCCACTCGCTTCCCGGCATCCGGATCGGTGAGAAGGCCAGACAGGTACATGAGCTTGATGGTGTGCCGCCGGATAGTCACGTCCTCCACCATCTGGAGTACGAGGACCCAAGTCCTGATATCAGGCATACAGTTGTGGAAAATCATCATCGATAATACGTTGTCGAAATTGCCCAGGTCCTTCACGATGTCTGTTCCCGATAATAATATATTGAAGACACCGGTGTCTAGCGGAACCTTTCGTTTGAGCATGATGTCGAATAGATCGCGGGCATAATGTCGGTATGAGTGACCGTGGTTTTCGATAGCCTGTAGAGCCACTTTGAAAGTCCGAGTGGTCAGGGCATGGCTCGTGGCGGGATCATCGAGGGTTTTGAGAAGCAAGCCAAACGCCGCATTCTTTGCTGCGACACCCGAGCCGTATAACCTGGCCGCACTGCCCGGAAGAAGCTTTGCATTGCTTATAGCCACAATGTACTTCTCCAAAGTCCGAGGAGTCCACTCATCCGGCACGGGAAGACGCTCGAATTTGCCTCGTGAAATGAACGGCGGAATGTTAGAAGGCCGTTGGGACGGTTTGAAACTGTCCCACACTTGCCCCCCATCATCATTCGTTTCTGACATTCCTTTCGGTACATCCTTCTGCGACATCTTACTGCCCATTTGCCCTTCGATGCTCGTTGTGCTTCCGTGAGTCCTGGCCAGTTGGGTAACTTCATCGACCGCGAACTCCAGGGCCTCGTCGTCTCCCGACAACAACAGGCGAGGTCTTGTCGGCGAGCCTTCTTTGATCGTACAGAGCTCGACGTGGCATCGTGTTCTGTCGCTGATATCCCAGATCGTGTGGTCGGGGTGGTGGAGCAGGACCTCTGCAAGCTTTGTCGAGATAGCAATCTTGCGACCATGTTTCTGCCAACGTCCACGTACTGGTCGGGTCTTCCGGCGCAGGACGTCCAAAATGGTACGCCAGTTTGGAAGAGGGTCGCCCTTGATATCTCGAATGGCCTCCAAGCGCAACTGCCTTCTCACACCCCGGTGATGTCGGTTGAGGCCAGACATGGTCTCGCGGAAAAGATTGTATTTCACAAGCGGCGGAACGAGAATCGAATTCCGCTGCCTTGCGACAAGCTCTCCATTTGGCTGATGTGGCCTACCACGAGGTTTGGTATGACTCTGATTGCCAGCCGACCGACCGTCTCGGTCTGATCCTGCCTGAATAGGGCTCCTCTTGCCAGTTCTTCTGAAAACCGAGCCCAAACCGTTGGGGCCTGATGCCGGCACCGACGAGTCGGAAATGCTCGAAGACAGTGGCGGCTCGCGCGTAGACGACGCATTGAGAACACGATCGACACTTTCGGGCTGTTCTGTTTCTTCGGTCCGTCTTGCCTGTTGAAGGGTCGCATCTTCACCAGCTGCAGGTCGGTCCGCCGAGTTCGTTGCAGCATCGTGGCTCGTTCGATCGTTCGTCTGATCTGTATTTTCTTCTCCTTGAGGGAGGGTCGTCTTGTCAGGGTTCGAAATTTCCGCAGCGTCAGAGACTTGGTGCATCCATCGGCAGGACAGCGGCAGCTGAGCTGAGGGTGCCCTAGACCATCTCGGAGGACCCCTAGGAATCAGAGATATCCCAGAGACGCCGGTGCGGTGGGAACGGGCTTTCCATAGTTGCGTGATTCCTAGGGACATTTGCTATGAATGGCGCATGTTGTATGCTGGGCTCGCAGTTGCATCTGAAATGTTAAGAAGTAGGAAGGTCGCATACCAGCTTGAGGAAATTTCCACTCCGCGCCGATTGATCCCGACCCAGTAGCGCAGGTACCACCCGCCGTCGAGTCGCGTTGCCTTCTGCGCATTTTCTAGATGTACAGTGCAGACACTGTCATATGGACAGTATGTCTCCCCGAATCTCAGCCGAGTGTTGAGACCACAGAATAAAATGACTACCTCGTAATGCGTATATATGTAAAGGCGGGTATACAAGAACGAATAACTCTCTTCACGTCCTCATTACTTGTTGACCGAGACAGGCAGGGCGCCTGAGTTCGCGTGTGCAGGTCCGCTCTGATCAACGCCTTGCCAGCTCTCGTTCCAGCCTTCGCCTTCTTCGACTGCGTGTTTCGCTTCGCCATTCTCCGCGAGTCCTTTGACATCGCTCCAGTATGATAGTCTCTTGACTTCCTCGTCGGCATGCTTGATGGCAGCAGCCAAGTGTTTCTTTCTCTCCCCCATCTCTCCTGACTCGTCTTCCTTTCCGTCGGCGGCGATGGCCTCGTCGTAGATCTGGGTCAAACGGCTCAGTAGCAGCCTCCGCGAGGCCTGAAACACAAAAATTCCCATAATATCGTGCATTTCATCCTGCAGGTGCTCGAGGTTGTCTTTGGCATGCGCGAGGTAATTCTCAACGGCCTCGATCTTTTCCCGGTCGATTCGCGAAGCCCGCAGGACTGCCATGAGCGTCCAAACGTCCTCAATGTCTGGTTTCTCCTCGGCGATACTTGTTTGCATGCTGGCCTTGCTGATGCTTTCTCGACGGCTGCCGGCTACACTAGAGGAGCGGCTGTGATTGGCAGGCGTGACTGTGAAGTAGTCGGAGTTCAACATGTGCGGATCTTCCGAGACGTCTTCGGGCTTCTTCTTAACACGCTTCCGAACCCATGCTCTCCTGCGGACGAAAGAATTCCACCACTTTGGACCGTGCCAGGAGAACTTCTTGGAGAACATGAACGAGTACTCCCATCCAAAGTCGTCCATTGCAACGCCCTCCTCCCGGTGAACTCTCCATTCAGGCCACGCCCACTCCCATGTAGGGTCGGGAACCTGGGCTGTTTTGGTTGTTGTCGGGCTCGTCTTGTGAAACTGGTTCGTCCAAGGCGATGGGTCGAGGTTGCCAAGCGCCTTGCCGGAGAAAAGAGCCACCCTGCAGCAAATGCAGCCTCTCTCGTTCTCCCATAGCACATCGATGGCAGATTCTCTCTCTGCCGTTGCTGGTCGATCATTGCGGCTGGCATTCCGAACTGCTATTGGAGGCTCGTGCGGCGTAGGTTCTGAACGGGCAAGCGACTGTTAGTATCTATTTCATCCACATACGCGACATTGTGACATACCTTCAACTTCGATTGAGGGTGCCCCGGTCCCTGCCGTGGTTTGAGGCTCTAGCACTGGGATCTTCCGCCTCTCCCTTGTTTGGGATAACCGACTTGGCTGTTGACCTATTGCTTCCCGGGAAGAAACGGGATTGTCATCTGGATTCCCGTTTGTATTACGGCTTGTTTCTTGACTCGATTCGTTCCCTTCCTCTTGGTCTTCGTCGCGAAGCAATCGTGACCCAGTCGATGCGCGAGGACCGTCTTGGGGGGTTTCGAGACTCGGCGAAGCTACGCGATCGTCGTGGTTGACCAGGTTGATCTCGTGATCATAGTCGCTGTCTTTCAAACCAGTTACCCGGCGAGAGCTTCGGAACGATGGCATTGCTACGGACTCCGACTTCGCACAATGGGTTGTCCAAAGGCTGCCGTCTCAGTACGGCCCCTACAGGAACCAAACCTCGATGGATGCAAGTCGTGTTTTCGGGACGTGTGGGGAATCAGGAGACTGGCCAGGCGTGCGTGGTTCGAGACGGTCCTCGCAGTGATAATGAGTACTGATGTAGGGAGCCGGACTGGAATGTGTCGAACAAAGGGAGAAAGACGACCAGATTCATCCAAGCATTATGCTGAATCGATGAAAAGCGTGATAATCGTCGGGCAAGGTGATCGAGACTGCCCAAAAGCAGATGATGAGGCTGAAGAGCCGGTTGCTCGAGGATCAGAAATTAGGGAAGTCAATTGAAACCTCGACGTCCGGACCTAGCGTGGGCTAGAACACCAGCGACAAGTAGTGGCCAAATGTGGCTCTGAAAGAAGGTTAGTAGGATGCAGGAGCAACAAGGCGCTATATCGCTGGCGCTTGCTGGTTGGAGGTTCCAGACCAGCTGAATCTGGCTCAGGCCGGTTCACGAGCTTTCCAGCTTGGCCAGGGCGGGAAAGGGTGTCGCGTCCTCAGGTCCGGCGATGATGTAATGTCCCAGCTTTTGCACTGAGCATCGAACCCCCTTGCCCGGGGCTTGCGTGCCGAGAGCCAGCAAGTCTTTGCTCCGATGGAAACAGCCTGTCTGCCTGTCTGCCTGTCTGCCTGTCTGTCTGTCCACCACAGGCCAGGCAACGCCTCTGCCGGCGAGGGTCAACCAGAAGAAGCGACCCTTGGGCTGTCAAGAAGTTCACTCTAGAAAATGACAGCTGATTCTCGGAGGTTTTGGCATTCGATGCGACTGGGATTCAGTGGAGGTCGCTCTGCAACTGTGATGTCGATGAAAGAGTACATGACTAATACTTACCTGTATGCCGACATTCAGTTTGAATGAAAGTACTCGTTTGTTCCTCCTAAAGAAACTAGCCCGTGCGAACTGTGGTCCCGGCAGCAGTGGAGCCCCGGCCAGGACCGGCTTCGAGGAGCTACCTCTCATTCCCCGCATTATGTCGCTCTACGTCATGTATCACTCACACCTTCACCTTTCCCAGAGCTTTAGAGCTTGAACTTGTGCCTTGTCCAGGCGACGAGCTGCCACTGGTGTGATGAGCTAGGAGGGGGAAAGATGTAACCGCGCAGCGAATACTAGACGGCGAATGAGACAATGGTAACTGCATCAGCCTGTAGGGCCCGTGAATTGGTAGTACTAATAGATCGTGCCATCCTTCCTCGTAACGTCCATTGCTCCCTCTCTTCTTCTCTCCATCAATCAATCACAGTCTACAATCTCAACCGCAGATATTCGAGTTTTTTGAGTACAGCTCCGAGCTCCTGGTCAAATCGCACCAACACACATCACACCAGTCCACACAATGTCCAAGTCCAAGGCTCCCCTCTTCCTCGGCCTCACTGCTGCCGGTGGTGTCGGCTACTACCTCTACAGCGCGGGCGGCAACCCAAACGCCGCCGAGAAGAAGTTCGAGAGTACGCCCACTCCTAATCCTCTCCACACGATCGCGAATCGGATAGAGGCCAGCGGTGCTAACCATTGCGACATAGGTGACGTCCACAAGGCCTCCGCAGAGATTAAGTCTCACATCCCCGGTCGCACTCCCGACGCCCAGAAGGGCCTCGGCGACACCGGTGCCCGTACCGGCGCCAAGGTCGATTCTGCTGTAAGTACTTGACGATGGTAAAGGGAAGAGTAACCCTTCTGACCCTTAATGCAGATCGCCGAGGCAGACAAACAGTTCGCTGCCGCGAAGAGCAATGCTGAGGCCTACGCTAAGGACGCGAAGGCTGAGGCGCTGAAGAAGATTGACCAGTTCGACAAGAAGGTCGAGGATGGCACCGCGAAGGCCAAGAGCGGCATCTCCAGCTGGTTCGGCGGCAAATAAGCATATTCAACATCATGGGTTTCTTTGTTCGTCTGTCGGATTATGCGTGACATAGGCATCGGGTTCGTTTCGCTCAGGGTTAGGAGTTTCATGACGGTGAATCAATTTCTAATACTTTGACTCAATTTTCGCTGTCCCAAGTTCTAATCGATGGTGTCCCCCAATCGCGCCTAATGGTCATTACTCGATACATTTATGTTTACACAACCTCACTTTTCTATGCTCTCCGCCACGAGCTTCAGAATGTCTTCAGTACCCTTTCTAGCGTTCTTCGGGTGTTTGGCAATAGCTTGCCAGTACTCCCCATGGCGAGGCTCATTCAAGACGCACTTGTTAATGACATCCGCTCGCTTCTCGTCTGTGCCGTGTTGAAGCAGGAACTTGTAATACCACGCCCAGGTATCACCATTATCACTATCCAGCACCAAGGCTTTCTCGAACCAGTTCTGGGCCTTCTCGAGCTTACGCTCGCCCCAGAAGATACGGGCAACAGCGACAAATAGGATGGGGTCGTTGTCCACCTTCTTGATGGCCTCCAACGACCGCGGTTTCCGCTGGGTCCGTGGCTCCAGGTGCCAAATCTGCTCGCTCCACAGCAGTCCGCTCTTGGGCACTTCTTGGAGAGCCTTGGCCATGAGCGACTTGGCTTGGTTGATGTTGCCCGCCCGGCGCTCGATGCGAACGGATTCGCACCACAATTCAGGTGATTTGGGAACGGCAAGGCGGGCTCGGTCGAGAACACTACGGGCCTTCACAACGAGACCGGCGTTCTCTTCCAAGCGGGAGTAGAGGAGCCACAGGGGAACGGACTTGGAGACAGCCTTGACGCCTGTGCTGTAGGACTCGCGAGCCTGGCCGATCTTGCCGAGTTCTTCATGGATTTGGCCCTTCAACATCCACAACTTGGCTGTGGCTGGGAAGTACTGCAGAGCCTGCTGGACCAGGTCCAATGCCGCTTCGCTGTTGCCCAGTACTCTTTCGAATACCACACTCTTCATCCAGACACGATCCGTAGGGGCCTGCTCGCGAGCCTCTTCCAGCAGTTTGCGAGCGCGCTCGGTCTCCCCGTTCTCGGCCTCGAGCTTGACGGCAGCAAGCCAGATATCTTCGTTGTCCGGGTTCGACTTGAAAGCTCTGGCGAGCACAAGTCTGGCGTTGTCGACCTCGCCGGCTTGCCACTTCTCCTTGGCCAGCATCATCCACAGCACCTCGCTCTTGGGACAAGCCTCGACGGCCTTCTCCAGAACCTGGGCGAGAGACTCCCTTGAACCGTGATTCCTCTCCAGGTCGGCGGCAGCCATCCACAGCGTCTTGCTGTTGACGAAGACTCGCAACGCGTAGGAGTAGATGGCACGTGCCGTTTCGTACATGCCACGGTTGATACTGCTCTTCGCGTCCTCCATCCAAGTCTCTTTGCGGTCGTCGTCCTCGTCCAAGCCGTACCCCAGAGTTTCTTGAATGATGTTCCCGCAGGTGATGATGGCACCCTCCTCTTCGCACTTCTCGGCTTCCGCAATCCACTCCTCGCGCTTCGGCATTGCAGACTCCTTGACGAGAACTGCAACTGCACGCTTCATGACGTTCACCTTCTGACCCGTTCCTAGCTGCTCTTGAAGACGAGCAGCAGCGATCCAAATCTCGTGAGACGTCGGAACAGCTTTGCGTGCCCTGTTGAGGACCTTTTGGGCGTTTTCGGGACTCTCCAACCTTGCCAAAGCCAACCAGAGATCAACGGAAAGGGGTATAAGCTCGGTTGCCTTGGCAAGCAGCAACCGCGCATCTTCCGGATCTTCTTCCAGGTTGACCGCTTCTTTCCAGAGGGCCTCGGATTCGGGGATATGGTCTAGGGCGAGCCGGATGACTCTCTTCTTCGCTCTGGGTTCGTTCTCCAGCCTCATGGCCTCAACCCAGAGTCGCACTGACCGGTCGTTCTTCTTGATAGCGTCTGCGGCGATGATCTTGGCGTTACGGCCCTCGTTGAGACGGATGTTTTCCAGCCAGACGTCCTCACTCTTCGGGCAGTGGGAACAACCACGCGCAATGACGCTACGCGCGGCAACAGTCTTGCCCGCAAGCTCCTCTAGTCGCGCTGCGGCGATCCATCCTGGCGCGTTGTTCGGATTCGTCTTGATGACCGAGGTCAACAGCTCACGCACACGGTTGATGTCGCCGACTTGCGCCTGAGCCTCGGTAAGGCCGCTCTTCTGCAGACTGGTAATGTAGCCCTTAGGATCGATGCTTGTCGCGCTGCCAGCGACGGAGTCGGTACCGTCCTGGGACGCCTGTTCTAGCCTAGACTTCAGGACCTTGTCTCTTGCTGCACCAATCTTGGCAAAGTTCGTCATCGTGCCGTCCGCCGATTCCGAGGTTGAAGCCGCGCCATCGTCTGAGATAGTAGTACCGAGCTCTCCAGCTGAGCTTGCTCCCGCAAGCACACTATCGGGAACCGCGTAGAATCGCTGTCGCAGGGCCTGCTTGCTTCTTCTGTTCTTTCCGGTCAAATCTCCAACCTCGGGGAGGTTAGCCCACTCCTCGTCTGAGACGGTCGACAGCGCTCGTTTGAGGTCGGCAAATTGTTGCTGGATCTTGGGGTTCTTGCGTTCGTATTCCTCCTGCTCGGCCTTCTCGCGTGCCTCTCGTTGTTTCTGCCGCCTCTTGGCCATCTTCTCATCGACCTCCTTCCATATCCTGTCGGCCTCCTCGTCGTCTTTGTCGTACACTCCTCCGGCGAACAGACCAACTTCGTTGTCGGGGTCTTTGAATCGGTCATCGTCGTCATCGTTCTCTTCCGCCTTCTTCCCGTCGGTTCCGAGACCGAGCTGCGCCGCGCGCTTGGCGACAGCTTCTTTGATCTGGTCCTCGCTGGGTCCCTCGCGTGCAGGACCCAGATCCGATCGCGTCGTGAAGCCCGTGGCACCTCGACCGAGACCGGCAACGTAGTTCTCGGGAGCCGGCTGGCTGAGGAAGTCGCGGCGGCTGGCCATCGTTTCGGTCGCGCGCTGCGAATGTCGTTGTCGCGTGGATGGTGGAGGATGCGCGCGACAAGTTTGCGATTTCGTTGGTGGAAAATGGGGTGAAGGCAGCTCAGAGCCGGACGAGTTGCGCAAGGCTGAAGTGGTCCTAAGTTTTTTTAAGCTGCTGCACCCCTGTCGCCACGGTAAGTGGTGGGGTCGGTTCCACTAAAATTTCCAAAAGGCTGCCCATGGTGCCCCTCCATCTTTCACCGCAGACTTCGACATCGCGAAGATTTCGAGGCCAAAACGCGATCGCCACCCCCAGGCAGCTTTGGACCCTTTCACAACCCGAATTGGCCTCGTTTATTCTTTGGGAAAATACGTGCGAACACACACATCATCATGGGCAAGGCGAAATCTGGGAAGCGCAACGCTGCCGGGTCCGGGACCCCGTACGCACGACCGGCAAAATCTAACAAGACGAACAATGTGTTCAAGTTTAACGTATGGAAAGTCCTCCGGGAGCTTTGAGAGCCGTGGCTAATATTTGTATTAGACAAATGTCGGTCAACATATCCTGAAGAACCCCGGTGTCGCGGATGCGATCGTCCATGTACGTCTCGAGCCCCGTCAACGAAGAGAAAACACAAATGCTGAGCAAAGCGCACGTAGAAAGCCGAGCTGAAACCGACGGACACCGTTCTCGAAATCGGTCCCGGTACCGGTAACTTGACTGTGAGGATATTGGAAAAGGCGAAGAAGACCATTGCGATCGAATTCGACCCTCGCATGGCGGCCGAAGTCACAAAGGTTCGGCAGAACGCAGTCGCAACCGTTGCCATGAGCTGACAGAATCGTGTGCAGCGTGTACAAGGAACCCCGGAACAGCGCAAACTCGATGTCATGCTTGGAGATGCCATCAAAGTCAGTTCAATCCAGGTGTCCATGTCTCATGGGTATCGGCGCGTGGAAGACGTATATACTGACTGAATGCGCCAGGTCGAATGGGTACCTTTCGACGTGCTCATCTCCAACACACCTTACCAGGTATTTTACGAAGCTCTCCATATGGCCTCCTTATGTCTAACCATACTCAGATTTCTTCTCCCTTGGTTTTCAAGATGCTCGCCATGCCGAAGCCCCCGCGCCAAGCGATTCTCATGTTCCAGCTCGAGTTCGGTCAGAGACTGGTAGCAAAGCCAGGCGACAAGCTCTACGGCCGGTACATCTTGCCACCATCCACCCGCAATAGACACGCCTGACTGACGAGTGAACCAGGTTGAGCGTGAACGCAAACTTCTGGGCGACCTGCTCCAACGTAATGAAGGTGTCAAAGGCCAACTTCAGGCCGCCACCGCAGGTCGACTCTTGCGTCGTCCGCATCGTCCCTAAGCAAGGCGCCGAGCGCCCTACCATCAGCTTTGAAGAGTTCGACGGCCTCCTCCGCATCGTTCGTGGCATCCCCTTCTTCCCCATCAAGGCCTCCGACTAACAAAGTCACACATCAGTGCTTCAACCGCAAGAACAGGACCATGCGCGCAAGCTGGCTCGGCACGAAGGAGGTCCTCCAGATGCTCGAGAAGAACTACCGCACCTGGGCCGCCCTCAACAACGTCCCCCTCGACGACTCCCTTGTCGAGGACGAGGAAGAGGATGATGTCATGGAGATGGACGACGAGCCGGCCGACGACGACGACGCCGAGCCCATGGACGACGACACCCCCGAGTTCTTCAAGGAGCTCAACGCCAGCGCCGCCGCCAAGGTCCCCGAGAAGACCAAGAGCAAGCGCAAGAAGACAAAGGTCGCGGCCCTCGTGAGGCAGAAGATCGAGGGCGCGCTGGAGAGCACGGGGCTGCTGGACAAGCGCGCGCGCGCGTGCGACGAGACGGACTTTTTGAAGCTACTGTCTGCGCTCAACTCGGAAGGCATTCACTTCGCCTGACCCTTGTCTGTTTTCGGGCATTTTCTTGTCACATATGGTAGAGGAATGGTTGATTATTGGTGGCATTTCCACGGCCCGGCGTTGACGGCGTACAAAACAAAAGAGGAGAGATATCAGGGTATGAATATAGAGTGGCCATCTCGGTCGTTGCGGGATCAATCAAATGTCGCGCCGATGATTCCCGTCTTGGTCTTCGTCATCTGCTGTGCTGTTGTCGCACGACGTGATCAGCGCATCAGCTCCCTTGCGCGCCGCAGAAGAAGAAATAGTGCCCTTCTTTCCTGCATTTTCTTCAAAACACGCTGAAGATCCAGCGGGCACGGCTACTACTGTTTGAATCACTTACGTGGTTGTCATGCCACGCAGGAGAGAAAACAATCTCCATGAACCTCTCGCACAACCCACGTGCCCAGGACGAGAACTTGGAAACGTGAGACATGACCGGTCACCTCAGAAGGGCCGACATCAAGATGAGACGAACGCCCAGCCCGTCCGCTGAATATGCTCCGGGCCGCAACCCCCAAAACCGACTCCAAAGAGCCTCATCGCAGGATTCCACCAGCCCGCCAAGCGAGAGGTCTGACAGTTCTACAGTACACACGGAGGCTGCGTGTGACCACTTCCCCCCCAGGTAAGAGATCTACGAAACCAGGCCGTTTCTGCTAGTGCCACTGAAAGAAGGGGGGAAAGGCGGGAGAAGGAAACTACTGAATCAAACGGTCATCATGATGCCGCTGTAGAACGGCTAGACCAGGCCCGACAGCGGTTGTATGGACTCGATGGTAAGGAGCGGACGCTGACCAGACGAGTTCGGACATGGCGGATAGAAATGGAAGTTCCATCCTCCCAGAAGGCATATGCTGTGCTTCCCAATCCTGACAATTCCGTCGAGCCAAACTTGGGTAGTTGCCGGCGCGGCCGCCGATCAGATTGGACAGACGGGAGGTTTAACAAGCAGAATGTCACCCACCCACGACCCCGGTTCTGGACCTGAGCACGCCGCGGCGCGCTTCCTTTGCTGCCCTACCCGCGCGCCGAGCACCGCCTCCCCTTCGCGGACTTTAGGGAAGGGAAACCACCAACGGTCCAACATCGCGTGTAAAACCGGGAAAGGGGGAATGGCTGTCAGCGAGGGAAGGGGGCTTTGTGCATGCAGCTTTTCTCGAATGAGACTTTTGACAGGCTTTCTTACCCTCCATCTTACCGTCCTGGGTAGTTGTACTTAGGCGCAAGGCGAAAAAAAAAAAGGTACTTTGCGGCAGCCACTTAGGCAGAAGGCTACATGATGCCATGCCAGCTTGCATCCGCGTGGTTGTTCTCCCGCCAGCGCATCGCGACGAGGCCGAACAAGGCCCGTCCCATCTGACAGGCGCCGACGACGAATCAGGAGGGCGGTTTGGGTGGCGCGGGCAGTTCTTTCGTCGGTTGGCAGCAAATCTGCCTGTCGACGGTTGGCACGTCATGTTCCCCCTTCTGTTCGGGTCCCCTCACTCAGCCTATAGACTCCTCGGGTTCCTGCGCAGATGATCAACGCCCAGCAACGGCGCTGACATACGGTGTGTGTGTGTGTGTGTGTCAAAGTGTCTTTCGAGATCCATTCATCACGCGTTGGCGGACTGGGCTCGAACTGTATGCATTTTGACGTGGTATGTCTCTGCGAGCTGTGCCGAGGGATTTGACAGGTCGCAGCAGGAAGACGGAATGACGAGATTTTTTTCCCTTCCTTCAAGGAACGTCTCATCGATCGCCCCTTTGCCCCTTGGCCGAGTCGACTGGTGTAAGACGGGCTGGGACTTCCCGTTGCGAAAGTGCTCACCACCTCGGCACCGTCGCACGGGAGTGTGAGATTTGGCTACCCTACCTCCCAGACAAGTCGCCAGCGAACGACCGGAGCGGCCAACCCTCCCAGTGCCGTTTTGGGTTGTTGGAATGTTACAACGAAGTCTGACGTGCCTCTTTCTCTTCCTGCGCCAGACTGAGCCACACTTCGCGCTCCTGCAAGTCCCCTGGGCCGGAGGAAGCGCCACCAGCGCATGTTCCTCAGCGGTGCCGTCACACGGCATCAGATGCTAGATCAGCCGTTCGTCGGATTTCGGTGCTGGAAAGCTGCCGGTGAGCGCCTCGGTCTGTCCAGAAAACGGACCCGTTCCTGTCACTTTCTTTGCGGGGACCGCCGACGTACCCCATCATACGACGGAGTCAAGTTCTCGACACTAGGCACGGATGGGGATAGGCGCCGATGAAGATGGCATCAGGAACGGTACCGTTACAATGACCCGGATCCCAATCTAGCGCAACCATCGCCGCAGTTGTCGCCGAGGTAGCAAGGGATGAAAGAACCGCGAGTAACGGGTAGAACTTGAGCTTTGAAGGGCATGTCGCAAAAACGATCTGTCTGCGGTGTCTGTCGTGCCCTGCCTGGCCCCCAAGCAGAGGGATTCAAGGGCGATGTGCAACAACCAATGACTTGTCGTCATTGCGTCCAATAGGCCGGTACCATCGGGATAGTGTCTGGGAATCGCAGGTAATTGCCTCGTGGGCGGGTGGGTTCACTGTGACATTCGGTCGGGGGGCCGGGGGCCGGGGGCCGGCGTCCTCTTCTTCTTCGTTTTTGGGAATGTCTTGGATTTTCCAGACCCCAAGCTGGCGGCCCCCCTTATCGCAGCCCAAAGACGGGTGCACATGGGAATGCAAGCAGTCGCGTGCTTGCCACGTCGTCCACTTGGCCGCCTGTGAGAGGCTGAAAAAGGCTGGCGTCAAGTCCCTAGAATCAATTTTGGTCCGTTGACTCGCAGCTGCCTGCACAAAGGGCAAGGGCTCGCTGGCATCCATAGACACGACGGGGCCATGCGGTGTCGAGGGAGAACAGGCGGGATGTATTCTGTAGTTCGCCGAACAAAGTTGAAGTTGTTACCCATCTGCGGGCCTTGGTCGCGGGGTTTGGTAACGAGGAGACAAGGGCAGCAAACCGCACACAAGACCGAAAGCCAAGCAAGATTCGTCCCTGGCTGACGGGTCTCTGGTCTCTCAACAAGACAGGGTATCGCCATCTGGCATCACGAGGGCTCGACTCGGTGAAGGTCATGTCCCTGGACGTGGAAGGGATTCGATGTCCGGTTGCGGACGGCGCAATGATCTCTACTATATCGTGAAGATAGGATTTTGCGAGTTGTGTGCCTGGGCTTAACAAGGGTGACCGTCTCGGGAGCCAGACATCAACTTGTTTGTCTCTGCTAGGCCCAGGGCCAGCTCCACGTAGGCAGAGACACTTGGTTAGTGCCAACTGATTTGCTTGAGATGAGACGGCGTGCAATCAGTGGACTTTGCTTCCATGCCAGATCTGTGATGTGTTCCCACAGCCAAGATATCTTGTCAACTAGAGATAAGTGCCTGACAAGCGAAATGGCGGCAACCAAGGAGTTTTGTGGTCGTCGGCCGTACCCTATCTCGCATCATGAATGGTAACATTGCCGGGAATTTGGATATGGCAATATTGAGGCAGAAGGTGCGCCAGATTGCGGGTCATAGCTCCCCAGCTGCAAGAGTTGTTCCTGACTGACTTAAACCAGATGGTGAAAGTGGCCCAGGGAATCATGCACGTAGCAGAGCTAACAGCATACGGATACCAGACAGAAGAGAGAAGCCGGGCAGGATAAGATGGAAGCTGGAGTCCAGAAGTCTTCGCGAGCCAGGGTTGAGGGCACGACAACAAGTGCAGAAGCGTGATTGGAGACAGGCTATCGAGACCCTAGGAACTCGACATCAAAACAGCGGTGATGGCGGTGGCGGGAAAAATCGGTGACAGGCTGTCGGCGCAATAGTCTACCGCGTAGGGAGGCCGCAGAAAAATAACGAAGAAAAACCCCAAGGGAAAAGAGGCATGTCTGGGCGATGGTGGAACCAGCAAAGAAAAGTCGCATCCAGAAGAATTCCAGATGGGGGATGGACGCTGTGGATTGTGGACTGCATCCATTTCATCCACCTAATCCACAGCCCAGCGAGGACGAATCAATCTGGAGAAAAGGATCCGGGAGGAAAGTTGAAAAGTCGAGAGTTGCGGTCTGAGGCATCCCGCGTAGTTTCAGGGTTTTTGCCGGGCCATGGGTCTTTCTTCCGGAGGAGGTGAAGTACCTTACGGAGTACCATCGGCTCAACTGACAGCACCAGCAGCGCGCGGTACCTGCCGGATAGCCTGGACGTCACGTCCACGGGTAAGGTACCTTCTGGTCTTTTCTTTCATGTGTCTTTGTACCTCGTAATGGAACGACGGTTGCAACGGAACTCCTCCCCCGCCTAGCCCTTGCCAAAGAAATCCAGAACAGCAGCCCAAACACTCACCGGAGGCGGTACGTACTTTTGGCGGTTAGCTTGCCGTCTTCTGTACCAGCACGCAGTCCGCAGTACCAGCAGCAAACTCTGAGCTCGACTTGGATGTTGATGCTGTGACTGTAGATGACCGATGGGACCTGACTATCACTTTCGTTGACCTCCATCATACGGTAGTACCATCATCGCGTTCTCTTTTTCTTTTCCGGTCTGTTTTGCTGACTCTTCCTCCCCTTCCCTCCATCCTCGCTGGGGCCGGTGACGCTATGCTGGGACCTGCAGCAGGTCGGATCCATTCGTTTGCGTGGAGGTTGGTTGCTGAAGGAATCCGTCCGCGGCGCGGCGCCCCTCCCCAGAGTTCCCGATTTTTACCCAGCGGAGAGGGGAGGAGAGGAGGACAAGGTCGAGACTGAGAGTTGACGACGCAACGCGGCCCATCACCCGGCGAGACTGATGAAAGTACCCTGATCGGAAACCAAAACATGCCGCCCTTGACGGCTAGACCCCCCGGGAAACCCAACCTCACAGAAGGCCGAGGGGGGTTACCTACTTCCACTGAAGTAAAGCTTCGTTGAAGTTGCTGACTTATTCCGATGGGGCACTCAACGAAGCTTTCTGATTGATGCGGGCTGTCAGGGACGCTTCCGCGGTGCCTTGATCACCCAGGGAGAACCGAGCTCCAACACGTCCATGGTCTTGGTCGCTTCAAAATGGCGCCCGAGTTGAACAGAAACATTCGTCCCGGGATGGAGCCAGAAGACGCGAGAAAACTTTGTGGGAAAAAAGGGACGACTCACGAGGTAGGGCGCGGGAACGGAGGGAGAAGTCGAGTCGAGACAGAGATGAGAGATGAATTGCGTCGCCTACCTATTTGGCCGACGGATACGTATCCGTGGGCTAAGGTGCCGTGATGAGTGATGATCAGGCATGGCCGTTGCGTTGGGCATACACATCAGGGTCGCCCTTCCATATTGACTTGGTGGTTTTTTTTTTGCTTTTTTAAAATTTTCTGTCTTCCAATTTTCTGGTTTCTTGGTTCTTGTTTGCCCCGTCAGCCGGCCTTACTCGTTGACCTTGTCCTCCCCTCCCTTCCACATCCCTCTTTGAAGGAAAGTTTTAGATCTCTGTCACCCTGCCTCTGCCTGCCAGATACACAAGCAAGGAGCTTGACTCCGGACCTGTCAGATCCATTGTTTGGTTCCTGCCGCTCCTTTGAACGACGTCTGGCGCTATGGTTGGTTGGCTGGGTTGTATGATGTGTCCATGATGGTATTATTTTGTACAGTGAAATGCCTGTGGACGCAGCAACAGCGATGGAAAGCGGTGTTGCAGGGGACGATGAGAATAGTGCATGGCCAAAAACATAATCGAATACACGGTCATCAGATGGATGGATGGATGGATGGGAGGGAGAGCAGAGGTCCTCACCTCAGTGACGGCAGCGCAGTGTACGGTGTACCTGTGCATCGCCTCTCTCTGCCTTACCCAGGAGGAGCGATACCTCATCCAAAAACCGCATACTTTGAGGCAGGCATTCGTTGAGGTATCGCGGTACGTGAAATTTGGCAATGTTTGCAAGCCTCAACTGCAAGCCATACCCCGGTAGGGAAGTATATCGACTTAGCGCTTAGGTTCCCTTCAGCTGCAATCGTGCCTTTCGGTACGTATCGGAAGTATCCTCTCCAACGTATCTCGGTAGGTACCTTCGAACATGTACTGCCCCTTGCAAACAGGGCATTGGTTTCCGGCAGGTGCTTTTCATTCCATCTCATCCATCTTTCCATTCGTCTTTTTCGGGCACTGAGGTCTCTGAGACTCACTGAGCAGGTCGTAGTCGTCACACGCTAGAGCCCGCTCCTTACCGACCGGTCCATCCCAGCTCCCACCACAACTCAGTTACATTTCCCCCAATCGCCCAGCAGCCAGCAGCCAGCGCACCCAGCAGCAAGCAGCAAGCAGCAAGGCAAAGCAAAGCAAGCAGCGCAACATTGGATTTTGGCTTTGCACCGACGGCCGTACTGACCTCATTCCCGTCTGGTCTACCTCACCTCACCTTACCACCACCACCCGGGTGTCTTCGTCTTCGTCTTTTACATCAGACACACTTTCTTCCACCAACTTACACCACTTCTACCAACACTTGGTTTTTTCATCCCCCAATCCCCTCATTTTTGAGCTTCTTACTCGTTCACTTCCATCACCCATTATTTTACACAAGATCACTTTCTGCAAGCTACTTCCACAAGTGTACCCGTCAGACGCATACACAGCAGCCAGCTCGCCAACACCAGCTTAGCCACTCGTCAACCACGAATCCCACCTAGAGACACACGACCGCGCATCGAGAAGCAGTATAGTAGCCAACCGCACCGCGCCCGACGACGATTCCCAGATTCCCAATAGGATCTCATCCTACCTACCTATCTTACCCTGACTACCATCACATCCCACGTCGCATTGTCGAACATCATGATAGGCCTGGTTCCGAATTACGACTGCCGGCTCCCGAGTTAAATCCCACCCACATTCGATTGGTATGAGGACTAGACGAGGCTCCATTCCCTTTGCTGTCTCACTTGGAAATCCTCGGCCATGGAAAAGACATCCAACATCACAAATGGGTCCTCTGACGCAAGCCAGTCACGATTAGAACCCCCAGAGACGTCCATCGTTACTCCCTCCCACACCTCCACCATCACCACAACCACCACCGACCGCCAGCCTTCCTCCAAGCACTCTTCGGCCACAACATCCCTAACACCATCACCATTCAACTCGAGAGACACATCTCCCACCCGTAACTACGCGAAACCTACTACATCCACTGCCCAAAAGGCCGCCTCGACCCCCGGCCTGAGATCGCGCAAGAGCAGCAGCCAGGACTTGACCGCGGTCCGAACCCCCAGGTCCACCAGCAGCATACCAGGCCCGCCGGCATCATCGAGGACCCTCTCCGCCGCCACAACCCCTACACTCCTCCCACAGACGCAAGAATCCTTCCTCAAGTCCATAAACCCCCAAAAGACGCCGCTCAATACCGAGGTGGCTCAAACGAGAGACAGCCCTCGCTGGCCTGTGTCGCCTCGCTTGCGCTCGCCCCCTCCTCAACTAGGCAAACCTCAGAATCCCCCACCGGCTCGCCGGACTGAACAGGAAACCCCCAAGATCAACCTGACGAGAGCCTCTCCCACACCCCAAGCCGAGCCCTTCCCCTCCGTCTCCGAGAGCGAAACGGACGACTCTCAGCTTCAATCTGGGGTGCGAACTCCCGTCACCGGCAGCGGCTCAATATTGGAAACGGTACAGGAAGTGAGCTTGCCGAACTCACCGGGACAGATGGATTCCACGCTCGAAAAGGTCAATGAGAAGTTGGCCCACGAGGCAGCTGCCAGCGCCGATGATATAACCCAAATCGACAACCGAACTGTCCGACTCGGCAGGACTGCTCTGCAGCCAACAGAAGCCAACGGCGATACCGGTACCGTCAGAGTGCGATCGCAAAGCTCCGCACCCGTCCCGACGGTCACGCGACAGTCCAGCGTGCTGTCAAACAAACAGGGCAAGAACAAGGCAGCTGGAGAAGGATCTAATCTCATCGTCGAGACAGAGACGGTATCCTCTATCCCTCAGGTGGCATTGGCGCCCGCTTCCAAGCTGGAACCTGGCAACGGTACACTTAGGACAAAGCCCAGCACGGAAACGATCCGACCAAGGAAGGAAAAGCGAAAGACCAGCCGGAAGCAACCGACTGTCAACACTGCCAACGGTGAGATACCCCAAATCAAGTCCCGACTCTCCTATTGAGACGAACGTGGGTCTATGCAATTGGGCAACATACTAACTTTGTGTTCTTCCAGCATCTTCAAAAGCAGATATTTTTGAGGCTAAAGTGGCCAGCGCCGTTGATGAGGCGAACACGTCAGATTCCGAGGAGACGTTTGTCTACGACTCCAACCCGCCTGACGTTGGCGATAGACGTCGGTATCACTCCCGAACCCCCAGCGCTACATCGATGATTAGCCAAGCCGACAGAGCCGGCGCCCTAGGCATGCGCTCAATTCACGAGGCTATGCAAGGGGGTGGCGCCGCTGCCGCCGCGGGGTTGAAGAAGAGCATGAAGTTTGTGAACACTTTCAATAGCAACGGCGCCGAAAGCCTGGGCGTCGACGAGGATGGAAAAGGCAGCGGCAGAAGCGTCGGAGTCGGCTCAGGAAGAGGCACAACCAGACACCACCACCACAATCACTTCGGGCGTTGGGGCCGCCAGCCTGGAAATTCGCATCCTTCCCTTTTCGACAACGAATCACTGTTTCCAAACGCTGCGCGCTCCAAACTATCGGCCGCCAACTCTAGACAATCATCCGGCCCACCAAGTCCGAGAACCGCGAGCTCAGCTAGAGGCGGCCCCCACGCTCTCGGTAAGCGGTCTTCGATTCAAATGGCCCGTTACGACGCGGACGACACGACGACCACCGGTGCGGATGACGAGCGTACGCCTTTGCTCACGGCCTCCGTTCGATCTGGGCGCAGGGCCCGTCGCCATCCTGCAAACTTGCGAAACCTTGAGTCGCAGTCTTACAGGCAACAGCCTTCGTATCTCAATCGGTTTGCCGCTTGTCTGGTGGTGACCATGATGCTCCTGCTAGTCATTACCGGCGCGATTGGTTTCATGTTCGCGACATCTCAGCCTCTGACGGACATTCAGCTTGTTTCCATCAAGAACGTCCTCGCTAGCGACCCGGAATTGATGTTTGATTTGACGGTCAAAGCTCATAACCCCAACATTGTGGTTGTGTCCATTGACCAAGCGAATATCGAGATTTTTGCAAAGTCACCTCACGCAGGAACCGACTTTGATTGGTGGAAGCGACCTCACGAAGGAGATCCGGACATGCACATTCGCGACGATCCTCCCGACGACCCGCCTGACGACGATGCGGCGCCCAACATGCGTCTCGGTACGATCACTGAGTTTGACAGTCCTCTTTCTTTCGAAGGCTCCTTCTTCAACAAGGGCGTATCAGCCTCAACTGGTACAATGCGACTACATCTTCCAGGCAACCACTCGGCTGGCGGCTCTGAGCGCTGGGGTCGAATCATCCAAGATGAGTTCGACCTGATTGTAAAGGGTGTCGTCCGTTATTCTCTACCACTCAGTCAGAGAGTCCGAAGCGCTCCGATTTCTGGCAGAGCAACAGTCAAGCCTAACTCTGCCAACGACCCATCGCTTCAACCAAACACAACTCTGCCAGGAGAGCTACCGGACCTCGAGCCTTAGTGGCTTTCCACGGCGGTCGACACATTCGACCATTTCCTTTGTCAACTTGTTCTGTATATCGAGCGTGCATGGCATGGCATAGCATATCAAGGAAAAGCGGCGTTGAATGGGATCTTTCCAGCAACTAGCGCTTTAGGGCAAAGACAGACAAAAGCGACCTGTACATATTTATGTTCATTGGAGAGCATCGCAAATCACGATGCCTCCTGTTTTTTTTGGGCTGGCGTTTGAGTTTTTGGTTTGCATTGGTTCTTTCGGCTGACCCCACCATTCGTGGACCACACGCCCTCACTGGGCACATCTCAGGAAGCGCAGCGCTCTCATTCAGGGACAGGACTTGTTCACATGGGGTTAGGGGGTTGCGATTGTGTTTATTCTTTTCTGTTTTCATGGTCTGGGAATCTTCTTCGAGACGGCCTTTTGAACTCTGGGGTTTTGCATTAGATGGGAAAATGGCAACTAAACCGTTGTAATTGTAACGAAACTTTTGACGACCAACAGGAGAAAAGGGAAGAAGAGTCAGTCTGCCCGCAGGAGGTGTATGACTGGAAGAAAAGTTACATCCAACCAAGATTTTCGATGCTGTCAAGCGGACCAGCAATGGATAAGGCTGAATTTGGAAGCCGGGTAGAGAAGCGCGATAACCGTGACGGAGTGAGAGTCGATTTAGATGGTCGTCCCGTAGGAGACCTAACCAGGCTTCTTAGAGCAGGCAATAATCAATCACTATTACTCTATTACCACTTCCCCGCGCGTTGTTATCCGCTGCGGTTGCTGGTCGTCCGGGTATTGAATGTCGACAAGCCCTAACCTGCCTCCCGAGTGCTTGCGATATGCTCGGCAGATTGTGCGAGCCTCTAACCGACATTCCCCCCTTACCTCGCTGACCGCCTTTACGGCTTCGAACCCGGACGGATCATGATTTGTGGGTATACGTCAAGGCGACCCAAACGTGGGGTTTGGCTTTTCGTTGCCGCGGGACGAGCAAGTGTTGTTGTTGTTTTTCTTCTCCTCCGATCGGAGCGGTCGGGTCGGGCGGGGTCTCCACCGCGAAGCAACCCTTTATCTCGCAATTCAAGTGTTCTGCTTCGTTTTTTTTTTTGTTTTTTTTCATCTGCTCACGCCCCCCCTCCCCTCCCCTCCAGGCGTCCACAGAGCCCCTCATGTCAGGTGGCTGGCAATCTGCGCAGGGTTGGAAATGGTGGAGGAGCAGAGGTCGGCGGCATCCACACGATCCACCCGGTTCTTGAGTCCTGAGAGGACGGGGAGGAGTTAACGGCAACTTGGCCGAGCGGTCTAAGGCGCCAGACTCAAGCGAAGGCTTGATCCTCCCAGAGGATTGTATTCTGGTCTCGAAAGAGGCGTGAGTTCGAATCTCACAGTTGTCAGTTCCATTTTTTGCCTCTTGTGACATTCTGATGGTATGTTGGTTGTTACCTTCCTCTTCTCTCTTCTCAGCCAGAGAAGGAGGTACGTATTCTTTTTGCGGTGGCTCTTCGGTGGTGAGAATCTGACGAAATCAATATTGACTATTAATCTAAGCTACACTAACTCGCTCCCCATGTCGGATCTGAATATTCCAGTTGGCACGAAGTCTACAAACGTGGAATTGTAAATCTAAATTTTCGGGTATTGGTGGTTTAAGGTCTCTCTCGGATAAGCTTCGGGTTGACATTTGGCCTCCTTCCACCTTTGCGCCTGGAATTCTATTACTACATTCAGCCTGGAATAACGCAAACCGTTGTACGGATTGTGCCATCTACGAGTCATTATAAACTAACACACAACAAACCCCAAACAAACCGTCTTAAGAAACACCGAAAGTGAATCTCAAAGCCACTATCTACCTATCTAAGACCTAAAATCTTTTGACGAGGAAAAACAAAAAATGCCCGTCATCACCACCAACGAGCCCGCCTCGGCCGTCGCCGCCGCCCTCAAGGCCGAGGCCAGCGAGTCCAAGCCCGCCTACCTCGTCGTCTACGCCTCGCACCGCAACGGCAAGTCCTGGTGCGGCGACTGCACGGCCGCGGAGCCGTACATCGAGAAGAAGTTCGCGGGCGCGGAGGATACCGTCCGGGTCGTGTACGCGGGGTTGCCCGATGAGTGAGTGTCCTTCCGTCCGTCTCTTTCCATTTTTGACTTCATGCTGTGTCACTTTGGGTTATACGAAGGTGCATGTGTGAAAAGGCAAGGCTGGGCTGATTCTGACATAAATGGCTTTCTAGGTGGAGGACCAAGGAGAACCCGTGGAGACAGGCGCCGTTCAACGTTACGAACTTGCCCACCTTGATCAAGGTGTCTGGCGAGAAGGTGAGTTCTTTTGAGTGGTCACTTTCCCTTGGCAGCGGCTTACGCAGCTGCGTTGCATAAGCCGCTGTGCTGGAGAGTCAGTGTTCGCTGACATGTGAAATGCTAGAAGTGGGAGAAGCTGGTCGAGGCGGACGTCTACGACCAGAAGAAGCTCGATGCCTTTGTCGGAGGCAACAGCCGTTTGTAACTGGCCATGATAACAAGCAAATAAAGCAGTTTGGAAACGTTCGGGCCGTGATATTCGCGGAAGCCAAGATTCGTGATGTGTTTCCGTCATCTTGGAGCTTGCCCAATCATTTTATGAGGCAAGGGATGTCTGGATGTTGGACGTTAGAACGAGGTCTATGTTTAGAGTCGTGGAAATAGGGGTCCTGGACCGTTTGTGTTTATGCGGAGAGAAAACGCCGGACTGACTGAAGTGTTGGGGGCAGGTTTAAACAACTCTGAGTCGTCTTGCAGCGAGGATGAAGCTTGTCTTGAGTCGCGAAACGGTAGAGTTTCATGAGGCCTGGACGCGTGTCGGTGTATTGCGAACCGTTTTGTTTCCCTGCTGGCGGGCGAGTCAGACGTCTCGAGTTTCTTGATTTTCTTATTCTGGTGTTGTACTTTTATCTGCTTCTGAGCGGTGAGGTGAGTCGTACTTGTGCTGCGAGTCGCCGGGCTTGTTATGGAGGCATATCTGGAGCTTCATGTGGTCAAGACGCCCGTGAATATCTCGTTGGGAAGATGGGTTGAGCTGTGAGCTCGGGTATGAGACAGCCAGATACTTTACAAACACGCCTTGGTAGCTGTGTTGGTCTGGCAACGAAGTGAAAATATAATCTGGTCGTTAACCTTTGAATGGATGTTGACAGGATGTATCTTCATCGAGAGCGTTGTCGCAAATGCGATGCCTTGGAAGCTACGTAGGTTATTCCAGCCGGCCATAGTCATGTCTTCTGAACATCTGATTTGGAAGTGGAATGAGGTAGCTAGTCCTTGGTGTAGTATGTAGACAACCAACACTCGAGAGACGACGCCCGGTGGCAGGCATCACCAAGGCCGAGAAGGCCTCGCAGCTAGATATCCGGCTTGCCACCGTACCGCAGAGATACGAAGATTAAATCGACAGCGGTCTTTCTTTCATCCCAAGTAAATGACTGGAAAACAATGTTGTGTCTCTGTTTGGAAGAAAGATGTATTGGATGCTGTACAATCGAGTTCCTTTTATACCTCCGAGAGCCTTTGGTTCGCGTCTAACTCTCTGCCGCTCTCTCTGAGCCTTAATTTCTGCAGGTAATCACTTTGTAAAGTGCCATGCAGTCGCAATGCTCACAACATCCACAACGTTTGCTGAGCACCGTCTCAGGCCGGCTCAGGACAATAACAATTCAGCTCCCCAAAACCCTCACACTGGTCCTTGAAGCGGATGCAGGAGCTGAACGGACGTGGGCTAGATAACACATACCCAATACCCAAAGGACATCATCAGCAACGGAAAACGCCCATTTTTTGTGACGGTATTGCTCTCTTGACCTTCAGGGAATAGACTTAGCTGGTAGATTACGCTTCTAGAAGGTAGCCTCATCCTGCAGCAGGAGACGACCCAGCGATGCCCGGGGATGGTCGTTGAACTGCACAGTTCTCAGCGTTGAACTTGCCCCTAAATCCTGATAGCTTAGAAACTCATTCCGTTTCTATGTGCATCACTGACGTCCTCCAAGTATTCGGTTCTCTGAGAAGTTAGCCCGGCTCTCTTCCTCTCTCCCTCCCTCATGACCTCACAGTCTCACAGTCTCGCGGCCTCCCGATATTTACCTGTCATCGGCGGCCGAAGGCAAGAACAAATGACACTCATTATTCTCTGGCGGAATGTTCTTTGGCTCTGGTCACACCTAAGGTTTCTTTCTCACTGGCTAAATATCTACGAAGGGTTCGTGCTATGGAAGCGGAAGGGAAATCTGTGCAAGTCCGGATTCCTGTCAGGAGAGAGATCGTATAAAACGGCGGTTTGTGGGTGCAGTTCTCCCTTTCGAAACCAGCCATCCGGCTGCCTGCTCCGACTGGGAGTTCCTCCATGTCCATCGTCCAAAGGGCCTCGGAATGTCTGGTCCGGAGTTTTCGATTGGCTGAATTTTGTCGAGCGTTAGGCAGGTGAGTCTGTCTTGTCCAACCCGTTCGACACAATAATCCCAGAATACCTCGTAGACACCAGAGGCAATGGACAAGAGAGCTTGTATTCCTCTCGTGTTATCGACTTCGCCCGACATCACCGATGCAGACCTTCATATTGTCCTCGAGTAACTGAACCAAAACAATCACGATGCCGTTCAGCTGATTGCTTAATCTCTCCTCACTGAGTGTGATTTGCTATCCTAGCCTTTATAGATGTCGGTCACGCCTGCGGCTAAATGCCGACAAGTCGCCCAACCAAATCATCACGACTGAGTTGAGTTGAGTTGAGCAACAGGGCCCCACCCGATCAATACCTCTGCCCGAAGATTTCAAGAGCCTCCTTGACTTCAGCCAATGTTTGACCATATGCCAAGGGTATCTGGGCACGTCAGGACGCTTCGCGGAATAGCCTTCCGACATGCAGCATCTGAGGGACTAGGATCGCGCACTCCGGGACAAAGAACCTCGTTCTCCTGCCATCCCAATGCAACGGGCTCGACGTCCAACTCTAATTTTGACTCGGGGTTCCCTCACGACATGTCGTCATCCAAAGAACTGGGTTGTTTCCAAGGATTTCGTCCATCGCGGCGGACTATAGTTGCAGTCAACCGAGCGGTAAAATCTCTCTGAACAATCTTTCCCGGAACTCAAAGCGCTTTCGAGCACAACTGGCATCGTCCAATCTCACACCGCAATGACGGGAACAGTGAACCGTACCTAACATCAAGCCATCTCTGCATTACTCATGTGTCTATCCAACATTGCGCCTAGTCAGCAAGAGCCGAGGGATGTAAGATCCGTAAGGCCGAAACTATGCAAAGACGCCTGTCATCAAGTTCTTCCAGCATAATAAGATGCTGTGTTGTTCATGAACACCTCCGGAAATCAAATGTCCTCATCCTCATCCTCATTGTCATGTCACAATCCTCGCGTCTCGTCTTCAGCCAAATGCCCCTCAATCCTCCTCGTCAAAGCCCGCTCATCAACCCCGATCATCAATCCTCCTCTTGATAACTGAAGAATAGATATAATGTGTTTAAAAAAATAACGTGGCCACCAGAAAAAGAGCAAGTATACCCCTGTGCATGGTAAAAATGATGTCAACGGCGCCTCCCGAACTCGATGCTCGTCTCGCAGAACTGATTGAAATGCCACCAGCCCCTATGTGTGTGCGTTCGCGAAACCAAGCAAAAGCCGTGCCACGTGCAGAAACTGCGTTGGTTCCCGCACGCGGCACTTCAAAAAGGAGAAGGGTATCCCGTCTTTCTTTTTCTGTATCCAACGATGCCAAAGTATTCGCCTGAATTGTGCGTGCAGAAAGATGGATGTGATCGATGTGCCCAAAGCATAAGGGAGAGGTCATAAACATAACAACGTGATGTGATCATGGGTGGCCGTCGGCGGAATTACTCGGGGATGTCGCCGTTGGCGGGCGTGGCGGACTCGTCCTTCTTGCCCCAGCCAGAGGCCCAGCCCATCCAGCTGGATCGCTTGTTGTTCTCCTGCTTGGCCTCGGCGTTCTCCTGCACCAGGCGGAGTGGGCGAGGCTTATTGCCGCCGGAGAAGGTGGTTCCCTTCTCGTGATGGGAACGCGGGGGGGATTGCGACGGGGGCGTCGTGAGTTCGCCCGAGTCACCACTCAGACTCGAGGTCTCGCTGCGCATCCCCGGAAAGTTGCCAGCCGTGGGAGCCTGCTGGCCACTGGGGGCGCGCGCTGCGGCGTTAGGGTTACCGTTGAAGAAAGTCTGTGAGGTTCGTGGCGTACGAGGTGAGCCCAGGGGCGGGGAGATAGGGCCATCAGGGCCCTTGTACATTTGGCTGACGAGGTTCACGCCGGTGAACTGCTCGCTCATGGGACGAGAGCGCCGAGTGCTAGAGGAGCGGGTCAAATTGCCGATAGGAATGCGAGGCGCCGTCTCCGGATCGGTGTGTGCCGAGTTGGCTGGCTGAGCCGAAGGTACGTAAGACATGGGTCTCTGCTTGGGCTTGTTCGGGCCTGCGGCCATGGTCTTGGCTCGCTGCAGGAGCGATGCCCCGGAAGCGGGCGGGAGCGGTAGCTCCTTGTTCGTGTTGGCGGAGGGAGGCTTCACCTCAGTTGAGGTGTCGAGGATATGCTCGAAGTCCTGATGCTGCAAAAGTCTCTCAATAATCTTGTTAATGTAGAGTGTCAATGCCTTGTTCTGGTCCTTCATGGACTTGAGCTCCGACTCGAGGCGGCGGACAACTTCGCTGTTATCGGCAGTGCCATCTGACGCCTCGGACAGCTCATCAGCCAAGCTCGCACCTGCAGAGCGGCCCTCGAGGGCGTTGAGCGCATCTTGGTTGGCGGAGACGCCCATGTAGCTGAAGTCGTTCTTAGAGAAATCGCCGTTCAGGGTCTTCTCCTGCAGAAGCAGCTGGTAGCTCTCGTTGTCCTCCATGAGGCGGGCGTTGGCCATGCGAGCTTCCATCAGGAGCCGCTCCACCTCCTGCAGCCGTCCGCCACCTTGGTTCTCGGACTCTACCAGCTTGATCTGGGCCTCGGCGAGCTCGAGGCGCAATGACTCAATGAGCTTGTCCTTCTGCAGGATGAGCTTTGAGTTGTTTCGAGAATCGCTGCGGTTGAGTGATGACGGGGGTGCAAAGCTGCCGTTGTCGACGTTGGGTGACGTTGCTGTCGCTGGATGATGTTAGCAAGATATTCTCGAGATTCGAGGCGACGGAGCTTACATTGTCTTGAGGACCTGTTGCCCTCCTCGTTTTCCATTCTTTGCGACAGAGTGTCTTTCAACCTTTGAATGATGGTCTGCATCTCCTCCTCACGGTTGGTAAATTCCTCCTTCTCCTTGTTCATGGAGCTTCTCTCGGCCTCGTAGATGGTCTCCATCTCGCGCATCTGTCTTCCGTTTTCGCGCTTTTCGTTGCGTAGGGTCTCGATCTGCTCCTCGGCCTCATGGACCTTCTCTTCCAGCTTGGCGGACTCCTTGAGGGCCTCGTCCAGCCTCGTCTGCAGCACTTCGGCCTGTTTCCTGTACTGCTCAGAGGAGATTTCAGCCTTGGAGAGGCGGTCCTTGAGGTCGTCGAGCAACGCAAGGGTCTCGGCCCTCGCAGCTTCCTCAGCGTCGGCGTTGGGGCTGGCGGCGGTGGTGATACTGCTGTTGTCCATAGTAGAACCCCTCCTGGCGTGGGCAGCGGCACGAGCAGAGACTGGGGTTGTGGTGCGAGGTGGTCCTCTGCGAGCGGTGGAGGAGGCGGTGGGAGTAGATGATCTCGAAGGTGTTCTTGCGGGAGAAGCAGAGGGCGAGGCGGAATCGGTCGAGGAGACCCGACCGACACCGCCGGCGGGCGGCTTCTTCGCGGTGGCAGCGGACATTTTTGTCGCGTTCAGTAGGTTTTGTTGTGGCGTTGGGCGGTGGGTTGTTGTGTTGGAGTCGCAACGGAGGTAACCTGGGGAAACGGGAGCGGGGGAATCGGTTTTTTTAGTCGAGGGAGAAGGGCGAGCAGAGCAGCTTGTGAGACTTTGTGCGATGCGGGCCAAATATTTTCTGTAGTGACGATGTTCCGTTCCAGAGACAGCAAGCTAGGTACTCGAGTAGAATGTTGTAATTGCTTATTCTTGGAACAGGTGGCGCGGGAGGGACGAGACGGCGGGAGTCGAGTTGTCGATCGTTGGGCCCCCAGAGACCAGAAATGGAATGCGAAAGTGTGCTGTGCTGCTGTGCAATGCTAGGAGAGCCAAGGTGCAAGGTGCGGTGCGGTGCGGTGCAGGAAAGAGGGTGTGCAGTTGGGCAAGCCTTAAGTCGTGTCAGACTGGACGTGTGCTCTCAGCCCCGGTCAGGTACATTCGAGTTGTACCTGACTACCTATGAACATGCGCCTGATGGCCGTAGCGATTTGTCGGTGTCGGTGTCGGTTGTCCAGTCACTGTCCAGCGTCCAGTCAATGTCCAGACCGCAGGGACTTTGTCTCCAGTGAATTTCCGATATTTTGGAGGGGGGGCCGGCTCCAGGGGGGTCTAATTCGCTAGACTGTTCAGAATTGAGGGCGTGGGCCAACCAGGAACGCAGCAGATAAGTCGAGAACGAATGATGCTTTTTCTTTTTCGTTGTATGTGTGTTCCATCCAACATCCACGTTCTTTTCTTCGGGTCTCCTGTCCAACTTGGAAACTCGGGTGCACCGTGCCGCTAGGTAAACGTTGTGTGTTTGCGTTCCTTTCCGCTCGAGCAATGCTTCTGCAGATGCAACAACGAACCAGTCGTCATCCAGAAACCTAACCTTGACACCGTATCCGTACTTTGTCTTCCGTAGCTCGCCGTAGGTCGGGGCAACGCTATGCTCTTGTTCCTCTCGATCGATCCTCTGCTGGTGTTGCTGAGGCTGCAAAGTCGTTGTTAAATGCGCTCGAGGCACTCCGTGGAAGGCACTTGTTTCAGTCGTCTCTTCCTCTTCCCAGCCTGGCGCGATCAGCCCTTCTTGCTCATCGACTGTTGTTTGGCACAATGGCGGGACGATGACGGCGGTGCCGGGTGATGACCAACGCTGCGCTGCGAATGAGGTGTGCTGCACACGCCGTCTCGTCTTTTGCGACGAGATGGGACGACTGCGACGACAACCTTCTTTCTCCAGCTGTGGCGACTTTCTGGGAACCGACGTTGGGAGACTGGGCTGTACTGCGTGAGGGACAGTTGAGCAGGGCAAATAAACTCGTCTTCTGCATGAATGAACGTGTGGGCAGCCCACCAGTGTTTATACACGGCTTTGATATACCATCCGTCAAGTCAAGACAGATCAAGTCGCGTCTACAAGAACAACACACAACACGTAGACCACAATCACCGCCGTCAGCGAATAGGATCTTGATGCGGTTCGGGAGTTCTTGCTGAAACACCCTCGTCGCTGTCGATAGTCTGCCAGGCATAGCCCTTGGGTGCCATGTTGTCGGTCTTGTTCCCCCTCTCGCCCGTCCGTACGCCCATCTCTCCTGTCCCGGGTGGAAGCCTCAGGATAGGTTACCAGTACCAGGTCTTTGCTCCCTTGGACGGAGGGAATCGTTGTACCTCGCAGTAGCTGGCTTCGACGAGCTACCACGACGTCTTAGCAAGCACATGCCGTGGTAGGGGTCCTCCGCAACCCGCACCCCTATTTCCTCCGTGCTGGGAGCCGGAATGCGGAGCCCGTCCATGTTAGTGGGCTCGGCCCGTCTTTCGTACCAAGGTACCCCGTCGAGTCATTGGACAACAATCTGCACGAGACCGGCCAGAACTCACCGCAGTGGGAACGGCGAAATTATCCTCATGTTGCCGTTAATGCACTTTGCCAGAGCGAAGACGGCCTTCCTGTTCCAGCCTCAAAGAAGCCCATTCGGCTCGCAGACCAATCTCTCCTGCTTCTCTGATCAGCGGCTGACAGCTGCCGAGACTGAGACCTGACAACCATCAACCCGGCCCGACTCCGCAGACGAACACGTTCGACGGGACGGGAAGCATCTCATTGTTTGGCTCGGTCGTGGTCATGGCTTTGTTCCATCACCAAAGTCTAAGCCGCGGGCGCCAGCAGTCTGGGAGGGGGTTCGAGTTCCGGCCCCTCGTGGAGGACATATCTGTGATTTGACGGACGAAAGCGGCATGCAGCATGGCAGGAAGAGTGTAATGCGGTCGACGATGTTGGTCTCGGTATTGGATAAGCTAAAATTGGATCGCAGCCGTAGACAAAGAGCGACTTCTTCAAGTGCGGATGATGGGTAGTCTTGAACGTGGCTCGGACGATGTGAGTCGGGAGCTTAGGCACACTGGAGAACCTTTAGAATGGCTGGGTAACAGGCGAGTCTTTTTGATTCAAAGGTAGCCTATGTGGTCTGTCATAAAGTCGTATCTTTACGATCTTTTCCGAGGTATCATAGCGACATATCCCGAGCCGCGAGTCCCAAACTGTGAAATGCACTCTTTTTACTTTGACCATAATCCCAAACGCCGTTCCCAGCCAACCCAAGTTTTTTGGTTGTTCTCTTAAGCGACCTGGTCGCTGAGAATGTCGGAGTCACCGGCATCGATAATGGCCATGGTGCCGCAGCGGAAGAGCTTACCGCAGGCGGTACCGAGCTCGATCTGTAGGTATAGCAGGTAAGCAGTTGTTCACCCTCCAAAGTCTGATTTGAGACTTCTTCGCTGGGTTGGCCAAGGGTAGTGATCCTCAAGACCGGTAGCAAGAGAAGATAACGAAACGGGCAAGACACTTGCTTGCCGCGTGCGATGGCAAAAGAGATTTGGATGCGGATCTGCACTTACGTTGGTGCCGGAGAAGTGGTGAACGGGGGCCTTGGACAACATGGCGTAGTACTCAAGCTCGGACTTGCGGAGAGGAGGAGTGTTGCCAGCAATGAGGATGAGCCTTTTGAAACTGTTAGTAATTGATCGAATATTGCTATTTGTCGAGGATGAACATACTTGGCCTTGCCGGAGCGCAGGCTCTTTAGGGTCGACTTGTAGCCAAGGACAACTTTACCAGACTTCATCACAAGCGCAAGCTTGCTGTTGATGGAGTTCTGGTCCTTCTTGTTCTTCTTGATGGGGGCCATTGCGACTGATTTTCGGGCGGGATTGGCCGGTGAGTTTGGGTGCTGGGCGATTAGTCGGGAAGTTGTCGTCGTGGTCGGAGGAAAAATACGCAAACTTTCGTCGATTTGGTGGTTTTGACTCACCCGCCGGTCTCCTCATTTCGAACCAATCAGATCGCTGCAGTCCATACCCAAGCTGGCAAGAACCCTAAGGCCCGGATTTTATCCGCAGGCGAAGGAGGCGGAGTGGGGCAACCTTCCACCACTTCCTTCCTTTGCTGACCAACAAAATTCCTGGTTTGATTTGAAATCGGCCGACGCCTCCCCCGACACAAAAAGTTGGTGAAGTCCCTTTCCCTTGCTCAGCCGTCGCCCACTACTAACCCCAACACCACAGAACATTTTGACGGATCCGTGAGATCAATACCGACAAAATGGCCCGCCGTCCCGCTCGTTGCTACCGCTACTGCAAGAACAAGGTGAGCAGATTCGATCAAACCCTTGTGTCCCGCGACGACACCCGAGATTCCACATCGAATTTGCGCATCGGAGGAGGGGGAACGAAATGACGACTTTGCGTGGGAAGGAAATTATGGCGACTGCGTTCTCCGCGCTTGGAGACAGACGACAGCGATGCGCATTTCGATGGCTTGGATTCGGGTGCTCGTTGCGGAGAGACGGGAATGTCTTCACTATGAACAGTGATGCTGACAAGTTGCTTCCAGCCGTACCCCAAGTCTCGGTTCAACCGTGGTGTCCCCGACCCCAAGATTCGCATCTTCGATCTTGGTCGCAAGAAGGCCGGTGTTGACGACTTCCCTCTCTGCATCCACCTCGTCTCCAACGAGTATGAGCAGCTGAGCTCCGAGGCCCTCGAGGCCGCCCGTATTTGCGCCAACAAGTACCTCGTCAAGTCCGGTGGTAAGGAGTCTTTCCACCTCCGCGTCCGCGCCCACCCCTACCACGTCGTCCGCATCAACAAGATGTTGTCTTGCGCCGGTGCCGATAGACTTCAGACTGGTATGCGTGGTGCCTGGGGTAAGCCCAACGGCACTGTTGCCCGTGTCAACATTGGCCAGATCATCCTCAGCGTCCGCACTCGTGACTCCAGTACGTTATAGATCCCGAGCCCCTCGAAACCGGACGCCCGTTTGCTAACCACCTCAACAGACAAGGCTGTCGCCCTTGAGGCCCTCCGCCGCTCCCAGTACAAGTTCCCCGGTCGCCAGAAGATCATTATCTCCAAGAACTGGGGCTTCACCCCCCTTCGTCGCGAGGAGTACCTCGAGGCCAAGGCCGCTGGCCGCGTCAAGGAGGACGGTGCCTACGTTCAGTTCCTCAGCAACCACGGTTCGCTCAAGGAGAACATGAAGCGCTTCCCCGCTGCCTTCGAGGCTTAAGTGGTGAAAGTTCTTCGTTCTTCTGGGATTTGGGTTTCTACGGGCTGGCGTCTAAAGTGAATTGCATGTCATCATCATGAGAGTCATGCCGAGGCATGCTCTAGATAGGAATTCAATCTGTTTGGCATTCCATACTTGACCCACGAGAAACATGCGACCCTGGATTTCACTGATGAACGGCTTGATGAAGGGCATCTGGTCTGGAATAGGATGGAATTAAGAATGACAGACGTCGGTTCTAGGGTCCTAGGCGGACTTGAGAAAAGAAGCTTATTGTGCCGCCTAGCGGGCAAACGGATACCCTTACTCTTTTTCCGAGACATGCAGTCGATCCTTAGAATACAATGAATACCTCGAGATTGAGCCAAGATGATGTCAATCTGATACTGGTGCGTCGCTAACAGACATCGTGGTCGACGGTCTGGCCCGTGGATCATCCGTGGCAACGAATGACACCATGTGGGCGGGCACGTACTCTGCTGGGTCACGCAGACGTCCCCATCTGCCCAAACTGCGCCCTGGACTGTCTCGAAGGAGTCCCTGAGACTCGAGAGGGTCCCCAGCTGATTACCAGAAATGATGCCGTATGCGATGGGGCCTCGTTGAGGCGAATCGTACGTAATGTGCAAAATTATCTTTTCCATCCTACCTTAACGAATCAGTTCTCCTGGCATTTCCTGCCCGGGTGCCTGGAAAGTGATGTGAGGTGAGGCGGTCTCGTTGATCTCGTAAGCCCAACGCAGCGGCTGAGAGAGAAAAATAGACAGCTGAGACTGACGCGGGAGAGAGATAAACGAGTGTAAAATGCAAAGTTACATGAGCTTATGTTCAGGTACTTCAGCCAGAAGTCACGTCAGAATGGCATCTTACAACAGCCAACAAATCTCACTACGGCCATGTATCTCGGAGGCCCAGTGCAGGAACAGCCGAACCAGCCGCCGCCTCAGCTCGCCGTTTTTCGAGGACGGCGTCGTGTCCAGCACAGCAGTCCCTGTCAGAGATGCAGGCGCAAGCGCAGCTCGGGGGGCAGACGAGACGAGAGCAGATGGAGCGCGCCAGTAAGAAGGCCGCAGCGAAGATCTGGGGTGGCTGGTTGGTGGGATGAAGATGGAGGTGCATTTACACCGAGCAGAGCGAGCAAGCGACTTTCGGAGAGTAGCAGCAGCAGCCAGAGAACTACCTTCTCAGCAGGGAGAGGGTGGGCGGCGATCAGGTCCCACCGAGATCCCAGGTGACCTGAATGACGTTATCGGGATTTCGGATGGTGTTCGGTGTGAGACGTTGGGGTTTGTAAGTAGATGGGCGTTGGAGTCGTTGGAACGGTATGTGGCTTGGGGTAGACTTTGGAGGCTTGGTGACCAAGTTACCTTGTCTGTCACGACTCGCGAGAGGTTCGAGAAGTCTCCTAGGTTGCTCCGAAAGTCGGGATGGATGGGGGGCAAAACAAACCGAACAGGAGTCATTTAGAGTGGGATGGGAGATTTTTTTTTCTTCTCTTCGTTCTTCGCAGAGGGGCCGAAAGAAACTCGGAGGGAAAGAATACTGCATTGATCTCGGTGATAAGCTGATGGGGTGTGAGGAGGGATGGGATTCCTGGACTGGCAGTCTGCAAGACGCCGCCCAGCCCGCGAATCGGGAGCAGATATGCATCGCAGCAAACATGGACTTGCCTGTACTTGACGCGTGGAAAATGAGAAGATAGCCACTGTTTTTTAACCGCCAACCCCTTGAAGTTTACGTACGAGACAGATGATCTTGTCAAAGATTGAAAGGGGGGCATTCTGTTCCAGCCTCTCAAGGCGAAGGTATCCGCAGAATTGAATGTCACTTGACTACCTAATCTGATGTAAGTGGTATGGATACCTCATCATCGATCCGGAGCATCTGCAACTGTCGTGCCAGCCAGCCAAACGGCGGGCGGCGGATGAGTGCATTTGTTTTCCCGCCTGCCTACATGGAAAAAAAGCAAGAAATGACACAAGTGTTTTCATTCACCGTGTCCGTACATACGGCAGGCAGATAACCGTAACAATGTAAGGGGGAAACAAAAAATCAAGCAATAGCAAACAGAGTTCATAGCTTCTCCCCTCCATTCTAGAGAGAGTCTTACCGCCATGTCTCAGTCTCCTCATGTACCCCTCCGCTCAGGGCGCATCTGAACCATTGCAGTGGTCTTAGGGGGGGAGAGGATGGTGTGGCAGCCTCCCACGGCAGCCAAACACACATCCCATTCACACCTTCATCACCGTCAGGCCAGGTCAGCTCGTGAGGTGGTTTGTGCCCAGGTTGTCAAGACTCGGTGACAGTGAGTGGCACTTGCAACCGCCGCGGCGCCGCCCATACGGAGTCCCCCAAAAGGGTAGGCTTTTATTTCATGGCATGGATGAGTGTCCCAAAGGTTTTCCTGGGTGTTGTCCTTGGATCCCTTGCCGGCCGCACGCGAGCACATCATCCCTCTCCGTGTTCCCTCATCAAGATGCCCACATCAGCGTGTAGTGTGTAATGTGTGTACCACCAAGCGTTGTATGGTGGCCCCCTCCGTTCCCATTTCCCGGTCTCACTCTGGCGCATTCACCCGCCTGGCCCCCCCTTCTGATGTTCCCCATCCATTCGCCGTTCGGTCTCCTGTGCCCCCTTCATGTGGATTTGCCTGTTCTGCTGGTCTTGTTGTCTGAGGATACCGCGACTGGCCCGCTATCCCGCCGAGTTCGCCCACTGCGGGCTGCCCACTTCCTATCTGTCTTCTCCTCGGTGTTACTCGTAACGGCGCGCGGTGTTTGCATGTACGCGAGTTGAAGTAGAGTACTGGTAACATATTCAGGTACTGGTTAGAAGCTCCGGTAACTGGAACGGAACGGAACTGCCAGGGTCGAATGTTGGGGTACTTCTCATGATGTACTTGCTTTAGTCGGTGACGCCTTAATCACTGACAGCCCCAGTCCGTCATTGTCATTCCCTCTTCTCTTTTAGCCTTAGCCCCCAAGCACCGACGGTCCACCCCTCCCCTCCCACCCCTTATCCTGCTCTTATCATCCATCCCGCATTCTTCCTTGCCCATCACTGTTGGTCCCAGTAATTCGCTGCCACATATATCTGGTGTGTGTGGCCTGAGTCTTGACCTCTTCTTACCTCTTTCTGTCATGTATACCTGATTTCGTCTCGAAAACCCGTTCCTTGGAAGCGATTTCGAGCCCTTGGCAAGCAACTGACGAGCAACACTAATAAAACACGAAAGGCGCCGCTACCGAGGCGCCACTGCGATATCGCGACTGGGGGTGCCTTATCGTGATACTCGCCGTTCCCTTATCGGACGAACACGACTCTACCTCTCTGGTTGTTTCTTCCTCCTTCAACCGACCCCAAACTTCAATAGAGGCTCATCATGGCCTTCCAACAATCTACCCGTCGCCCGTCGCAGCTGCGCGCCGTTCGCCCGGCGCAGGAGGACGAGCGTGACGCTCCCCAGGCTCATGTCCAAGATCCGGCTGCGACCGACGCCTCCCACTCGTGGGTGCTATTCGAGCCCGCCGATGAAACGACAACAGGCTCCTACCTCAGCGAAGAGGAAGACGAGTCCCTTCCTACTCCTGGTCGATCAAGGCTCAGCGATATTGGTAGTCTCAACACTTTTATTCACTCCGTGCGGGATACCGACTCGCGGCCGTCGGGCGGCGTCCTGTCCAGCGCCATCGACGAGGAGTCAGTCGACGATGACCCTGAGCTCGACAGCCTCGACAGCCACCTACCCGAATTTCGGACAGTTCCCAACCTGTATACCCAATCTGCCGGGGCTTCAGGACCCCACTCCGTGCCTGTTCTCCCTGCCCACGACGGCTTGGGTTCCTTCCGCCTCGACGGCCCTGATGTTCAGGAGCAGCTCTATGCCTTTGAGAGATTTAACCCTAGGCACCTGCGGAGGCGGCGGGAGAGCCTCGAGCTGGCCCAGCTTGAGATGGAGGTCGAGCAGGAGCAAGAGACACACAAGATGCAGAGGATCGAATCTTGGCGTTTAGAGCAAAGCCGCATCTTGCTCGAGGAGATCAGCAAGGAGACCAGGCGACGCCGGCAGTCTATGGTGTCGGCCAGGCCAGTCGTGACGCCAGAAGAGAAGAAGGCCGAGGATATTGCGACATTAAGTGTGATCGGGGACGAGGATGACGCTGACAGCATGGACTGGCATTATGAGTCGACTGACAACAAGGATGACGAGCGAGGCCTGCTCGCGAGGATCGCCCGCAAGGTTCTCCACGATCTGGGCATCGACGAGAGAATGCTCTCCATCCTGCTGGGAGAGGACCTTCCCACAGATGACGACCTCTCGACAACACCCAAAGCGGAGGCGAACTTGTCCAGCACACCCACTCCGAACTCGAGTGACTCATCCTGGCAGCTGCGGGCTCTCGACCGCGTCTCGAAGGAGCTTGGCCTACTGGTCAACCAACTGTCGCATCACCCGGGCGCCTTTTCGACGTACACACGCATGCAGCAGATGCCTATCCCATACGCCGGGTTGCCAGTCATACCAGAGTCGGCCGCTGATACGCCAATTGCTCCCGCTGTTCAAGACGTGTCCACCTCGATGCCCGAATTCCGACCAACAATGGTTCAACACGCGCGCCCCATTGATATTCCCGCTAGCCGGCCGCAGGCGGATGCTCCCGTGCCTGTGACTCGAGATGAGTCAACACCGTTGCCCGCATCCTTCACCCAGGAGGAGTGGGAACAGGACTTGGACGTCAACCTCGTCTTCAGGTATCTGCGATCTCGCTTTAGCTCGCGGTCTACACCGTCGTCGGCTTTCAACACTGGTACTTCCCATCTTGCCACCTCCAGCACGCCAGACACAGCAGCTAAGGCAGCGCGGGTGCGCCAGCATCACCCGCTCGTCTCCCGAGCACGACCGGCAGAGCGGAGGACGTTCAAGGCGACGACGCCGTCGAGCCCGGCCGCGATGCGGCACGCGTCTAGCTGCGCCAGCCAGAGCACACGACGATCGGCCAGACGCAGCAGCGTATCATCACGCCACTATTGGGACATCGGAGGGTCCATCGGGACAGGTTCAGTCATCGCCTCGGTGGGCCCGATGGGCAGCTGGGGCGAGGTCTAGTCGGACCAACATCAACAGCTCAAGAAAGTCACGACCTGCAGTCATCGGACACGGCGTTTGTTTACACTAGATGTACATTACTTGGGACAGCGGGAGTCGACGTTGGATTTTGCGCGATTTACTGGGAGGGTTTAGGACAAGCATTTGCATATCACCATAACGACAACGTCACTTAGAGAGCTACTGGGTATCTTAAGACCATACATGACAATCATGCCGCGCCGTTATAATTCAAGTAAATATTTTTATCAGACCAACTCATGTCCTACGTGAATTTACAGAGATATGAAGCCACACGGAATGAATGATGCGTTGATCAAAGACAGAAGGCTTACCCCAATAGGCAGGCAAAGCCACCGGGAAAGGAACGGCCCACTCCTCCGAGTCCAATGCCGGATGGACCGGCTAGGCGACGGCGGATGTGGAGCTCAGACCGCCCGAAGCGGAACGGTCACACCTAATATGGCAGGTTGAGTTGGTGTGGCAGCTACCTTGACCTCCTCGGGCAGTCAAAGTATCGGTGAGAGAGTCCGATGGTGAGGAGTTGGGAGAGTCTTGCGAAAACCAACTCGCCAGGCAGAATGCTTCGACGTACGCTTATCTGTATAATCCCGCAAGCTCGTCACGTCGCCGGGGATGCCACCCACCCACCACGTCGGGTTGCTCACATCAGCACTTTGGATCGACCGTGAGGTCCAAGGCTGTTGGGAAGAGGACAAATTCACACATTTTCGAGTGCGTTCTGTTGCATTCTGAGGAAGTCCAATCAGTCACCCTGACAGTTTTCTCTCGTCTTGGGGGAACCAGTCATGTCGGGCGCCTCGCGCTCAGCGGATCGACGTTGGACGCCTCACGCTTGCGAATGGACGAGCATCATCACCGTTTGTAAATTGTTCGGCAGGGTAATCCACAGCGTTCGCCCTGAAGAATGGCGTGCGTATCCCCGTTTCGTAGCTACCCGCGCGTGCTGCGCAAACCTGGCGCAATAATCAGGTGGGCATCCGATCCGTCCTTCTATCTCTGGAATGGATAGTCACGCATGTTCAGGCCGGGCGGTTGTTCTGTGCTTTCTTTTTTCTCGTCTCTACGCGATAATAGTTGGCATCGCAGCTTTTTGCCCCTCCCTTCCTCCCTTCGGCTCTTGGTCCAACTGGTGGCCTACCAGGTTAAAGTGGAACGCGTTGTTTGGGGCTAAGCAAGACATGGGGAGGTGAGGTCGACGAGAGGTAGACGCAGGTGAAGCAGCTCCGAGTTCACGGCGAGATTTGAATGGAACAGCAAGAGTTGGTGCTCCGAAAGATACAAAGATACCCGGTCGCGGGGTGGAGGCAGGCGGGCGAGGGATGGGACGTGGAGGGGGTCCGAGTCGGTTTCCTGGCGCGTCGGGCCAATGGGATGTCTCCCTTGCGGTTGATGAACATGGATTCTCGCGCACCACCTGGACACTTTACGCGTCGAGGTTGTGCTTGCGCTGTCTTTTTTTTTTTCTTCCCTTGCACTTTGGTTGCCAAATATGCTTGTTGTTCTGCTGTTCTTGCTGCTCGGTTAGAAGAGATGGCGCGCCAGAAGCGCCGGGTTAATGCACACGCAACGCAACGCCTGTCGACTGTAGCACCCTCTCCGAACAGAAACAGGCGATCCTGCCTGCTGAAGCTATCCACACAGGCCCATGGATGGTGTGGATGGAGGAGGTTGTAGGCGGCCACCGACCTCGCGTACAGATAGTGCGCATTGCATCCTACCTTACAGCCAGGCACGCTGCATCACAGCTCTTGTTAGCTGCTTGGCCACATCAACTACTCCCAGCGCTAACATCGCGACCTTATCCTGACGGGACCGAGAAAGAAGCCTCAGGACAGGACTCGGAACCCCTGCATCCTACTTTCGAGTCATTCCTGGCATGCTGCATCTCCCGATATCACGTTGACGAGCGAGCTGCACCAACTTGCCAACAACCGCAACAAGTCAGTCATTGGGTCTTGATCCTGACTGTTTCTCTCTCCACACTATCCATGCCGTTTTGTGCAGACTGTGGTCCATTATTGTGACTTGCTGCTCCCTCCGAGGCCGTCCCCCCGCCATACTCTGTCGTGCTCCCAGCGCCGCCCAATCCCGTCGCCGCCTCACTTTATCAACAACACCTCGTCCCTCCGCCAGTCAATTCTTCGCCCGACATTTCGCCCGAATCTTTTCTCGTCGCGCAAATCATTCACAGAATCTACACGCCTTTATATAAAGAGCGCATTCTCGCCAATTCACCCGACACCTACATATTTACTTCCGTGCTGGGTGGGTGCATTTCCATTGCTGCTTCGGGCCCTGAGGATTCCCCCGGTGGGCTTGCGAATCGCCGACTTCCAGCCTGGATTCATACCCGCATGCCGCACCACAGGACACCACAGGATAGAGCTAACATCCACACCAGCTGCCATGTTCTAGGTCTCCCGGATTGCGACCCAGCTGGGCCCTGGTTTGGGCCGCCTAGCCATTTTCTGAATCTCCCTCTGTCGTTTCGTCAACTTCCTCTCTCCAACATCGCGAGTCAACCCATCGCCAAACAAACCGACATCCCTCTTCATCCCAACAATCGACCTCCCGCGTCCGTACTCGCGCCCGCGCCATCCCCGACCCCCGTCGCCGCCGCACCGAAACCCCGAACCTCTCCGATGAATATCGCTGCCGCCAATGGCAGCAACACCGTTCGATGCTCCTCTACCGGGCTCATCCTTCTTCGACATCTACACTGATGGCGCTCCCCAGCGCAGTCCTGCCTCTGCCTCCCTTCCCGGAGGAGCCTGCAACTTCGTGGATCTGACCCCCGGCGCCAACGGGGCCAAGTGCGGATGCCGTCGTTTCTGGAGCCGCTTTCCCGCCGCGAGGGCTTATGCCGATAACCTGGGCACTGACAATTCCAGCTGGTGCATGTGTGCCCATCATGCCTGCTTCCATGATGATGGTGGTCGCGGTGGGAGCGAAGCGTCGGCGTCTGCGCAAACTCCCACCACCGCTCTCGCGCCGACACATGCGCCCGCCGCTGCGCCCATTGCCCATATCGCCGGACAGGAGAATGAGAAGCCGAGGATGTCCAGGGAGCCTCTCAGCCCGGTCCAGATGCCCGAGATGTCCTTCCGTATGCCCGCCGGATTCACCCCGACCATGGAGTTTATGAACCTGGACGCTGCCATGGCCACGCCCCAGAACAAGCCCGAGGAACTCAGGCCACGGCCTCCGGATCAACCCAGCCAGCTCCCGGAGTCTACTCTACAGGATACGTTAGCCTGGGGCGATTTCATCCAGTCCCAGCCTGGAAATCATACTACATTGCCGCCGATACCAGCTCAATGTCTAATGCCGTCTCAACCCAGCTCCACAGCTTCATCCAGCCAGGCCCGCTATCTTCGTCCCTTTGCCGGGAGAGGTCTCCAGACACTTAGTGGTGTAGCTACTTCCAATCCCAGGACACCGCGCAAGGAAAAACCCCAGGATGCCGGAGCTTTATTTGCTCAACCGATTGACCAAGGCTACAAGGATGATGCAGGCGCAATGGCTCACGACGATCACGGCGCCGAAACTCCTCGAGCGCAGTCACCGAGGGAACTAGGAAAGGTCGATGCCTTGTTCGCAGGACCCTCACGCAATACGTTCCGTCACCTATCAGATACCGTCCAAGGACATGAAAGCCGCCTGGACAAACTGGAAAACATTTCCTTCTCCGCTGCCGGGCATGATGAGTGCCACGAGAAGCATGATGCTGTCGATCTTCGCGTCACTGACCTCGAGGTGCGCGTGGAGGAGGTCGAGAAACTCATGAATGATAACAGCAGTGTCGTGGGCCGTCGTGACCGGCAACACCTCGACGAATCTACCAACAGTGTCGTCTCTGTTGCGACTAGCACGACAACCCGAGCCGCTCACTCGCACGAGATGTACAGCCAGATCCAATCCTTACAATCTCAACTCTTTCAGCTTCAATCACAAATACCGTCACTGGCTCGGCCTTGGGAGATTGAAGTCGTTTTCTTACCGTTTCCGCTTAAGCGGGTTTGGCAGGAGCTTCAGGATTTCAAGGCCGATGTCCACTCCAGCTTAGATGAGTGGACGCAGCTACCAAACACCAACAGCGGAGTGACGATGAGAGCGCAATCGCCATTCTGCGCGGAATGGGCTGACCCAGGGCACGACCACGAATGGCTCATGGCCAAAGCCTGCGGTCCAATGAATGTTGTCGATAGACGACTGAGGAGTCGCGGCCTCGTGCGCACCATCTCCATCAAAGGCTCCGATGCCAGAAGCGTCCAAGCAGCCATGCATGTTGCCTTCTCCAGCACATTCGCCGATTTCTCCATCGCAACGCCCTCGCCTTCACGCCGGCGCAGCTTCGATGGCAAGGCAGACCGTTTCTTGGGCCTGCAGCAGTCATGGGTGCCTCTTCGGAAGATCCACAAGGACTCCCGCCTGCGCTTCTTGACGCCGGCCGAGATGATCACGCCCGCCGTTTGGGACGTGTCTTTCCTACACTCCGTCATCATGCGGTCTTCTCAGCCTCGTCTGTTCGTCACCCAGCCTGAAGCATATCTGCAGGACTCGCACGCGTTCGAGTGCGGGTGGACGTGGCAGCGGCTCCGGGAGATGAGTCGGTTCTATCCCGACTCTCAAGCAACGCAAGAAGTACCCGAGGCAGATGCTCGCGAGGATCACTGGGCGTGGAACGACCATTTGGACGAAGCGCCCAGTGCTCAGCCTTCATTGAGCATTCGACAAGCGAGACAACGTGTATCAGCCTCGCCATCCCTCCACCACATCACGATGCAGTCGTCTATGCGGTCGTCCAGCCCGATGATGACCCGTGGCCAGACTCCTATGAGGGAAGCCCTAATGAGAGAGCGGAAGGGATCCAAGCCTCCATACATCCGCACCACCTCCATGCCTCCCGCGGTCCCTCCGAACTATTCGCCAGCACTCGCCAAACGGCGCGTGTCATCGTTTGGACAGCGACAGTTGGCTGCTCAAATTCGCACCAGTCCTCCCAACGTAGCAACGACGATGGCAGCGTCAACGGCTTACAAACGCCGGCGAACTCGATCGCCCAGCCGACCTCGCAACACGCCGCGCTGGACCATGTCACCGAGCCCAGCACCCGGCTTCGTTCCCGTCGATGAACGCCACCAGACAGGCCGAGGCATCACCCCGATGTACTATGCCACGCCATACAGCAACGCACCTCTCACCGAGTCGCGCCCGCGCGTCTCCGGCGGTGTGGCAGACGACTCCGACACGGAAGTCGACGGGCAGGATGACGAAAACGTGGACGCGAACCACGGGAGCACCAACCCTTATGACGAGGAGGGCAGCGAATACAGCGTCGAGGTGACTCACATGGTCACCATGCGCGAGGGTGACTCATCGCACCCGCGGCAGCCTGAGGATGAGCCTTGGCCCGGCATCGAGGACCAGGACCACATGTCGGACGGGGAGAACATCGACCCCCTCTTCTCCCCCACGGGCGGGGAAGAGGACGCCCAGTCCGACGTGAGCAGCCAGCCCTCGGAGTATCCCAGCACTCAGCGCGGCTGGCAAGTCCCCGGCGCCGAGAACGGGATGGGCTTCCACATTCACGAGGACAACGAGGGCATGCGGTGGCCCTAGTCTGCGAAACCCCCCATTACGTTTTCATCTTATTTCCTTCCCATATATCCTGATGATAACGCAGCGAGTTTGGGAGTTGTGAGGCCGTATGTATTGACCATATATACGTTCTGTGGCGTTTTGAGGAGTTCTTGTTACACATGGCATGGGGGCGTTCAGATGGTGCTTTTTTGTATTTTTCTCCTTTCTCGGATCTCATCACGGTGGCGGCCGAGCAGTAGCAGCGGCAGCGGTGGAGGCATTTGTTGGGAAAGCGATATGGGGAGACCGTGGCGTGGCGTGGCGTGCTGGATAGATCCGCTGGGGAAAAAAGTTATTGGGTGCCATCTTGTTGTGGGCGTGAACGTCGTCGAATGCCGAGCGAACTTGGAGAGTTTGCGATCTCGGCTTTGGAAAGTCTGATGTATTAGCTAGCATAGCGACAACTCCAATGAAACGCTTTTCATATCTAGGGTGCTGCTGAGACTGGGAGTTAGGGCAAACTTGATCATTGTGAGTTTGAAGGGTTATGTCACGTAGCTTATACGGCGATCGTTGGTACTATTTGACAACTGGCGATGGTATGGACTGTCTCTTTAAGAGCGTGATGTTGCGACGGGAATGCTCAGGAAATCCGACACGAGGTCGATACAGCCGTGTCTGGAGCTTTTCCCCCTTCTCCAAGACCTTTTGTGATTTTGGGTTCCTATCATGATGGAGCCCATGCAGTTCCTATTTACGAGTGTTGTTTGGATAACATCGATCCACATTGCACGGACATCCGGTTGACGTTTCCGTCTTCCTCTTCCTCGTGCTCCGTCTCTCGTGGTTTGAATGTGTTGATGTATTCGCTTTGCACACACTCTTTCTTCCTCGGTGACCCCCTGAGACAGGCATGCATGGGCATGCCAGAGCTGTGGGAGCTCGACGCCGAGCAGTTCTTGACTACTATAGAATCTCAACCGATGAGTATTCCACTAGGAAATATATCTTTTCTTACTAGCCCATCTAGCTGGTTTTATAGGACTAATAAGGGGAAAGTATATAGTGCCTGGTCCCTCTACTAGTAGGATATATTGTGGCAGGGAAGCAGGTGGAATACCAATCGGTCGATATTCTACGGCAATATCGTATCACGTATTCATACAGTCTCACGAACACCGGATGGGCCTCGGATTCGTAGGGTAACTGTGAAGTGGGTCGACTTTTCCCATAACTCACCGGCGCCCCGGAACCACTCGTTCACCGCCCAAGACCGAAAGCCATCCGGCATCTGTCTCATTCTAGGTGCCCATCATGCCAACCGTGCTTCAAGGCACCCGTCTCGACAAGCAAGCTCACTGGAAGCGCTGGTATGCCGCGCTGCGGGCACACGCCAAGCGCCTGGGTCTGTGGGAGTACCTGGACCCCGCGAACCCGGACAAGCCCTGCGACTGGAAGACCAAGTCCGCGCCGCCGCCGGGCCCGCGCTTCGCCGACTTCGTCCGCCAGACGGAGCAAACTCCCACGATGCATCAGCAGCAGCAGCAGCAGCAGCAGCATCAGCGGAAACCCGACAGCCAGCCGGGGATACCCGAGAATCTCGTAGACCTGCTTGAGCAGCCGCGGGTGGACGGCGGGCTGATCGACTCCGCGCCGGTCCCGTCGCACGTTCGCCTCGAGGGCCCGGAGGACTGGGCGGTGTGGTCCAATATGTTGGAAGCTAGTGCGAAGGCCATGCAGCATTTGGAGTTCGACCTCAAGGTGGACGAAATCAACAGGATGGCGAAGCACAAGCCGGATGACTATGAAGTGGATTATGAGGGGTTCGCGCTCGCTGGACTCGAATGGAAGGAGGAGTGCGAGGAACTGGAAGGATTGTACGACGCGCGGTACTGGCTCGTCTTGTGGATTCTCTCGACCGTTTCGAAGGATTACCATTTGGCGTACTGCAATGCTGCGGAGGACGTCGATGCGTGGATTGCGAAGTTGTATGCTCGGTTTCATTGGGAGAAGAGGCGATAGGCGGGGGCTGTCAACGTGGACTGTTACGTATTCTCACAGGCGTGGTTGATGACTATTGAGGGCTGCGTCGAAACCTGTCTCGTTGAGCGGACTTGTGGAGATTGTCCGGAACGGAGACGTTGAGCAAGGTTGAGGTCATCTCATTGCATAATGCGTTATGATTAGTTATGATTAGAACAGCGGCGGGAACCGCTTGATAAGACAAGACTTTAGAGAAGAGACATTTATACGTTGAGAAGAGAGGGATGACACGCAGCCAGTCCATCCATCCACGTACTTCAGCAGTAAGTAGTCTTGGAGTCACTCATAAGCACCCAATATTGACTAGATTCATTGAAACTCTAAGTTCCAATATTCTTCAGCCACATTGAATTTGAACTCGCTCGCCCTCCTCGACGAGCCATCCTCCTCACCACGAGGTTGATTAGTCTTTCATCCACTTGATGCGAATCATCCATCTGACTAATCTTCATCATCTACATACTGCACGATGAAACCATGATCCTGTTTAGGTACGAAAACGAACGACGTGTCTTCCCCCGAGCTCGCGCAGAAAAAACACATGTGTTTATCTGACAAAGCCAGAGATTGAGCCATTCCAGCATCGAGCTCACGCTCTCGTCTTTCGTCACGCTCACCCCCCACACGTCCGTCACAAGCCGCCATGATAAACCGCTCAGTTACGGATATCGCAGACAGCCGGCTTGAGTGGGCAACGACTCGCGTTCTGGGTTTTCAAGAGTCAATATGGGGCTCCGTCAAAGGACACCTGATTCCAGGGGCGACTCACCCAATTGCAAACGCATACCATCTTGTCGTTTCTGCAGCAGTACTCGATGGCCCTGAAGTCGCAGCAGTTCTTGTCTTTCTCTTTCATAACGCAGTCGTACCGTGTCTGGAGACGTCTTTCGTTAGCCTGGGCTGTGTATGTTGTCTCGCTGAGAAGGAGGGTGGGCATACGCAACCATAGCGAACGTCATGAGGCATGCCTGCAGGAGGCATGGCTGCGGCGGAAGTGATTGCCGTGAAGATGATGAAGGCTGCGGAGAAGCGCATTCTGGGTGTGAAATCTAGATTTTTCGGGATAGTGTCTTGGACGGTTCTTCTTTTTTTATGTTTTCTTCTATGTTTGGTGGTGGGTAAAGTCGACGATGATGAAGAGAGGGTAATGCGCCTGATGGCCCGGAGCTCATGGCCTTTTGATGTCAACGAAAAATGGTTGAGAGACCTTGAGGGAATCGATGGACTTGTGACCCTTCGTGGTCAGGTAGGTTCAAGCCACTATCATCACCTACTACGGCTGGCGACCAGGCCCAGAAATCCTGCCTACTATACGTGTTCCTCTGATCCTCGATGCGTCGTCTCACACGCCACGTTCTCTTGAGGGGCGGGCTAAGTTAAACGCTTCTGGGCAAGCCAACACTTTGTTATTCGTGATATGGTTATTGTCAGTATTGTTGGTGTTGTTAGCATCGTTGGTATCATAAGCGCCGTTAGTGTTATTGGTCGTTGCTGTCGTTGTTGTCGTCATTGTTGTTGTCGTTGTTGCTATTGCTGCTGTCGTCATTGTTGTTGTCGTCGTTGCTATTTCTGCTGTCGCTATCGTTATTGTCGTCGTCGTTGTCGTCTTTGGTGTATTCGTCCAGCATCGTGCTATTGTGGCGCGAGGGTGTCTACTTTCCTGGGCATGGGCGTGATTTAATCCCACTCTTTCTTGTCTTGTGTCTCTGCTTGTAGGGTTTGATACTACCGATTCCCGAAATAGGCAGTAGAGGCATTGTCTCAAAGCAAGGTTATCGTCATGCTGACGGCCTACGCGTTTGAGGTAGTTGAATGTCTTCTGGTTCGTCATTGGTCGTTCGAATCAAGGTTGTGTCAAGTTATCACTCCGTTGGTTTTCATAGCAAGCAGCTCGGGACAGCGGTGGTCGAGTCTTGGCAGGGTGATGAAGAGAAATGAGGTTCGGCAGTACGAAATGACTAGTACCATTGACACTTTGTGGTATATGCTTCAAAAAACGCTCCGAGTCCCATGAACGAAGACCTGCATCTCACCCTCGAGAGGCTTCAAGACCTGCTCCTCAATGGACTGGACAAACTCAGTGTTGTCGAAAGAAGCCTCCGGATCCATGTAGCACTGGAGACAATATTTGATAGCACTCTTGAACCCGTGAGACAACTGCCCTTTATGGACCTTGCTGTCGAACCATTTCTGTGCCGTGAGGAGATCCGTGAATTGATTGGGCAGCCCGTCCCGGCCCAGGTCTTCTTCCCGTCTCAGAGTCTCTATCGGGGTTCCGAAGTTGAGTTCAAGAAGCATGATGGCAAGAGCGAGCATGTTTAGCTGATTCTGCCGAGCGGCGTCTGTGTTGTGATCTGATCTGGAATCATCTTTACGCTTCAGTTAGAGTAACGAGATTCAATGGTCGGGAGCGCGGTTAAGTAGCTTACCGACGTCATGGTCGCATGCTAAGTAAGGATGCTTAATGTCCAATGCTGAACGACTTGCACCATCAAGTCTTAGAAAGACAATGTTGTGGCGGCTCCACGGCTGGTTCAGCCATGGCGTCTCTGCGAGTTGTAGCAAAGAGGATACCAAAGTGACCACCAGACAATATATATCCGGCATTGAATGTTCTCTTTGTTGAATGACAGACAAGAACTTATCCATGGTAATAAAGGTGCTGCTCAGTTGGTACGGCTGTGACTCAACCTCATACAGTCCTCTGAGAATGCCAGAGCTGTCTATTCTGAATCCAATCTGGGGGTAGATGGCATCGCATATTGCAGTGCAAATGTTCTGGATCTCCAGCTCAGTTTTCGAAGACGGCAGCTTTGAGTCCAAAGTGGCTTCAACGTCTGGGCCTGAGAAGGTTACTCGAGGGGTCGTCGTCTTCCTACTGGTTTGGTATTTAGTCAAACGTATTCTGGACATGCCGAAGATTTCGTCACTCACTTATGTCTAACACTTGGGACGGCTTCCTCGTCGAGACAGATTTCTGTGTCAAGCCATGACGTCTGGGGGCATTTCCAAACTGAGACGCAGAACCGTCCCAATGTTCCCCGGTCCTTGGGCATGTCCTGCCGCGGCGCTTTCCTTCGCCTTCTTAAACGTTGCTCAAGAAGTAGACCTGCCCGATGGCATTCATTGTCCTTGCAGAATCTCGTATGTATACCCCGGTGCACCCTGCAAGCGTTCGCTCGTATATTGGGCAGCGGCGCCACGAACCGCATACGAGTATTCGCAGACAGTCCTTCATCCTCTTGTATGGAATTAATCTTGCCTGCTCCATCAAGGAGGACTCTCAACTTGTCGTTGTATTCCTCCATCGCCTTCAGAGTCTTGCTGAGATCCCGCCGCTTCATCGTGAAGTCAACTCGTTTCCGGAAGTGAAAACGAGAGCTGCCTTCCGAGGCGTTTGATGCCGGAGCATTTGCCGAAACGACTGCTCTCAGGCCATCTCGCGGAACCTTCAGGAAAACGTGTCAGCATAGTTCATCTTCTTCTAGCAAGATATACAAACCTTATCTGATCCCTCGATGTTGAGGTTCGTCGCTATCGTCTCTAATGACTCGGCAATATTCTTCACCAAACCCATGCATGGTTTGTAAGCTCGACCTAGCTCGGTTTCCATGTCATCAGCGAGATATTTCGAATTCCAAAGCTGACTCTGAGGGTCGGCAATCATCTGTTCCAATTCTTCTGCTCCCACACTCCTTAGTAGCATGATTCGCAGGTTCTGGTCGTATGAAGCACGCTCGGTGACAAGACGCAGTATGAGAGTCCCTAGTTCTCCTCTCCAGTTCTTGAACCTGATGACGGGGCCGATGATGTCTTGATAGTGTTCTAGGGCGGATATGAGGAGAGGTACCGCCCCAAGCACAATGCCCGCAATCTCTGCCATCTCGTTCTGAAAATCAGGCGCATTCGGGTTTCATACCAGTGCAAAACGCAATAGTGTTCCTGGTATCAAACTGATTCTCAAGTGTTTCGTGAACCGGAGGACTCAACGGCTGTCGATTAGAGCAGGTTGTCAGCTGGAACAGCTGCATAATCCCCGCATGACCGCATGGTATGGATGTTGCGCCGCAGCCTTGCAGCAGCACCCTTTTTCTATTGGACTCGTAATCATGCGACATAACGAATGGGAGACTTCTGGACAACCCCGCTTTTGACGTTTTTAAGGCGGCATCGTGAGCAATTTGTGTGCAGGTTCACAACCCCGCAAGTGATGCATGTAAGTTGGCGCTACTGACTTCCGCGATACAACGGGATGTTTGCACGACACATCATACAACTTTCTTGGTTCAAGCCAGCGCCATATTACCAGTCTTGAATCTTGTACTTAAGAACCTGGTGTGATAGCTTCGGAGTATCGTACCTTCCCCTTCGCCCTCATACGAACCAAGTTGGACGGGACTGCCACAGGAAAACGTTAAGCAAAGCAACCAAAAACTGGCAAGACAGCTTCGGGAAAACAACACTGAGACTAGGGTTTATGGCGTGATTGTTGATCCGTCAACTCAAACATTGCTCCTTCTCGTATTATTCTGTGGACACTGTTTCAACCATCTGAGTTTAACAACGTCTCGCCCACGACTTGTATCGACATGAGCGCGCAAACAGCCTTTCCGCTAGCGGATGCAACGAAGAATTGCCTAGATTCTTTCAATCGTCTCATCATAGCCCTTGAGGGGCCGAACGAGCGATCTGACGGCAAATTGCATCCTTCCGTGGTCAAAAACCAACGCGACAGGTTCAAGATATGGGCAACAAATCTGGGCGCCCTTCAATGGGGCAGGGCATCACTAGACTTTCGTCTGACGGATAGTTCGCTCACAAAGACTACGATTCTTCGTTTTCTGGATCAGCTACAGCAAACCTTACGGCAAAGTAAGCACATACATTTACCCCTTACTCGTCTGCACCGAGTCTCTATTCAGTCAATGAAGAAGGAGAAAGTGAAGAAACAGACCAACATGAAAGAACTGACAGGTTACTATAGGTAGCGAGGTGGTTCAAGGACTCAGGTTACCACTTGAACACACCGTGGAAAACGACTCTGACGATGAGTCGGATGATTCCAGCGAAAACAGCAGTTCTGCAGGCTCGATTGAAAAAAACAGCATGCGTACCGAATTGGGCCAGAATACTGCCGAGGTTGATCAACTTCTTTCATCACTCATGAAAACGTCATTTCGTATCAGGGGGCCAGCGGCCAGAACAGCGCAGATGGATCTCAAAGCTTTAACATACAAGGAGATGGTTCAAGTCGACGACTCGGAAGAACTTGACCTTTTATCTTCATACGAAATCTTTGACAAACAACATGTCGATGAAGTATTCAGACAGTTTCGAAATATGGCGCGCGAGGGCAAGGAACAGACAGCTTTGGAATTAGACTGTGCTGGCGAAATCATCTCGGCTGAAGAAGACAGCGATTGTACGAAACACCTCAAGGAGGTCTGGAGCAAATCAATCACCAATCGTCGAAGAGTCTTGGCATACTGGCGAAGACACGCCCGAAAATTGGCCAGCGAGCGGCCTGCACCCCGACCAACGAATACGAGGATTGATATACAACCTCAGACTCCATCCGTCGTGGACCCTCATGATGCTATCATGGAATACACCAGGCTGCGGTACAAGCACGCGCCGTCACAAGCGCAGAGCTCTGCGGTACAGACCATGTTGTCAGAAACTGAAGCTACCATGTTTCGCCGTGACAGCGAAGCTATCGACACCGAGTCACTTGTATCTTACAGTTCAGTTGGTTCGAACCTCAACAGTAGCTCTCTGAACCTTCCGGCAGCGCCTTTGATCAAACCGGGGCAAACCGAATTCGTGTGTTCATTTTGCCATGTACTTTGTCCGGCTCGAGACGCAAAGGGCAAACGCTGGAGGTCAGTACTTGGTCGTATAACTTATTCTCTATGTGATCCTGCTTGAGAAGTGAACGAAGGACTTTTCTTGAGATTAAGGTATCTAACAGTATGAATAGGGAGCACGTTTTACGCGATATTCGCCCGTACATGTGTACATACGCCGATTGCAAAGACGCCGACACCATGTACACCAGCAAGTCTTCCTGGTTAGAGCACGAGTCGAACAGCCATCGGAGGGTCTGGCGTTGTTTTGAGCACAAGGATTTGTTTAAATCGCGACATGCCTTAATCAGTCACTATGAACACGCACATTCGAACCTCAGCAAGGTGCAGATGCAGAGCATGTCTGAGCTTGCCGGCGTCGGCACCAAGGATGAACGGGTATTTTGCCCATTTTGCCAGTCTTCGGGGCCGTTTGAGATGACGCTCGCGGATCATATGGCACTTCATATGGAGAGACTCGCAACCTTTGCAGCACCGAGGAAGTCGAGTGAAAGGGATCATGACTCGGTTCATCGAAGTAACTCTACAGCTGCCAATGGTGCTCGTTCCATGTCATCCCTCAGATCTGTCAGCCTCAATTTCTCCGTGGCCGAGTCTCGCGAAGACGACGTCCTCAAGCACGAGGATGATGGCGAGAAGTTGGATGATCGAGAACAGCGCTCGTTACAAGCAGCTAAGGCAGACGAAGACGCGCACAAAAAGCTGATTGCGCAGAAGCTTCCGAACTCTTGTGGCTGGTTTTTCGATTCGCCCGAGTTTTTCACTTGGCTGAACTACGCCGGACAGAACCTTTTTGCCTACGGGCCACCAGGCGCGGGTAAATCTGTCTTATCATCGGCTGTTGTCGAGTTCCTCCAACAAGAAATTCTCGTCAGTAAAGATGTTTACATCGTTGTCATATTTGGCGAGGCACACGAGGAAGAAACATCCAAGGGCATATATAAAGGGCTCTACTGGAGCATTCTTAAACAGCTTGACTGGGCCTCTTGGGCCCAGAACATCGGCAAGGATCTCCTAGACCACCGCAAGGACAAAGACTGGCCAGACCTGGATACAGTATTCAATGCTCTTATTGAAGCGTCTAAAAGGTCACCAAGGGTATTCGTCATCCTCGATGGCATCGAATCGATGGGCTCTCTTCGCAGTCTCTACTCTAGATTCAGCGCATCGCGTGTGAACTTCCTAATCACTTCGACACACAAAATACCAATCAAGGGGAACAATACCATTAGTCTGGAAGTCCGGGCTTCTGATGACGATATATTGAACTATGCTAAGAGCTTAATGGAAGCCGAGGGGTTGCTGGTTGAAGTGGTCTTAGGGATGGAAGACCCAATTGTAGGATTCTCGCAGGGCATGTAAGTCTGGGCTTTGAAACCTGACTGTCTTTGCGTTTTCTAACCACATCAGGTTCACATTCGCCGCGGCCTTTGCGGAGTCCCTGGCAAAGCAACTAATCAATATGTCCCAAACACAGCATCCCGAGACCGATAAGATCCATGATCAGCTATACGAGCGCGTTATAAGTCGACAGTCTGCTAAATGGGCTCTTTTGCTCCTCAAACTGATGGCTGATTCGGTGGAGCCATTAGGAACTAAAGAGATCGCTGATCTCCTGAACTCCATGGAAGACAACTACTCAGAGGGGACTGATACAGTGCATGTCGAGGATGTCGCGTCCTATTGTTGCGGCCTTGTTTTCATCAACCCCGAAAAACAGCTCGAGTTCTTGCATCGGACGACTGAAGAATATGTTCGAAGGACCATGGAAACGTGGAAAGAAGGGGCAGCTCGTCTCACAACAGTCCTTTGCGACTACCTCGCATGGGAGCCCTTCTCAACGGGTCCATGTGAATCAGACGCTGGTTGGGAAAGACGGGTTGCTTCGCATCCGTTCTACGTGCTTGCAGCAACGTCTTGGGCCCGCTACACTTCTGATCTCATTCAGGAAACCAATGCATTCTCCTCAGAGGCCTCCTCAGAGAACCAATCTGTCCAGTGGGCAAAAGAACGTCACCTGAGATTTCTCAAATGCCGGCCCAACGTTCAAGCATCAATTCAAGCTATGAAGGTGGCTAAACTGGGATCGTCTGGCCCCGGATATAGTCAAAGGTTCTCGCGATCGTGGGGCGGCTTGCACCTCGCCGCCTACTTCGGACTCGAGGCCACTGCGTTGCTGCTCATCGATCAACATATTTCAGACGGATCAGGGCAGGCTGAAGACCACGATTCTCTCATCCAGCTCGTCGCAAGGAGCGGGCTGGTATTGGTGTTACATCGCATGTTAGAATGCTGGAAAGAAACACGGGAGTCCATGTCAGGACCGGCTGGACGGTGGTGTCTCATGAGAGCGACCCAGGAAGGACACGAAAGCATGGTACATGCCTTATTAGACCTCCAAGCTGACTTAGACTAGAGCAAGCTTAGAACTCCTTTATGTATCGCAGCGAATCATGCGGACAGCAACACGGTTGCGTCTCTGTTGCACTCTGGGGCAAATTGCAACCAACGTTGCATATCAGATTATCCATTGCACCTGACAATTAGGGCCAGAAGCTTCCCCGTCGTCCGCTTGTTGCTGGATCTGAGAGCGGATCGCAATCTGGTAGCCAATGATGGATTGACGACAGTGGATTTGGCTGTTGAAAAGAATAACAAGAACTTACTCTGATAATATTTTGGCATATCACGCTGGTCTAGATGCTGGTATGGATACTGACCTGGATATGGACCCGCTGTCCTCGAACGGCCGATACGTTTGGTCTTTTCCTGGTAGTTACTGATTTCAAAAAAGTAGCCTAAACACATTATCGATATGTCTTTTGAGCTGCGGCAGCGTGCCCACTTTTTGAAGATTTAAAACCTCATCAATCGCAGTTACTTTTCACCTATGATCTCTACTTTTGATTTACACAGACTTCACACAAGCCCAAGATCCTTCTCAACCATACCGCGGCAGATGGGGTGGTAAAAATCGCGGTTCTTCCTGAACGTCTCGAGCGCGAGCTCGCGGTCGACCTTGTTCAGCGAGCGGAACAGGGGCCTGACGAACTTCATGCGGCCGACGTGGCCGAGCAGCTCGGCGGCGCCGGCGTACGCGGACGAGTCCTTGGCGGCCAGCGCGATCTTGTAGTAGGCCGTCTTGAGCTCGGCGTTGCGCGAGGATACGAGGTCGTAGGTCTTGCCGAGCAGGCGGGCGCGGTCGGCGGAGAGGGGGCTGGGGAACTTCTCGATGGTCTCGAGGAGGACGAGCTTTTGGTTGCCGGAGAAGGAGGAGACGTCCTCGGGGGAGGGTGTGAATTTCTGCTCGTGGCGTTAGTCTTGTGTCTCATTCGAAGAGAAGAATGGCATCGACCTACCTCGTCCTTCCAGTTCTCGGCGAGCTTGTAGCACACATCCGCCAGCGAGGTGTCGAAATCGGGCTTGGGCGGCAGACCGGGCTGGTAGAACCATTTGTCCCAGTCGATGGAAGCGACCTTGTCCTTGATCTCCGCGTCGCCGAGGCCGTTGAAGAAGGTGAGGAAGGTGTCCTTGAACTCGAACGAATCGAGCGACTTGCGGGACCACTTGGTGAAGTAGTGGGGGATGAACTTGTCGAAGGCGTCGCGGCCGACGAGGCGCTCGAGGTAGTAGAGGAAGTGGAAACCCTTCTCGTAGGGGACAGTGCTGAAGGCGTCGTCGGGGTCGATGCCCTTGTGGTTGATGATGAGCTTGGTGAACTCGGAGTCGGCGCCGAAGAGGGTCACGGAGTCCTCTGTGAAGAGTTAGTGAGTGAGATCGAATATGAGTGAAAAGGGGTAACGCACCGAGTGCCTTCCAGCCGATAATGGCGGAGAAGTCACGCTCAGCATCACCGTGAACGGCCATGCCGATTCTGCGCTCGAGGTAGGTCGTCCATCCCTCATTCAACCAGCTGTTTCCATGTTAGAATCTATCTCAATCCCATTCTCACCTCACTTACAAGTGCTCCCAACTGCAGCTGGTAACCAAGTTTCCACTCCAGGAATGGCTCAACTCGTGCGCAATAACATCCACATTCTGCTTGTCACCACTGATGATGGTCGGCGTCGCAAACGTGTAAATAGGGTTCTCCATACCGCCGTAGGGGAAGCTAGGCGGCAGCACCAACACGTTGTACTGACCCCACCTGTAAGGGAAGACAAGCTTCTCCGCAACCTCCATGAACTTCTCCATGTCGTTCTGCAGCTCCCACTGAGACTCCTTGAGCTCATCAGGTCCGGTGGCAACGATGCTGCGCGGGCCGATAGGTGCAGTCGCGATGTCTCCGGATGCCAGCGCGAACAGGTACGACGGGATAGGGACCTTCTGCTCGAAGCGGTACACCGTCTCGTCGCCCTTCTTCTCTGGCTCGCCCTCGACAGCCACACCAGAGGCCACGACGGGTAGGGGGGACGTCAGGACGAAAGTGTAAGTCGACTTGACATCCGGAGTGTCCTGGCAAGGGAAAAGCGAGCGAGCATGGATAGCCTGGCATTGCGAGAACATGTACGGGTGCTTCTTGTTGCTGGTCTGCGCGGGGGTGAGCCATTGAAGGGCGGTGCACTTGTCGGTAGTCTTCAGATCGACGTCCAACTTCACGACCTCACCCTTGGCCGCACCCTGGGGCACAAAGACATGCAGAGGGGCGCCATAGGGCTCGACACGGTCCTTGACCTCATACGTCGAGGTCGCGGCGTTCACCTTGACGCCAGAGATGGAGAGGAAGCTGGAATCGAGGACGATCTCCTTGCTCTCCTTGTCGGTAAGGGACTCGAGCTCGAGGGTGACGGAGCCCTTCAGGCACTTTTCCTTGAAGTCGATGGTGAGGTTGGCGGTGGTGTGCTTGGTGAGCCAGGCACCGTAGTTGGAGAGGGTGTTGGGGTCTCTGTTAGGCATTTTGGCGGTCGTTGCGAAGGCGGCTGCGCGGGTTGCGGGGTGGACGACGCGAGTGAAGGCTGATCTGAACGGAATCGAACCCTTTGACACGAGGGATCGCCACATGTGTGTTGAGGTGTTATTGCGGAGCAACCTTTCTCCAGAATTTGTGATACCTCCAATCCTCTCGTGATGTCGTTGAAACGACTTGCCAGATTAGGACTAGAGTTTGGAGCTTCAGCCACACTTTGGTGAGCTTCGTATTCAGCCACAGGCGGGGTGATTTCTCCCCCACCTTAGGTACAGTAGTTAATAGTGGCTGGTTCATCCTTCACAAGTTTGTTGTCTTCATGACCAACATTTATCGAAGTGGTTTCTACGTTATGTTTCTTGAGGTTCTTGGTACTGATTGTCATTCAATTTCTCATCGTTTAAACTGAGTTACTTGCGCATCACGTAATACGACCTTGGTACCCTCCCTGGTCAACCTGAGTGGAAGCCGTCTCATAGTCGATGGAATAGAGAAATCAGATCCAGTGCTTCGTATAAACCAGTAGGGGAAAGTTGTCTCATTCATTTTCTCATTTCATAATGCCAACTAACGCCAAATGTCATTCGCTTTTGGTCATGCCTCAAAAGTCCATCTTCTCATGCTTGAAAGGCTTCTTGCCCTCTCCCTCGCCGTACGCCAACGAAACCTGACCGTGCCCCCTAATCTTGTACTTGTAAATCATCAGACCCTCCAGACCGACGGGTCCGCGAGAGTGGATCTTGTTAGTGCTGATGCCGACCTCGGTGCCGAAGCCGTAGCGCATGCCGTCGGCCATGCGAGTGGAGGCGTTCCAGTAGACACCGGCAGCGTCGACCGAGTTCATGAACTTCTCGGCCTCCTGCTCGTCCGAGGTGAGGATGGCCTCGGTGTGCTTGGAACCGTGGGTGTTGATGTGCTGGACCGCCTCGGCCATGGAGAAGACGGTCTGGACGGCGATGTCGAGAGAAAGGAACTCGGTGTCGTAGTCGGCCTCCTTGGCGTCCACAACCTTGGAAGCGGCATCGCTTGAGAGCTTGGACAGAAGGACTTCCTTGGACTGACGATCGCAGTGAAGCGTCACGCCCTTGGCGATCAGAGCCTCGGCGACGACGGGGAACGATGTCTCGAGGGCGGATTCCTGCACCAGCAACGTCTCAGCGCTGTTGCAGGCGGCGGGGTAGCTGGTCTTGGAGTCGACGACAACGTCGGCGGCCATCTTGGCGTCTGCTGAGCCGGTGAGGAAGATGGAGCACAAGCCGTCAGCGTGGCCCAGGACGGGAATCTTGGTGTTCTCCTTGATGTAGCGGACAAGCTCGTTGGAGCCGCGAGGAACGACGAGGTCGATGTATTGGTCGAGTGCCAGCAGTTGAGGGATGACGTCGCGGGAGCTGACGAGCTGAACGGCCGAGTTGGGAACCTTGGGCTTCTGGAGGTTCTCGAGAGCGGAGGAGATGACCTGGGAGATGGCTACGAAAGACTCCGTGGACTCCTTGCCTCCCTTCAGGATTGCTGCGTTGCCGGACTTGATGGCCAAGGAGGCGATGTTGGCGATCACCTCAGGGCGGGCCTCGAAGATGATGAGAAGGACACCAATGGGGCAGGTGACCCTCTCGAGAATGAGACCATCGTCCAGCTTGGTCCTCAGTGTGACCTTTCCAACTTTGAAGCGTTAAAATAATGAGGAAACGGACTTTTTTTATGAAATTCACACACCTGGGTCCTCCAGATCTCTCACATCCAAGATCCCCTTGAGCATATCCTCAAACTTGCCCTTCTTGCCCAGGTCCAGACGAGAGACGAGACTCTGGCTCAATTGGCCATCGGCAGCGGCCTTGCGAGCAAGCTCCAAGTCGCGCGAGTTGGCAGCGAGAATTGAATCTTTAGCCTCAGCGAGGGCGGCGTGAATAGCCGTCAGAGCATCGTTGCGAGCTTCGGCAGGGAGCGTGGCGAGGATGTGAGAGGCCGACTTCGCACTCTTGGCGCAGTCAACGGGGGAGGCGTTGGTCAGAGACATGATTCGAGTAAAAGGAAATAAAATTCGCAATAAGAGAGCGTGGTTTGCTTAGGAACCGAGGCGCAATACTTCTTGCGCGCGGACAGTCTGATAGTGAATGTGAGTCAATTGGTGAAGCTCTCACAATCGACCCCTCCAAGCTTTCGGGGACGCCACTGGACGTTGCAAAAATTTGGAGCCCCGCACTCCGATCTTTCGGGGCTCAAACGGGAGGCGGCCGGCCCAAGACACTCGTGTTGAAATATTGAGTTTAAGTTGAGGTGACTTCAGTGTCAATCTCATTCTGTCAAAACCAATAAGCTTATCCGGTACAAGGAAGATCGAGTTAACAACAGAGAGCCTCATCAACATCATTTCCAACTCCAAGTCCACGCTTGAATACGAAGTTAGATAAGGTATCTATCTTTTGGGAAGCCCATTATTCGTGAACAAGGGTCCGCAGCGGCAATGGACCCGCTGAGCCGCCGCTGACCGTTCGGGAAACATCTCGAGGGCAGTTGTCGGCTTCAATGCGACTTGCATGTTGGTTTTGGTTTACGCCCTGTTTTGACAAGTTCGCAATCTTTTCGAAATTGCCACTTCACTGGACTGAACTGGTTTCCTCAAGGCAATAATGCTCCGCTTTCGTCGCAAATGCAACCGCAACCCGAGTCATGAAATCTCAAATTCTAGATCCCCTTCCAGTTTCGGGGCGTTTGCGACAGACCGAACCTTTTTCATCCTCGCCTCGTCTCATCTCAGCCCTTGTCATCTCACCTCCTCCACGTCAAAACCCGACCAAACAGAAAAGCTTCTTAAATTATCACCTACCTCGTCTGAGATGCAGATGGGAGGATTCAGCCAAGAGATGCAGGCCTCCTGCGACACATACGCTGCACCCCGCAACCCGACGACGGCCATCGCATTGCGTAGGGGTAACAGCAGAGGAGCTGCCTCTTCCGTCCCGATAAGAAACTCGCCCTCGATAAGAAATGAGCGGAAGAAGAACGGGTACTGCCAAATTGGCTAGCCAGCATGGAAAAATCTGCCGACGACGGTGCCGTTCTTTTACTAAGCTGGACGGACATAGTTGGGCGGAAACCGAGCTTCAGATGAGCCAGACGACCAATCCTGGTGCCGATTTGCCGTCTTTTTCTTGAACTTCTGAGCCTTCTAGCTCGTCATTCCTTACGCAAGTGCTGAATTCGAACACTCCGCCCCAAGCGAACAATGTGCTCACTTGACTGACGCTTTCGCGCTCGCGGCTCGCGTTGAACATTTCGCAAACATGATTTACAAGCAATTCAACCAGACGTATTCGCGTTGTCCACTCGTTTGGCCCACTTTCGAGGTCGCCCGCCGAGGCATCTCGCCCTCGAAACATCGGCAGCCCACAGCCGAGCTCGGTGTCGATCCGCTCAGCTCCACCGCGGAACGGTGGCAGTTAGCCGATGGGAAAGATTTCAATGACTGTCTCTTTTCTTCCCATCATGGACCATGACCCAACAGCAGCAGGTCACTTCGCCGCGGAGTGGGGGGGCCGGCGGTTGTTTGGAAAGAGAAGAACCATTGCCATACCCGGTGCGGCACCCGTTTAAAAAAGACGTCCAGGTCCCCGGTCATTATCTTTCGTCATTTCGCTCGCCCTTCTCCATCTTTTGATGTGTTAATATTTTTTCTTGGCCGTGGGTCCTGTGAATGTTGAAAGCTCCTTTTCCTCCTTTTCTGGCATCTGCTGCTGCTACGCCGCCGCCGCCGCAATTCCCATCTTGTTTCCTTCGTGACGTCGGCACCGACCTCGGCAAAAACAAACCAATATGAATCCGTCACGCGATCCGGAAAAGGACCCTTTTCCGTCGGAAACGGCTTCTGAGCAGAGGGACGAACAGAGCCAGACCAGCGATAGCGAGGATGAGATCACAGAAATCGGCCGCGCAGGAGATGGGTCCCCGGAGCCCGCGCCGGACCCGGACCCATCCGCCACCGCCACCGCCGCCGCCGCCGGCATCCCGGTCACTAGAACGTCCACCCGCTCCGGTCCTCCGGTCCTCATTCCCCGGTCGAAACGGCGAGGACTGTTCGGGCAGCTCGCCGTCATACCGGAGGTAGAAAGCCCGTATACTTATACCAATAAGACGAAATGGACCATCACCCTAATCATTGCTCTCGCGGCGGCTATGGCTCCTATGGGATCCTCCATTTTTTACCGTAAGCTCACCTCGTAAATCCATCATGTCCTACAGTTCACCAACGCGCAGAAAAGCCGCACTCCCCCAAATGTCCAAGGACTTTGGCGTCTCGCCGACGATAACCAACCTCTCCGTGGCCTTCTACATGCTCGCCATGGCCATCTTCCCGCTGTGGTGGTCCTCCTTCTCCGAGACCCTGGGCCGCCGCACCATCTACCTCATCTCTTTCGCCCTCTTCATCGTCTTCTCCGTCCTGAGCGCCGTGAGCGTCAACATCGAGATGCTCATCGTCATGCGCCTCCTCGGCGGCGGCGCCAGCGCCAGCGTCCAGGCCGTCGGCGCAGGCACCATCGCCGACATCTGGGAGCCCCGCGAGCGCGGCCGCGGCATGAGCATCTTCTACCTCGGGCCCCTGTGCGGCCCCCTCTTCGCCCCCATCATCGGCGGCGCCCTCTCCCAGCGCTTCGGCTGGCAGTCCACCATGTGGGCGCTCGCCATCTACGGCGGGCTGGTCTTCATCATGGTCCTGTTCTGCCTGCCCGAGACCCTGCCCCGGCCGAAACCGCCTCCAGCTCCTCTCCCTTCTCAGGGCGACAAGAATGAACTCTCCAGGACCAAGACCACGGAGTCGGTCAAGGTGCACACGAAGAAGGCCGCGGCGACGGCGAAGAAGTTCTTCCTCGACCCGCTGTCCGTGCTGCTCTACCTACGCTTCCCGCCGGTGATCATCACGGTGGCCTTCGCGGCCATCACCTTCGGCGCGCTCTTCTTCGTCAACATCTCCGTCCAGTCGACCTTCAGCAAGGAGCCGTACGGCTTCAACCAGCTCATCATCGGCCTGTTCTACTTCCCCGCGGGCCTCGGCTACTTCATGGCCTCCATCCTCGGCGGCCGCTGGCTCGACTTCATCATGGCGAGGGAGGCCAAGAAGGCCGGCCGCTACGACGCCAACGGCAAGCTCATCATGCTCCCCGAGGACAGGATGCGCGAGAACGCCTGGATCGCCGCGACCATGTACCCGGCCTCCCTGATCTTCTACGGCTGGGTGGTCCAGAAGGGGCTCTTCTGGTTCGTGCCGTGCATCGGCCTCTTTACTTTTGGAGCCGGCTCGATGCTCGTTTTGTAAGTCCTACCCGTTTAGTCCCGTCTCAAACCGCGCGCATGGCGTCGTTCTGGACCCGAATGCTTCTTATCGGTCAGCCCGGCTAACATCGCATCTCCTCTAGCGGCGCCGCCACCACCATGCTAACGGAATTCATGCCGGGACGCAGCTCCGGCGGCGTGGCGCTGAACAACCTGATAAGAAACATCTTCTCGTGCATAGGCGCAATCGCGGCACAGCCCGTCATCGGCGCCATCGGCAACGGGTGGCTCTTCACGATACTGGGCATCTTCACGTGGATCACGGGGTACCTGTGCGTCTGGGTCCTGCGGAAGAAGGCCCCCGAATGGAGAAAGGATATGGATAGAGCGTTGAACAAGTCGTAGCGCGCGCGCATTTGTGCTGGTTTTTTTTTTTTTCCTCTTGGAAATGGTTCATGTCATCGATTTGTGTTTAGCGCGCCCGCAGGATACCATCACATGACGGCATAGCGCCAAAAGCATTTGAAACTTCTTTGATAATAGATTTCGCATTATTTGTTTGCGTGTAAGACCAAGACATGTGCTACCACACCATACTAGATACCAAGGGAAATGACTTCTTATCAACAACATTTTTAGGGGGGAGACCTTGTTTAGGAAGACGCGTGAGGGTTAACCCCCCTCTCGTTGCAGTACTTCGAGACCTCCTTCCGCAGCGTCTCCTTCTGCCTAGAGACGAGGTCCATGACGTCCCTGATCTCCTCGCCGAGGTCCCAGTCGCCCTCGCGGCCGCCGGCGTCGGCGTAGACGTTCTCCATCTCGGTGAGGACGGCCTCGAGCTGGTTGGGGAGCCAGGTGACGATGGGGCTGCCGCCGGTGGCCGTCGGGTGGGAGGTGCGCTTGAGGATGTACTCGCGCGCGAAGCACCAGTGGCGCCAGCGGAAGTCGCGGACCTGGTGGAGGATCAGCAGCCACAGGCGGCGGGTCTGCTTGAGGGCCTCGACGTCCTCGTCGCTCTCGCCGGCGGCGGCCGTCTTGTAGGCGAGGGCGGCGTCCTTGAGGCCCAGCTCGAGGGAGCGGTCCCTGACGTGCAGCAGGAACTGGCGGTGGTTGGAGGGGCGGTAGGAGCGGAAGTCCTTGAGGATCTCGGTGAGCGGGGTGTCGGGCATGGGGACCTGGAGGAGGTTGTCCATGAGGGGGACGATGGAGTCGTTGGCGCCGGACTCGCCGCGGAAGGACATGGGCTTGTCGTCGTTGACGCCCTCGTAGACGACGCCGTTGGGGAACATGCTCTGGTTGGTGATGCCGAAGATGAAGGTGCGGAAGCTGGTGTAGCTCTGGGGGCGCGACTTGTCCCACATGGTCTCCATGGTGTGGTTGATCTTGCGCAGGGAGGCGAGGACCTCGGAGAGGCCCTGGTTGAGGGATGCGCGGTCGACGGAGCGGCCGGCGCGGGACTGGCAGCGGAGAGCGGCCATGGTGCCCTTGACGAGAGGGCCGGTGTTCTTGACCATGTCGATGTGGACGAGGACGAAGCCCGCCTCAGAGGACTTAGGGTCCAGACCATGCTCGAAAGCGCGGATGAGGCGGATGTTGTCGTAGTCCATGCCCTTTGAAGGGTCTTCCAGGCGGTAGTTGTAGAGGGCGTAGGAGCCGGCGTACTCCATCCAAGGCTTGAAGCCGGTACTGTATTTCTGTCAGTATGCATGAAATGGTATGATTGAGTTTCGAGTGAGTTGTGAAGGATGAGATGAGAGTGAGAAGAAGATGAGAGTTGAAGACAACTTACAGCTCAGCACAACGGGCAATGGGCAAAGAGATGTTCTTGGGAAGAACCTGACGACCCAGACCGTAACCCTCGCCCCTTACGAAGCGCTCATGGCAAGGCTCAAGCAGGTAAGCAGAGGCAAGGAAAGAGTAGTCGCGGTAGAGCGCGTTCATGAGCGGCAGGTTGTCCTTGTACTTGTCGATGCAGTCCGTGAGGTTCGGGAACTCGTTGTCAACCACGTCACCCAACTTTGACGAAGCCAAGTAACCCGGAGTGCCATCGAGCTTCTTGACGGGCATGTTGGCCAAGATGTCTTCGAGGGGGGCGAACTCGGCGGGCAGCACGGCGACGGGATCCGCACGGGGCAGAAAGCCGCGCGTGGTGGAGACCATGAACGCCGGGAGGGAGTTGTCATCGGGACGGGTGTCGTCGAGGACGGGGAACGGGGCGGTGTCAAGGGAACCCATTTTGAGATGAACGACCGGGGTAAAAGAACGCGGGGGTGGGTATGTGTGTGTAAGTGGAAGTGAGGATGTGTGTGGGTTGTGTGGGTTGTGGTGTGTAATGGGAGTTGTCAAAGTGCGTATTGGGTGACTTGTTTGACAACGTCCGTGTAAGTCGACTTATACGGATTGGAAAAGGGTGTATAAGTGATATGGGTATGTAAAGAGACGGGGAAAATTGGCCAAAAAATGTCAGACTAATTCCGTTCGAGTGCGGAGAGTTGGTCTTGGTGCGGGCGCTTTGATGAGAGCGAGAAGAAGTTGAGACTGATGAAGCCGCCACTCGGCGCCGTGTATATAGGCCGTGGCCGGGGGGTTTCCGGCCTCAAATGGAGCAATCGCGCGTTCATTCCGGCCTCAAAATGAGGGGTCAAGTCTGCTCGGTCATGACACGAAGCCCCCGTCCGCCGTCCGTCCGTTTCTGTTTGTCATATCATCCTAATCTCTGGTCACACGGGTGTTCAGGGCGCGAACGACACATCGTTTCCACCCTCTTCCTGCCGGCCTCGACCTTGTATACGGCCGTCCGAGAGGCTGTCGAAGCTGCTTTTCCCTTTGATAACCGCTGCTTTGTCTCTTCACACCCCCAGATGACGCCCCATCCGGGACCCCGGGTCGAGGGTTGTCCAGCTGACGTCCACCTTGATAAGGACAATGAGGAACAATGTCATTGGATATTCTGTTCATGGTGATAGAATCGCCGTTGCTCTCGCGATGCCGGGTTTTTGTGGTTCTGGGGGGCACCGGTTGTGGACGTGGGCGAGTTGGAGTAAGATGTCAGGGGTGCCCGATTCGCCGATGCTTGCCAGCATGTGCGGGACCGCGATGGCCGAGGACGTGGTCTTGGCACACGGACCTCAGCCACATGGCTGAGACTAACAGGTTCACACATAATCTCCATAGATTGCTGTTAGAGACACCATAGATAAGAGAAAATCGTTGTATTAAATGAGTGAAAAATGCTCGGTCTGTTGAAGGAACCTTGTTGCCCTATTGTCCCGGCAATCTAGATGCGTCCGAAAAAAAAGCCAATCTGCGTGTGATAGGTTGCTCCCTCTGTCGTGCCAAATGAATGTCATTGTCGTCGAAGTCGTTTGCCGATTGATCCGTGTTATCATCCCTCATAAATCGTCATTAATCCCTCCCCCATCCTGAACCCTGACGTGTCCCTTAGAACCTGCGGAATGATGAGCGTTGGAAGGCATGTGGAATGACGGGGAACTCACGCTAGAACGCGACTAGTGCATCATCTCAAAAGCATCGTCTGCCTCACGATCGAGAAGCGGGATAGAGCGGTCGGGGCTCCTTCGCGACTCACGGCGTGCCATCAGGACGTTCAAAGAATCGTCCCCGTCCAAGTCCACTTCCTCGTCTCCCGTCGTGGTAGAAGCCTGGGAGCCGCCCAGGGACTCTTCCACCTCGAAGGGCTCTTCCTTCGGGTTCTCCCCTTGACCATCAGGGCTCGAGCCTTCGGCGTCATCGGAGTGCGCATCTCGCGCAAGTACCGGCGCTCCTGCCGGGGAGCCATCTTCATAGACGTAAGCGGTAAACGTCTGAGTGAGGGTCGTCTTGCATCGCGTACCGGTCGTGGTGGCCGTTCCAAAGGCCGTGGTAAGTTGGTCGCGCGGACCTGAGCCTGGGCTTGTTAGAAAGGGGCTGGGGACAACGGGACCTACATTGGGGGGATTGGGAGCCGGGGAGTTCACGGGGTTCGGCTTCACTGGGTTCGAGGCGGCCGGCGTGTTCACAGGGTTCGGGTTCACCGGATTCGAGACTGCGGGTGGGTTAGGAGCCGGAGGGCTGGCGATCGGCGGATTCGAGGCCGGCAGGCTGGCTGACCGCACCGGGGACGGAGCGATGGGGCCAGAGGAAGCACCGGGTGCCGGGTTGCCTGCCGTGTTGGACGGAAGCTGGCCGGCGCCGCCACCAGGGGAACTGCCGGCGGCCTCTGAAAGGATGGATGAGAGCTGTGTTTCGATTGACTTGATGAGCTTCAATAGATCTTGGACGGCCTGTTGCGGGATCTGGATGCTCTGCCTCTTGACGACGACGACATCCACAGAATCCACGTCACCTGGCGTGTCTTGGCTGGGTCGCTTGAGGCTGTTGCTGTAAGTATTCAAGAACTGGCCCAGTTGGTTGTCGAGGTCCACGAGTTGATCGGCGAGTGCCCGGGTCGAAAGATGAGGCTCAAGCTGAGCGACGTCCACATCGCCGGAGCGTCCACGAAGGATGGCGCTCGACGCGGCCTGGAAGGCGACGTGGAAAACGACGCCGGCGTGAAGGATCTTGGTGAAGAGATGCATGTTGGAATGTTGCAGTGAGTAAATGAATGGTTTGTCAAACAGACGCAGCTATCGAGACTTCTCGAGCTCCTGATATAGGTTTGTGGCGTTGCTGTCGACACAGACATGGCAACGCATTCCAGACGGCGACAACTTGCCGCTGATGCGAATGCATTCCTCTAGTATTGTGTCCCTCGGTCAATGGTTGCTCAACGATGTCTCTGGTGAGAAAATACGACGGATAGTGTCTCTCCGATCGTGGCAATCAATGATCGCGATGGACACGCCTGGAGCGTCTCGAAAGCGATGGCGCAAAAGCCACCTGAACACCTCGGCATTCGTGATGGCTGTACGTTGCCAAAGGGGCAAGTGATGAAAATTGGATGGTGGGTCTGGCAAATATCCAAGAGCGTAGCGCAAGAAATCGCAGTCATGAGGCCGTTCACGGAAATAAGTCCTGATTGTGGAGCGTTGTAGGCGTCGGGGTGGTTTCGGAGATGCACGTTCAAGTTTGGCTTTGAGACGACGACGACGGGATAACTTCGCGTTTGTATCGACGGCGGTGATGATCAGCCATGGTTGGTGGTGCATGATACAGTTAGAAAAGATACATCCCTGAGGTGGATTTGGGGTACGGATCAAACGTGAGTCTGACGGGACAATTGTGGTAGGCGGCGATAGTGTTCGCACAGATGCGATGAAACAGGACGAGATAGCCGATGGCTGGTCGGATTGCGAGTGTTTGTCGCCATTCTCTTCATCCTGACCGCCAAAGCTGGATTGTGTTCCCCGCTGATAGAGAAGGTGAGTTGTGTGCCCGAGTGAAGCAGTAGACTCGTCTCGATATGAACGAGAATTGGCGATCTTTACCGACTCTCGAAGGGAGGCGAGGCGCCGTTCAAAGAAATGGCATGCTGTGAGACGAACGGAGCAGTTCCATTTCTTCTTTCGTGGGATTCAGGCGGGTTGGCCGGAGCTGTGCTCTCATCCAGGCTTGCGCCACTTGGCTTTCCATTTTCTGTTGGTGTCGGGTCGGGATGTTTGACCCTCGGAAGTTCGATTGGCTCTCGTCAAGTGGGATTGGAGTTGGGGGTGAAAGCAATTTTTGTATCCATCTGACAGGGAAGTGTGACCACGGCAGATGCGGGAGGTTTGGCTGCCCCTTTTCACGGCGTTTAGGGCTCCCATTCCCAGATCGTCTGCAGGTGTTCCGCCGTCCATCGATGTGTCGACAGTGAAGCTGTCAAAGGTCGATAAAATCGATATGTTATAGTTCAGTCGACTTATATATGGACAGTTGTTGGATCTTGCCGCGGTTGTTCGGAATATCAAATTGCATGAAGCGATCGTTCAAATGATTTGGACAGGGAAGGCAGATTGCGATGGTTCTTGGTCAATCGGGCGCCCCCATCGGCGAGCCCACGATATTCTGGCCTTGGTTGCAGTCCATTCCGGTTCTCCCATTTTGTCTGGCCCAGCTTCTCCCTGCCGCTCGGTGATCTTCCTGAATCGGCGCCCCCATAATTAAGGTGGTTGTGCTGCAGAGGCTGATGCGTTGCTTTACCTACCTTAATTCCATCTCTAGCAGTTCTCAGGCTTCCAAGTTCTGATGATGCAGTGGAAGCGGCAGCCTGGAAGGCGAATGATGACAGTCGTGGGCTTAAATGGCCAGAGTTCACGACGTAGCGCGTGGATTCAAGGGAATTCCAGGCTGAAGTGGAAGCCTGCGGTCGGCATCACGAAATCAAAGTTCCAGGCTGCCCCGAACAGAGTGTTGGAGTGCGCCAGCCAAGCGTGGACCTGAGTTGCGGTGATGTGTTAGGTTGAGACTTGAATGTTGCCCCCTTGATCCTCGCCGACCGAGTGTCCGAACGGGTTGATCCAGCGGTAACTTTCTGCAGGTGTCCAAAAGGATCACGAATGGCACGGATGGCTGATGATGTCTGCCGTGGCCAACGCACTAGCCGGCTAACAGCGAGTACAGTACATGGCTTGCGGGTGATGCTGGAGATTGGATGCATCCTGTCATATTGCATTCGCGGTGAGTAAGACAAGGCAGGCGATGGCCCGTATTTTTGTCATCTTGGCCGTGGTGTCGGTGTCGGGTGGGAGTCGTGAGGGCGAGGTGACGGCGTGTCATGGCCCTGAGGGAAATAAGTTGCAGGATAAAGTCTGCAAAGGTCATGGATCATCGTCCGGTGTGCCGCGAAGTTGTTGTGGGGAGTGCAAAGGGTAGCGTGCTATCGCCATTTTTCGAGTCAAGCCATGCCCGATGAGGTAAAAGACTGCTGGGCCTTGTCGCGAGGAGTTGAAGTGTTTCGCCCTGGCCCTGACAATGGACGTAGGGCAGACAGGACGAAAAAGCAGCGTGGCTTGTGTGATGGGCGGATGCAGCGAATGCAGAGCGAGCGCACTTTGTGATGAATTTAAGGTATCGCCTGAAGCATGGAATACCGAGCAGGTTGAGGGAGAAGATGGCCAACGGGCGAGGTGACTGGGCGGCAAGGCAAGAAAGAGGCGGCTTCGGACGACGAAAAGAAGGAGATGGAACCCTCGTGAAAAGTGTGTGTGAGCTTTTTTGATTCATTGCTTGCGGTTCCAGGTTGCTTGGGTTGCTGAGGTCAGAAAATGCAAAGATCCAGTAAGATGCGGAAAGTTGGAAGGTCCTGTGTCGTCCAGTCCATGTTGCTTGCCTCTTTCCATTGCTGTCGTGGGTGGCCCGGCGGCGGAAGCGGAGGGTGCCGCGGTACGTACCTTTTAATTGGTTGGGCATGGCACTGGATGTATCCCCGGAGCAGAAAGGTACTTCTGACGCGATGCGAGATGCACCCATTTCACGCGTAACATGGCAACATTGGCTTGTACCCCTGTACTTCTCAAAGGGGGGACGTCCCTTTCGACACGGGCCCCCGACTGGTCCCAGACCTTTTCGCTTACCCACAACTGCGGCGCTGTCTGCTGCTGCGCGAAGAGGAAGCGAAAGCTGGAGGTCAATTCTTGACGGGAGCGAGAGTGAGAGAGACCAGCCCAGCACCACGCACCACGCACCACGCACCCAGCACCGCACCCAACCCAGCATGAGAACCGTTTATTGTCACGCCGCCTGGTCTGGCGCTCTCTCGAAAATGAGACGCCAAACTTACCAGATGGATTCCCCCATAAAATAAAAATTCTCTCCTCTCCCCCATCACGATTCCCTTCCACCCTCCCATTCCATCCATCGTCACTGGGACCGCAACCGCAGGCCATCACCACATCGCCGCCGACCCGACCTTTGCGACTACCGAAGAATCCGCACTTCACCCTACCTACGGATACCGCAAACCAACGCACCGCCCAAAACCTTGCCAATACCCTACCCACCAGATCACAATTGTAGCCATTGGATGACTGGCCCGACCGCCACCCCATCCATCAAAGCAGCTGTATTTCGCGACAAAGCCAACTTCCTCTACTTCAGCTCCCCGTCGCCTCCCCTTCGAACTTTCGTCCGTCTCCTTTCCTTCTCCACGCCCAATCTTCACACCCGCCATCTACGTCCATCACCCAACACCACAACTTCATCGAAATGGCTTCTGCGAGTGTTAGACGCAAGTCGACCGGAGGCAAGGGCGGCCTTGTCGTCACCCTCACTGTCAACGCCGGAAAGTTGAAGGAGATCATCGAGCCCAGTCCCGTCAAGGAAGACTCCCCAGTCAAGATGGACGTGGACGAGGCAAACGGCACCAAGGAGGCCCAAGAAACCCAAGACTCCCCCGCCACCTCGACGACTCTACCTGCTCCTGCTGCCGCGAACGGCGAGAATGCTTCCGACTCCAACCCTGCTACGCCGGCCGCCGGAACACCCGCACCAACCTCCATGGGACCTCCTACCGACGGAGCCAAGAAGAAGGGCACCAAACGCGGTGCTGGTGCTGCCAATGGCCTGGGTCCCGACGGCCAGCCTAAGGTGCGAGGCAAGCCCGGTCCGAAGAAGAAGGCCAGATTGTAAGTTATTCTGTATCCTTCATAGGTTGCCATGTGTACTAATTGTCTACAGGGAGGACGGTACTATCGACCCCAACGCCCGATCAGGTGCCGCCGGACACAAGCTGGGTCCCAAGGCAAATATGGGAGCTATCAACGCCGGCCTGCGAGCTCTGGACCGATCCGGCAAACCCTGTCGCAGATGGGCAAAGGGTGGCTTCACCCTCAAGAGCTTCACGGGCATTGTCTGGGAGGTCCCTCGTTGGACCGCACCGCCCAAGTTCATGCCCGACTCAACCACCGAGGAGTCAGCCGCTGCCTCCGCCGACAGCAGCCAAAAGGAGAACAAGGAAAACGACGTGGTCAAAAGCGATGCCAATAGTGCTGTCAACAGCGGCGCCGACGTCGAAATGCGCAGCGCGCCGGGCAGTGTACCTGCCAGTTCTCCGGCCCCGATGGCCATCCCCGCCGCGTCATAGATGACATGCGGCGTCTGTTTTTTCTTTCATTTGCTACGGACATTCACCTTCTCAGACGTCCGTGGATGTATACTAGAGCTCGGAGTTTTCTGGTCACGGTGGAAAAGGGTCTCATGGATGGACAGCATTTGACAGGCAACCTGCCTCGGATTCGCAGTCCATGGGCGACATCTTGTGCGCGGCAATTGGCCGCTGGCGTTCAGGAAATTCGGTATATTGGTTCAGCGAGGTAGCTGCCAAAGGCAAGGCGTTGACGAGGGCAAACACAGAGTGTACACTACGAGTTGGTGCATGCATGAAGAGCCCTGGCTGGGCGATAGAATTGATTACTCACAACAAATTTCGAATGACTGTGCCATGATCATGGTGAAATAGTCCGACTCAAATGGCCGATGGCCTTGGTGCTGAGACCCTCTGATGCAGTGAGTCCCACCTGACGGGAAGTATTTGGCCGCGGGAGTGAATGAGTTCATCGAAGTGAGGCAGGTTAAGTTTGCGGGTCGGCAGCACTGACTCCAGGCATCTTACGAATACTGAGCGACGCGACATTCATCGTCTGCCGAGGGCATTGCTGTCGGGCCTATTGTTGTCGTGCTTGCTTCCGTTGTTTTCGCTGCTGTTGTCTCTGCCATCTTCGCCATCGTCACTGGTGTAATCGTTGCTATTGTCCGTTGTCGTCCTATGATTATACATCACGCCGAATAACCTGCTTATTCGGTTTGGATGCATCGCGACGTTGGCGATAATGCCATTGCAGGCCGGTAATGATGACTCGAGGGGGCGCTTCCGGCGACGTTGTGGTGGTCAAACAGTGGCCAAAGGCATGTGGAAACCCACTGTCGGCAAGGCGCGAAAAAAGCATTGGTGCCCTCCTCGCACGATTCCCCCATCCAGCTCATTTGCTTCCTTCTGATGGAGGAGGCCGGGACCAAGGGACGTTGGTGTCAAACATGAATCTTAGGTAAGCAAGGGGGGCTGGGAAGCGAAGAGCCCCGTTTGGATGATTAAGGGACAGTATCAATTCTTGGTTTGCCAAACTGTGTAGATACCGGTACCTTAGTAAGTTAGTATGACGCCATGGAACGATTCCCCGTCGTCTCGAAATCCAGCTAAGCTTCTCTCTTTCAAGGCCACGTCTTTGTCCATCAGGAGAAACAGTTTCTAGTACCAGATGGTTCTGATGAGTATGTAACCACTAGGATCTCTTCCTTATGTGTTTATCTTGATGACAGTCTCTGTGTGTTGCTCTCCAGAGAACTTACGTCAATGAACAGCATGTCAGCAAGCCGATAAGATCGTGTAGAAGTAGCCTCTATTGCACTAGCAATGGAATCCCTGGCAAGTCCTGGGTCATCCGCAGTAGGGGGTCCCGTCTGCTGTGACTGGCCCCGTTTGGCGCCTCAACTGTTCGACTAGACTTCGACAATGACCTGCTCTCGTGATTGTTTAGCGGCATCTTTACCCTGAGGAACGGCGACGGCGGACACGCTCGGGACAAGCCAAGCCAAGCAGCAAAACAACCGCTTGTCATTTTGTCCGGGCGCTGAGCTGAGGTGGACTTCACACGCATGGATGCAACTCTCCACGTCCCGTCCGCTACCTGTCCATTCCCTGCCGACCTACCTTGCCAACACGTTAACCGCAGCCGCTCCTTGTACCCAAGGTCAGGCAGGTACCTCAAGGCATGGTGCGCACCTCTGCCGCAGTACACCACACACCACCACACTCACCCTGTACCTCCGCCCATCTCCACACTTGCCGGCCTGGAGCGATAGCACCCGACCTCATTCAACCCCATCTCTCGACCTTTCATCGCCGCGTTATCATGATAATCGAGCTGCACTGCGCCGCTTCTTAGCACTGACGAGTCCCTCCTTTTCTTGTACCTCCCTAGGCGTTGCGGTAGAGCGAAATAAACCTTGACTTCCCCGAGCCTACCCCCAAACACAACCAACACATCGTAGTACCTAGTGCGAACCGCTCTGAACATCCGTCTCAGCACGCCATTCCGAAGCCGACTGCTTCTTTGGCACCTCGACCAGCTCCCCAGACCCGACCGCCTGCCCGCATTCTACCGCCGACTCGAACAGACCCATTACCAAAGACTCGCCAAACCCGTCGCCAAATCACTCTCCTGGGGAAGCTCGGATTGCGGCTTCTCGGGGCTCTGCGAAGCTCCTAGGACGTGACTGGTGCGCCGAGCTCGCAGCCGCCGCCTTCCTTCACCATTCCGACCCTCCCCACCATGACGAACCCGTTTCATGGTGCTCCGCGTTATTCAGACTCCAACAATCCTTCCGGCGGCTCTGGTCTTCTTCCACGACGCTTCTCCTACGCCTCAGTCGCTTCTGGCCCGCCATCGAACTCTAACCCACCGTACCTCTCCCACCCCGGTCGAACTTCTGTCATCGCCCAGATCTTGAACTCCTCCGACGACATTACCTTCGAATCAGCCTCGACCAGTTACGATCCGAACAGGGGCGGCGATATGGACGGCGACAGCAACGGCGTCAGCCTCGACAGGGCGTCTCGGCGATTGTCGCGGGGTACCCAGTCCCAATCCTTCTCGAGGGCCTTCGACATGTTCAAATCAGGCCCATCAGGTGACTCGACGGGCGCCACGAATGGGCAGGGGAACGGATTCTTCGTTCCCGCGTACCTCGCCGGTTCGACGTACGTTCAGCGGCTGGAAGACGCGCACTGGACAAAGGTGCAGGCGCAGAAGGAGTCTCAGGCTGCGCAGGTACAAGCCGCGGGAAACTTGACGACGAGCGCTAGCAGCGTCAGCCTTCACGGCAAGCCGGCCTCACATCGCGGTGTGAACTACGACGTGATCGAGAAGCCCCCCGCCTTCGAGGAGGACGATTCGTTTACCCCGCTGCCCACAAGGTGGAACCGAGACGACAAGTATGGAGCTTTGGATATCCTGTCAGATGGTTTGGAAGTCCGGTACATCGGGCCAAGGGGCCAGACGGAGCGCGATCACGAGGCTTTCAGCATACGTGCCGACAACCACATGCCGCCACAGTGCGGCATGTATTATTTCGAAGTCCAGATACTATCGGGGAAACGAGACGAGTATGTTCTATCTGCGCTGCGGCTAAGTCGAAGAGATTCTAACATAATCTGCAGTATGACGATTGGCATCGGGTTCTCGGCGAAAACTGTGGCCCTCTCGCGGCCCCCGGGTTGGGAGCCGGATTCGTGGGGATATCACAGCGACGATGGGCACTGTTATGCTGGACAGAACGGCGGCAAGACCTACGGCCCTCCATTTACGGCGTCTGATGTCATTGGATGCGGTATCAACTTCCGCACCGGTTGTGCTTTCTTCACTAAGAACGGACATATGCTCGGTACGCGTTGGCTGCTTCCTACAAAGCGTGATATCGACTGACCTGCTCTTTCCAGGCACTGCGTTCCGCGAAATCGGAAAGGGAAGCAACCTCTATCCCACGGTAGGACTCAAAAAGTCAGGAGAGCACGTCCGCGTCAACTTTGGCCAAACACCCTTCGTTTTCGACATCGAGGGTTTGATGATGGTTAGTTCACATTTGCTTATTGAACCCAGCTTTACTGTTCAGTTTCTTTTGGTATTCTTCTCTGTTTTGTCGTTGGACGACTCTTGTTGTCATCATGTCTTCTCCGCCTCGCATTCCCATGCCAACCCCATTATCGCCTCTCGAATGGTCGCCGCGCACGTCAGTCGAAGGCACGCCTCTCACGCCAATTGAAGCCTCGCCTCGCACGCCACCGATGTTCAATCTGTCGTTGTTGCCCACATTGAATTCCCCACCCGCTTTTCTCCCCCTTTCTCTCTATAATGAATACAAGAGAAGAGAACGCGAGAGAAGAATGGCGGCTTGGCGGCATCAGGCATGGCATTGAGTTGACTATGCACTTTCACTTAACTGACTGAATACTATCCAGGCAGAAAAGGCGCGAATCCTGAACGAGATATCCGAGACGAGCACGACAGGCCTTGCACCGCCAATGAACGAGACCGAGCTGATTCAGTCCCTGGTAAGTCACGCAGGATTGACGCTGTTGCGTGTGGTTTCTGACCGCAAGGCAGGTATTACAACTTTTGCAACATGACGGCTATGTGGAGACGGCGAGAACCTTCGCGGAGGAGATCAACTCCGAGAAGAGAGCTTTGAGCTTGGATCCGGATGCTCCCATCGAAGGCATCAACGTTAAGGACGACGAGCACGCAAACAAGAGGCAGCGTAGGTCGACAAGCGGTTGCCGTAGGGTGCTGTGACTGATTGGTGATAGGCATTCGAAGAGCTGTGCTCGAGGGCGACATCGACAAGGCGCTTAAGCACACCAACGCTTTCTACCCCCAGGTTCTAAAAGACAACGAGCAGGTATACTTCAGGTTACGTTGCCGCAAGTTCATCGAGATGGTCCGAGCCGGCGCGGAGCTGAGAGCATCTTTGGAGGGCAAGAAGAGTAACGGACATTCCGCAGTCGATCTGAGTGCGTCGGCTATGGATCTCGACGCAAATGGTGCAGAGAACGGTGCGTGGGACCAGATGGACACCGAAGACTCCGAGGGCGCTCCTAGCAGGATCGAGACCCTCGAGTTGGAGACTCTGCAGTATGGTCAAGATCTTTCGGCGGAGTTTAGGAACGATCCCCGGCGCGAGGTTCAGAAACACTTGCAGGACATCTATTCCCTGCTCGCCTACAGCAACCCACTGATAGAGAAGGACGTCGCCCACCTCCTTGATAGGAAAGGTCGTATTACGGTGGCAGAGGAGCTCAACTCTGCAATTCTCTGTGAGTCTCAAACTCGTAATCTCGCAAACTTTTCGCTAACCCGCTGTATAGTGTCGTTGGGTAAATCGTCTCGTGCCGCTCTCGAGACGTTGTATGCTCAGACAAGCGTCCTGTTGGACGATTTGCGAGAAAGCGGCGGACCAGGCGCCTTCGTCTCGTTACAGGATGTCATCGACGATATCCCACAGTCTCAGCCCTTGTAGGGGGGACAACCTTGACCAGCATTATAGCGGATTCAGGCTTATCGGGACATCATAGATGGTATTCCACTACTCTCGTGTGCGATTTAGAATATTGTCCTCGTTCCACTCCACCTTTCTCTCATACTCATATTCTCGGCGTCAGGCTTTGTCTTGGAGTGGGATGGTGGCTCTACAGTCGGCTTTGAGGATTCCTGCATTGGTTGCTGCGGCGGACGGGTAGTTTACATAGGTCTCGCTTGGGGCGTCTGACGCCGCTGCACAAATGGACATGCTATTAACATGTGTCGGCCGACTTCACTCGGTTCATACGTGATGAATGGGGCTTATGACAGATGTATCCCGTGAAACCAACTTCGTCGAGAAGTCTAGCTGGTATGTTGTAGCAATGTTGGTTTCGCCCAGTGCGGTGCGTAGTCTACATGCCCTTTATGAGTGGGCTCTAGATATAGTACAAGTTCGCCCGGCCCTTACGCAACAACCCTCACGCAACAACCCTCACGGGAAACATCTTGCCAGCAATCTCTCCCGATGCCTCACGAGAGCAGGAAACTCCCGCAGCACCTCCGACAGCCTCCGGTCAACCCAGCCGAACGTCTCGTCCAGCAGCAGATGGGTATACGCAAAGACGGATGCGTCGAACAGGGTCGGCTCGTCGCACCCGAAGAACCAGCGCCCGGCGCCCTTCTCTTCCTCCAACAGCACGGCCAGTGCCTCGAACGCGGCGCGCGCGTCGGCGTAGACCCGCGCCGGGTCGACGACGGCGGTCCGCGTCGCCTTCAGGACCTCGGCCTCGGCGGCGGAGCGGACCTGGTGCGTCAGCGTGAGCCGGACCAGCGGGTTGTTGGAGGCCGGCTCGAAGTAGAGGCGGGAGAGGAGGGGCGCGTTGGCCGAGGAGAGGTAGAGGGCGTGGAGCCAGGCGGTGCGGACGCGGGTGTCGAGGAGGGACTGGTAGGCTTGGAGGCGGCCTTCGGGTGGTTGCGAGGCGGGCTTGTCGGATTTCGTTTGGGACTGGGCCCAGGATTCGAGTCTGCTGCCGGCGGTGACGGGGCGGGAGGGTATCGATGGCTGTAAGTAGGGGAGGGCGCCGGAGGGGGAGGCGTGGTTTGTTGAGGGGAGGATGCGGAATTCTGCGCCTGCTATTTTGAGGAAGGTCTGCGAAGGTATGAGTTAGTCAGGGGTGATCCGGAGCAGAGAGGAGTCGTGGTCTACGGACCTGCCACTTTAGACATGAAGGGTTGAAGCTGGGTCGGCCATTTGCTGCATCTTCTGCCGAGACGAAGACGTAGAGGACCGGGCTGTCGCCTCGGGAGGGGCTGCGGAGGGGTAGGTCGTTTGGTGGGAGGACGGCGAGGGGGAAGCGGCGGAAGAGGGCTGCGACCGGGGCCGGGACGTCGAACCAGCTCCTCGGAGTAGGCTCCGGCATGTTCGCGGTGCGGCAGGCCGGGGGTCGGCGGCGGGAGGTGGAGGAGGAGGAGGGGTGTTTGAGTGACTGCCGAGGAAGATTGTTCCGGAGAATTTGAGCGGAGCTTGGGCCGGTGGACGGAGGTAGGTATCCTCGGTGGTGGGGTACGTATCGTCTGAGGGAATGGGAGAGTTCGTCGTCTGCCTCTGGGCGCGTCTCGCGTGCTCTCTCTCTCAGTGTCTCCTCTCGCGCTCGTGATGTTGCCTCCCTGTTGGCCCCGTGGGAAAGGGGAGCGCAGAAAGTGGTCGCTGACTGGGTGTCAGCGGGCAGCTGCGGGTGAGGGGAGCTTGTTGGTTGGTCGAAGCTAGCCTGCCGACTACCTAGCTGCGTCGGTTCGGTTTGCAGGGCCGGGGTTTGAGGCGTGAAGGGTCTGGTTGGGTGGTTTCTGGTGTGGATCGTGTATCTCGGAGCGGGAAAACGGAGGGACATGGGAGAGAAAGGTGGGGGTTTTCTTTTGGTGGTTGCAGCGTTGCTCAGATTATCGCGGATTCGTGGTGCGCTTCTTTTCCACACCGCCCATCTGCCCGCCGGAGTAATTTATCGCGAGCCCAGTCCTCATTCCACCCGTATGCGAGATAAGGATGCCCGTGAGCTTTATTTTTCTATCTCGGCGCATTTGAGGGGTGAGGTGGCGTGAGGATGGATACGGCGTTTTTCGTGGCACGAGTTTTTGGGACATGGGAGATGGGGTTCGCAGAGATTTGACGACAAGAGACCAGCACGACGCAGCCTGTGGTCTGGATAAGCTGCTGGAATCTGGAAAGGCCGGCTGGCAAGCTGCAAGAGACGGGAGCTGCAGAACACTGCAGTCCGAGTTGCAGGCGGGTTTGCGGCGGTGCGAATGGACCCTGGATTCCTTCCTCTCGTCGGCTCTTTCCTGTTGTCTGCTATCTGCAACCTTTCCTTCCTTCCCTCTACATGTCCTTCTTCCGCCGTTGGAATGGGCATAGGCTCCGCGGCCTCAGATGCATAAGAAACCGCGCAAGACGGTCGGAATATCCGCGATGGCACGGAGTACAGAGCAAGGGTACGGCGGAAATACTGCGTATGTACTGCGTAGGTAGGGCTGCCTCACGGGGAATGATGGAGCCGGCCGAGGTCGAATCGATATCGAGCGCCCGCCGTCCGCCCCCGGTCGGTGAGGGCCCCGTCGGTGAGTAGCTCCACGTCCGGATTAATCGCGGCGAAATGGGGGGAGAGGACCGTGGGGAGTCGGATTTTCAGCGAGAATGGAGGGAATTCCAGCCAAGGCCGGCGGGTCAATCAATTTGACGGTCCCTGGGAACAAGGTGACCCCTCGGTGATCTCGGGCAAATTCCTCGCTGAATTACACCTTCCCGAGGTTCCAGTTTCCAGTTTCTCTGGCGCAGCGGCAGTGAGCGGTTGCAGGAACAAAGCATACCCGCAGGGTAAGCACCTTGCTGCGCTTGAGAGGTCGACTTTGGGGTTGTTGTCGATCTACGGTACCTTGGAGGCTGGCGATGCAGATGGCGACAGACAGACAGGACGGATTTGCCGCGACTCGTGCACAAGATGCAAGTGCAGGCGCCAGGCAAGCGGCGCGACTCCATCAGCGTCGTCATGCTTTTGAGACCATGGCTACCTTTCTTTGGGCATATCTCTCGACGCCCAAAGAGGCGCTTTTACATGTTGTCTATTGACTGGAAACAGGCGAAACTTGAGACCGTCCGCGAGGGCTAGAGATGCACTGCTACCGACGCTTTCCACGGATTGGACAGGAAGAACCTCCCTAGACCGTCTGAGATGCACCTGGAAAACCGTATCTGTACTATCAATTAAACGAGGTTGCACGTCTTCGCCTCGGCGCTGCTGGAGCGACAGGTTCCGGATGCTGCGCTGCGATGCAGTCTGCAAATCGCCATGTTGCTATTACCGATCGATGGCAGACAATGCAAGGCAGCAAGGCAGGAGAAGGAAAATTTTCGTTGGCCATGTTTCGCCGTCTCACGAGATTGCGCGATTCTGGCCCCCGGATCAGAAGAGAGTGGTCCTATATGACCATCATTCTGTGTTACCCGCCCGGGGCATTCTCATCCCGAAGGTATTCCGAGTCTGGCGCGAAGCAAGGCCCTTGCAGGCAAAGGAAAGAAAGCTCCAACTCTCTCCATTCTGCATTCAAGCGGGCGGGTCCAAGCAAGGAGAGAGGCGACGATAAAGTGGGCGTTGTGGGAGACGTTGGAAAGGATTTTTTGGGCAGATCTCAGTCCCGAGATATTCCGCATGAGCTGCTCGGGCGCCACCGCGGCGGCGCGCAGTACCAGCAGCAGCACGGGATTATGCCGATGTCAACGAGTCGGAAAACGCTGACGGGCACCAGCCAGAGAAAAGCCGTGTGGGGAAAACAAAAACGGGAATTCCGTCAATGTCGTTCGGTTGCTTCTTCACATGTTCTCCACCGATCCAACCGGCCACCCCTGGGCTTGGGACGCCATCTGTCAACTTGGTCAGGCGCGTCCAGCCCATTGTCCAGGCCTGAGTAAGGGAAAGGCAAAAAGCAAGACGTTCCTGACGCACCAAATACAGGCGACGACGCGATAGCCTCAGTCGAGACGGTACAGAGTACAGCACAGGGAGAAGATGAACAATCACAAGCAAATATGGAAGGGGGAAACGGTAAAAAGCTACCGCTAGCGAAGCCACATTCCCCTCGTTTTGAGTTTCGCCCATCGCAGTTCCCCCAGGTTTTCCTCCTGCTCGAGGAGGAGGAGGAGTCGAGGCTTGTGACAATGCCCGCCGTCTCCAACATCAAGCCTCCAACCTCCACGTCCACGTCCTTCTCCCCCGCAATCCCGTTCGAGATAGAGTTCAGCCCGCACCAACCGACGCAACAGCCGCACAGTCATCACTCTACACGTTGCTGGTCTCGCCCATTATCTGAAGACAATCTTGGGACGGGATTTCCCTCCGTGCCTCCCGGGCCTGTGCCTGCGAGATGAGGTAACCGCGAGAGGGAAAGGGTGTCGCATCGGATCGAATCGAAGAAGCCTCGCTTGGCATGAGCAGCCATCCCATCCATCGCCTGCCTCGGTTTCAATCTGTATCCTCGTCTATCAATTCAACGCCTGCTCAGGAAACAGTTACGGATACGTCAAAGTACGGATACGGATACACACAAAGAAGGAATCCAGCCCGCGCCGATGGCAGGCCATGATACTGGACTGGACCAGGCCTGCAAACATGGACGGCGGACAGCATCATCTGCAGGTGGAGCAGAGCATGTCATCGCCTGGCCGTTCTGTTCCCTCCCTCGCTCGCCCTAAGCCCGGAATCGAACGAGGCAGGCTTCGGTGCATTGGCGTCGCCTTCTTCTTTCCCAGGATCGCCCTTTGCCAGGGACGGTTGATGCGATCCAGTCAAGTCCAATGCGGAGAATTGGCTGAAGGACAACAGAAGCGCTCAGAGTACCGGTACATTGACGTGACGCCCCCATGTCCACAATGACATGCCGCCTCGCCCTCTCGCCCTCTACCCCACACTGCGACACGCTCGCCGGCCAGAAGACCGACCTCCATCGACCGCCCGTGATTGCCCATTCACCGCGTTCCCCGAGCCAGCTGTCCCGGTCGCTCGAGCCGCTGATCCGCAAAGACCCTGAAGGGCTGCCCTGAGTCGAGAAGACGTGCCCCCCGCCTCACATGGGGAACATATGTATCGGTACTTGGCACATGGGGGCCTTGATTACTGCTTCTGGCGACGTTTACCGCAAGGCCTGACGCTGCACGAATACCCGTACCTCAGCAACCCCCGCCAAAGCAAACAAGCATGGCAGAAGCTGAGCTCAGGTCTCCTCGACTGATGCAATATGCATATCGATAATCGTCGTTATCGTCCGAGAGAACAAGAACAACAAGAAGAAGAAGCGCCCCAAGACGTGCGGGTGGGACGACGAACACGGCGTCATACCAAGATCGGGTCTTCCAAGTCCACCTCTCCCATCTTCGGACCTATTATTCGCGGCTCCAGAGATCCAGTCTCCAGGAATCGGTCGGGTCGGGTCTTCTAGGGCATTGAGTGTCATGGATTAGACGGTGGGAAATAACGTGTGGTGAAGGCGTGTCGTCCGCGTCCCTCTTTTTTTTTTTGCTCGGTTTTTTTCTTGCAAAAAAGAACTGGAGATGAGATGGAGGGAATCTGCTACCGCGGCTACTCTCCGTCCAAAGACTGTCTACTGCCAGTACATAGTGAATAATTACCTTGCCAACCTGGACAGCCATCTCGGTCTTGCGTCGGCAGATAGGAACCAGACGTCCAGATTCTTTATCCTCGACTCGCCCACCCCCAACTTCTCTTGCTGCCTGTTACTATTACCATCATCCATCCATCCCACCCATCTTCTCCCACACCCACACACACACACAAGCAGCTCTTCGTTTGGAACAACAGGAAGTCAACTGGACAGCCTGAAATAAACCCCCAACCAAGCCCGACCCATCACATCATCACTCATCCACACCCTCCCGTTCGTACGAGAAGCTGCCTTACCCAGCCCTTCTCTTGGTTCGAATCCCACGGTCAAGCAAACAAGAAAAAAAGGCTGCCGCTACCCACCACCATCCCGCATCCTACGCAAGCCCGCATCGACTACCGACTCGCCTTATCCAGCCTAGGATCCGGCAGGTTACTACGCTCCTCGAACGATATCCCACACATAAGAGTCTCGACATCCCTCGCTCGCGTGTGCGTGTGGCTCAGTGACCTTTCTGCGTGTCTCACTCACTCACTCCCTCACTCTCTGTCGTCCTCTGGCTCTCCGGCTCTCTCGCGCCATCCCTCTCAAAAGGAAAGAAAAGAAAACCCTTTTGGTCAAGCTCGTCACCAAATCTTCCCACTCGGCCTTTCGTTCCTTTCGTTCGTCACACCCCTTGTCGACCGCTTCTAATCTATCCTATCCACCTACTGTTGGCTATCCCGCTGCAAGGGTTGGTTATCCGCAATCGCGCCGAGAGTCCAATATTGCGTCCAATATTGTCCAAGCAAGACAGAAGAGGTCCCGCAATTAGCCTGTCACCGGCAACCCAGGGTCGTCCCACGATCACTTTAAACCTGCGTCCATCCCCACGGTTCACGGCTATCCCGTTACGTTTGAGAAAGAAAAAAAATCTCAGACAACAGGACGCCCTCTTTTGCTTAAAAGAACAAGATCATCCGCGCACACTCGCTCCTCTTTGGACGCCTCCGTTTCTCGATCCTGATCTTCCGGTTCCTGATCTCCAACCTCCCCCCCCGCCTGACATCACCTTCTCTCAGGTACACTGTGCTCGGTGGTCTCACACGCACACAAAAAACAGTCAAGATCGGCACCCCGACAATCCAAGATCTGGGGATTATAATACCACCAACCATCGCCTCCTCCTCGCCTCGACCTGCAGCCACCCGCCTCGGTTCTTCTGCCCTCGGGAAAACAAAAAGACATCTCAACCCACCAACGCACAATATACACTTAAAAACCCTCATCTCACCAAAACACCCACAATCATGAACGCACCAATCCAGTCCCCTTCCCGCCAGGACTCCATGTCCTCGCAATCCTCATCGTCGACCCAGCAGTCGCCCATGAACCAGATGGCCCCGCCGCCTCAGCAACACCAACAAGCCCCGGCCCCGTCCACAGAGGCCTTCCTCCGCGACTTCACCCTCGTCGCCGAGGCCGCAAAACGCGCCCAGATGGCCGTCATGATGCGTGACTTCGAGGCCTGCGGTCTGTCGTAAGCCACATACGCAAGCAAAAACGGTCCGCGAGGCTGCTGCTACCACGACCGACGACGACGAACAATCCTTCCAAAGGACACCGTCCGAGCAAACCTTGATTTTCACTCACGTTGTTCTGCTCGGACCCGTCTGCGGGGGACTTCGCCAACTATCGGATGGGCGTCGCTGAAACAATGCGGCCTGCGGGAGGATGCCGAGGCATGCGAGGGAATGTCTCTTTCTCTCTTTTTTCCGTTCCTCGCACGACTTCACACGGGGGGGTGCGGACTCGAAAGGCCGCGAGATACCCGTCGCCGTCTGCTCCGTTGTGTTAGCCACTCGCTTCTTTCTCCCTCTCGTCGGATCATTCTCGCGTCCTTCACTACTTCCATCCCACTCACTCGGAAAACATGCTCTCCTCTCGCTACCGAACCGTTTAATCGACTTAGAAGTCTTTCATCTTGGGGACCTTCGGCACCATCGGTTTTACTCTTTCTTCCTATCATATCTCGGGGAAAATGGGGAAACGGATAGACGAATTCTAACTCATCACGGCAAACCAAACCACACCACCATTATATCTTTTTTTCTTCTCCAAAGGGAACAACATCGGCGTATCACGGGAACATTGGGGCATATTGCATCGCAGGAATCGGGAATATCTATAGGGATGATTTACGTGTTTTACAACGGGGGCGTTCCATGGCGTAATATTTCCACCGGGCTTTGGGGGTTTTTGTCATGATGTTGGTCATACCCGCCCGACGACTGCTTCGTTCTTATGTATGAATACCACATCGACGGAGGACGGTAGTCCTACCTAGATCTTATCTTTAACAGTTTCGAGAAATACGATACCAGTCTTGACTGGTTTATCTTCAAACCCAATCATACAAGTCCCGTCCCGACGCTTCGCAGTGAGCCGCTCTAGTTACACCAATCTTGAACCCAACCCCATCATCTCTATCCCAGAACCTTCGCGCGTGTCGTCCACAATCACAATTTGGAAGCCAACACGATCCCGCCATCAACCGTGATCGTCGCCCCCGTCACGAACGCGCCCGCCCTCGACGCCAAAAACAAACACGCCCCCGCGACGTCCTGCGGCGTCCCGATCCTCCGCATCGGGATCTCCTCCTCGATCGTCGCCCTCATCGACTCCAGCGTCGCCTTCATCATCTTGCTCTCGAACGGCCCGCACGCGAGCGTGTTGCTCGTCACCCCCCTCGGCCCCAGCTCCCGCGCCAGCGCCCGCGACAGGTGGTGCAGCCCGGCCTTGCTCGCGCTGTACGCGAAGCTGCTCATCAGCGGCACCCGCAGCCCGTCCACGCTCCCGATGTTGATCACCCTTGCCGGGTCCCCCTCCTTGGCTCCGGCCTCCAACAGCGGCGCCGCGAGTTGGGTGAGCGTGAAGACGCGGTGCAGGTTGAGCGTGAGCAGCTTGGACCAGGCGGCGTCCGGGTAGGTGTCGAAGGAGTCGCCCCAGGCGGCGCCCGAGTTGTTGACGAGGACGTGGAGCTTGCCGCCCGTCTTCTCGGCGAGGGAGGCGACGAGGGCCTTGCAGTCGTCGAGCTTCTGCAGGTCCGCGGGGATGGCGTGGGCCTTGCCGGGCCCCTTTGCCGTCAGGGCCTCGGCGGCGGAGGCGCAGGCGGCGGCGTCGCGGGAGGAGACGTAGACCGTCGCGCCGTTGGCGACGAAGCCCTCCGAGATCATGAGGCCGATGCCCTTTGCGCCGCCCGTGACGAGGACGATTTTGTCCTGGGAGGTGCTGTGTTAGCTTTTTTTTTTCTCTTATTGCTTCATGATTTGTAACATGAGTGAGTGCCGCGGTTGACTACCTTGACGTTGAAGAGTGAAGCGGCATCCATTGTTGCTTGCTAGCTTGCTTCTCCCTGCAGGAAACGTAAGAAAGTGGCTCGGTCTGCTGTGAATACGACTTAGGCAATTGCCAATCTGGGGAAGTGCAGTAGCGTGGTGATGTGAGGAGGATTCGAGGGGGTGATTGTTGCTTAAGGAGATTCAAGCTCGAGGAGCTCTCGGCTGAGGTGAGAGCTTCGGCCTCCTGGGTTCAGATGAGCCGAGGCTCACTTTGAGGGGTCCAGACCGACGCGCGATAAGGAATACATCAAACCCCACGCGAAATGCCGTGCAACTGGCTGTACCCTGTAACACAGAGACCGATAGTTTATTAAACCACGATGCGACACTGCAAATGCCGTTTCCCAACCTCAAACCTTGGCCGGCCTGAACGCCTGCATCTGTGTTACAATGAAATAATGATTTATGTTCTAGAGGCTGTACTAATCTATGCATTCCCCCCTCTTTATGGTGACCGTTTCTATCCTTTGTTGGAACCGCCAACACCAACGCCTGTGCTTTTCCTCAATTTCAATGCTTTCCGGGAGGTTAGGCTGTTTGGAGATACTGCTCCTCCAAAGTCTCCCACCGGCCCGGGATAGTTCGCCAACCCGACGACTAATCCAAGATGCGGCATGTCTTCTCCGCAGATTATGTGAACGGTGAACCACCGCCCTGATTACAAGTTTCGCCGATTCGTCGACGGGTGCTTCGCGGCTGTCGCAAAACGCACAGAAATGCGAAAGACTCAAGAAGTCGACGACCTAGGGCTGCGCTTTCTCATAAAAGCCGGCAACCTCGAAGGCTTCTCGCCGCTTGCCGTCGTGGTCTCCGTCTTCTCCGGCGTGGTTGTTCCTGTTGCCGCTGCCGCGGCCTCCCTCTCCTTCCGCGGCGAGCAGCAGCATCCCATGGCGGCATGGAACAAGAAGGCAACGACGGTCATCGCGGACGCGATCCACATAAAGACGAACATGCGCACACCAATCTGGGCGCTGATGTTGAGCTGATCCTGCTGTGTGAGCGCGTACCGAGCCCCTACGCTCATGACGGTGGCGATGATGGAGGCGACGGTCACCAGCAGAGCGGCAAGGCCGGCGAAGATGGCGATGGGCAGACTCCACCAGCGCGTGCGCAGGACGAGGGGGGTGGCCAGGAGCAAGGCGGCGCTGAGTGAGATGCCGGCGATGAAAAGACCGAACATGACTTGCTGACCTATTCTCAAGATGTTGAGAATGGTGCTAACCTCCGAGGGCAAAGCAATTGTTGCGCCGGCCAGAAGCTCATTTGTGAGGACTTCAATGGGGTTGAACCAGAACATCCTCTGGGGCGTTGAGCAGAAAGTGACGCCTCTGGCATCGTGTCAGTAATACGTCTTGGGCGAAGATCGAGGGCTTGGACTCACTCATCATTGTATCCCTCGCAGAAGTTCCACAGGCCGACCTGGTAGAAGTCATGAAGTCCAAGGCTGCGAGCTATGGAGTTGAGCAGGACTGCATTGGTCGACGAGGACAGGGGAATGATGTCGGAGACGTCGAGCTTGAAGAAGTAGGTGTCGGTGAGGACGGGCTTGATGGACGTGTTACCGATGATGACGAGGATCAGGAAGATGATGGCGATGAAGTAGCAGACGGCGCACACGATTGCGCTATTGCGGCGTAGCTTAGCCATTGGAAGGGATTCGGGGCTCTGCCGGCCGCTGTCGATTCTGAAGTCGTCGTTTTCGCCCGCTTACTCGGGAGAGGAGTAGGTGGACGTGGATCCCAAGTCTGGTCTGGAGCCGAAGACGTTGTTCGGTGGTGTCTTCCCCAGATATCTAGAAGTACCGTCCTCCGGACTCCGGTCTGCGTGGGAAGGAAGAGTTGGGAGCAGCAGGTTTGAATTAGGCCACCAACAGCCAAGACCAAACAAAAGCTGCAAAAAGAACGGTGACACGTCTGCAGTGTCTCACTTGGTTGAAGATACTGCCAGCAGGTCGATGATGATGATGATGATGATGATGATGGGCGTTTAGGTCAGGCCTTCCAAGACAGTCCGGCAGATGTTCTGGGAGATCGAATGCTGAAAACCAAACAAAGCTGGGCCAGATCAGACCTTGCCCACAGATGGATCCCTGGCCTTGGTAAATACGGATTGGCTGGGCAAGGGCAAGGTTGATGTGAGTTGGCACTGGAAGCGGACAGGCGTATCGCTGTTGCGGAAGCTTGAAGGAGGGTATCGAACAGGGAGGATGACGTCGTAGCAACGACTATCGCTTTATTTTTGTTAGGACGTTGACCAGCGTTTTTGGCGGCAGGCTAGCAGCTAGCCGGTCTTGGCTTGAGGCAGGTCGCGGTACTGCGCAGCGGCGGGTCAGGTCTTCCCCTGGTCGTTCCTTTCGTCCCAGCTTGCAAGTGTCAAAGGAGCAAAAAAGTCAGTCGACATTTGGAACGAACTGGCAGAAAAAAGACGAGAAAGCCAAAGCACAGAAGGGACGAGTGTTTTGGGTGTTTTCCCAACCTCTCCATACGTAAGGCAGGGTGAGGTTGCAGCAGCCCACTTCGGTCATTTGCGTAGGGTCCTATCTGCGTATTGATCTTGTTTATTACGGAGCCATCTGTGTTGTGAATAAGACACGGGCTCAGGCATGGTCTGTCAGTTCCTTCTGGGTCCAGACATGGTGTGTACGGATATTCGTACCTAGTGTGTAGGAATCGTCTAAACGAGTCGTTGCCCCTTAAGTCAAGCACCGCCTCAAAGGACCCGTCGTGTCACCCGGCGGCGGCGTGAGAAGCCACCCCTTCACAGCTGAAAAACGAGCATCGAGCTCAACTCCTGGCCATCCGATTCGAAAGGCAGCTGCAGCATCTTGTCATACGAGATGTAGCTAAGAACCATATGGGAAGGGAGCGGCAGGACCAGGCACGCAGACGCTGGCGGTATGAGTTGTGTTCCAACGAGTGGGTAAAGAGGGATTCAGGAGCGGCATGCCTCACGGTCACAATCACACTTCACCATTGACGGGGAGCGGCATCCACGGTCCCCGTCCGGCGGTTTTCCTACCCGTGCCGTCTGCCTTGCCCTTCCCGTGTTGCGGTGTTGAGAGAGGATGTCTGTTTCTCACCAATCCCAGCCGAGACACGATCCCAATTAAGAGGGTAATAATTTAATTCCCCGTAGATGTGATCAACCCGAACCCCTGCTGAAATGTTCAAGTCTCGATCTACACAAACGAAATGAGGATGGACGGGTTGGTGAGAGCCTAAAACTCTTTTTTCTCGGGTCCTGATTCTTCTTTTTCAGCCCGGTCGAGTGATGCCTTTCTTGCCTTCCAGAAGCCACCAAAATCGCGTAAAACCTGCACGCGCGTACACCCCGCCGCGCCGGCACAGCTGCCGGAGATCGCCAGGGAATCAAGGATGGTAGTACCCGTTTGTCCCTGGTCTGCCGTCTGACAGCCGGCCGTCCCTTCCAGGGACATGGAGTATGGGTGTCACTATTTCGCCGCAGACAGCGTAGCTTGGTCGTCCGATTTCTCTTCTGTTTTGTTGTTGTTGCTTGCTGCTGCTGCTGCTGCTGCTGCTCTCCATGTACGAGACGTGCAGTTCAGTGCCGGAGATGCACGACAGGGTCCCGGCGAGTCCCCAGCGATCCTCGCAGCAGCTTCCGGTGAGGTGGATCGTCATGATGGGGCTCTTGGGCCCGCTGGATGGGTCAGGGTCAGGTTGGAATTGTTTCTTTTTTTCACGGTAGCGCCGTCTTCTCACATTCAGGCACAGGGCATCGCCATCGACAGCGCAGAAAGTGGGAAACGCACGGCCCGGCCTGGCCACTCCCCAAATGTCTGGGCCACCCCAGGAAACTGAAGCCCCGTACACAAATATTATGTCATAGGCATCTTGGGAGCTGCACCTCTGCTACTCGTACTTTTTGCCAACTGCGCCGTTACCCTTTCCTGCGAGTGAATGCCCGATTCTGTCGTTTCGTTTCGAATACCACTCGGTCGATTCCTTTCCTTGTCTTGTTATCTCCTGGGCACTCTTAGCTCCAGCTGCTAGCTTAGTCCAGGATCGCCATCGATACATCGAGTCATTCCCAAACTTGTCCTCCTCGTCCGATGGCCGTTTAGTCTTCTGTCCTCTCGTCTTTCGCTCCCGTCAACTCAATTATTTTCTGCGGTGGCACTTTGTGGTCACTGCTTTCTGTCGCGACCAGGGCGCAAATACATAGCAACCATCCCGACTCAACATCAACAACAGCACCCAGGCATCGTCGTCAAACGGAAAAGAAGTCCTCGCGTGAGGCTACATCGACCATCATGACTGGCCGTTTCCTCGCCCTTCTGGGCCTCCTGTCGCTCACTGCGGCTCAAGATCTCAGCACGAGCAAAATCACCCTTTCCAACACCAACGATGTCACTTTCCTCTCCGGAACCAAGACAGTCCCTGTCACCCAGGCTAGAACCCCGACGGGACCATACGCGACCTACACATCCAAAATCACCCTCACGGGGGAGAGGCTCACCACGGTGACCGGCTCTGTAACCTTCACGGGAAATGTCACTGAGACGACCACGAATGCCGAGGGACGGTCTATCGTCATCATCTCGGGTGAGTCCTCGGTCATGACAGCAACGGTCACCGGCAACGCGACAGAGACCTCATCCACGGCCCCCACGGCGACCAACACCACACCCTGCAACAACTACGTCGAGTTCTGCGAAAGGAAATACAGCAACGTCACAGAGGTCGGCTGCCACAACTCACCTTTTGTTCGCCCCGGCAACTCTGCTTCCAACCAAGCACTCGATGTTACCACCCAGCTCAATGACGGCGTGCGCTTCCTGCAAGCCCAGATTCAGTGGCCCACGAATGGCACAGAACCGCACTTTTGCCATTCCTCGTGCGACATTCTCGATGGTGAGTAGCTCTGTTTAATGCCTCCAGAACTCAACTAACAAATTATAGTCGGCCCCATCACCGACTGGCTCACCAAAGTCCGCGAGTGGGTTGACACTCACCCGTACGACGTTGTCACGATCCTCCTTGGAAATGGTAACTATTCGACGCCCGACTTATACGCCCCTTTCATCGAGTCCACCGGCATTCTGAAATACACCTACGAGGCGCCCTTCCTCCCCATGGCTCTCGACGACTGGCCGACTCTTGGTGAAATGATCCTCAGCGGCAAGCGCGTAGTCATGTTCCTGGACTACGTCGCCGACCAGCAGAAGTACCCATGGCTCCTCGACGAATTCTCCCAGATGTGGGAGACCCCGTTCGACCCCATGGACCGCTCCTTCCCCTGCGTCGTCCAGCGCCCTCCGAACCTGTCCGAGCAGGACGCTCGCAACCGCCTCTACCTCATGAACCACAACCTAAACGCCGAATACAACATCTTCGGCGCCTCCATCCTCGTTCCCGCCGTTTCCCTGCTCAACGAGACCAACAACGCCACGGGCAACGGATCGCTCGGCTTCGGGGCTGAGCAGTGCACCGGCGACTGGGGCCGCCCGCCCAAGATCCTCAACGTCGACTACTACAACTACGGCGACCCGCCCGGCTCCGTCTTCCAGGTCCAGGCAAAGATGAACAACGTTACGTACAACCGCGAGTGCTGCGGTAAGATGACCGGTGCCTCGCCCGGCAGGCCAGCTGTCTCGGGCTTGGTCCTGGCCATGGCTTTTGCCTGCGCGTTGTTGATGGTGTAGACAACTCATACTTAATGTGTCTTTGGTAATTCCTTAAAATGACAAGCGTGCTGGGCGTTAGACGGTTGAATATTAGTGTATAGACGGTAGAATACATCATTCTAAAACTTCTAGTCTTGCCCATATTTGCCGGTCGAATTTCGTGATCATTAACGCTCAGGATAGTTTTTTTTCTTTTTGTTTTTTTATGGGTACTTAAAGTCTTCGAGCGTGAGAGAAATCTCTTCGTGTTCGTCTTGACGACAAATGGACGCGAAGAACGGGTCCGACGAACGGAGGGAGATCGATCTTGCCCACTGATTTGTGAGACGTGGCAGGGGCTAGGGACATTTCGGCCACCATCTCATTGCTGAACAGCGAGAGATGGTCCACACTCTCATCCGTCCGCCGTCGCTGCTGTCGTCTCTGGCTTATTGCGGTTTATCACGCGGGTTTCAAGAATCTCGTCCCAACGGAACGTAATCACCGTCGACGCTGGCGGAGCGGCGTCTTCGTCTGAGACGGGGCTTTTCAGTATCGCAGCAACGAGGGCAAATGGATAACGTTTTGGTGGCCAGCTCTAGAGATTGAACGTCTTGCATGTCTTTATACCAGTTCACTTTCTGGCTACGCGATCCTACAAGTCCGGTTGAACTGGCTGGGACACATCTGCGCATCTTGACTTGGGAGCACCGTAGCCAAAAATTACAACGTTGCTAACATCTGTTTGTCTATGTCTGCTCTATGAGGCTCAAGGCTGGGCGTAAACAGGAGATTTTTGGAGACTGCCTGATACACTTCCATCTAGTGATATCATTTAACAACTCACAAAGGTGAAACTTCAGCCCATCTATGCAGTTTCTCTTGATGTTGTTACAGAGGCAAAGTCTATTATCGTCAATACCTGCGCGTTTATACATGGCCTCATGAATCAGCATTCTTCATTTGTAAGAACAAGATCTGATGGAACTCATACAAAGACTGATGAAAGCTGAGCATTGAATAAGAATAGAAACAACCGCACAATCAACCCGACAAACACAAACAATAAGAGCCATAACTTTCCTATGAAACCAAGCAATATCTGGTTTCTCAAGCCCACATTCATCCCTAGGTACTGAACGACATAAAAGCCTTTGTCCATCTGGAGCAATGATGCTGTAGGGACAAACGCCAATCGGATCACCCCTCACACCTTTAATGCATCGATGAAGTCTTGCACCCCTTTGAAGCCGGCAGCACACCGCAGTATGCCAAAGGGGAGGAGTTATTGTTCCCAGGAGAACGGTACTATCTATCTTCTGTCTACATTTCTGGAGTATTTGCACGTCTCACTCACGCGACGAAGACGATGAAGGCTAGATCTGAGAGCTTCTTCAGCATACAAGAACTCCCCATCTCTCAACTTTCAGAATCCGCAGTGAAGCGCTAGAAGACACACATACCGACGAGCTGAGCAGGTCGAACTCAAAGACCCGGACCACTATCCGCTGTCCTTTGTTCGCGTGGGATCGATTGCAAAACAGCCTCTCACTTATATATTATCCACAAATCATCCACTCGTACCTAGGTTTCCCTGATACTGCATCATGATCTGCCGTCACGCAAACTTTGAAGCGACTACAACACGCAATTTGCTCCATACTGAATTTTTGATACTCTCTCAACAAGTGTTTGTTTAAATAAGGATTGATGTTTGAAACCAGAAACCAGGCTTTCTAGGGACTGATGTCGTGTGTGATCCACGTGGCGTACAAAACTCTTCGCTCTGCAGTTGTGTTGGCTTCAACATTGGCTTCAGAGACTTTCATCAAGGCCGGATAGAATCTTTTGTAAGCCCGTTCGTCTAAGAATCGTCGTCATCTTTGGTCGCCTCTTCCCATCACTCGTTTATCCTGCTGTATCTTGAAGTAGTACTGACTGTCTCAAATCACACCAGGGACGCCATGCCGAGTTATACCGGAGAGCTAACAAAGACCGAGAGGACTATAGATCATGTAGCCATGACGATCTCTTCAACACTCATACACCAAGAATTATCTGGAAAATCGTATATCGTTCAGCCAATGTGTTCTTTCTTATAGAAGTCCTCTCACCAAGCAGAAGTCTTCAAAATCTCCAGCGCTTCTATCTGAGGGACCGCATATATAGACTCGACAGTAACGAATCATCAGATGATCTACGTCTCTCTTGAGTCCGAAGATCCCAAGCGCCGATAAAAACGAAGGGGGATGCATATCAGATCTCCTTAACACGACAATTCCTCAAAAGCTATTTAGGGACGTCTTGAAGCTGCTGCTCGCCCGAATATCTCACGCGCAGCCTGTTCGGACATCACATCAGGAAAGCTCGATCTCCATAGTGGCGTTTATCGCGTGATTCTGTCAGATCGGTTGTTCGTGCGCGAACGTTGCAAAGTTCAAAATGAGACCTCGCCCGCAGCACGGGGCAGGGAGGGTTGGCAGTGAGGGTCCTGTCCGTCCTCAATGCCTTGCTTCGTCTCTGGTCGATTATCGCAGGCGTATTGACGAGGTGGTTGTTTCTTTCGGCCACTTTAGTCCATGCGTACTCTTATGTGGTGTGGCTCGCTTCGGCAGATGATCGTTCTCTATCCCTTCGAACGCGAGGCTCTCAGAACCTCATGACAATATCTTGATACCCGCATCATCATAAATGGAATATTAGTACTCTCTTGCCAGTGCTCGGAATCTCTGAGCTCAACAGATAATGAGATGGCACTGGGCGATGCCAATAAACGAGCACGAAGACTGTGCAGATGAATCAGCATGTTTGGACGATCAGTTCAGTACTGAAGGGTTCTGATATCGTAATAAACAAGGTATCGTATGGTTTTTGGTATCTGTGTGCAAAGCTGCTGTCTCCTCGTCAAAGCCATTCCGGCGCCCATCTCAAATCGTCAAGTCTCTGCCGAGCTCTTCTAACTATGAACTGTTCATCATAACTCATATTGTGAGTTCCATATACTTTTCCTCCCTTCAAAACACGGGCTGGAACCCAGTCAAGCCGTACGCCCTCAGCGCGGTGCCCCCAAACAGCTCCGCCTGGTCTTCGGGGTCCATGGTGGCCATGTAGCACATGCGCTCGACGAGCAGCTTCCACTTGCGCCAGGCCTGGTCGACGCCGACGGTGCAGACGGGCCAGTCGCTGCCGAACATGATGCGGCGGGCGCCGAAGCTGGCGAGGACGACGCCCAGCCAGGGGAAGAGGGCCTCGAAGAGGAAGTTGGGGTCCTGGGTCTTGAGGGAGTCGGGCATCTCGGAGAAGCCGCCCGAGAGCTTCATGTAGGTCTTGGAGCACTTCGACAGGGCGAACATGGCGACGCGCCAGTGGTGGAAGGAGGGGTCTGTCGTTGTGTTGATGATGCCCAGGTCGGGTTTGCAGAGGTGGTCTGTCAGAGGCAGCGGTTAGCAAGAGGTGATGCTTGAGGGATAGCAGGGGGGAGGCGGACTGATGATGAATGTGACCTTCTCGTCCTCAGAAACGCCCTCGTGAGCACGAGAGATGATCTCCAACGCCTCGTCGAGCTGCTTGTTTCCACGGCGGTGCTGGTCGACGCCCAGGTCAAACACATAGCCCAGTCTGCCCAGCAGCTTCAAGCTCCCAATGAAGTCCTCCGTCAAGCCTGTGCCGTGTGGCTTATCCTGAAGGAGGTATCTGAAGCCGCGAATCTTGGGCCAAACGTTCTCGCCGGCGACCTCCTTGACGTGATCGAGGTACTTCTCCATGGCAGCCGGGCCAGACGGCAGGGGAGCCCAGGGGATGATGCCGAGGCAGAGGTCCTTGTCTTCGTCGGAGTGTCCCTCGCCGTCGCGAGGCTTGCCCTCGGCGATGCGGCGGAGCCAAGAGACCTCCATCAGGGGGAACTCCCAGCCGGAGGCATCCCTGACGCCGGCTTCGAGGTCGTGCTTGCGGTCCGTCTCAAGGAAGATGAAGCCCTTGAGATTGGCGGGCTTGCCAGTGGCGGTGTTGTAGTCGGAGACGGAGTGCTGCTTCGCGAGCGGGTTCTCGGGCGTTGCCCAGGCGAGGGTCTCGATCTCGGTCTCTGGGTAGAGGTGGATGTGGGAGTCGACGATTGGGTAGTCGGCCATGGTGGGCGGTCGGGGATAGGGTTTTCGGTGGATTGGGGGGCCGACTGATGCTAGACGGTTCAATTGACGATATGTGGAAGAAGACAGTCCAAATTTGTACAATGAACGCGCTCCCGTTCAAGTCACGGGCGTATGTTTAGGATGGAAGTTGGGAGGAAAGGAGCTGGACAGGAGGTGTGTGAAGTCCCCGCACTAACTCTTGACATCGCGGGGTCGCAGCAACAGGGTCCCTAGCTTTCAGTGGACGAGCACCGGTACAACTGCCCCCACAAGGTCGTGGTGCTTTGTGACGTTGCTGGCCCCGCCCTCTTCAGCGGATCTTTTCCCCGAACACCGACGTCGTTTGCGGAAGCCGTCACCGGCCGTTTCGGAGGGGAGCTCCTCCCAAGGCCGTCCTCGCTGTACTTATTTCAACATTATCACGAGATCGATTCTGCATTGGAAGAGCATTTCAACGCACAGGACTTAAAGATCATCAACATAATTCACGAGTGAAAAGGCACGCATATTGTTCATTGATGAATAGATTCAATAGTCTTCTACCCATTCCGCCTGTGGCGGTGCTTGGCTGTCTTGAGTGCGGCTTGCCCGGGCTTTCCAACATCCAGCCCGGGACCGCATGAAATGTCCATCCCCAGAAGCAGTGAACTTCTTCATCCGCTGGAGCTGTGGCCTCGCACGCCTCCCTTCGGAGGGCATGCGAGGGTGCTCCCTCGTTGTCAGTAAAAGCACATGACAAACGAAACGGGCACGCGCGGCCAGGAAGGGGGCGGCCGCGGCGTGGGGTCGCAGCATCGACCCACTTGGGACGAGGTCGCGGACAGTACCGAGACCGGCTCGGTACGCCGCGTTCCTCGGTGGACGCAATGACGGTTGAAACGTGCGCTGACTTGCTGCCAGCTCTCTCGCCAGGAGGCGGAAGCGGCCTGATGTACAAATCGCGCTACGAAATGAATGTACGTCCACATGGGACTTCTTCTTCGTGTTTTTGTGTGTGTCTTCATGATGTTGATTCCTCCCCAGGATGGCATCGGGCTTTTCAGCGGACGACGATGCCGTGGCGGCGGCTGTTGGAGGAAACGTACTCCTCCTCGTCCTCCGACTCTTCCTCGGAAGAGTCGGAGCACTCGGAGCTGTCGTCGTAGCCGCAGCGGGCGCCGCCGCAGTCGATCTTGACGCGGTCGCCCTTGCGGGTGATGCCGTAGCGCTCGCAGGTACAGGTGCTGACGTCGGAGCCCGGGGTGCTGTAGCCCGACATTGACGAGTTGGGGCTGGAGCTGTCGGAGCGGTAGGACAGGCTGGAACCGCTGGACGACACCGGCGAGCTGGAGAAGTCTGTCACGATATCCTCGTCGTCGAAGCCGGTGGCGCCAAAGCGGGCGGTGAGCGCCTCGAGGTCCTCGTCACAGTAGCCGCCATTGAGGATGTGCTGAGTGGCGTGGGGCGACGTTGGCTTGGGGGCCTTGATCTGGGAGACTGAGAGGGGTCGGCCCTTGGGGATGTCGCGTGACGAGGAACGGTTGCGGCTGCTCTTCTTGTCCCTGGAGGAAGAACGGCGGGAGCTCCGAGAAGAGGAGTGCGAGGAAGAGTGTGAAGACTTGGAAGAGGACTTGGAGGAGGACTTGGAAGACGAGGACGACCTGGAGGACTTGCTGCTACTGCTGCTGCTTGACTTGCCGGACGAGGGAACGTCGAGAATGTTCAGCTCGCGGCCCGTGGTGGGCTCGACAGTCGAGGCGACGCTGGGGTTGTGGGCGAGGTGGTAGCCGTCGATGATGTAGTAGTACCAGTAGCGTTGGCCGGCGGACAGGGTCGAGCCTGAAAACTTGAAGGTACCCTTCCACGAACCGGACTTGGAGGAGGTCTTGTCCTTAGCCAAGGGGAGTTGTCCGACATAGTTGTCCCAGGAGCCAAGAAGGTGGACGGTCTTGACGCCGGAAGAAACACGAAGAGAGAAGGAGAGTTGAGTGGACGACATTATTGCGAGTTGTCGGGTGATGCTGCGAAAGGTGAAACTGTTGACGAGTAATGATGGTCGAATGAGCAAGAAATCCCAGATTTCCGATTAAAGGGGTTGTTGACCGGCAACTTGGTGATAATTCTTCGAACTTGGATTGTAAAGTTTTGGTGGTTTTTTGAAAAACAGGTATATGGGTATTAGTTGATGCTGCGATTAGGATAGAGACCAGCTCTACGGAAACAAAGAACAAAAAACAACGGAAAGGGTGAAAAACGAAGACCTGGAATTACTTGTCTGAATGCTTGCTGAAGAAGAGAAAGAGGAAAGGAAGACGAAAGGGATGGGAAGCTTCCATTATATGGCTTGAGAGGCCGCACTTGGAGGCCAGGCGAGGCCGCATGAGAGGCCAACAGAACAGTGGTGTCTGTCGTGCTGGTGGGTTGGGAAAGCCACTCGAGATGCGGTGCTACATGCGCCGCTCATGGCTGGAGGAGCGGGAAGTCAGCGAGCGTTGTGGAGTGTGCAGAAGAAGCCGTCACTTGACGAGCGGTCCAATGAGGGGATTGCTGGGCATGACGAGGCTTGTGGATGGTCGATGCAAGCAGCCAATATCACACTCGTGATGGTGCTCCGCGTCGGCGCTGAAAAGATCGACCGGCCGGGGTTCCCTCGCTCAAGGACGGGAACTGGGAAGTTGTGAGCTTCTCCGAGGCGACCTGGCAAATAGGAAGTAGAGGAATCTCACTAGAGGACCCCATCACCGTCACCTTTTACGCAGTGCTCCCCTCTTCTTGTTGGCAGTTACGGAGTACTCTCACAAACTTCTTTTTCTGACCAAGTCTCCATGGTTGCCTTTGCCTTAGTGCTACGACGAGCCGGTCGCTGGGATGGGCCAGGTCTGCAAGCTGGGCGGTTAAGCATGGTGAAGGAGAGGGGTTTCCTTGACATCCATGGATGCCGGGCCAAAATAGAAGAGATAAGTGGATCGGTCCGGGACTGGCAGCGCGGTACGTTCCTCCGTCCGCTGTGTGTAGCTCTGCCCGGCTCTGCCTGGCTCTGAGCCGATTGCCCTTTTGGCTTGATTGGGCGTCTAAATCCCTGCTCTGATTGGCCAATAGCTACGCACATCCTTCTTGTGTGCCCGGTCGCTTATCATCCGTCACCTGGTGATGTGCTGCACCTCGGGCCAATCAACACTTCGTCTGGAGATGCAGCTTTGCGGAAGCCATCACTACTCTCATGAGGCTCCCAGCCCTCCTCTGAGCTCTCTCTGAAGGGGATTGGCTTGTCAATATCGAGTGCGAGATGAGGAGAAATGCCCATGAACGAATTCCCGCATGGTATTCGTTCGCCGCATCGGTCTGTCCGCATTTCTGAACTGACAGTCTGCATCATGCATCGAGTCAACATGCATGCCGTCTGCATGTACGAACGGATGCGCAAGCTTGCTGAGAAGGTCCTCTTCCTCATTGGAGTGTTGACGACCCTCCGCTAGCCGTCGTTCAGCCAAGAGCCGAAGATCGCGCGAGTCGGAAGAAAGGGCAACCAAACCCAGGTGCCATAAGCCATGTTCCTGGTTCGTGATGGACATGCGCAGTTTCCTGCCTTTTCTGGTTCGCTGTTTGCTCCTCGTGCCTGCCTATGCATCGAACCATGGGAAATGTGTCGATTTTCGATCATCTTTCCAAAATCTCTTGACTTCGACATGTTGAACCCCCAAAGACTCATGAAAGTCTGGCCAAGGCCATGTCAAAAAAATCCCCGAATAAGGGGCCTGTGGGAGATCAAACACTACCGAGATCCGGAGTTGGGAGAGGGCGCAAAAATGGGGGCAGGAAACACTTTAGCCCTGCGCAGGACAGCCTGCTGCCCGTTTCCTGGGCGGTCTGGCCTGTTTGCCGTGTCGCCCTGGTCTGGTCGATCGCGAAGCGGCCCGCCAAGGGCAAACTGCCGTCCTCGGCCTTCGGTCGACATCCGCTCGTCTGCGTGACCTTGAGCCACCCACACCTCGGCGAAGGAAGGTGAGATACTGCCTGCCGTGCCGTCCTCCTTCGGTATGGTCCCAAGGTGCGTCATCCGGCTTCATGCATGCGACGGTCTCTAGCTTCGGCGGGTATGTGAGGTCCATCACACAGACAGAGCTCTGCCTTGCTGGTGGGATTGAGAGAAGCCGCCGTGATATCCCCTCATCGCATCTGGGATCGAGGATCCAGTTCGCAGGATGCAGAAGGTCTGGACCGTAAAGGGCAGTTGATCGCGATTGACCTTCCGTCGTAAAGAAAGGAGACTTGGCCGTACGGTAATCACTATCCGCCAGAAGCGACGTGAGATATCGAGTGCGATGCTGGCGGTGATGCCGACGGATGTCTCACAGAGACTGCGGGCTCGAAGCGGTCTGACCTCAGCATGGCGAGATTGATGTCGGCTGACAAGCTGAACATCTGGGAGTAACGTCGCTTTCCTCACACAAGGTGAGCTTGCGCACGTTGGCCAGATATCCTGGCCATCCCAAGATTCGTGGTTGTGTGATGAGGTTGTGTGTGCATTTCGTGGGTGACGGGAGTACCTGGCGGGACACGGCGGGATCGCCCGTGCTCAAGGCCTGTCTCCACATACAGAAAGCTGACATCACGTGATACAGCACATGTTTCAGTTGTTCGTTCGCGTCCGAAATTCTCGTACCTTCTCGGTTTGGACGCGTCTTGTTTGGATTGTCGCGTCGTTCTCTCATGCTCATATCGTCGGTCTGACTCAATCTTTGCTAGGCAGAATCCCCATTGAGAAGAAACAGTACAGGCTTTTGCCCTGAGCGTGTTGTCTGATTACCAACCATCCTGCGAGAAGTCTTGCATCCATCCTCAATAAAGGCCATAACTGGTCCGAAGCATTGAAGGAACATTTTGTTCTTCTTCGTCAAGTGTCGGAAATTCAAGACCGCAAAAAATCACTCACCAACACCCAATCATCATCAAAATGGGATCTGCATCTCTTATCAACGACGAACTCGTTGCCAAGGTCACCGAGTACGTCGAGGCCTACATGGCCAAGTACGATGCCTCTCACGACTTCAACCATATCAGGCGCGTCCTCTCGCTCGCTCACCAGATCCACGCCCAGTCCCCCGCCACGCCAGCCCTGGACAAGCAAACCGTTACCCTCGCCGCCCTGCTCCATGACGTCGGAGACCGCAAGTACCTGAAGCCCGGCGAAGACGCATCAACCCTAGTTTCCACGGTTCTCCAGTCTCTCGGAGCCGATCCGCAACTCGCTGCTCGCGTACAAACCATCTGCCTCGGCGTCAGCTACTCCAGTGAGGTCAAGGACCCGGCCCGCGTCCAGAGCCTCATTGCCGAGTACCCGGAGCTGGCCGTCGTTCAAGACGCCGACCGTCTGGACGCCATCGGCGCCGTCGGCGTCGGCCGCTGCTTCACGTTCGGCGGCGCCAAGAGCGCAAGGAGTATGGACGACTGTATCCTGCACTTTGAGGAGAAGCTGGTCAAGCTCGAGGGCATGATGAAGACGGATGCTGGACGGGAGATGGCGCGAGAGCGGACGAAGAGGATCCTGACCTTTATGGACTGGTGGAAGGACGAGGCGGGCCCGGTCAGCGCATGAGGTGATGCGTACCATTTTGTTTGTTTTCGATTCAACTCGATACCCGATTTTGTTTATATCAGTGTCCATGTTTCAATGAGGACTACCTTCTAAAGACGCTCAGTGGGAATACCACCGCGGAGGCGGGCTTCCCGTACATGTTCCTTCTCTTTATCTTCATTGCTCCCCTGCGAGCTGCTTGCCTTTCCGACCCGTCACCTGAGTCCTCCTTGCACGTCTTCGCGCTCGCCTGTACCTCCAGGCCCAGTCGACCAACCCAATGAGCGGCAAGACCAACACGTCCACAGTCCTGACCGAAGTCCGCAATTTGAAGTCGTCATGCACGCGGGGCCGGTCGAACGATGAACACAGTGTGTTGACCAGGTACAAGCAGACCTCCCTCAGCAGCTCCCGCCCCTCGAAGTTGAACAGAAACTCGAACCCGCTGCCGTCCTCCCACGGAACCTCCGCATTCCTTATCCGCTTCATGTACAGTCCCCGCAAGCTGTCGTCCCGCGCCAGCATGAACACCGTAACCGCCGCGCGGCGCAGCAGTCGTGGGTTCGGGCCCTCGAAGGTCAGAAGCGTCGCGACGAGGAGTGCCCAGGGCAGGCGGTCTCGCAGGCCGAAAAAGTACAGGAAGGACGTGTACAGATACGCGCCGCAGCCGACGCCGACGAGGGTCGTGAGGTCGAAGCCGCGAGTGATGAGGAAGAGGAGGCCCATGAGAGGGTACGCCGCGACGAAGAGGCGAAAGAGGTTGGTGAGCGTGATCCACGCTTCCCAGATGATGGCTGCGAGGACCTCCCAGATGATGCCGCCAAGGTCTCCTATGCCCAGGAGTATCATGACGTATATGCGGGTCCCGGAGGACCGTTGAGCTGCACCTGCTGCCATGGCTCAACCGCAGTGTTGGCGAGGCCCGGTTCGATTTGTGTTGGTCGGCGCGCAGTTGTAGGTTCTGTTTGCTGCTGTGAGCGTCGAGGATACCATGGCTTTTTTTTTTTTTCTCAAAAGGGAAGAAAGCCCGGTCGCGACGGCGCCGCCTTTCCAACCGGGTCGTTGGGGGATATTAAAGTTAGGGCATAGCTGGCGTGGACAAACAGAAGAGAAGGGGGGGAAGGACGATCTGAGGTCGTGTCTCACCTTCTCTCCCTTAGCTTCTCACGAACCCCCCACGTAGCGCGCCAGGAACGCCACAACGGTGCCCCAATCTCCGGAAATAAGGATTCAGAGGCATTGACAGGTTACCTGGGTGAAAGACGTGGAATGCTCATGTTTGACTTACACGCACAGATACCAAACAAACGCTCGTCCATTGATGGATCACGGCATGGGCCGTCCTCCTACCGAGCAAAACATGTCCGACCTATCCGCTACAAGAAGGTGTAGTGAATCCTAAGTTACAAAGCTTTCAACCTCCTCATGATGGACACCACACTCTCGCGACGTCGATGGCAATGAGCGCAAATGACAGATGGATGGATATCAAACATGAACAAAGAATCCCGCGTCTTGAGACGCCCGGCGTATTCCATACGCCAACAGCTTCTGGGGTTATGGAGACAGACCCAGGGTTTAAGCAGAGCTTAAGTGAGGCAGCTTTACTGAAATCTCGCCATTTTATCATCAATTGCCCTATGTTGTGGTGTTAAAAGAAACACCAAATACTTACGAGAGATATCATGAAGCCAGGCCGAGACAAGTTCATCATACGAATCTACAAAGACAGATCCTTCGTTTCAAGCACGTTGTTTCTGTTCTGGGGCAAAATCGCTTGAAAACACAAGTCTTCTTATTGGAATTCCCGTCGTATAAATAACAGGGGATTCATGATTCCGCGAAGAAGGCCTGGAATCAGAACGGGTGATGCAAAGCAAGAAGGACACTGAGTACCGCTGCGGTTAAGAAGGCCGAATTTGCAGGTTGCTTTCTCCCGATTAAACTCAAGAATCTGAGATGTTGAAGCCATAGAGTTTGGTGGCTCATCGCCACAATCGCAACTTTCTCCGATGTTCGCATTCTCTCTTTAAAGAATGTACTGAAGACCGCCTTGGACACCAAACGCGATCTATTTCCCGCCCGTACACCAAAGCGAAAACCTGCACTGACAGACAGCTTTCAGCTCCGGAAACCAGCTTGCAAGTCTTCAACGCTTTCAGAACGCAGTCAAAAGCTCCTAATAGAGTATGAGCATGATGCGGCAGTCCATGTCCGCGGGGCAGCCACCTCGATTTCCAATCCAGTCACTTCAACCAGCCATGCAACGTACGTGGCTAATAAACAACCCACACATCCCCGCTGAGGCAGACATGTCCGTCGCGGAGCAGCTTCCTCAATTACCAGCCCAGACACTTCATCGAGACCTGCGACGAAGTACAAGGCCAAAGAACTGCCGAAGCAGCCCCGCGAAGGCATACAAACCCAAACCCATGGACTCGGGCTCAGCCCGAAACATGATTCTGGTCAGACTTCCCACCGAGATCCTCGAGCTGATCCTGCTGCCTGAGTTGTCTGGACGCACCATCGGGCCTCACGAATCCCCGCTGGTAGGCCAGGATCCCAACTTCCGCAACTTTTGGAAGGCCACGTGGAAGAGACGTCTGGTCTGCCGCCGCTTCAACGAAGCCATCTTCCCGGTGCTGTTGCAGAAGCTCGGTCGCCAGGGCCTCGGTCTCCTGCTGCGCACGATAGTCATCGACGGCAACTACCACCACATGGGTTGGGACGCGATCTGTAAGGTCACGTACCAGCAACACCTCCGTATGACCGAACTCCTTTGTAAGTGGCGTCTGAACCACGCGCAGAGGGTCAGCTTCCTTTGCAACATGTATTTCGCGATTAGCGACCCGAGGGACGATAGGTTCATCCCTGCGCGCGAGATCTGGGAGAGAACAGACCAGGAGGTCGAGGCCTTGGTATTGGGCGCATTCAACGGCTGGTGCAACCGATTCAGGGTCAGAACCAACCAATCCGGGAATGAGATGTTGCGGCATAGGGAAGAGCTCAAGAGGGCTGGCTGGAACAGTCAACTGATCAAGGAGGAGAATGCCAGGCATGAGAGAGAAATTTACAGGATCAATAAGGATATAATTTCCTTGGGACCGGATGCCTGGTTCTTGGACGCTCAACTGGCAGAGTGCAATCACTTTTGGCATCAGGAGAACCCTTTGTGTTGCAAGGTATGACTGGCGAGACGAGAAGAGCAGGCGGCAGCTATTAAAGATATCGCCGATTGCATGGGTTGCCGCCCCTAATTCGACGATGGCTTCAGAGATCCATATCTCCTCCCATCTCGAATTCATTATTGGGGGTGGTTCCAGAAGTACATATTCATGAGGGTTGAATGGCGCGGTACGATTCATGCGGTCACGTACCTCAAAAATCTCACAAACCCAGTTCATCTACGAAGGTCACGCCATGGACGATGACCGCATTGAAGGCGGAAGATGTTCTGAAACTTCTGCCGCTCATAAAGGCTGATATTAGTTATATATATACCAATTTTCCATCAAATCAAAATTGCAAACATGCTGATGCCTCACGTCGATGATTGTCACCCTGAAATCTGTATATTGCATGACCGATTCCACTAACGATCAGATGCAACACCCAAAAAGGACGGCTTCGTGAGGTGATTGGCATGGCGTATCTCCTGAATGAAGTGATTGTAAAAGCAAGGCATGGAGTAGAATACTATGAGGACTGACCGACCGCGATACGACATCTAGATGTTAGGGAGAAATATTTATGAATACTCTCGAGGCAGGTATAATTCTACAATGAATTGAACGTTCATTGAAGCTTTGCAAATCAAGTCCATGTCGGCAGGGTTGTTCGGTACTGCGAACCGCCGAAGCGCAGACGGATGTTCGGCCCCACAGTACGCCGGTGCCCGTCTTGCCGGTCCGGCTCGGACACGGAAGAGGTCGCCGTTCGCACCATTGTGAGCACATCGTTGAGTTTAAATCTTTGAAAATATGATAAGTTTTTGAAATTATGCGTAGCCATACTTTCCTTGGAACTAGGCCTTTTGGGGAATTCATCACTAAGGTCCAGTAGGATAGATGGGTTCCTATGTCAGGGCATACAAACCAAAGTCGAGCCCAACAAGACAACATGAGTAGAACAGGGCAAAAGATGGAACAATGTCACGATGAATCATGAGGCTTTATCAAACGAACTGGAGACGAGGTGAGCTGCATGAGCTGCAGGGAGTGAGGCAGCAAGCCAATAGGAGGAAGTATCGCTGTTGGACAGCTCTAAGCGCCGCCCCTCTTCACCTGGCGCCAAAAACAGTTAGAGACACTTTCCATTAGCCTGGGCGGCCCCCCGCGATTGGATGACACTTCAAAGTCCCGGCCAGCTCGAATGAGAACCTCCAAGAGCTCCGATACTTCACATTTCATGCAGGACCAACGGGAAGCTGGGGGCGATGCGGCCAGCTTTCGTGGCCAACCCGTGCCGCGGGCAGGGGTCTGCAGCTGGGATTCTTCTGGCGCGTGGAAGCTGTTCTTTAATGGACCTGAGCCCCAAGGCGCCCGTCGGTCGCGACTTTTTTTCTCCCTCTTCCCATTCATTGCTCCCTTCGACGCGGATGCGACAGATTCGAGACAGATTCAATTGAGCGGCGCCTTTGTTCTCGTGGAACTTGTAACCATTGTTCGTGTTACTGCAATATCCAGTCAGCACAGGTCGTGATCAACTGTAAGTGCGGGGCAACGTTGCGATGTGATGCGATGCGATGCGACGAGCTTGGCAGCAACTGACCTGATTGTAGACTGTCTTCTTCGCCATTCTCTGCTGGTCGAATTTGTATCCTACATCTTGCTTCCAAAATAAAGACCGACGTCGAAAAGCGACGACCTCTCAAGTGGCCATGTCAGCCCAATACTATCCTCGTGAGTTCATCACTTACCCCGCCAAATTGAACTTGCGCTGACAGCATCACAGCTCCTCCATCAGGAGGTATGTCCTTTCCCGTGCCGCACACGCTTCTTCGATACTCACTGACTTGAAAAAGGTCAGCAGAACTACCCTCCGCCGCCGCAATCGCCTCCTGCGGGCCAGACGAAATTCTCCTACCCAGCTCCTCCCTCGCAACCTCAGCGCGGTCACAGTGGGAGCTACCCTCCCCCGCCTCAGCCATCGCCAGGACAGTCGCAAAACTACCCTCCTCCTCCCATAACTTCGCCGACATCGCAGAACTTTCCTCCCCCCAAATCGAGCACGCCTCAGAACTACCCGCTGCCTCCTCAATCTTCAGCGGTGCAGGCCGCGAAATACCCTCCTCCTTCACAGCCATCTCCAAGCCAGGGACGCAGCTATCCTCTCCCACCCCAGGCAAACTCGTCACCCTCGCAGGCGCAGCCCCAATATCCGCCGCCTCCTGGTCTTGTTCAGCAGCAAGCACAACAACCGCAGCAGCAGCCTTCGCCCCAGCCCTCCCCTCAGCATCAGCAGTATCAACAGGCACAGCTTCCACTGAGGAACTCAGGCTCGCAGGATGGAGCTTCCCAATTCTCTGCGCCGCCGCCGTCTTTCGATGGACCACCAGACGCCGCGGCCCTGCCGGAAAAGCAATTCGTGGAAGAGACTCCAGTCGACACCAGCAACCCCGCCAACCTTCAGGGAGGTGCGCCGGCCGCCACGCATTTCCTCGGGGCCACGGCAACTGTCGATGATGTTGGCACTTTCAACGGCGGAAGCTACCGAATCAGTCACCGAGACAGCAACACCATCCTGACCATTCAGCTGGCGGTGGGATGCCCATTGCAGGCGAAACCAGGCATGTTACGCGCGCCTCTGGAGGCATGGTTGCATGAACTAACGTCGCTTCAGGTGTCATGGTGGCCATGTCGCACTCGGTCACACTAAGAGGTCAGATCAAGTTCAGCATGAAGAAGCTCGTTGCCGGCGCGGAGCTATCAAGCTCCACCTTCGTCGGACCCGGCGAGCTTCTCTTGGCACCGCCGATGCTGGGTGACATTACCAGCTTGCGTCTGACTGGCAAGGAGACATGGTCAGTTGGACAGGACGCCTACATCGCCTCGACGCAGGGTGTCATCAAGGACTACAAACGCCAGGGCCTCAGCAAAGCCATCTTCAGCGGCGAAGGTCTGTATGTTTACAAGATGAGCGGTACCGGGTTGCTTTGGCTCACCAGTTTCGGTGCGATTATTCGCAAGGATGTAAGTGGATTCTGCGAGCACGAGACAATACAGATGACTGATCGATCCCAGCTCATGGAGGGTGAGAAGTATGTTGTCGATAACGGCCACTTGGTGGCCTGGAACGTCAAGTACATCATGGAGCGCGTTGCTTCCGGCGGTATCATCTCTGGTATCTCGTCAGGCGAGGGCCTGGTGTGCAAGTTCACCGGACCTGGCACTGTGTTTATGCAAACAAGAAACGCGGTTAGCTTGGTTCCCTGCAGCTCAACGAATCTGGATTACTGACACGCTTGTAGAAACACTTCTTTGCCTATTTGAACGGGCAACAGCATCAATCAGTCTGATAGGCTTGATGGCTCATTGTACATCCGGGGGCAGTGCCGAATCACATGTCCCAGAACGACGTTGGATCGACCTGAAGGTGGCATGGCCTTTAGATTTTATGACATACCTGTAGCGTGCCGAAATTGATATCCCCTATTACTCTTGTTTCAACTACCTGTCCAATTTCATCAAACCAACGCTGCAAATTTGGTGGAAGTCAATTGACACCAGCTGCCAGACCATTTAAAGCAGCAATCGCCCGCCTGCCTCATTTGAACAATCGTCTTCAGGTGCTCTTTCTTCAAGCAATTTGTCATTTTCTTGGTTGGATTCTGCGGAAGGTCAAAGCCAGTATCACTTCCCTGAAAATCACTTCTAATGCAAAGGCAATCACTCCCTACAGTTTCTGCGTGGTCCTTCTCACTATTAAATGGAAACTACATCTTAACCAATATGGGCCTGACAATGTTTCTCTTTCCTCATTTTGAAAGTTCTCGGAACAGAGTGTCCGGTGCTGGACTACAGTTAGCAGCTGTGAAAGGCCCACCACTGCTGAACTTTCAACCTCTCTCCATCAACACTTCTCGTCTACATCACCCCATCACCATCACCTCAATCCTCAACCCCCCTTTTTGGACACAATTCGCAGATTTACAGGCCAAGCCTAGAGCGCATGCTTTCTATATCAGCGAGGAATTCCCGTCACGGTACAGATTACGAAACAGTCCCAGCAGCGAGGCTCCTTGTTGTTCTCTTTGGAGAGATCCCTTCGACCACCACCGCCTTCGCCTTGTCGCCTCTGACAAAGCAGTACCACGACAGACATCAACTCCTCGACTACCTAAACACACCACTGAGTGGAGTCTTCTGGGCTTTTCTCTCCCACCATACCTAGGAACGCCCCGTCGTTCCTTCCTCTTTGGCTCCGAGGGCTTTTGACCGGTGCCTAACCTCGCAGAAACATCCTGACTTCGCCAACATCAGGATCCCATTGCGATATCGACGCGACCCGGCTATCGACTCTTCTGGCACTGAGTCTGTCCCCGAAGATCTTGTCCTGCCCCCGAGATAATTCAAATTCATCACCTTACGGGGTCTCGGCCAAGCGCGACACACTATTGCGCTTCTTCGACTGGGAGAACATCCGGAAATCCGCAGTCACGATATCATATCTTGCCGAACGAAGGTACGTTTCTTTCTATATGTCAAAACGCATCCAGCAGCGTTGAGCTGAGTCTTTCAATCTAGTCATCGGTCAGTTTGGCCTTCAGCGGCCTTCACTCCCGTTGGAAAAGAACGACTATTGATTTCAACCTCGAATTGGCTTTTTCTCAGGCCTGCTGGTCTCTTACTCCCGACTCAGTAAGATACTACTTTTTTACCATATCGACCCGATATGCACAGGAAGTGAGAGACTTGGTTATTGCTGACCATTACATAGCCAAAATGACGTACAAGACGATCAAAGGCGCTGTTGCTCTTACCAGCCAACGGGGCGAAAAGACTTCCGCCAATCCCCTACATTTGATGCCGCCGGGGGCAAGCGATGAGAACGCCAGAGTCCCTCCCGAGAAGCTCACACTTGCGTTGAATTCAAGCAATTGGCGGAAGCCTTTGGTTCCCCGCAGCGACAACATTGAGAACACACGAATTCGACAAGATCGAAAGCAACACCACTTGGGCAACGACTTCGACTTGGCCGATCCAGCTACTCACTGGCGCAAACCTGTTCTCGGCGTTGACCCGTTGCTGAACGCGACCAATCCAGTATTCGAGGAGAAGAGATCCGATATGCCCGAGAAGATCTTCGAGCGAGAGAATGAGCCAGCCGCAAAATCGAGGTGCATGGCTCGTACTTTCACACACCTCGATCCCTCAATCAGAGGCCATGAGTCCAGCTAGAAGAAGGACGCCGCGCTTCTCATCATGGATGTCGTAGTTCATGAGTGCGATGACCCTCTTTGCAACGAGCACCAAGACATTTTCAAAAATGCCGAGATTCGTCGCATTAAGGATACGACCCGTTTCAAGTCCCAGCCTCGCGACAGTGCTGTTCTTGGTTACGAGAAGCAATTGAGGAGCGTCAAGATCACGCCTCGCAAGAATTCGATGATCGACCTGACCCGACCTTGCAAATTTGACCAAGAAGAGGTTCCCAGCGGCAAAGACCAGCATAAGAATTTGCAGCAGCAACCTCGAGACGTCGACACCGCTATCATTCACGACCCTGCTGTCGTCATGATCGGTGTTCGGGATGTCGAGAATCTCACCAACGCAACACTTGGCCAGACTGAGCGCTTCCAGGAGCTCCTTCGCAAGCTTCACAAATCTGCGCCTGGACATCTACCTCCAGTTGCTGTGAGTAATGATGGGATAGACCGCCCAAGACAAGACACTGGCGATTCTGGCGATTCTGGCATCGACGTCAGAAGTCCAATCAAACGGTCTCTCAACCCGTTGGCTAAGGAATTTGCAGCCTTTTCTTCTCATGAAAACCCAGTCGTCGCAGAGAAGCGCGGATCAGAGACCTCTATGAACATTCCTCTCTCGATTCTCAAGCAAATCATGGGTCAGGGTGACAAAGTCACGGCTATGGATGGCAACCCTGAATTAGGCCTGAACGAAACGATTCTCAACACGATCCAAAGATTCGGAATCCCAAACGTACAGCCGAAGTACATAACGCCGCCTTTGGCATTCTCTTCCCCCACGATGGTGCCTCATCCTCCTCCACCATCCATGGTGTCGTCCTTAGGTTCGTCTCCTATCCCTTCAGGGGTGAGCCTGCAAAGTGGTATGGCAATGCCTCCCTTTAGCCCTTTCGCAGGATTGCAGCCCGCGCCAGCCTTCTCACACTTTCCGGGCTTTGCCAATCCGGCGATGCAGAACATGCCCATGGCTCCTCCCACACTTGGGCCACAGTTCAGTCCTCATGGATTCTTTCCATCTTCGTCAGGCTACGGACCGCCAATCAACGCTCACATAGCTGGTCGTCAATTCAACGCCGGCCCTGCCGTTCTGGGATCCCCATTTGCCCCGAGAATGGACACAACGCCGCCGTTCAACCCGAACTCAGGATCTTTCAACCCCGCTCAAGCATCGACTTTCGTCCCTAGCAAGGACATACATCCCCCGCCGAAGCCGCGTGTGCCTGATGCCATGGGTCAGCAGAACTACGAGGCATGGATCGAGCACAAGAAAGCAACTGACCCAGCTTATGCTCTTCAGTGCAAGCAACGCCAGGCCAACAGAATTCGTCGAGCCGGCCCCGGGGTTTGGAAGTGAGAGGGAGAAGGTGACGCATTACCCTCCGATACCAGCTGCCCGTGACAGCCTTTCATTGGAACGAGGAGCACGCAGCTACCGTAACCCAAGACATTGAATGAGTATTTTCTAGCAGCTCACGCCTGAAATATGTGGCGTACTATTGATTGAAAGTTTTGTATTACATTCAGAGCAGGTTTGCTCTTCGCATCCAAAATTGGTACCAGGAAAACATGGGTATTATGGGATGCAGGAAGCTTTTATTTTCTACGAGCAAGTTGTCCGGCTGAGGACGAACTTCGATAGCCTCAGCATACTGAGCGGGCAGGGGAAGTTTGGGCAGCAGGTCTTTCGCTTTCTGGCATTGTGTATAGTTAAATTGCTCCCACAGACACAGGTCTTCTCAGGCAGTCAATAGCAGTTTGTGTTCTTGATTTACTTGGGTCGTGGAGCGGCACTGAGGTGCAAGTAAGACACGGTGCCCCAGCTTGAAGACCGTGCTTGAAACCGTGAATGAGAGGTATTCAAAAAGAGTGTCCTGCAATTCAAGGCTATAGAGTGTGCTTCGGTTTCGGGTTTCGAGTGATACAAGCTGGGTAGTAGGCATTTGATTTTTGTGCAATACAGCGTATCCTTGTCGAAGTCGACTGCTAGAGCCATCGTATGTTAAAGAAACGCCATGATTTAAATAAAACCTGACGCATCTGTAGCGACGATCTATGGATCTCTGGCCCGGAGTGACGAGAAGCCTTGCCGGGAGACCATTATTGTCCACGATGGACCACAGAAAATCAAGAAAATTACAGACAGCCGGATGATCCGTATTATGCGGTGTCAATTTTGGGACCCTTTCGAAAGCGGGGGAAACTTTGGCGTCTCGTCAAGTCGACGAACGCAGATACGTCGCGATCAGCACGAAAACTCAAAAAGAAAGTCCCCAGATGAAGCGACGAGAAAAAAATAGGTAAGAACAGGATACGAACTGCAAAAATGTGATCAGTGGGAGGCTTGAACTCCCGGCCTTGGCATTACAGGATATTCCAGATGGAATATTAGTACCACGCTCTAACCAACTGAGCTAACCGACCAGCTGCTATGGCTGTTGTTGCAGGAAAATGCTGAAGCGCGGGGTATCAAGGCTGAGAGCCGATGCTAAGCGCCCACTATGATGGTCGCGGATGGTGCTGACTCGGACGAACCCAACAGCAACTGTCATCCTGGGAGAGGATCAAACTGTGCCTGATTTTTCGTCTCAAGATCTGCCTGGGCTGGGATGAGATGGGACGGATTAAACGCGGAAGTCGTCATGCAAGCAAGCGCTGGTGTTGGCTGCGGGCAAGGACCGCAAGAGACTCGAGTCAAACATGTTTCGTAGAGGTGTCGGAGGAGGGAAAAGTCCAAGAAGAAAAGGACGCGGGAGTACCGAAGGTGGGATGCGGCTCTAGATGAGGTTTGTTCGCGCAATTGTCCGTGTATTCCAGGTTGATCTAGCCATGAAGTCAGGATGCGATAGAGGCAGGCTACGGACACATTCGCAGCATTGGCACACGCCAACTCCTGTAGGCGTTTCCAACATCAGTTGACAGTTCCTTCAGAGACGGGATGGAGGGAGGAGGATGTTATGTGACAGCCATGTCAGAAGCTGTCTGCTTCCGTGAGGCTTGGTCTCAAGCAGCCTGACGCGGAGAGTCGGAGAGAAGCGAACTTCGTGGAGACGTCGGACCCGACTCCGCGGTGCTCGTGGGCGATCCCAGTTTCCACGACGGGTTTGATGCTTGTCAACATAACACTGCCGTATGCCATTTGTCGGAACCACCGCGGATCGCTAGAAACTTGGAAATGATGTCAAAAAGGGTTTCCTTGGATCGTTCGGCGAGAGATGCCAAGGTTCGGCGACGCTGGGCGAGGAATCCGGCTCTCGGGGCTGAATATAGCCCAGGCATGCGAACTAATAATACATACCGCGGCGCACATCATTGGAGGCAACCCGAGGAGAGAGTCAGCCAGGTCCGGCTGTCTGTCTCGTAACTTGCAGTCAGCAGAGACATGCGGCTGCAGTGGACGTGCATGGCAGGCGTCCAGATCAGCAGGTCCAGAGCGTCGGGGTCGTCGGGGAGAGCATCGACTATTGGATTCTGCCCTGCAGCCATCCATTTCGAGAGGGACCAGAGTCAGAATGAGAGAGTGAGGGCACCACCAACTTGGACAATGCCACGCGTGCAAGCAAGCGGTGGTCTGTGGTTGCTTGCCCCGTCCAATTGGTTCTTCCCCACCGCCAATACAACGCTTAATCTGGAAGTGGGAGTCGGGACGGAGCACAGGGTCATCCAGAGGCAGACTATCCGAGATGGGGTGGACGGGTGGACACCACGAAATTCACGATGGTGCCCTTTGCCCATCCAAGGCGAACCAGGGCATGGGCAAACAAGCTTGCTTTGGGATTCCCATTCGAGCCGTTACGAGATTGGACTGGATCGTCCAGATGATACTTGGAACGGGTCGACGAAATAAAGGGGACGGTAGGTACCTACTCTCGTCAACGGTCGCGGTCGCCGGATCTGAGACTGAAACGCATAAGTCTGCGGTTCCGGAGCCGGAAGACGAGTCGTTTGCCGCCGCAAGGTGCAAAGCAAGGTATTCGTGGACAGGAATTGGATGGGACAGATGAACTAACATCATCTTTTAATGTTGGCCGCATTCCTCGCCGCCTTCTAAAGTTGAACCGACCTCTCACTTTCTGTCATCCCACTCAGCCTTATCGTCTGGCGCCGAACTCCCCTGGAGGGATCAACAACACACCAGACCGGACCAACGAAGCGCCCAACTTGGACATAATAATTAACTACCTAGTAGAGGTGAGAGGACCCTTCCATACCTACCTTACTCACAATGTGTGCTTTGGCGGGACCCCAGGTCCAAACTCCCCTGAGGCGCATCCATTCCCGCGCTGCGTCTTTGGAGTCTTGGCCGTTGCTCCAACGTCCGTCCACCAGAAGAACGCCCCCCGCAGCCAGCCAGCCCTACAACCTATCTTGGACTCTTTCCCTCAGCTGCCCCATCTCGTGCTTGCACTTTCGTCTCTTCTTCCACATCCCGCTTTCCCCTCTTGGAGCTATCACTGACTGGGCAACAAAAACAGTTGGTAATGCCTGTCGTTGATTGACAGCCGCTGCTTTTCTTTTCATTTCTTCCTCGCTCGCTTTTTTTCCCGACCATCAACGCTCGTTCGCACACGCACCGCACCGTTCGACTTACACGACTTGACTTGGAGAAGCTGTCCCGCTGCGGTGGAACTCTACCCCGTCGATCCTTGGAGACAGACCAGAGTCGCGCATCGATACCGACATCGTCCCTCGAGACATGAGAACGCCATAGACCATGGCGCATAATGGAGGCTTCGGCGCTTCCTATCGACCTCCGGCTCCTCAGCCTGCACCAGAACCACCGCTGAGCCATCGCATCTCAAACTGGTCTGTCGCCAGTGACTGGGATACCTATCAGCAACAAGACGAGTACGAGAGCCCCTCGAGTCCACTTCGCGGCGCTCGTGGAAGGGAGGCCCCGGCCTCACATTCCTTTTCCCACCCGACTCATTCTTCACCGTCGCAGCACGAATCAGACGAATCCGAACCACAACCCCGGATATCAAGGGCATCATCATGGTCCGGATCCTTCGCCTACAAAGGCGTCCCCAGAATCGACCCCGCGCCTGCCACCGCAAACCCTTTGACGAGAAAATCCAGTCGCGCTTTTCGACGGCCATCGGTGCTGCGCTCGCAACAGTCTATCCCCGAGGAAGAACACGACCTGTCGCTGCTGCGTTCTGCCGCACCCATCAGTCAGTCGCATCACGCGTCGGTCTCGGAAGATGAACCCATTTTCGATGTAACCGCTACCCTCGGTCCCATGGGGTTCCAAGACGACGGCTTCCTCAAGAAGTTGCAGGAGCAGGAGGCCAGCGGACACCTCACTGGAGGTCTCGGGGCCGGTTTCAAACCGGATACCACAATCAAGGGAGACGATCTTCTGTTATCGCCGGCGTCCCCCAAGAAGTCCCTTGCACGATCTTTCACTCGACGCGGAAAGCTCAGTCGCACTGCGACACTCAAAGCATTCGGCCAAGATGAGGCCAACAAGCGAGGAGAGGTTATCGAGGTGATTATAGAAGATCCGGGTGCCAACCGCGGTGATCAAGTCGATCTCAGTGTGATGGCCGGACCGGATATTGGAGATGACGACGGTGGGAATATGCGGCAGGCCACCTTTCCCGTCAACAAGGGTCAGAAGACGCAAGTCTTCTACCCGCATCCCAACTGGAAGCCATTTCCGATGAGATGGCCTTACCTTTCTGCCCTGATTGGGTTGTCCATTGTGTTGGCCATCATGGTCGAGCTGCTGTACCAAAGGTCGCGCCACGACCCGTTGCTCAAGTTCCAGTTCCCGGGCGATGTCCCGGGCGAGCAGTACTTCGCTGTCAAGTTCCTCCCGACCATGCTTTCCGTCACGTACGGTGTGTTATGGCAAGTGACAGACTTTGAAGTCAAACGCCTCGAAGCCTACTATCAGCTCTCAAAGGACGGCGGCGCACTTGCGGCCGAGTCCATCAACGTCGACTACGTCACGAGTTTGAGTTGGCTGCGACCATTCCGGGCGTTGAAGCTGCGACACTACGCCGTTGCCGTCTCGTCCATCTCGACGTCTTTGGCTGTGTCTCTGGTGCCAACATTCGGCGCTGCGGCATTCGTTCTGTACCCCGACAGGGCCACACGCCTCGCGCATCCCGACCAGGAGAAGGTCATCCGCCTTCACGCGGTCTGGTCGAGGTTGCTCTCGAGCACGTTGTGCATCTGCGCATTCTGCGGCTGCGTCCTCTTGTACATCCTCCAACGAAGGAGATCAGGTCTTCTGGCTGATGTCAAAGGTATCGCTGGTCTTGCGTCAATGGCCGTGGTGAGCCACATCCTCGTGGACTTTGCGGATCTCGATGTTGTTACCCACAGCGACATTCATGCCAAGCTGAAGCACCGTCGCTATGTTCTTCGCAACGCCTCTTTGGCACCAGATGACGAGAATCCCGCGTCTTCTCAAGAACGAGACCAGTTCCGCGAGCATTACCTGCCGGATAACCCCCATCCGCGCATGTTGCGCCTCGACGGCTATCTGCCGTACGTGATCGGCATCGTTCTCTTCATCGGCTTCATTCCAATTTTCTTGTTCTCCGAAGCAAGCGTCATCACCACCAATGCGCCATGGGTGGTAACGGCGCTGGCCGTCAGCATCAAGCTTGGCTGGGGAGGACTAGAAACGGATATGCGGATGATGGAACCCTACTACATCCTGTCAAAGAGGCATTCATCGTCCAGGACACTCACCTTGGATTACACCGCCATGCCGTTTGCGTACATGCCGTTCCAAGCGTTCCTCAACGGTCATGTCTTGATGTTCCTGGTTGGATTCGGCACCATGATGACGGAGCTTCTGACGGTGCTGCTGACTAGTCTTGCGACTGTCGTCGGCACCGAGTTCCTCGACGCCGCCATCAAACCGCCCGAGAAACCCGGCGACCCCAACTTTGGCGGGATCAACGCCGGCCAAGAGACGGTGTCGTCGTTCTGGATCTCGTATGGTCTGGCTACTTTCATTTTGCTGTACATGGGCACAGTGGCCACGATCGTGTTCCTTCGAAGACGACATCCGTTCCTTCCGCGACAGCCAAACACCATTGCGTCACACTTAGCCTTCATCCACCAGAGCAAGATGATCTACGACTTCGTCGGGACTTCGAAGCTGAGCAACGCGGGCATGGTGCGCCATCTCGAGAAGCTGGGCAAGACGTACGGACTCGGATGGTTCGAGGGTCGTGACGGGCAGACGCACTGTGGTGTCGACCAGGAGGAGCTTCTGGGCTGTTATAAGCACGGCATGGATTTCCAGGGGACGAACAAGCCGTGGAACCAGCATTGGGAGACGTACGACTAAAAGTGTGACGTGAGAGCTCTCGAGTAGGCGGATATTCGGCGTTTAATGAGCAGAAGCATTGAGATTGCTGCCTAGAGCCGAGGCACTCGATCTACGTACAGGAAGGAAGGGGTTCATCTAGGAGTTCCAGGAAAAGGAGTTTGACAGAGTTCAGGATTTGAGGAATTAAGCATAGTGAGGAGAGGAACCACGAGTTTTGGGTTTGGGACTCTGGAAGCATCCGAGGGGCCGCATTCGGACGGTTTGGACAAACCTTCTTCCCCTCCCAAAGAGGGGGGGTCTAGATTTCTATCTATGGATACCATAGTTTGGTAACACGCCGCACGTGTGTATGTGCGGCAGGCCTACCTTAACTTAACAATGCCTTCTTAATTCATTATTCACTTTTTTTTCTGCCAAAGAACCAGCGGCACACGCACGAGGCATAACAATGGGTGGAATTCTGAAGCACATGGTGCGAGTACTAAAGCTGCTCGCCCTGTCGATCACCGAGGTTTAGCGGACGGCAGTGGCTCGCCGTTCGTCAATAGTCGTTCGATAGGATACAGTCAGCAGTAAAACAAACACCATCCGCTCAAACGCACAAGTTCTTCCTTCGGTCTTGCTGAGACTCACGGCTCGTAGCTCACGGGCAGACGCGGGGAGGCGACCTTGACATCACTATGCGGGATGGAAATGCGACGACATGCAGGCACCCTGTCCGAAGGATTCTAAAAATGAACACGGCAACAATAAACACGTTCTTTCTCTCTCTCTTTCCGGATCGAAGAACCGGTGTGTGCGGGGGAGGAGCACAAGGAGGCAAAATTTAGAAGAGGCGAATAGATGGTATCGAGGTTGTCGAGTTCGCTTCGTGTTCATGTAGATTGGGCCAATGGCGGATAGGGCTGCTGAAGATGCCAAAGCCGGGCGAGTCTAAGTGCCTGTGTGTGTGGTAGGGCGCAGAGGGCAGGCGTGATCTATCTGCGGGCTGACAGGTACGAGATTGATGTGGCCCTTCTATTTTCCCACGCTGCCCTACACTGGAGGCGGCGACGCGGCGGTGTTCCCTGATGTGGTAGGTAGGATGGCGTGCGCAGGAATCGCTGTTTATTAAGGTTGTTGATAGATTGGAGTGAGGAGGGACCGTACTAGGTAATAACGCGTGTAACCTGGGCAATAACAACACCACTCGAGGGATAAAATTTTCGCTAATGCTGTTTATTAGTGTAGTGCAATTATTGGAGATGTCGTCGGTCTCTCTCTCCCGTCTCATTAAGACATTTGAGTTGGGCCCTTGGCGAGAAGGAAACATGGAGGTTGCTTGCTGGCTTGGGCCTCTTCATGTAAGGGGAAGAAGGTTTTGATGGGAACTTGGCAAGGTTTTGATGGCATGCGAACCCATTTTGCGATTCCCACTTTTCGGGAACGAACTCTGGCTGACGGGCGGAGGATGGTGATGCTGGAATGGCATCCACATTGTTTATTTGATTTTAGCGATTGGAGGCGAGGTCTCGAAGGCATGGGAAGCAGGCCGTGTTGTTGCGTTCGCGCTGGGGGGCCACGGGCAAGCGAGAGCAGAAGCAGGAGCGAGCAGGTGAAAATGTGGGTTTGGTCGCAAGCTTTTGCAATGGGAAATGTTTCTGAATGATGTTTGATGTGCGCTCGTCTAGAACCGGAACGTTGGAGCTTGTTCGAGCTGAATCGTGGCGATGCAAAGACGGAGACGCGGGTGAGCGAGAGGGCGACCTGTGCGAGGGAGGACGGCAGGTGGGTGAGAAAGAAACCCAATACCACCTAGAGAGCCCGTCAGCAATAACAGAAAAAGGCTTGGAAGGGTTGTAGTTCTGGTCTTGATGAGGCAAGTCCCCAGAAGTCATGGTTTGAAGCACAGCCTCCCTCCATCGCCTTTTGCGCCCAGACAGACGTGTCTTGGAGATTGGAAGAGTGGAATGGATGGGCAAAGTTGTGATTTTCGGTCGTCCTCTGACATCGGGCCAGCGGTTCGTTCGCGGGCCAAAACATTGGACGTTGATCCGTTGGTAGCGTGCGACACATACAGTCAGCAGATGCTAGTGCGCATTTGGCCTGTAACTTGGCATGTCACTCGAGGCGCTGCCGCGATGAGAGGGGAAAACGATGGTGCTGCCGGAAGTGTTCCAGGGTGAGGAAAATCGGCATCGATCTTGATGATGACGGCCTGGAGAGGACCCTTTTTTCCCACGGGTGACGGCACTGAGGAGAGCGCACTGGGCTCGATTTGAGCACGCGGTCCCTTGTCATCGTCTGAAGGCTGCCCAATTGACGTCGAGGACGAGGGCCAATTTTAGACGTCTCAGGAGCGTGGTTCCCTCTTTTCTAAATTCTGAGGGAAAACGACCACGGCGACCCCAGTTGTGATTTTGCTGGGCGTCGTTGCGAGCGAAACGGCGCGGAGAACGCACCGGTGACGTCGAGCATGTTGGGTGGGAATTCTCTTGATCTTCGTGCGAATTGGGACTTTCCAAGACATGTCGTCCAGTCTCATCTGCAGTCGTGTGCATTTGGATCCTCGTCCGGATGCCGCCGGTTATTCAGGTAGGTCCAGTAAGCTGCGCAAGCGCAAGCGGCCCCGGCAAGGCATGGTTCGTGAAGGAAAGGCGTACGTATGCGTGTGCCGCCGCCAAGCTCCTTCCCGTCGACTTGGAGAAAGTCAAGTGTGGCAGTGCACGAGAGTCAAGACTCAGTTAACGACGGCGATAGTGAGGTTATTGAAATGAGGAGTGGGTTTTGGGCTTTCCTCTAGCGGTTTTGACGGTCTGTCTGTCTGTCTGATGTCTGGGCCTAGGGCGGCCGGTTCCAAACACTCGACGTCGCGGACGGTTGGCTGCGAGCGAGGCGTGAGATGAAATGAGAGCGGGAGAGGGCAGCATGCCAGCCAGAATCGTCCGTTGTCAATGTTGCTTCCAGTCCCAGTGGTTCCGTGCCGGTAGACTGACTCTCGACTCGAGTCTGGAGAAAGTATCGTCTGGTCTTGGTATTCTTGGAAAGGCAAAGGGTCTTTGGAGCGGCGCGTGTTGGAACATTCGGGACCCGGTGATAAAATGGATCTTGGCCCATCCTACCCCGTACTTAGAACGGGTAAGAAAAGGGGATTTGGTGGTTCGGCGGGTTTTGTCAGAAGAGATGCTGGAGAAGGGCGGATGATGATAGACAGCGCCGACGATGACTGTGCGGAAGTCCGGCCGTGAGCCATGAGGGTGGGTTGCTGTGCCGTTTCCTCCAAGGTAGTAAGTTTTGGGAAAGGTGAGAGTGGTGTACATACCTACTCTGTACGAGTCTGCGTGTCTGCGCCTGCATTCTAACTCGTATCCGTGCAGAACAGGAAAGGGAGAGGCGGGAAGGATCGCAGAGATGGGATGGTTGGTGGGCTTGGTGTTGGTCTTGGCTGACTGCGTGTTGCAGAAGGGGGAATTCGGATGGCTGTGGTCTACTGCAAAGAAGAAGTTGAATGACGCTATGATTCCATGTGCGACGGATGAGTTGTCTGTGTTGCTGCTGCCGTTGCTGCTGCCGTTGCTGGTGTATTCGTACAATTGGACGGTAATGGGCACAGGTGCGCACATCAGCGAAAATCATCCGTCGTCAGAGGGATTAGGCTGACCTCAAAACCTGATTGGGGCCTTGCAGATGGATGGAGATGACATATCGCGAAATGTTTTGTTTCGCTGAAGACTCTTGTTGCTCTTTTCCCTCAATCTCAATCGAGCAGGTGGCAGGTGCCGGGTTGGCAGTGGCAGTGGCACGGGTGGGATGGTCTGCTGCCACCTGTTTGCCGTTGCCAGGGTAGTCGATTCACACAGTGATGACAGACTAGATTTAACCTCGTGTGTACATGCGGCCTGTGGTTGTCTGTCAGCTTGTGTTCGTCTGGACCGTCTCACTGTTTTTTTTTTCGTGCCTACCTTACGCGCCCGGGTTATTTGGGTGGTGAGTCGTATTTCTGTTAGCAGCTATACGAGCTGAGTCGAGTCCTGGGGCGGGGGTACGGAAACGGTACTTAAGCCGTCATATAAGACTGTGTGAAACATGAAGTAGCCCCGCAGTTGCCGTGTCGTATTTATCCAGCCTCGCCAAAGCATGCATATCAGCCTCTACCTTTCTATGCATAGGTAAGTTGCACCAAGTGAAATTACGCAGCCCCAAGGCCGGCACCACGGCGAACCGTCGTTACCCCTGTCTCCAACACGCAAATCCAACCCACCACGTCCTCCACATCACTGTACCGGAATCCACAGCTCACGCTTCATCTGCGCGGGATTCCCTCCCTTCTTCCCACCCGCACCCCCGTATTTGGCCCTGGTCCTGATCCTGATCCTGGCCTCTCCGTCTTAATGCCCATGCCCAGTTTTCCCTGAATCCGACGGCCCAGCCAGCCCAGCAAAGCCCAGCATCAGCAAGCAAAGCGAAGCAAGCCCAGCCCAGCCCGGCATCCGCAACGCACCACCAAAAGAACCAAGCTGCTGCCCTGCTGCAACGTGCAGCGCCTCCTTTCATCACTGAATCACTGATCACTCCCTCTTGTCCCCATCCACCATCCACCCTCCTCGCTTGGCGATCGCCTTCCCTTCTCTCCCTTCCTTTCCAATCTCCCGCCAACAACAAAACCGCCCAAAACCCACCCGTGCCATCCTCCCCCCTCCCCGCCTACCTCATCGTCCAGACCTTTCCACGACCAACGATTATTGACGACGACGATACGACCACGATAACCCGCTTCTTATCGGCGCCTTTCGAGAGGGACGCTTCCCCAATTCCTCGACCTTTCGCTTTCGACTTCTGAGCTAGGAATAGGGGCATAGCGACGTTGGACAGCACAATTTCAATCACGGCAGCAGCGGTATCGAGATCGACGACGACGACTGCCCCGATCGTGCATCTCTCGGCATTGGCAGATAACCCTCGCTACCAACTTTCCCTGCCACCGAAAGCCACGACCCTTCTGCTCTCCAACTTCCTCACCAACACGAACCCGTCTGGAACGACCCGTGAACCAAAAACTCTATGAACCTCTCGACCTAGACGGCCTCGACTCTCTTCTCACCACTTTCGCTACCCCGACCGCGCCAACCCGACGATCATTTCCCGCCGGCGACCGCATCATTTGCTTCTACTCACTCATCTACCTTCTTAGCCTCGACGACGACCAAAAGTCATCATGCGGTTTTCATTCGCGAAGCCGCTCCTCGTGCTGGGCGCGCTCGCGTCCTATGTCACCACACCCGTTATGGCCGCTGAGCAGATGCTCGTCTCCAAGTCGCTCAACACCTGCCAGGATGACTCGAGTTTCACGGCCAGTTTGTTCAACGTCGTCTTCACGCCTAACAACGGAAGTGCGGCCATCAACATTGTCGCCGTCTCCTCCGTCCAGGGCAGCATCGTCTTCGACGTTGCCATTTCCGTCTACGGTTACGAATTCATGAGACGCACTGTCAACCCCTGCGATATCAACCTCGCTGGTCTCTGCCCCATGACTGCTGGAAAGATCACCATGAACTTCAACCTCCCCGTCGGCGGAGATGCCGTCAGCCAGATTCCCGGAATTGCTTACAACATCCCCGATCTCGATGCCACCGTCAAGGTCTACGTCAACATGACCGACACCAAGGAGAGTGTTGCTTGCGTCGAGGCTGACATTTCCAACGGAAAGACTGTCGACTTGATCGGTGTGAAGTGGGCTACCGCCATCATCGCTGGCCTCGGTTTGATTGCCTCCGCCGTTGTGTCGGGTCTCGGCCACTCCAACACTGCCGCTCACGTTGCCGCCAACACCCTTTCCCTCTTCGGCTACTTCCAGTCTCAGGCCATTGTGGGTCTTACCGGCATTCACCTGCCTCCCATTGTCCAATCGTGGACTCAGGACTTTGTGTGGTCCATGGGTATTATCCGCGTCCAGTTCATGCAGGACATCTTCACCTGGTACCAACGAGCCACCGGCGGAACCCCGGCCACTCTGCTCAACTCTTTGACGACCACCTCCGTTCAAGTAGAGAAGCGTTCCATGGATTGGGCCATGTCTGCCGCCAGAATGGCCAAGCGTGGCATTGATGCCGGCATGTCCCACATTGCCAGAAGAGCGAACATCCAGCTTTCGTCTGGTAGCTACATCGTCTTCGGCATTCAGCGAGTTGCTTTCAGGGCCAAGATCGAGTCGACCAACCTGTTCATGACTGGTTTGGCCTTCTTCTGCATCTTCGTCATCTTCACCGTTCTTGGTGTTGCCGCCTTCAAGGGATACTGCGAGTTGGCTGTTCGACAGAAGTGGATGAAGAGCGAGAAGTTCCTCGAGTTCCGCAATGGCTGGTTCACCGTCTTGAAGGGCATTCTCTTCCGCATGACCCTGATTGGTTTCCCCCAGATGACGATTCTCTGCCTCTGGGAGTTCACTCAGGTTGACTCCGCCGCCGAGGTTGTACTTGCCATTTTCTTCCTCTTCGGTATGGCTCTGACGCTCGGCTGGGCCGCCGCTAAGGTCGTCCGCATCGCTCGCCGTTCCGTTGCCATGCACCGCAACCCGGCCTACATCCTCTTTTCCGACCCTCAGGCGCTCAACAAGTGGGGATTCCTCTACGTGCAGTTCCGCGCTTCGGCTTACTACTTCATCATCCCCGTTCTTGGCTACACTGTTGTCAAGGGCATGTTCGTCGCGTTTGCTCAGCGCAGCGGTACCGTTCAGGCCGTGGCCTTCGTCATCATTGAGGCCGGAGCTCTGATCGCTGCTAGCGTTCTCCGCCCCTGGATGGACAAGAGCACTAACTCGTTCAACATCGCTATTTGCGTCATGAACTTCCTGAACTCGATCTTCCTACTCATCTTCTCCAACGTCTTCGGCGCCCCGGCTCTGGTTAACGGTATTGTTGGTGTTGTCCTGTTCATCGCCAACGCGGCCTTTTCTCTGATCCTCCTGCTTCTGGTCATCGTTAGCAGCACACTCATCTTCTTCCGCAAGAACCCTGATGCTCGCTACCAGTTCATGGCCGACGACCGCGCGTCTTTCATGAAGTCGCAGACTCAGTTGAACACCACGACCGAGCTGGATGCTTTGGCCGCCACCGCCAGAGGTGACAAGGCTCACTACAACAAGGGACTCGACCTCGACGACGACAACGACTCCATCTCGTCCGAGTCTATGCGCCGCCGTGCCGACCCGTCGGCCGTTGCCCTGCCGCCTTCCACTGCGCAGTCTCACAACTCGCAGTCTCAGCACTCTCTTCACCGCAACGCCGGCCACGGCCAGCCGCACCAGCCGCATGGACAACACTCTCCGGTAGACCCATCAGTGCCCCTCTTCCCAGCCAACGCCGGCCCCTACGGCCAGCCTCCTACGCGCACACCGAGCCCTTACAACGGCTCCGGATCGACACTGGCGGCCAACCAGTACAGGCAACAACACAATGCCAGCCCAGCTCAATATAGGCAACAGAATAACGCTAGGTAAGAACGCTCAAATAGCAGCTGCAAAGAACGAGTTGCTGACCTCACGAACAGCCCTTGGCAGCGTGGTGCTGGATACGAACACTAGATATGACCCGCTATGACTTGCACCGTTCCGACGGTAAATACCGAACGGTCTAGAAGAGTTGTCGGAATACGGCTACTCGGTTGATGGCATATCAAGTCATCCTACTTCTTGGGTACCCTCTCAGCATACGAGAGGTTTGCAACTCGACACGGCCAGTTCAGTAATAATGCGCCAGGCGTGGGGGAGGAGGCCAAGTCCCTTACCTTGAGTTATGACGAGCATCACACCATAGACGGATCGGTATTCTCTTTTTTCTTTTCCTTGTCTGTTTCACTTATAACTCTTGTCTTCGGCATTGAGGACGGCGTCCTGAGATCACGGCGTTTGTTGTTTGGGAGGTCGCCGGGGCACGCCAGTCAACGGCGGGCGGAGGATGCCATGTACTGGTTCTTTTGTAAATAAGGCTGTGGTATGCTGAACGAGAAACGGTCTCGTCAGCAGCAGCTTGGACGCTGGAATGGGGGAAGGGGTTCAAAAAAGGGCTAACATCGGGTCGGAGGAGGCATATCCATCTGAGCCGAGGTCGACCACGCGTGGTTTGATCCGAGCGGACACCCCCCTGATAGGAAAGAAAATAGCTAATGGATCTCTTTGTGACCAAAGTTTTCATCTCAAACATTGTCTTGGGCGAAGACTCAGACTGACCTTTGACAAACAGACACCTTCGGCCGGTGAAGGATGTGATGGGCATGCAGAGACATGGTTCAGCGAACTCTACTCTGAGTCTTGTCTCGGCCGCAGCAGAGGGGCGAACGGAGAGAGCAGCTTCTTGCCCGAGAGGCCTGCCTGGCAGAGGTTTGCCTGGGTGGCGGGGGCGATGCGATGCGATGGACACGAGCGATCAAGATCCATCTCGGCCAGATCTCACCTGGCCAGCGTCAGGACTCACCAAGGCTCAAAGACGGGAAAGACATGATGATGCGACGATTCAAGCCTTTCTTTCCCCCCCTTCGAAGAGAGTTCTCGACTACATTTCGAGGGTGGAGAGAGTTCGGACGACGGGAAGCTTCCAATGTTAAAGAAAGTTTGTTTGGGGGGTTTTTCGGCCGAACGAAGGAAGAATTGAGTTCCCCGTCTGTTCGTCCGTACGCACGCTCTGACGCCCGTCGTGATGGGGGGTTAAGTGGTCCATCGCAAGTCGGTAGGCCAATGGAGATTGTATGTCGGGAAGAGGGGGATTCAAGACACCAGAGACACACACGAGAAGGCAACAGAAGGGTCTCGGTGGTCCCCGACACCATCGATACGTCCGTACCGGGGGGCCGGAGCTGCGGATTCGGGCCTTCCGGGTGTGTGGTGGGGACTGAGGCAGTGACTGGGGCTGGTGATGGTGGTGGTGGTGTGAGAGGCAGAGCGAGAGCGAGAGAGAGAAAGAAAGAGAGAGAGGCAGGCCTGAGGCGAAGCAGAAAGGACGGAGGCACGGAGTCACGTTTAGCGAGGAAGAAGGGCCTCGGAGGTTCCCTTTGGGTGTGCGAGACCGGGCAACTCCGTCCATAGTCTGAGCCTTGGGGGCAGGCAGACAGACAGATGGATGGGGAGGGACGTACTAGCATGATTCCGGCGAGGTAGGGAGGAATGAGGGGATTCGAGGGTTTCTTTGTTGGTATAACGGTCATCGATGGTGCTGGGTGGTGAAAGATCGTCCCTGTTCTACGGGCATGTCGGACGAGGGGAAGTTGAGGTGATGATGGGACGGTACGGGCTCTGAAGAAGTCTGTCTAACGGGCGCGGAGAGAACTGAGGTGACGGAGTCCATGTTGGACCGTCGGATGGTGAGGCTCTCGGGTCTCACATCACATCATGTCACATCATATCACATCACGGGTCTCACATCGCGGCCTTGTCGTCAACGTCCCTGTCTTGGCGGCCTCGTGATGGATAGACCTCTTAGCTGGACGTTGAGAAAGAAACAGTCGTCTCGGAGGGCGGGTGTGCCTCTTGGCAATAACTACTCACGGAAAATGCCAAGCGATATGGAGACCATGAAAGGAGCTATGTCCAACTTGGTAGCCGCAGGCGAGAAAGAGGGGAGGGGGTGGACCATCGTGAAGGGTGTGAAGGGAACCATCGTGATATGGGCCTAGAGAGATGGAGAAGCCTTCATCAGTTGGGAAGCGTGTGGGAGCTAGAGCCCATAGCTTGTTTACTGGGGACGTAGCAGAGCACTCCAAGTGGAGGCCTCGAGGCGTGGTTTGACCGCGGGAGGGGGTTCCTGGGCGGTTCGTTTCTCTCCGGCAGGCGAGATCAAGTGGTAGAGCCGTCCGCGCGGGTCAAGACTTGTGGCGCGGTGGTTTGCTGCCGCCCGAGTTCGAGGAGGAGTCCTGGGACTTCACGTGGGGGAGGCTAAGGCAGAGTGCTTCGGGACCGAGAGGACGGCACTTGCGGGTTCATTTGTCTTGGCATCTCTTGTGAGGGGCTTGCCGTCGTTGTTTGTTGGCTTGACCTCTTGGCGATGGGTAGCTTCTCGGCAGTTCGAGAGATGATGATAAGGCTGACTGGTGGTGATGGTTGTTCCAGCCTCATGGGCGCCGTTGCGTTCAAGATGGAGACCTCGCTTAGCAGCGTCGTTTCTTAGAGATCCTCGTTGAAGAGGGGTCGTAGTTGCTATCTGGGTCGGCGTTGAATTGGGTTCGAGACTGTGCCGTTTGGCTGGCAGCTGAGAAGATCGCGAAGATGTCAAAGAGGTGTTGAATTAGGCTTCTCGAGATGCCTGGCCGCATTCCTCCTGTGGCTCGGAGAATTTGGAATAATGGCTTGCGAGCTGCTGCTTAGACCGGACGTCAGGCGCAGGGAGGGGCTGTTATCGTTGGAGGAGGGGATTCTCTGGGAATGTTGACTACGGAGGGCCTCCGGAGATGTGCTGCCCATTCGTCGTCTCTGATTGGTTGAGAATGCGAAATCTTGAGAAATCTTTCGATTTCTGGGAGCTATGTAAGCGTTGGCGGGCGGGAGCGCTGGGTGGCAGACGCTGTGTTGTGTTGAAGATCGCGAAGCCACTTGACGTCGAAGCCGGAGCGGAGCCTCAGGTTCGAGTTCAGTGCGGACATTTGCTGCGGAGCGAAACGGTCTCATGAAAGTCCAGTTCTTCCGCCGTATGTGCCTGAGCAAGTCAAACATGAACTAGTTCCCCAGGTCTGTCGTGTCCGGAGGATGAACTGTGGCACGTGTCCTAGAGGCGGCCGCCTCACTTGGGCTGGGGATAACCTGGAAGACCAGACCTGAGACGCGGAGTAACCTATGAGCTAATCTGGCTTTGCTCTGGTGTCGTACCTGTCATGACGGCGGGGGCTGATGATAGTACGCGGGAATACTGCCAGACGTAGGATGGTTCCCGCGGGCCAGGCCAACCTACCTGAGTGTCGGATTCTCGAGTTGCCTGCCCTGGATGTTGAGCGTCTGGCCAGTAAGGTAGATGGATGTGTTGAAGGGCAGCGGTTCGGATAGGGCGACCCGGCGTTCGACAAGCTGCAGGTCTGACAGAGAATCGACGACGTCGAACGTCTGTTTCCGGCCGGATTTGGCTGTAGTGTATAGCTCCCCACAGATCCTTCCAAGCCTTCGGACTTCGATACGGAACCTGCCAGGCTTAGCCCGTCAGCCATACTACCAGAGTTGTCCCCAGGACGAAGTTCATTGGCCAAAGAACGAGTTTCGACAGACGCTTGGCCGTAGGAGGCGACCGGTAAGACACGTTTTCCTCTTTTCGTGTAGAAATTCTGCTCTGGATTCGATGTAGATGGCTGAGAGAGCCTTGTGTGCGTAAGATGTTGATCATGATAGACCATTGTCATGATAGCATTGTGATGATCTCCGACTATGCAGCCTGCCGGGAAACAACAAGTCGAAGCGGGGAATGATGTTCCTCTGCTATCCATCAATCCCTTAAGTGGAGTAAGGATGACGATAGAGTGCGTATGTGTGCCTAGATATTGCTCATGAGGCAACAGATTGCCATATTCGAGACCGTGATTGCTCGTTTAGGACGAGATAGCTGAGACATCGTCAACAGAACGTGGGCCGCCATGCAGGGCTCAAATTCCCGGACATTGCACGGATGTCTTCAGGCCCATCATGGGGGGTGCCAAAACATGTCTCGCTCCCTTATTCAATGATGCAGACAGAGGCGCATTTCCCTGACAGTGTCGCGAGATCTCGAGGCATCGCGGATAGACTGTCGCGCCTCCCGGGAGAGGGCCTCGATCTTTTCTCGGAGGAAGCGACTGAAACAAGGCTCACGATGGCGAACAAGTCAAGATCTCTCTCGGGGTTCGCGGCGGTTGGGCATCGGACTCTGCGATGATGGGGGCATCTCCTCGCCGCTTCCGGTCGATAACGCAACATGCTCGCTTGGCGGCTGCGGCTGGGCAGTCTGCGTCGTTGAAGATTGTCCCTGCGTCGCGTTTATGCAGGGCCAGGCCTCGCGCAGGTACCGTACCCGCCGAGAAACATCGTACGAAGATGAGGGTCTCGATGTACAGGCGGTATCTGCATGCAGGTTGAGACGTTGAGAAGCCTCGAGGTCCAGAGGTATGTCGCCAGAGCCGAGACGCAGCAGCGCGGCTAAGGCGTAGGTACGGCCGTGGAGTGGTGGGAACGCTGCATTAACGTTTCCGGGAGGGTGTGTATGTGTGTATGTGTGTGAGGTTGAAGTTGACGCCTTGGGTGGAGGGGGAGGGGTTCCAGGCGCATACAAGACAAGACTTGTCTCATTTGGGGAATTGCTGCGAGTGTGCACGATCGAGGAGAGATCGTGATGGGAGGTGAGAGAAGAGGAAGAGAGACAAAAGACAAGGGAGGGGATTCCGCGGTGAGACATTGATACGCGAGCATGCGCCCTGTTCCGTCATGCTCCTGGCGCCTTTCGGTTTTGGGCCTAGAGTGACAGATGTCTGTGGGTAGACGCAGGCACGATGAGCTGCAAGATCCTGCAACGGGGATCTAGCACTAGCCTTCCCAATAGTCGGGCAGGCAGGCAGACGGGATGCGAGCTTGTGGCTGTTCCCTCTTGCTGGGAAGAAGAAGAGGCACATGCAGCAAGTATGGAGACGCCGTTCCTCCTCCTCCCCTCCGCTGGGATGTAAGTAAGCCGCCGGCAAGTGCGCACCGCTCGACAGTGCCGGTCCAACCCGACAAGTACGAGAATGCCATCTTGGGATAGGCGTCATGAACGGGCGAGTGGAGGAGGGTGCACGGAGGGGGAGACGAAGCGTGATGTAAGGCTTAGCGGCCAATTTGGTGGTGGAGTGGGCAGAGCACTGGCTGAGGCGGATGGAGACAGCCAGGTTCATGATGTGTAGAAGAAGTTAGAGTGGAAGAGAAGCTATCTGTTTGCGGCCATGTTCACTGCAAAAGAAACAGAAAGACTATCACACTCCACTCAACCCACACACCCACACGCCTCACTTGGTGTCATTGCCAAGCCTCGCTGTAAGGAGAAGCCGCGCGTTGAGTCTGGACTTCTGGTTTGATATCACACAATCGCGATTCTGGACCACCGTCACTCTCACCGGATCATGGCCTGTGTTGGTTCCCGACGATATGCTTCTTCCCTTTCCCCCGTAGTCAGCCTGTCAACAACACGGGAGGCGGATGAGGCGGAAACACCAACACAGGCTGCAGTAGTCAAAGAAAAACTCCCGACGCACTGTCTGTGTGGCCTGGCGTAATGTCCGTCGACGATCGGCTAACGGCTGGTTGAGCGACGGAACGGCGTAGCGCTTCGTAGCACACGGCTGGAGGCTGCCCCGGCCCTCTGGACTGGAAATTGGAGAGGGCTGCGCGGGGCGTTGTTGAGTTGCGGCCCTGACCAGTCGGCCGATAGTATGCTGTTGTTGTTATTATTGTTGATTATGATGATGGTGATGATGATGATGATGAGTGATCTGCAGTTGCGGGGAAGACGTGAGATGGGACATGTGTTTTGGTCGAAGTCCACCTGTTGATGATAACGTGATGTTGTCGACGGCAGGTAAGATGAAAAATGTTGTATGAAGTGTGGAATACGAAAGGTGTTTTGAAGTTAATCTACTCCTCGTACCGTGATGTCTTTGATATGCGACCATAACGTGAAGACATGTCGAGCTTTGAAAGTGAATAGTATGTCATTTGATGTTGATATTGAGTGTTCTCTGCTAGGATATCCAATAACCATCCATATCTCGTACCCCAAGTTCCAGCCTATGATTTGTGGGTTGTCCATACATATGAAAACGAGATTAACTGCCTAGTACATGGTGTCGATGTGTGGGTAATAAGTTTTTCGAAAAAGCGACCGACGTCAACGGCCTGTGACCTTGTAGGCCAAACCATTTTGTAAGAGAAGTGAAAAAAGAATAGACTCCATGCCAGCAAATGACCCAAAAAGAAAGATCCTCCAAACGCCGTATGTCAGTTTCCCCTACGCGTGCCGTTATGCAAACTCCCCTAATCGCTCCCATGCTGATTTTGTTGTTGCTCCTAGTCCTACACGTCAAGCAAAGACGAACCCTTCCTCGACCAACTTGTCGACGTCCCCTCCGGCGGCCTTGACGGCCTTGATAGCCGCCTCGCTTAGCCGCCGACGCTTCTCCATCGCCTCCTTCTCACGACGTGCCTTGGTCTTGGAGCTGCCGCTGGGTGCCACACCCGTCATGAGAATATTCTTGTCGCTCGGAGTGAAGTTGACGAAGCCGATGCCATCGGTGGCACCACCGCCAAGCCCGCTTCCGATAGAGGGTGTGCGCATGCTCTCGCGGCGCTGCCACGACCGACGCTTCTTGACGCTCGCTGCGAGGGCGGCCCCGCCGCCGATGCTGGCCATCGATCCGCCGCTGCTGTGACGGGAGCGGTTCGTGGGCGTCGGCGACGTCGAGGATTCCCGGCTGTCCTGGCGAGAGCCGTTCAGGGTGCGGGTCTTGCGCATCGGCGTCGTCAAGCACATGTGGCGGGCGCCGGCCGAGGGGGCCCGGGGCATGCGGGGCCGGCGCTCGGTCATCTGTGCGGTGTGGTGAAGTTGTTGCGGGGGTTGGTAGTGAACGACCGGCGACGAGGTAGCACGGGGTTGAGGCACGTGGATCATGAGGCCGGACACCTCCGGGCCGGGTCCGGCGGCGAAGCTGTTGTACTCGTACGGCAGCTCGTTATGTTGCGTGTGCATGGCCAGGTTGAACGTGGCGTTGCGCGCGTTCTGTGCTTGGTACTGCGAGTTGGTCGACAAGTCCATGCTGCTAGCATCCCACCATTGGTTGTCGAGGGCATCAGTGGCATAGGCGTTGGACCAGGCGGCATGGGTATCCGTCTGAGGAGTTGTCGTGGCCATGGGCCAAGTGGCCTTGCTGGTGTTGGCGACATTGCTGGAGCTCATCGGCTGGTGGTGGTAGAACATTCCGCTCTTGTCATCGAGGATGGGAGTATCCAGGGGGGTAGTCGGGTCGCTGCGGCGGAACATGGCACCGGCATCGCAGAAGGGGTCCTCGACGAAGCCTCCGCAGAAGGGCATGCCGCTGCTGCCGGTAGATGAGGCAGAAGACAGCTCGTGGGGGAGGGTGGCACTGTTTGGTGGAGAGGGGAGTCTGGTGTGGGGACCACCGATGATGTTGAGGTGCTCGGGACGAAGCTTGAAGTTGGGCTTGCGAGGGGAGACGCTGGGCGGCGAGAGCGGCCCCCTGGTGTCGATAACGGAAGACATGTTGGGCTGTTTGTGTCGGACCGAGGCAGCTTTCTGCTGCATTTTGGATGCGACGGCCTTGAAGAAGTTGCTCGGCTTACGACCACCACCGTTGGCGTGGTTGTTGTTGGTAGTATTGTTGGTACTACTGCTGCTGCCGGCGAGCTGTAGGTTGCTGTTGCTGCTGGTAGCGGACGAATCTTGAAGAAGAGGAGTAGGAGGATGGGAAACGACGACAGAAGGAGCGCGAGAAGGCGACGCTTTCAACGATATGCCTTCAAGCCGCAGCAGCTCAGAGTCAGAGATCGACTGGGACCCGCCAGCACAGGATGGGCCCGGATAGGACGAGGCCTTCCTTTGTCCCTGCTCCTCTGGGTGATCGATCCAGGTATGCACACCCGGAGCATTTGCAGAAACCTTCGGGTCTGTTGTAGCTTGCGCTAATCTAGCGGCTGCTGATGATGGATGTGCTGTGGCAGCGGGAACACCTGCAGAGCTAGTTTTAGTTTCGAGGAGCGGCTGAGCGTGGCGACCTAGCAGGTCGTCCAGATCGTCCGATGATCCATGGGTGGGGAGTATGTTGTAAAAGAACGAGTCGGGTAAAGCCTGAGGACCAGGGAGCCCGTCAACTCCGGGCGTCGAAAGCCTTTCCATGTCAACAAATTCCTCGAAGAGGAGGCCGTCGTCGACTGCCCCCGCGGCCGACCCTCCTTCTGCGGCTGTCTCTGCTGCTGTCACGCCTTTCCATAACAGGTCGGACCCTCCCCCGTTGCTGTCTTTGTCCATGTCCATGGACTCCACCGAGAACTGAGCCTCCGAGTATGCCATATCGTCGGTATAGTCTGTCGGGTGCGAGCTGTGCCTGACACTGGTGTCTGGGCTTCTCGTCCAATGCGAGACGGCCACGGTCATGCTATTCGTGTCTCTGCCCCTGGGTATGGTTTCCCTGTTGTCTCGGTCTATCTCTGTGCCTATCTTGTTCTCAGCTCCGCAAACGAACCAGAGCCAAGACCAGGAACAGAAGCAAAGGCGGGGGTCCAGAGAACAACGGGTAACGGGGACAGCGATCCGTTGCGTTGCGCGTGTGTTTGACGCGAGACTGTGAGTGGCAGGAAGCTGTTGCAAATGTTGGTTTGAAGGAAAGTCGATGCAATGTTCGTTTGCAGCCGAAAGTGTAAAGAAGGAGTGAGAGAATGAAGATTGCAGAAACTGGGGTAAATCTTCGAAGAATGGGATTCTTGTACGGAAAAGAAAGCCGTCGATGGTTGCAAGTCACTATCAAGTGGAGGGGACGGGAGTCAACAAATACCGTCCAACTCATGTCTCTCATCCTGCCACAGCAACAATTGCGCAAAATATGGAAGCAGCCAGGAGACAGCTACCTTGGAATTGGGGTCGCATAGATCACCGTGCTTTCGGCGAGGGATGCCCTTAGCGACCGAATGTCGAATGGAATGTTTCCCACGTCGTCCGGTGACCCTGCGAGGCTGGCCGCATTCCAGTCCAGCCGGTCGGTTCTCCCCCCGTTGCTAATTTGGGGTCGAGCAGGGCAGACAGAAAGAAACATCAAAGGAGCCCGGACACTTTCTTTCACGGCATTATCGGTCGACAAGAGGGAGACCAGAGGGGGGAAAGCCCAAGTAACAATCGTCTTTTTCCGCCCTTGGGCCAGGAACCAACAAAGAGACGACGTTACTCGACCGCAGGCGCATGCGAATACATACATCGGATATGTCGAACTTGGCCCAATTTCATTGACTGACAGGATTGGAGCATCGTTGAGCGTGAGAGACTCACTATTTCATAGCACACGTAAGTACAGCCCCAATAAGATAAGAGACGCCACGGACCCGATCACGTTGTTTTTTCTCGACCGGGAAGAGGTGCGTCTCAATATGGCGGGAGAGATACATGTATTTAAAGGTCTGGACTACCCTTTGCTGCCTGTCGGCTGGACAATGTGGGCAACCATGATTAAATAAGAACACGTAAAAGAGACTGCTGCGGCGCGCTGAGTTATTTCCAAACAAGGGAAATGGAAATATTTCAATAAGAACACAAGGGTCCTTGGGCTGCGGCGGCGCGACTGCAGGCCGCCAGGCTGATAGGCGGTCGATACTTCGGCCTTGACTGACTCTCACATGAGCCAACTTTGACATTTGGTACCTCGACGGCTCGCTCGTGTGAGCGAGCCATATCGAAATTTGTGTGGCCGCTGGGTCCGCTACTGCAAGGAACCAAGTCAAAATTCGACATCACCTGAATTGACGTTGCCCCTACAGAGTCTGATTGAGCGTACTCGTCATCATCGTCCTCGCTCGGCCAAACATAAACCTCGCCCAAGAGGTATCAGCTGCGCTAGGAGGTGGAGGTCTGTCTGGCGTCTGTAAGTTAGCCCGGTGATAAGTGGAATGTCTTGCATGTTCCCATACCTGTCGAGGTTAAGAACCGAGTGAGGTTTGGTGAGGCTATGCTGACGCACACTGCTTGGTGTACCGTGTGCTTGAATGAGGCCGTTGTATTGTGCTGTATGCATGAATGGAACCCCCTTGTGTATGACCACGATCCGTGCTGTCGGGTCAGCTTCCTCGTGTCGTGAGGCAAAGCCGTTATGTGTCCCAGCTTCTGAAAACATCAAAGAGACCGCAATTCTGCTTCATCACCTTAGTCATCAACATGGTTCGGTTTGAAAACGTCCGTTTTTGGTGATGCGACACTCCGCAACGTGGGAGGTCTTGATGTCGATTTCGTCCTCAGATCCTCTAAACGAATCACTATCCAATCATAGGCGCAGCAAGGCTTTGTTTCCCGCCAACTGCCCGTAACTTTGGATCCGTCAGAATATTGACGCCTCCGCCTGCAAGATTGGCCTTGATGACCCCCCCCCGGATGCTGACCGGAACTTCCGCAGGTGCTTCTTCGATGACTCGTTGAACTCCGTTCCATTCGAGATGCTGCACGACATCAGCCATACATGACCGGTAACCGTTGACCAAATGCCCAAAACCCTAAAAAGGTAGAAAAACAGCCCCACGTCGACCGAAACTGGAAGCTTCTAGAGAATGGCAGAACTTCCGTCCATATCGGGCATAAAACTCATTGAACCGAACGCCTTGATGAGAGAGTGAACCTCTCAAGAAAAAAAGGGCCAAAATTCCGGCCGGACTCGAAGGATGTGCGTTGCCGATCCAGCCAGCGCCATGTGAACGCCGTCGCCAAATGTCATCTATACGTCGCCCTTGTACCCTGGGTATATCGCAAAGCGCCGCCCGTCGCTTGAAGAGATCGCTGAAATATCGAAATAGATGCTATGATGTTGTGATTGTTGGTGTGTTCGTCTGCTCGTCCAAGCCTCTAGGATTAAATCATGTCGGCCTCGGCTCCTGACTTGGCCCAGGCCCCTTGCGTTTCCTCATTCTTGGCCGGTGTTTGACGACATTCTGGCATCGCAGCGCCGTTTCCGCTGAGCCTCTGAATCGCAATGCCCCGTATTGTCGTAAGCCGCCCGTCGTTCTCAATATCGATTGTGTATCCGACGAGTCGAAAATCTGTCGCATCAGTTCGTCGTTATCTCCACTGAAACCTTCGTCTGATTCCAAATTGAAAGGGCGTTCAAGATTCTGGCGATCGTCGACCTCGATTTCTGGGAGGTCCGGGTACGTGAGTATTGATCGTGTTGACGACGTCGGCGCCGGAGTGACGTTGCACTGGGATTTGTCCGAAATCATGTCCCTCAAACGAGCCTCCATAGCGCGGGCATTGTTGGGGTTGTTGACATAACGGCTGTGCCATTGACGTCGTGATCTCTTCCAGTCAGCAACTGGCTGATGTTCCTTGACATCATTCATGGACTGGTCCATTTGGCAATCATCGTCCACCTCCAGCGCGACAGAAGACAAATGTGCGATGATCGATGATGGCCCTGATAACTTCCTCGTATGCGGTCTCCGTGAGAAATTTGGGGACGGAGTCTGTTTGTCGAGTTGGTGACCGAGGTTGTTGATGGGCTGTAACGGTGTTGAAGGCTTGTCGTCGGGGCAGGGAGCCAAATCCGAGAGTGCTGTGAGTGCCGTCGACAAGTCCAATTCCCTCGGTCGTTGCTTTGGTGATAAATGAGGCTCCGCATCGGCGGCATCAACAGCTGGGCGAACCTTGGTCCCCAAGGCGAAGTGGTCGAACATGTCTTTGAAGTCCGACGACCTAGGGTAAGCTGTCCCTTGAGTGCCCGAAGAAAAGGGAAGCGAAGAGGAAAGCTGTCGCTCGCTTGGGGCGGGCTGGTATTATGAAGGCATCCGCAACCGCGCTAAGGCTTGGGCGAGTAAACGCCGTGGCGGCCACAAAAGGCCCAGAGCAAGCACTAGGGCAGTTTTGGACGGTGAGTGCTACCAGCAGGAATGACGTTCCGTTAGTATCGAAGCCGAATACAGGACTGCGACTGGACGGAGATGGACCAGAACGTCTGCCATGTGGTTGGGTCTGAGTGATGTTTGATGTTGACGATGAACAGTGGGTGGGCAGAGTAGCGAAGTGCAATAGCGGGTGACAGGTTGGTCCCTCGTTGTGGTTGTCTTGGATCGAGGCAGAGAAGAGAGGGACGTTTAATGAGTGAGATGGGAGAAAAGGAGTTGATTTTGTTTGGTAGGGCAGGATGCGATTGAGGGATGGGGAAAGGGTGAAGAAGGGAAGGACCAAACAGAAACGGGTCTTTTGGCGTAGCGTCACATAGGACACCAGCTAGTGTACGGGATGAAGAATCTGGATCTGGACAGGGCCGATGAGGGTTGCAGAAGCGGGCAAGATGGGGTTTAGTATGGATACCGGTATCCAGTATCCAAGCAAGTGGAATCTGTACCGTACGGACGGCAGTCTAAAGAAGTAGCGCGGCGAAGTCTCTCTGCAGACGGTAGGCAGCTTGTCGGGATTGGTCGTTATTCAGGTAGGACAAGGGGGATGGTCGCACAAAGGTAAGGCTAGAGTTGACGGTGGCACCGAGAAGTTGCGCTACTCTTTACGCAGCAGCTGCCACGGCCAGATGTCGACGAAGTGCGTTACGGTGCGCTGTTGGCAGAGGCGGTCCGGAAATGGTGTGTGAATCAAGTGCAAGCGAGGTCTTGCGTGGGATATGGGTACACCAGCTTCATATGTGAGTACCGTAATTGCAAGACAGAGAGAGGTATTGGGATGTGGTGCCTGGATGCGGGAGTCGAGAAGTATTGGTGGTATCCGTACGTCGCGTCGAACCGTTTGACGCAAGCTAGGCTTGTAGAAGAGGTTTGGACCGAGGAAAACTGCTAGGGATTAGGGGTCAGCAGAGCTAAAAAGGGGATCTTAATTCGTAATACCAGGAATTTCGGGAATCAGTGTCGTCTGCCCTGCCGGTAAAACCGGACCGGGTGGAGTGATGGAAGTCGGAGATGGGACTCGAAACTCGATAGGCGAATGAGTACCTATCCTCGAGAAGCCAGAGTCGAAGATGAGGCGCCCCGAACCGTGGGAAACGGTTCAGGACCATTAGGTTGGGCCATTAGTACGAAGTAGTTTGGATGCGTAGTGTGTATTCGTAAATCGCGAAGCACCCGAAGTTCTGGGTCTGACGGCTGAGTCAAAACGACCAGAGACACTTGGGAGATTGGATGACGGCCGCAAGGAAGGAACGAGCGCCGAATGATGCCCCCTGCGTTGATTCCACATTGGATATTGAAGCCGTCCAGACTCTCGGGATTTAGCAAAAGGCCGGTCCCTCGACTACGGATATGGCTTGCAGCCGGGTTGCCGCAATACTCTCAGGCCTCTTGTTGGTTGGTGTTTTGCTGATCATCATAAAGTGAAGGCTGTACTTTGAAATGGAACAAGCAGAAATCAAAACGGAGATTGAAAACGACGACGAGAGGAAGACGATTGGAGACGGAACTGGGAACAAGGTGTTGGGGGCAACTTCCGACCCAGGACCCTGGCTCAACAACGGGCTAAACGCAGCCAAAGATTTAAGCGAGTGGTCCACGATCCACTGTGCCCACTGGACAAGCCGCAGCATCTCCGTCGGGAATGTGGGGACTCGAACCATGGCAGAGCCAAATTGCTGGTGTCCGTACTTAGACGTGGAATCCCTCTATATGATGCTCTCTCTGTACAACTCAGAAGCTGCGTTAAGTAAATGTGCAGCTGACGAGGTCTTGGACGATCAAATTCATCTTCCATCGTGAGTTTCAGCCGCATCTTGGTTTGAAAAGTCCCAGATCAGCTGTGCACGTTGTGGAATGCACAGCAGACCAAGTGCCGCCGCGGCGTTTCCAGCCAATCCAATAAGAGACGTGGACGCTACCTAGCATCTTCACATCCGAAGTGGATCCTTCTAAACATGTTATTATTGGCTGTGTTGGTTGGGTGGATATACATGACCCCTGTCCTGTGAGACCCACAACCGCAAACCACCTCCCCGGGCTCCACCGTTCGCTTGGACTCTTCAGTGTCTTCAGTGAGTCTCGTCGCTACCCAGAGCAAGTGCACACTGAAGACCGTCTCTTGCTGGCGACCGTAAAAGTCTGGCACACTGTGCTCGATACTTCCTCCCTCCAAACCTCCAAACCGCCAACGGGCAACCTCGTGGAATCTAGCCTCCCTCAAAAGTTCTCTTCACCAATTTCGATTCATCTACTAACTCGCTCTAGTTGAACTAAAACTCTGACACACACCACAAACATCCCTCTATATGGCCATTATTCAAGACCTTCTTCCGTGTGCCATCCAGACGACCCTAGAACTTCCTCAGTCCAACAAACACCGCAGCATCGCCGCCATCTATCGAATGCTTCCAACATTACGGATACACCGCGTCCGACGAGTTACCTTTGGTGTCATCAAGAAATGCTCTGCGCTCAGTCGGAGACCCCATCATCGTCTGATCAGAGTGAGACCAAGGCAGGCAGCCGGGCGCTTGGATGCATGGATTCTGAGACCGAGCCAGCTTAGCTCGACCGCTATTCATGTCACCATCCTCCTGCTCACCCTTCGAGAATCGCTAGAACAACCCGTTGTCTCTGAATCTCGCATCCATACGTCCGTCTCCGTCACCCTCTTGTCACCCGCGACCTGCCACCCATACCTGGTACTCGACGAACCCGGACGTGCTCACCACCCGCCCACTGAGATCTGAGACTCCTTGCTTGTTCGACCCTCGATGCAATGCACGGAACCGCGATAGTCACCTGCAGTCTGCAACATGCTGCATCCTGCTGCAGCCTCGCTTGCACCATCTACCGATGCTTACGGACCACCTTAGGCCCACCACACATCTACCATGTGGTGCCCGACGCCTCCAGCTCCGCTCCCGCCCCTCGGAAGGGACAAGAAACACGCCATTGTTGAGACGACGCAGATCCGTCGTTGCACAAAGCTCCCATCGCCAAACAAACACCACATGGTTCACAGTTTCCCTCGCCCGTGACACTGCATCAACTTGCCTTGCGACGGTTACCACCAACCACACAACAGAGAGGATGCCGTTGCATCGAATCAGTCCCAAACAAGTCCTCAAGTATCACATGCATTGTACAGAGTGGCATTTGTGACCAAAGCCTTTGCAAGTCGGCGAGGAAACCAGATGTTACACACAACCACGACTCGACCTACATATCCAGTGTGTCCGGGATGCCCCTGCCGCTGCCTTTGGCCAAGCTTGTCGGGATGGCGTCAGCGAGTGTGCGTCATTTCCACGAGGCATTCAGACCTTGATATCTCCAATCAACTGGGACAGCTTCGACACCAGAGCTGTCGAACAAGAAACTCAATGAGGTGGAGTTTGGATCGATGTCTTTCAGGACTGTCAAACCACGCGTTTGGAACGCATTGGGGCTATGTGCACATTGAATACTCTCCGATCAAGGCGCGAGCCCAAACATGAGACGACACAGCGGGCGACGTCTTTGACGACTGCTAATTCCGTCTTGAGGGCGTAACCAGTCTCTCGCAACCTGAGGTCGGTTAACCGCAGTACGTCATTGGTGATCGACAAAGCTGCCGGAACGAAGACATTCTGTTCCAGATCGAACTGCCTCCAACCAATCCGCCTAGACCACAGTCATCTTCGACATCTTCACCGGTGGGGCCATCCCCAGACATGATCACCAAGTCCCGTCCAGAAGTGGGTTTCAGCGGTCGGTGCAGACCCGGCCCAGACCGTTAGCAGTGGATATCGAAAGACGTAAAGCCGGGATGTCATCTGCAACGATCCAACTTCGTTGCCCGTCTCCACGACTCGTTCTTGAGACTCGTTGACTCCCGATGTTGTCCGAGACCCTTCGGTATGCAACCCAGTGTACTCTGTAACGATATCGCGTCTCTTTGCGCATTATCTGGGGTTGACTATGCGCCTTCGAATTGGTGGTAGCCATATCTCAATTAGGGAACCCGAGCTGGTTCGCCTGACCATTGACGTTGGAGCATATGCATCATGACACCCTACCGCATGCTGCCGGCTCATTCGTTGCCCCTTTCTATCTCAAACTATGGCTTCATTCAGTCTGTGGCACGAGACTAATGTCTTGAGTGTCACTAACAAACAAAAATTCGTGAGCCTAATGGAACGGTGTTTATTGCCATATGACCAAACCCTTCAGATATCTGAATAGTAATCTTGTCGACCATTAAATTTCCCCTGAACTCACTTGTTGCATCAATTCAATTCAAATATTCCACACCGGACCTCCGACTGTCGAATGCAAACCCCGCGACTAATCGCGTTATTTCTGTCACCCGATCCTTCTCCGACGCGGCCCCGATCCACCGGCTCGACCAGATGTCCGTTCCGCGCAGCGACCGTCGTCTCTGAAGACAACCTAAGCCGCGCTTAGCTTTCTATAGCTAAGGCCAACTGCAGAGGATTTTAAATCTCTCATGGTGATGCTAAGTTAGTTGGGCTTTCTCGAGCCTGGGGGCGCCATAGCAGACATGGCGACTGCTGGCTTGGATCCGCATCAAAGGGCAACTTGTTCACTATCCAGTTGGTCACCCGGACTACGAGAAAAACAAAAACCCAAACATTTGGGGCGATCCAGTTCGACCAGCTGAACGAACGTTCGCCCCAACTCCGCGCACTACGTCCGAACACCTGCCGCGGCCTCTTTTCTAGAGTTACAGCTCAAAAAAGCAAAGACGTTAGCTTCGCCGGTAGCTTCCGCCTCGCGATCTTTGTTGATCCCAGAGGCTGTGCTCCCCGGGTGGCTTACGGCACAGGGGACGACGACCAGACGGCTCCCCAATCTTTTCGTCCGTAACTCTATTTCACGGCATTCGCATTTTGAGGGGCCAAGTGCCGGAGGGGAGGTGATCTGCGATGTCTCGCGGAGATGTCGCAGGAAGGAGGCGCCCTTCTGAAGAAGATACCGGCCGCAGCTCCACGAACGCCTTGCTGCCTGGCGTCTAGGCGGAAGCTTATTTCGAGGGTCTGCGCAGATGGTCGACTGCGGCTGCGCAGTTCACGGTGAGTCGTTGTCGTCAGTGTCTCATACTTCTGAGTATTCCTGTGATCGGATTTTGAAGACCTGGAAATTTGATCGAGATCTTGAGCCTGAGGACAACGACCGTTGTGGACAGGATGGAGGTGACTTGATTGTTAAGTTCACGCCTGGAAGCACCGGCAATGTCACCAACCTATTCAGACGAAGTTTCTGGCCATTATCAGTAGGAGGCGTCAATGTCTCATCTTGTGGTTTCGTACCCCTCGTAAACTCGATGGCCTTCATGTGCTTCTTCTTGTGATGGGTTTGAGGTTGTCTTGTCCATTCTTGTGATGTACCGTTGCAGGCAACCCTGTAATGTCATCCGGGACTCGACTGTGTACTTTCTTAGTAGGTATTGCCACGACAACGTTTTGGAGTTCCAGCTCATGGACACGGTATTTTGAATAATCAACAATCGTGAGTACTATTATAAAGTCGTGGTAGTAACAACTACAATCCAACACCAAGAGACGAGCATGACAGCACTACAATGCAAGAAATTGAAGAAGTACAGCTCCACGCTGTCAGGCAGCGGCAAACTTAAACGTGTGAATATGTTTCTCTTCCCCCATCAAGGTCCCTCCGGAGGGTCTTGCTGTGCATCTTTAAAGTCTGCCCAGCCAGTAGGTAGAGCTGCGTACCCGTTGGACTTGGGAGTCTAATCTCGTGGCAACGAATTCTCACCACAAATGCAATATACCGAGCAATATAATGCAGCCACCATCGTTATTTTGATCAAAATCTCGCCATACCCAACGAGTACACACATTTCGAGTTCTCACAAGGTCCAATTCTACCTCGCTTGGCTGTCTGTACGAGTTGGATCTTTGGCTTAACTTTTGCGCATGATGAAGACCTCATCAAGGTGGCACTCTCAGCTTTCTGAGTTTTTCACTTGATAAAACCCCGTACTATTCGCCCGGCTTCCAATCTTCATCCCCGGCAGACTTTTCTCCCGGTCATCTTCTTGTCCACTACACAATTCTGGTTGAAGCAGTTTCGCCCCCATCCGTATATACTCTCTTCTTCTATACACGCGGAAACTATTCGCTAATTCCCGCCTACAGACACACTCCAGCTTCCAACGACACGAGAAGAAACAAAACCCCCCCACCAGCTACCACAATGACGACCGAAGCGCCCCACGAACTGCGCGCCGTAGGCAACACAAGCACCGAAGACGCTTCATCCATCGACATCGAGAAGACCGCCGCGCAGGGCGGCCCCCAACAACAGAGCACCCGCCGCTCAAAGATTGGTGTTTGCTTTGACATCTCTCGGGTCGTAGTAATCATCTTGTTGTTGGTGTTATTCGCATTCGTCACGGCCACCGCCGTGGGCCACATCATGGACGCGCGCGCGGCTCGACAGTGAAGTCGTCGATATCGTGGCTTTTCTCGCACGGATATCTGCGAGCGCCGATCACGGTTGTGTTGTCCGTGGGGGACTGACTCCGGCATCGGGGGAAAATGGAACGCGACAAGTCGAGGTTTTGCATGGACACACACCGGGTCGAGGGCTGAGAACGTGGAGAGATGTGCGAGGATGCTGGTAAGGAGGTCATCGAGCGGAGAAGGGACTCTAAAGTGTCATGTGTACGGATATGTGAGAAACGGGTCTCCTAACGAAGATGTCACTTCGGATGGCGACTCATCTGTCGCTGCTGGGGGCACCTTTTGAGGTAATCTATCGAATGGGTCTCTTCTGTGGCGGTTGGCTTCAACACTTAGACTTTCAAGGAGCATGTACCTCGCGGATCTTTCACAATGACTGATACTGGTTGCATTTACTGATTTTCAAATCACCGATTTGTCAACCTTGTCATGTATGTTGTCTAGTCTATCATCTTTTCTCTCATTTTCTGTCACACCTTTGATATTATCCTCATTCCCTGTGTTATCATCCATCAGCCCATCTCTAGCATAATACCTTAAGGTACCTTATGTGATAAACCTGCAAACGAAGTGCCTGTGGTGAAAATCGCTGAGACCGCGCTTCCCAGCAGTACGTCCACGTCCAACACCGCCGGCGTCGTGTCTTCGCTATCTCATTCAAAATCAACATAAAAGCCGGTAAGTTAAAACTATTTCCCAAGCCTTGATCTACCAGCTGCAGTCTTGTCAAAGTTGTTTTTCATCGTTCCGCAAAGCCGATCTGAGAATTCTCCGCATCAGCCAATTCAACAGACGGTACAGTTACAGGCTTTACCATGGCCGATGCGTCTCGAGGCCACCCAATCGCCTTGCTTCACGTCTGTTATCCCGGCAGTATTCCTTGTTTATACCACACATCGTCCCTATGGCACAGCCCACTCCCTTGGGCATTCTACGCTTGATGGTCTGCGACGACGTGGGCTTAATCAAGTGCATCAACAGCAACTAAGTAGACCAGGGACAAGCTACGGAAAGCGCGAAGACCAGTGGGTCAGTTGCCTGCTGGCTGTTCCTGAAGTCAGCCGGGATCTCTGTTTTGTATCTCATCAATGCCACATTCTTGTAGCGCGACGTTGGATCATGGGTCTGGTCGCGGTGTTACCTCACTCGAGTACTCGGCGTTTTTGATACATATAGTCGGTGTTCCCATTATTGAGATGTATGCGACACGGGTGGATGAAGGCGCCCCAGAAAGAGCTTTGCGTTAAGCCTGAGAGCCAGAAACCTCACGGGAAAAGGGCAAATCGTGTTCTCGACTGTTAGACTTGAATTGCTCGAATCAGGCAGCTAACCGTCTTCCTTCCCCTTTCCCGTCATTACTGTACTATTACTCCCATGTTCATCTTCACAGAGGAGGTATTGCACCTACGCTGCGGCCACAACATATTCCTCGGCTTTCATTCTACAGTCCAGACCAGAGGTCACGACATCATACAAAGCGTCGTGTGGTGTCTTAATATGGGGAGTAGCATTTCCATGCACTCTCATAGAGCCTATATAGACACAGAGAAACAGACATATGGGACAAACCGGATGCAACCGTTAGATGAGATAAATACAGGATGATCTAGCACTCGGGGTGTATCCCACATCGGCAAGGGCGTCAAGGCACCACTTGGAGTGACACCTCGTCGTTGATTAGATGATGTCTCGACTGCGACGCGGTGTTCCCGTGGCCGTGCTGCACCGCGTACGCGGAGGGGAAAATCGGTGGAATGATGGGAGTTCCTCTTGTTCCTGCGTTTCTCCGTTTTTTGCCCTCGTCTTGCCTCGCTGCTGTCATTCTGACCGTATTCTGTGTTTATGCAGTACGTCATGTTGCTCACAACATTCGTCTATTGAAATTCTACACCTGAAAAGGTGGCAAGCTGAGCACAGGATATAACTTGAAAGAAAGTCTACGAGACAACTTACTCCCCGTAGATCAACGCAAACTTCATCTTGTCCTGTCTGGCTTTCTTTTCTGGTACTGTGGACGGGCGAGGTGATTTTTATATCCCTCGGGGCAAAGTACTTCAGTCTTGTCACATGCCACACTCTTCACGGCTTTAGAGCGTGGGTTTGCGTCGCAGCATCACAGAGCCCACCCGATTCCTCAGTTACTGACTGAGCTACTAGTTACACATCTTACGTCATTTCGGTTTATCATGAATATTGATGTAAACGGGTTGATAATTATGGTGGCAAAAACGACAACGCCAGGCCTCATTCTAACCCAAACTTGTGAGCTAGGCACTTACAGCATTTCAAGGTATCACTGCGCTGAAACCATTTCTAATATGGCCATCGAAAACCGTCTTGGGCAACACCCCGGGATGCTGGTGGATACGTGCTGGGGACAGCGCCATGAGCTTGGTGGTCTCCTGTGTACCTAGTTAAAAGAGCCTCGCCATTCTTGAACACAGGTTCTCTGACGGCAGTGGATCTGGTAGATTGCGTTCGCAATCTCTACAGGTTGCCTTACTTGCTCAATACGGCCACGATGTTGAACTTTATAGGCTGAAACTAAGTTCATGATTCTTGAGATTACTCGTATGAGGTTGGATGTCTTCTCTTTTCTTCTTCACCATCGTCTTGGAAGTATTCATGCCATGTCAGCAAAGTATCCCACTTGAATTGTGACCTCGGTTTGTTACCAGAATTACGTTCATCGACGCAGAACAAAGTCGATTTTGACATACTGCTAATGTGAGACGGTAGAAATTTGTGTCGAATGCGGTGCCAAGGTCCTCGAATAACACCTGCGTTCCCTTATGTATAATATAGACATCAAGGGACAACTGTACACGTGGAATAAGTTGGGCGGTAGTTAGATGAGAGGAGGTGGTCACATGCGCAGGACCCTCCAGGCTTGATATAAACGTCAAGTTATTCCTTGTCATCACCGTCACGGCAAACCACCCAATTGGGCCAGTTCCGAGCACATTTCGATGAAGGGAGGTCCTTGACTGTATCCCTCTAGAAAGACGTCAAACCCCTCCCATTGGAGCCATTCAATGATTTTCCAGCTTCTACTATCAACAAATGACATCAACTCGTCGGCGTCCGCCTTCTCTGCCGCACTGATATTCGACGAGTATTCATTCTTCCGGGAATGTAAGTCATCTCATCAGCTCTGATCCTGACCCAGCTCATCATTCAAACGTAACAATCCCAGAGAGGTTAAGTAGCGCCGGTGTTGCATGTCCAATAGCTCTGTATCGCACTATCCAGCTGCAATCCTCAAAACCCGGTGCCAACACTCGTCTTTTATATAAGCCAAGGCCGCTTGACACATAACTCACCCATCTGGACGCTATGTAGTCAATACAACCAAACCGAAAACGCCATGATTATCAACAGACGTCAAATAAATTACCTTTCCCCCACGTAAGAGCCAAGCCGTCCGTCCCTCCAACATCATCCGAAAAGGGTCCGCCCCGAGAACCCTCGGACCTCACCGGAGCGCAGACCGCACCTTATCTTATCAAAACCCCGCCCCCTCCACTCCGCGACGGCGGGGCCTCTCCGGAGCTACAACATCACTTCTCTATCATACCATATCTCACTCACACATCCGAGTCACTCAATCTTCTCATCCCGCCCATCCAAACCCTCACAAACAATACACATGCGATCAGAAGAACCCCGAAAATGAACGCCCCTCCACCCCCAGAACTCGAAATCTCCCCTCCCCTCCTCAACTCCGCGAACCCGTGGTGCACGACCCTAGGCGACCTCAAACGCCTCCACGCCTCCCCTCACACCGGCGCCCTCACCACGCGGACCTCTCTCCTCTCCGGCTTCGCACACCGCGACGCAGTCCACCAGTACACCTTCTTCTCCCCGGCGACCTCCCAGCCCTCCTCCACGGTCCCGAACTCCTCGTCCCACCACACCACCCCCCAGGACCTCCAGCCCGAAGACGTCGCCTCGCTCAACAATCTGGGCTACTCGCCGCTGCCGCTGGACACGTACCTCGACTTCATCGCCGAGCTGCCGACGACCAAGATCGAGGGCCACGGCCACCACAAGCTCATCATCGTCTCGGTGACGGGGTCGCCCGCCGAGATCGCGGAGTGCTACGCGCGCATCGCGGCGTTCGCGACGACGACGGCGCATCCGCTGGCGATGGAGGTGAACCTGTCATGTCCCAACATCGCGAACGCGGCACCACCGGCGTCCGACCAGGCGCAGTTGCAGGCGTATCTGGCGGCGCTGCCCTCGAGGCCCGCGATCCCCGTCGGGCTGAAGACGCCTCCGTACACGCACCTGGCGCATTACAGGGCCCTCATCAGTGCTCTGCGCGAGGACGCGACGGTCGTTACGAAGAATGCGATGCTCAAGGTGCCAAGCAAGATCAGCTTCATTACGGCGGTGAACACCCTCGGCTCGTGCCTGCTGCTGGAACAGGACGATGAGGATCCGGACGGCGATTTGGTGGCGCGGCTTCCCGGTTCTGGGTTGGGCGGTATGGCTGGGCCTCCGCTTCATCCGCTGGCATTGGGGAATGTGAAGACGATCTCGGAGCTGGTGTCGCGAGAGCCAGAACTGTTACACATCAAGGTCATCGGTGTCGGCGGCGTCTCGGACGCGGATGGCTTCAGGCGCATGATGAGTGTTGGTGCCTACGCCGTTGGTGTCGGAACGGCGTTGGGCCGGGAAGGGGTGGACGTCTTCGAGAAGATCGCTTCCAATCTTGAGAAAAAGTAGGCAACACGTAACACCGGACAAAAGATACCAATATTGAATCTTAACCTTTATTCATCGAACTTCATTATCATTGGGTATATGGCAATTAATATAACAGGGGGCGCATTAGCCCGATGTCGCACAAAAAAATCAAAAACATTCGCTCATTCATACGGTCTGGGACCGCGTGTCATTGCTCGCCTCGGACGAGTTGTTGGAGTTCTTTTCTTCAGAATGCTCCACGGCCGGGGGAGTGACGCTTTCTCCGTTGGGTCTGCCCAAGTGGGAGATTTTGCTAAAGATGCTGCCGCGCTTGCTTTTCGCTGCAATAGTAGATAGGGTTCTACGCCGTCTTCTGACTTCGCGGTTCATGTCGATTTCGTCCGCGTGGGCTTGACGCTCCTCCGCGGTGACCACCGAATGGGCGGGATCCGTCATCGTCCTGGCGTCCCTGAGAGACTCGAGCCAGATTGGGTAAAAGGCTGTAAGCACCAGTAACGCCACGATGAGGACGAACGATAGCTGTACCGTGGCTCCGTGGTTGATAATGGCGTACACGACGTAGGGGAAGAAGGCCGCGCCAGAGCCTCCCATGGTGATAAATGCTGCGGCGCGCTTAGTGCGGCGGCCTTGACCCCGCAAACCGATGGCGAAGATTAGCGGCCAGATGGGCCCCTCGGCGAAGTAGAAGAGTATCACCGGGATGAGCAGGAGGTTGGGGTCCTTCGGCTTCAACACGACAGTAAGAAGCGCGAAAAGGAGGGCAAGCCCAACGCTGATGGACAGCCACGTTCTGGGTTTCGGCATACGGGGGTTTCGTACAGACATGTAAGTCAGGTACGCGACGATGAACCGAGAAATTGCGAAGACGCTGTGGGCGACCAGGTGATAGTCGGTCACCCCGAGGGTTAGACCAGGTGGTTTGTCGCTATTCTCCCCTGGGTTTGTGTCCGCGTTTGTCGCAGCAGATCCCGCATCCTCCTGGTTGGGAAGGATCGCGATGAGGAGCGTGCGGAAAAAGATATTATTGCACTCCTGGCAAGCGACATATGTCCACTGAGCAAGGACGGCAAAGATTAAACTCCACGTTCGGAGCTGCAACCCGCCGATGCTGCGCTTCTGGACATCAACTGGGATGCGTTCAGCGGTTTCTTGTAATTCGTTGTCGTTCAGCTCTGGCAGGGGCATGTAGTAAAAGAAGAGCCCAAGAGCAACGCAAAGTAGTGTGATAGCGAGGTATGTCCATTGGACGTTTAGTAGGGTTGTGGAGTTATCACTGGAGTTATTTTGGTTCGTGATCTTGGTGAAGAAGACCCTTTGGGCCATCAGTCCGCTGAGGACCGCACCGATGCCCTGAACACCTTGGGCAAGGAGAAGTCGGGTCTCGCCGTATTCCGGTGGCCCGCAGAGAATGAGGAAGGCATTAGCGCCGGTTTCCAATACTGACAGACCGAATCCGACGACGAAGTTGCTGAGCAAGAAACCGCCCCAAGACTTGGTGACGGCGGACGGCCAAAAGATGATTGTTCCAACGCCGTAGAAGCAGAGCCCAACGATGAAAGTAACCTTAAAGCCTCCAACGCTGTCCGGCTCACGGCGGCTGTTCTTTCGATTTCTTCGGTGGTGCTCGTCTCGTCTCAGAATCCACTCACCCACAACCAGGGGACCAAGGAAGTAGCCACCCCCGAAATAGGCGGTTGTGAGACCCAGTGTCTGAGCTACAGACATATTTGATACGCTTGAAATGACGTTGTTGAGTGTGTTGAGCAGGCCATATGAGATACCCCACATGAGAAACAGAATGGTGACCACAAGGCAGTATCGGAACGACTCCTGAGAATCGCATTTGACCATGCTTTTGGGCCGTCTCATGTTGACGAAGCCGAAGTAAATGGTGTTTTCCCTACTGGTAGCCATGGAGGTCCTTGTCCGGATTCCGCCCAACCTCCCTGCGTTTGATGCTTCGAATTGCTCCAGGGTCATGTCAGGTGTTGTCAGGAACTCGAGCGCGGTCATTCCATTTTCGTCCGTGTTTGCCGTGGGGTTCACAGCCCCGCTGAAATCGCGGCTAGCACGCGCGGCGGCTGCCGGCTGCTGGATGCTGATGCTGACGCTGCCACGGTTCGGGTTGGTCGTGGGTGACACGAGACCATCGCTACCTGTGCGGTTCCTTGGGCTGTCCAGGATGTCCTTCTCAGTCTGGGTGCTCGAGCGAGTGCCATCGGGATCGATGATCATGGCCGGGAGGATCTTGATGATGAGGGGCTTCAGAGTCGGGATACAAGCGCAAGACATTCCCACATTCACCTCCACGGCCGACCACATAAAGGATAAGGACGAGTTCCAGGCGAAGTTTGGGGTACCGCCAAAATGGGAGGCTGGGTCGGTCGATACACCGGTCGGAACAGATGTGACGGCTTGTTGCAAGTAGTAGATCCGAACGACGTCAACGATTGTGACGAAGATACCGAGGGTGAACGTGAGGACGAGGATGATCTTCTGCCTCGGGGGCAATCTCATGCCGGTCAAGACGGGAATCGGCAGGGCCAGAATGGCCAAATCGGTAACGATGTTGATCGGCGCGGAGCAAATGAACTCGGTGAGAAGCGGTATACATTGCGAGGTATCCCTGCCCACCTCCCACGCTGCCTGAACTGGTCGGCACTGAAAAATGTTGATGAGTGTGAGTACGGTGCCAGCGAGGTTCACGATACCCAGAGTAACCCAGGACGCGAATCTCAGGACCTTTTTGGTGTTTTTGGAAAGGCGCAAATAGAATATCAGGACAGCGGTCTTGGTGGCCATGAGAGCGGGATTCTGCATGATGTCAGCGGAGGGCCACTAGAGCGGCATCGTGGCGACGGGACTCACATAGAGGATTGAAAAGACATATTCGCACGCTCGTAATGAATGCCAATGATCCCCCGCAATATCCTTATCATAGCGGCCAAGACCTCTGGTGGTACCGAAGCAAATGGTGAAAGACAATCCGAAAGCAATGAGCCATGCCAGAAACATGGTCTTGTCGTCCCAGCTGACATTTCTAACAATGAAGCGTCTGCAGAAGAGTCGGGCGGCCACCATAACACTCGCTAATACGAATGTTGCGATTGTCACGGCAAAGACTGCCGGACCGCGATCTGGGACGCTTGTATTCGTGACATTGACGACTGACATGCTCGGCGAGAAGAGGCGGCCAACCGGGGGAAGTCGATCAAGATTTACCACCACGGAGGTTTGGTGAGGGGTGATGAGTGGTTAGCTTGACACCGATGACAACCATGCCATGGCTTTAGGCTCTGACACATGGACGCAATGAATGTGTTGATGTTCGGGGCGCAAGTCGGTCGGCGGTCATCGAGGTCCTGTGGCGAGGACTGTCGGCGGCGGTGCAGCTGTCGTGAGATGTTGTTGTTGATGGGCACGCGACGAGTTCGGAGTGGGCTTGGCGTTGTATGTTCGTGGGCAAAACCAAAAAAAGTCGGGGTCGCTGAGTCGTCTGTCGAGGCCGGGGTCGTCGCTAAGAGGCGGGAAAAGGCTGGGGCAGTAAGGTTGAAGTCTCTTTTTTTCAGTCGAGCGAGTCCGGCGCAGTCATCCAATCCTTCTGGCTGCAAGCTTGCGCGAATATCTTTCTTTGCCGGCAGTTCAAAGTGGTGTGGAGGTCCGACGAATCCGCGGCGGGCAATTGGCAGAGTCAAGACGGTTGAAGCGTCATCCACGACTCTGACAAGAACTAGCGGCCGTGTTGGCGCAAAGGGTTCGGTTGGATAGAGGCCGTGAGCGAGGGCGAAGAGCGGGAAGAAGGAGGTAGACAGGAAATAGAATTCGGCGAAAAGATGAGATGGGATGGGATGGTGAGGAAGCAAGGTAGGTACTGCGTAGAAAATGGGCATGCGAAAATGCTGGGCATCGGCCGTGAGGTACCTTGTCAATGTGAGCCTTCCAATTGACGGAGGAGGTAGGGTACTTGAGTACCTCACTTGGCAATGGAAGTGGATGGACTATCCATATGCGTGTGTATCCGTAATCCACCGGGGGTTGCAGTCCATCCACACAGGGCGTGGACCTCGAGGTCGAGGTGCCGCAGTCGGTGGGCAGTGGGCGGTGGGCTTGGCTTGAATTTGATTTGTCTTGGCCTCAGTTTTCTTTTGCTGTGTTGGCGGAGATGATGGAGTTTGTCGTTGGAGGTGGTAGCAAGCAAGCCAGCCAGCCGTTGCAGAGTTTTCCGATCCAGGACAAGACTGATGGAGTCGTCGGTATGGCGTATGGGTACGGTCACGTCTGTACGAAAACCTGTACCGCAGTACGGATACCCAAGGTACTATGTGAGGTAAGGTAAGGGTAGGGTAGGTATTCGTTCTTTTGCCGAAGGACAGGTGCTCCCTGTGTAAAAATGGAGCAGGCAACTCTGAATGAGTGGACGATGATGCGAATCGAAGGATGCCCTCTGCAGCGTTCCCCCGCCGAAGACAGGGCGGTCGCTGTCGGCTCAGGATTTCGCCTTTCGGAGTGGCAGAGCGAGATTGCCGTGGACCCTCTCCGTCTCCTTCAGCTTCTCCATCCTGTGCCTGTCTTGTCCCAGTCTTTATCAGCACGACAGATAAATCCACAATAGCGGTGACTGAGGGCGGCTACTGCTTGTCAATTGTAAGGGGTGGCTTTGGACATGACTTGGCCGAGGCCATGATAGGAGTTTGGACGGGACGGAAGAGGAAGTGTCTTTGCCAGCAAAGCACACCACACCACGGCGGTCGGTACTTCGACTCTTTGAGAAACAGACTGAAAGAGTCGAGGCTTGCATCGCCCTGTGCAAGAGGAAAGTAAAGAAGAAAAAAATCGAACGGTGCGATGTGGAGCCGCCTCTCACTACTGAAGTAAGTCCTGATTTCTACTTGCGACCTGACGGCGCGGGAAGTATTTCCGCTGCGGAAACACCAGAGAACGGTACTTCCTGTCGGCATTCACGACTGCAAAAACCAGGTGAGGAGGAAGTACCTCGTCTTGGCGAATTGCGGCGGACTGCGCAATAACCAGCGGTGGGCGATGACATAGGGTACGTCGATCCTCAGCCTACCGGAAGCCAATCAAAGATCTAATTGAGGCGGGACTACCCCGGATTCTGGTCCTCTTTGAGCCAAGTTCGAGTTCGCTCCTGCTACCAACGCCAGGATCCCTTTTCTTTCTGATTTTGGACGCTGGCAAGCTGGTCCAGTCGTCGTGAGGCCTCGAAGGAACTTTCCAGGATCACCTCTGAAGAGGAAAGAAGCACTGGCCGTTACCTGGCACGGCACTCGCAAGAAATAGAAACCGCCCAAAGTAAACATCCACAACTTTTGGATACCGCAATATCCACTGCACTCCTTGGGCAATCGTGACTCCGTGAGTGTCCTCCCCCAATATGGGAGTGTCCTCCCACTATTTGCCTCTTGAGACCGAGTCCGAACTGACGACGAAAAAGCAGGATCCGGCTTTCTGGGAGCTCCAACCTAAATTGCCTTTACCACAGTACACGCGTGGTCGCCAGTTCGCCACTGTCCACACAAGCTACTTCTCCTCCTCATCCGAGACTCCCCTCAATTTTTTAAGGGCCATTCCCCGTCTGGCATCTTCCGTACCGGGACCCTCGGCGATGCGGCTCGTGGTTCGTTGCCTCGGCCTGCGCTGCTACACCACGACGACTTGAGCATGCGGCAAATACATCGCGCATGTACTCTGCGTGGTGAGACGGCTGAGACTGAGAGAATAAACACGAATAAAGTGGAGAGACGACAGGCAAAATTTGTCTTCTCTGTGCCTCAATGCGACAGCGACAGCGAAGCGCCGCAATGCCCGACGTTGCCAGAATGCCAAGCTATTCACAGCCTGGCGCTGGCGCCGCCGCCCACTGCACTCCTCTGCAAAATGCTTGGCTGGCATTGACCTCGAGATGGAGCTCTCCTGTGGCCCCCAGTTATCGCGCGAGAAATGCACCGAAGTACGAGCGGGCCACGAGTTGCACGCTACAGCTGTGGGTGATAATTGATCTCCTATATTGTTTAAAACGCAACCTACGAATACGGACCCTTTGTCGATCACACTGAGGAGGGGGAAGAGGAGGTGAGAGCTCCTGCGCGAGCCCGGCCAGTCATGCGCAGCCGCTTACCATGGGCCACGGGAATCACAGAACAGCTGGCACTCCAACCATGGCATGGCAGCAACCGACGCTTATGCCGCCTTTTGGACGGCACCTCATCCTCACTTTGACGGGAGCATGGACGAACGCTCGGTGACCGCAACTTGTCATGCCGTAACTGCGGTCAGGGACAGACGGTACGTTGCTCCTTACTGACCATGTGTTCGTTTTGGCCTACCCTTTGGGAAATTTGTACCGTCTCGTTCTCGGTATTGAGACTGTCGCAATCAACGACACTACGTTACCGAGACTCCGTCACTCTAGACGTCGGCCAAGGCAGACCAGTCCCCCTCCTCTAGGATCTTGGGACGGGACGATCGGTCGGTCGGGTAGAAGCTGCTCTCTCAATTGGGAAGCTTATCCATCACGTCGTTCCACGTAAGTACCTTCCCTACCTCGCGCTTATCGACTGCCACTGACATCGCAGCCATCTAGTAGCGCATGTATCTGCAGCATCGTTGGCAACCCCATCCGCATTCTTCACGACCACGTTCGACTTTTCCTCATCCGGCCGACATCCCATCGCCTGATTCAACTTTCCATTGTCCTGGATTTGGGTTTGGAACAAGCAATTGCGTGGCGCACCTGTCAAAGAACAGACAGTGCCTCTCCCTCGGAAGCGCCTTACTAGGGCGTGTCGGACGGGCGCCTCGTTGTTTGAGGCACCAGATTGCGCCCAGACGAACAGCTGACTCAGCTAGGCCGTCAATGCTTCTCTTCACTTCACATCGCTCCAGCTTCTACGTAGTAGGGTCCGGAACATCCTGGCCATCCCATCTTGAAGCATCGATGTGCCTGCCGGATAGAGCAGACATGCTGCCAATAGCCGCCGACCCTGAGTCGAGAAACAGATCGTCCTCTTCCGAAACCTCAACTCCGTCAACCACAAGACTGCTTCATCAAGAAACAACGTCATCCGAACCGTTGAGAAAAGAACCTTCTTTGCGGTCCAGCATTGGTGCCCACGTCTTGACTTCTTTCTCCAAGGGCTACAAGTCCCCAACAACCCCCGGATCCCAGGTTACCCCCCGGCAGTGGATAGCGTAGCGGACCAACCCCACGGCACCAAATCTTGGAAGCAATTGGCAACACCTTCACTGAAAAGGCAATGACTGCCCGCATAGGGCCAGACATCGGATCGTCAACCTCAACCCACTGGCTGTTTCCACAGACTGCAACTCTGAGAGTTTCATGATGATGACGACCAGTACATGAGTGAAAACTCTGACTTGGAGAAAAATCACTCTTGCACAGTCTTTACGTACATCACAGGCGGGTTGCAACGCGGCGGCTAGCTTACCGCGATTTTTGCACAGGCTTTTTTGATCGACGTCCGGCGCCAAGCGACATTTTTTGCAACTTTACTTACGAGTCAGTCACCTGCAATTCGCAAACTAACCAACCTCGTACGACTTTCCTGCTTCCAAAGACTTCCGATGCCAAGACAATGGCAGCTGTCGATACACCAAGCGCAATCGACCCCGACCCCTCGTCGCCGCACGGCAGGCAAAACCTGCACGAACCGCCGGTCAATGTCCGACTATCGCCAGACCGCCTGGTCCCGGAACAGCTTGCTTCAGAGATACCGATTCGGAAGCCCCAACCTTCCAATGTCCCGTACCGATAGAGCACAAGCATCCCCGCACTTGCTCTCCAACGCGCATGTTTCCTGATGAGACCGCAACTTGGTGTCCGTAGCCGGACCCATGAGATTGCTTCACCCGCTCAACGGACCCGTCCCGAGCTGTATGGGAACGCGGTCCAGGCTCTGCCCGGGATCTAGTGTTCTCTCTCGAAGTCGATCCTACTTTTGATCAGTATTCACACCGATGACGAACTCACGTTGCAGTTCTTACACATGAGCAAACGTCATGTTTGTTTCGTCAGTCCCGCGATGCATATTGGGATGAGCGCAACTGTTCCCCACGGCATCAAACCCGGCGAATTGCCTTCCAATTCAGCACATTCTCATCTCCTCGCAGCTATGATAGATCCCGTTGATCAG